GGTCAAGTCGCAACAGGATGGACACGTCGAGGCATCTAGATTGTTTCGATCGCAAGTGACTGTCTCCCATCTTAAATGTGAGCCATTGCTACGAAGGCGGCGGGCGATTGTATTCCAAGCGGATTGGTAAAGGGAAGCTGCCTCAATCACCCCTCGCTGGATAGTGACTACCTGGCACATATTTGGTCGTCCAAGATAAATCCCAGTTATGATCATGAGCTGCCCTTTGCCTTTTAGTCTTGAGATCAAATCGTTCGTTTTGTCTCCTCACCTGAGTGAAACGAAAGGGAGACGCAGCTTGCATTCCAAGGCTTTTATTCAACACCGCAGAAAAAAGCGAGTTATCATCTCTTCTGCTTCTTCCACTGCCTGCCTCCATCTTCCCTGCGCTCACCAGTATCCCTAACCGGGTCTGAACTCTGGCCGTTCGCTCGCTGCACCGCAGCCAAGCGCACTTTCTCAGGTACCTTCTCCCAGTATATCTCCTCCCGCGTGCCTTGCACCAGTTCCGCAACGATCGCCTTGCCGTCTGCCTCGCTGCTCCCCAATTCGTCTAGCCCGGTTGTTTGAACGGTTCGCTTTGCGGTGAAGTGCTCAACCAAGGCGCGCGCATTATCGGGGTTGATGAGTCGTAGATAGCACTGGAAAACATTAGATCAGTTGTTGAGAGACGCACAAGAAAGACGGCGCACAGAGTCCATGTTTTTATTGAAATCTACGTAGTCGAGCGCGTCTTTCGACTCGACAGTCGTCAGGAACAACTTTCGGAGCGTCGTCTTGTTGGTATCGGGATGGATATTCCGCAGGAAAACCAGACAATTTTGGGGATACCAGGCTGGTGCGGCCGACGCTGATGCCGATGCAGAAACTATTCGCGGTGGAATTTCTTTCCCAGGTTGGAGGGGTTCGTTAATTCGATGACTGCGTCAGATTTCGTCGTCTGGGAGTTCGTGGTTTGGAGCAAGCTGGCCCGATACACGAGATATTCAGCATTTAGCTCATCCCACCTCCTTTTCGATAGCGCCCGGAACCCGAACTTCACTGCTTCAGCAGCATTCGAACTCTCTTCAACTCGGGAAAGATCGCGCTGCCACGGCCAAGCTTTGACCAGTGCCTCCGCCTCATCGATCTCGGAAAATGTGATCAGCGCAAACGGCTTCGGAGTCGGCTCGGTGTCTTCATCGTCGGCATGATGTGGAGGGATGGACATGCCCTGGATCCGCGTGTATATAGACGGTCCGGGTGGCAGCAGTGCAGACACAAATCTCACTGCAGACGGGAACGTTCGATATGCGACCGGGATATTTTCCTGTCCCGGGGTCATTTCGGTGTATGGGGAGTATAGATTTTTGTTTTAAAAAACGCACGACATAGACTGTTCTCCCCTCCCAGTCGTCCCGAGTAAATACGCACGCATCATCGCCTTCCTCCCAAAACTTGGGTTTCACCTCGAAATTCCCACGGGCTTTCGAGTCAGCTAGATTCATCCGCACGTCGACGATATCCGTTCCCCGAGACCGAAGGGCTTTCACAACAGCCATTTCAGGCTCGTGCGCGTACTTGAGTATACACGGATGTGTGAAGAGAACGTTCAGTGGGAAAACTGTTCGGAGAGGGATGTCAGACGAAGTGGGAGGAGGCAGAAGTTGCAAACACTACTCACAGCCGTCGCGAGTACTCTGATGCACCAGCCGCCGCAGACCAGGGTCGCGGAAGAGCGCAAACTGCGAAACGGAAAGGCATAACATGATTTTATAGTCTTCCTCCGAATAGACCACTTTCGGTCTTTCATTGATTGCAGATGTAGCTGCAGACCCTTCGAGCCGCCCGTCTCGGTATTCTCTCGTGTTCGGGAGTAAGAATTCGGCCTTCGGTGCGGAGGATTGAGAGGCAGTCGGAGGGGGTGGCTTGGAGATTTTTGAGATATCTTGCGAGGTACAAATGAGAACGGCTCGTCCATCTTTCTGCGCAATTCGGGTGAGATGAGTGTCGGGAGTACGTGCCGAGCCCCTGGTCACTCGCATCACGGGAACGCGATTGGTTATCACGTGATCCGCTCACGGCGGACTGAGCCTCCGTAGTCGAGAACATTCCACTGTTCATTGTCAGCGCCAACCGCCAAACAACAGCGGCCTTGTTACGCATCGTGAACGGCGTCCGCGCTGAGCCAAGGGATCACACCGAATTCAATGGGCGTTGACAACTCTACGAGCATTCTCGCCCGCTCTAAGCCGGCTTCAAACGCGCGCGGACCGGTCGCATCAAAGGGACCGCAGTAGTTGTCAGGCTCCATGGAGCCTCTGTGTACGCTTCTCTGATTATCGCTGGGAACGTCTAGAAAAACTGTCTCGGTTATGTACGTGCAGAACTTTGACGCGTCATGGCCGAGCATAAAAACATGGCCTGTTTTCTCTCTCACACCTACCGGAGATGCTATCCTCCCCCTCACCGCTGTTACTGCTCCCCGTCGGAGGCTATGCGCTTCTGATGCTGGGATGGAGAGTCATGCGCGGCGTCTCTCAGCGCAAAGAAGTCAGCCTGCCGGAGCTCGACCTCTTCACGAAGACTCGTCCGCCCCAGGAGAAGATACCGGGCACTGCGCTCATCTGCGGTGGAAGGTGCGTCTATGTTGTCCAGCCGCTTCATCCTGGACGTGTGCTGACGTCCCCCAGCATCGCCGGTCTGCTCGCGGCTCGCGTCTGCCACGACCATTTCGAGCGCGTGATTGTCGTGGAGACAGAGGAGTGGCTGTTCTCCGACGAAGGGAAGGATATGAACACGGCCAAGCAGCGGAACCGCTTGGTCCAGTCGGTCTCATTACACGGTGAGCATTCCAAAGACTTGCCGGTTTGCTCAAGGGGCTCATGTCCAGATAGTCTGGCAAAGCTTCGTAGTCGACGCTTTCGAGCGCCTGTTCCCGAAGCTGGTGCCCGAGTGCGAGAAGTGTGATATCCCGTGTGTTTGCCTCTTCCTGATCCTCATCCACGAGCCGCTGACATTCGACAGCATCCGGCCTTTCAAGCCTCTGTACCGGATCGGCGGCGTCCCGCTTCTTCTTCCCCCAGCCGCCTTTTTCGGGGGGACACTGCCGCTGACCTTCGATACGAGCCGAGCGGGATTCGAGACCATGCTCAGGTGCGCACTTTGTCGTGTTTTCACTGAACTCGATGCGAGCAACATACTAGACGACTCGTCATGGACCATGACATGTACCCCAACATCGAATTTGTCAGCGGGACTGCCACAGATGTGATTCCGGACCCCTCAAACCCAACGCGGCTCAGCAAAGTCGTCGTTCGGATGGCTGCGGACGGGGCTTTGAAGGAATTCGAGGCGGCTTTGGTTGCCGGTAAGTGAAGGCGTCTGGAGGTTCTCTTGGTTTCTAACTAGCGCGTCCAGATTGCACTGGACCGACCCGCGCTGGACTCAAATGGCTCTCTAGAGCAGGCTATGGGATCCCGTCGTCGATCAAAGGGAAGCTGCCTCTGGATGAGTTGAAGATCGTGGTCGACCAGAAACTCCACTACTCATCGCTGACTTTCACCATCCCCGAAACGGTGTACTCGCAACTGCCCATCCCCGCTGAGTACCGGGAGCAGTCTCTGCCGTTCGTTTTCATGGAGGGCCAGACGCCGACGACGTTGGCGAAGGGAAACGCCATCTTCATCCTTCTGCGCGTGCACGAGCAATGTGAGTGTGCCCGAAACGTTCCCTACCCGTACTACCACGCCTCATTTCCACACAGTGATCTTGTTTACTGGCCATTACGGCGACCAGCGTGCGCAGGCGAAGACGCTGGCCGAAGCGAGGGAGTATGTACATGACCTGGAGGCTGTGCAGCCCATTCCCGGGTGGGTGTTCGAGACATTGGACCGGCTGGAATCCCTCGAGCTCGGACCGACCGCGTCTGTGTTCCGCGTGAATCCGACCAGTTACATCCGCTACCATCTCGCCGGCAATCTCCCGTCGAACTACGTCGCATTGGGCGATAGCGTGATGAATGGTGAGAGCGCTGTTTCCTTCCTTCCCATGGCGTATACTAAACCGGCGTAGTGAATCCTGTTTATGCGGAAGGAACGAGTAAAGCTACGCGCTGTGCTCTGGCCCTCCAAAAGACCCTTCTGCAAGTTCGCGGTCGGTCACTTCCGCCAGACTTCGGATCCACGTTCTTCCACGAAGAGCACGAAAAAACAGGCTGGACGTGGGAGGGAACGCGTCTGAACGGTGCGCGTTATCTCTCACTCGCCGCAGTCGCCATCTGACTTGCTTGGAGATTACGGTCATCCGCAAACACAGCCTCTTCCCGGCGAGAGCCTCTCGTCCGGTGCACCTGTGCGCTGGTACTTCCAGCGCTTCCTCCGCCTTGCTGCATCCGTGCGTCCAATGTCCTCATCTGTGAGACTGGGTGTGACTGATGAATATGCTCTAGGATAAGGATGCTGCCTGGGCTATCTACAACATCCAGACTGGACTGGGCTCGCCGATTGACGCGTTGCACCCACACATCGTGGCCAAGGTATTGTGGCGGGCTTTGGTCGGCGTATGAACGCTATGGTAGCTGGCAATTAGACACTTGAGCAGCCTTACAACCAGAACGGATTTCAATCTGGCTATTGCCAAATCCGGCGCACCCTGTATTCATCCTGCGCCTCTCGTATATAGAAGCCACGAAAATCGATTTCATTGCTGCGGTTTAGGTGAAGAGGCTCTACCGAATCCGGTGCCGGAGAAGCCATTGATATGGATTGATGCCACAGCTGAAGAGGGAAAGAACAGCAAAAGAGGCTGCGCTATTGCACATGATGATGATGGGACATCTGGCGTATATGGGAACACGTGCCGCCGTTAAATTTGTCTCCAGTCTCGGCGAGAGTCGCGAGACGGTTCCCCTCACAACCCTTCCGAGACCATTTCAACGCGACCCCGTGCTGCTACTCCCAGGTCACAGGGATGAGCTGAGGCTCACGCGATGCGAACACTGAACGCCGCAGACAGGAGCATTCCAGCGCTCAGTCCTCAACAAGCGGATCGATGCTCGTTCCGCGACAGCAGTCGATTCAATCTGTTGTCGTCGCCAGGACATAATGGTCCGTTGTGGCAAGAGACATGAGCGCATACTCGAGATCGAGAATGCACTTCCTGCCCCTAGCTATAGCCTAGCGCTCACCTCACTGCGTTCCCCACTTCCTTTCCTCGCTGCTCTGACCTCATGTAAGCATCTCGGCTCGAGACACATATAAGACTCTGACGCTGCGGGTTAGGGATATTCATACACACACTGGCATGCGCATTGGCTCGCCCCCACCACCGTCGTTCCGGGCCAAGATCGCCCAATTCGAATCGAAAGGCGGTGTCCCTATCCCCCGAGCAGGATCCTCCTTCGGGATCAGTGTGCCCGCGCCCAAACAGCCCGGCTCGTCATATACAGGTGGAATGATGTACGGCAACATCATGAAACCGGTGTGGTTCCCGTCTGCTCCCGCTTTCAAGGAGAGCAGGACGATCTTGGGGTGGACAAGGTGCCCCATGCACGGAAAGCAAGCACGACGCATGAACCTCCGGCGAGAACGGTGCGTAGGTGCATGCAATGACAATCCGGCGTAGTCAATGAACTCTGCAGACATCGCAACAACTTCCCTCGCCGCCTGATTCGCCGGCTACCTCAGACAGTCGACCAACGTCGCTACGATGCGTCACCCCGTTGATTATAGAGCCGGAGTGCGACGACATAGAACGTATCGATTCTCAACTAGATCCGAACTCGATTGTTGCCAAGTCCTCGACCAACGCCTCCGATGAACGCGAGCAAACACCGTCCATTCAAGAAGAGCTGAATCTTTGCGTGGAGTGGCTTGACGACAACTGCTGGCAGATGCTGCCATTACCCCCCACCCCCGACTACGGCCTCACACTTTTCACTCTTGACCGAGGACCCTCTCCCATTCTGGTATCGGAGTCACCCAAAGAGTTCGATTTCAGCGTGAGCGACCTCGCAGGCGACACGTCAATATCACAGGTGCCAGGAGACGACAGTCCAGATGTTCTTGCTGTCCTCGTGCACGGCCCTGAAGCCGGCACCTCGAACTCCACGGCAGACGCAGACGACCTTGGGCCGTCGTCACCGTCCCTTCCATCGTCTCCGACGACGCCCGGAAGCGAATTCGACTCCCATTCAGACGCCAGCGATGCGGAGATCCAGTACGCTGCGATAGCTCTGGCGGCCCCGCCGCCCTCGACAAGATTCTTCGAGCGGGGAACCCAGACGTTCTCGGCTGTCGTCCACGCGCGGATGCGCGATGAGCAACCGGCGAGCAATGGCCTTGAAGCCGAGAAGCATCTTCCGCCAGCCCCGAGCCCTCTGAGCCCCGGATTCCCGGCTGAGCTGCGGGCGCTCGTGCAGGAGTCCGCGGTGCTGGAGCGGAAGCTGCTTGCGGGCGAGCTGCCCACCGACGCGTCGAATCGGCTCAGCTGCCATGTTGTCGATATGACAGTGAGCTTGCCAGCTCATAGAACGGCTCTGACTCCCGAGATGGTTCGGAGAGTGACGCCCTGGGCGTATGCCGAGGTAGAAGAGGTGGTGAAGCTCAAGAGCAAGCATTTTTTCCGTATGCCTTCGATACTGCGGCGGCGAAAGGTCCAATTGTAATATGTATATCGTTTTTTGCTCGTTTGGTCGGTGATAGTGAAAAGCTCCAACCGATATTGGATCTTGGTTTGAAACCTGAAAGCGGATAGGCGCTGATGCGGTCGCCCGAGGCGGCTCCGAGCCTCCGAACACTTCCCACGACAGATGAAATGCGGTCGGACCCTTGGTATCATGCGATGTCAGAAAAGTGGCATGCTGCTGGGTCGCGAGGGTGCCGTAAGTAAGTTCAAACGAGTGGACAGCCACCATCATTTTATAGACCAATTTCAAACCCAGACATGTTCACGACAGAAGCTCTGCAAAGCCGCCCATCCGACGCCTCGGCGCATCCCGGTGTCCTCGTCCCAGCTACTATGCAGTCCGATGAGCTCGCCGCCATCCGCTTCGATTAGTGGTGCCCCGCTGTGCCCCCAATACGTCCAACAATCGTGCATGAGCGCCCCAATCTCACTGTTATCCATGACGTCCTGGCCGGGACACATCCCTCTGAAGCGCCCCTCGCTGATGAAGAGCGTGTCGTAGCCCGTCTTCGTGCCCGGAACGACGGACTCGAGGTCATCTGAGCCCGGGTGGCCAATGCAGAGCAACCGCGCACGGGACTTGGGTGCGGTGTGGGAGACGGGAACGAACGGGAACGAAGAGGTGGAGGAAGAAAGTGGGGAGGATTCATGTGGGGAGGGCTCCGCCGCGACTATGCGGAGCAAAGCCAGATCTAGACGCGCGTCCCAGACGATCCACTCCGCGCGCACGACGCGTCCGTCTGCGAAAATCATCATCCGGCCGGGGCTCGCGCCCTCCCGCAGCTCATCCGCATCCTCCGCAACGCAATGCGAACACGTCAGCACCAGGCCCGACTCGTCGATGCACACTGCCGTCCCTGCCTCTTCCTGCGCGAACACGAGCGTCGCTGCCAGTGCGCGTGCGTACGCCCGCAGCGATGCTGTCGAGGAGGGCGGATTCGGGCTGTAGGCGCGCAGCCATGACCGTTTCTTGTTCAGGACACGCAATTCGTATGCCGTGAGACCGGTCGTTTGACGCGTGAGATTCTGGAGGATCCCGATGTCATCCGAGCGCACTGCTCTCATTCGGATGTGGCTTTGGGCTACCGGGGTCTTTGACCAATTGCCTCTTAGACCCGGCACTTCTTTCTCTGACATTGTTTCGCGCAGAAAGGTGGATAGAGAGAGACAATCGTGTCGGCGCGTCAAGCCGTGATGAGATGACAATCGACATTAGACGCCCCCTATTTCCTATTCGGTACTTGCCGCACCTTCTCCCTCGACCGTCATGACCTCGCTCTCTATCGACTCGTACACGGTCTGGATACTCGTCGACGGTGAATCTTCCCCAGTCTATGAGCCACGCGTCCTCAACAGGACCTCTGCCACATGCTGGATATCCTCGCACGCGGGCAAGGTCAGTCACTGGCGCTTGTCGGGTGCCGCACGGGCGCTAAGTGTCCTCCAGAGCTTCTCGGTGAACTGGAGCAACGCTTATCGGGACCGGAGCATCCTTGCGGAATTGACGATCGACGGCGTGCTGTGCAGCACGCACTTCATGCTGGACGCCATGTCGTATCCGTCCGACCCCAGCGCGATCGGAGTGTCCTATGCCACCACGTCGGACTTCACGCAGAGGGATTTCGTGTTTGCACCAATCGAGGTCACTGGTGCGTGTGCTTGCTAGCTGCGGGCAGAACACCGGGCTGACTGAATGTGCGTCGCAGATGACGACGCGTATCTTCACACGTTAGACGCTCCACCCGCCTTTGGGGTTATCAAGCTTGAGCTCTGGGAAGCCGACATCCGGAATGTCAGACGGACTGAGTTTCGACACCAGTACGGCTCGACCGTCCTCGAGGGACAGACGATCCACGAGAGGTCCAAGAAAGCCGGCGCTCATCACGTCAAGTGTGTCAGCCGCCCACCTACCCTCCAAGTCCTTCACTCAGGCTGATTGCGTAGATTTGGTGGAGAGTACGTCGTTGCCCCGCGGCAGGTCAACATGATCGACGCCCAACGTAAAGGCTCGGAGGCTCTGGCGACGTTTACATTCAACTACCGGCCTCGTGGTCCGTCCTGCTTTTTCCGTCCGTTCGTGTGTGGACTCAATCCATCCACAGACATACTCATGGCTGGAGGTATCATCTCGTCACCCGTTCCCTCGCCGGTGAAAACCGAGCCAGTAGATTCGCAGATCCTTGGTCTAGAAGTGAGCCCGGGTGCAATGGTTTCTTCGTTCTCCTGCTGATACGTCTGCAAGGCACAGTTGAGAGCTCTGCGCGCGCAGAAATCTGCAGGTTCGGCGCCGAGGGTTTCGACTATGGCACATCCACGAACTGGGCAGTCGGTGCAGGTCATCGATCTGACTGATCTATAATAAGTACTGTCTGCGCGTCCCGATCAACAACTACCCTGGAGTCTTAACGCCTCATCTGTATTCACTCACAATTGCTTGTATCTTATCATGCATGTACTCCCTCGCATTCGATCTGCTGTCCTGCATTGGCTGTCCCATCCGCAGTCTGGGGGTTACAGCCCCATTGATGAAAGGATCTCTCTTCCAGACAACCAAGTGACCGTCAAGCAAAAGACCTGAGATTCATAGTCCAATGTTCCGGGATTGCAGTTTTTCGGTTCGATACACTCGTCTCGATGGACAAAATCCGTATTGCCAGAGACGTGAAGGCTTGATACTCGCACTAGAATTGTCAAGGAATTCGAGAGCTGCTCAAGCACGTTTGAGTCAGCCGACCAATCTCGCGTGTTCCGACATGAGCCGATGATTTGACCAGCGATCAAAGAGCTGTATTTGCGAAAGATGGCGGGAAATGCGTTTTAGGGACGAGCTGTTCTTACACTACGTACCATCAGGATTTGTTCCGTTGATTCACCGGTTGTACCAGTCGGGTTTGCAGCAGAGACATCCATCATCGGCTTTAACTTGCAGACTGATCTTCCGTTTCCTCCATAATGGCCGCATCAGCCTTTGCAAGACAAGGGCGAAAGGTCTGCGCTCTGTCTCGTCTTTTCCCGGTCCAAGTAACCCTGGTATAGATTGTCGCCATTGGCCGCAACTACGCCGAACACATCAAAGAGCTCAACAACACCGCTCCCAAGGAACCGTTCTTCTTCCTCAAGCCGACGACGAGCTACGTGCAGTCCGGTGGCAGGGTGGAGATCCCCACCGGGATCATGGCGCATCACGAGGGTGCGTAGGTCGGGCGGAACGCGACACGCGTGCGGCTGACCGGGCGCGCAGTCGAGTTGGGCGTCGTCATCGGGAAGGGCGGTCGGGACATCTCCCACCGGGACGCCGACGCGCATGTGGCTGGCTACGGTGCGTCACGCGCTCCGTGTCTCGTTCCGCTCATTCAGACGGCGAACAGCCCTCGCCGTCGACATGACAGCGCGGAACCTCCAGGACCAGGTGAAGAAGAAAGGACTGCCGTGGTCTGCGGCCAAGGGCTTCGATACTTTCACGCCCATAGGGTCGGTGGCGGTTCTGTTCCTCAGGACGCGTCTCAACGGCCGCACATAGATCCTTTATTCCCAAGGAGAAGATCCCCGACCCTAATAGCCTGGCCTTGACCCTCAAGATCAACGGCGCATTCAAGCAGAACGGGAAAACAGCGGACATGATCTTCAAAATCCCGCAGCTTATCGAACATATCTCCTCAATCATGACGCTTGAGGCGCGTTCTCAAAAAAGACGTGTGGGTTCCCGCTGACGCTTATTGACAGGAAGGAGATCTCGTACTGACCGGAACACCCTCCGGCGTCGGGAAGGTGTCTCCTGGAGACAAAGTCGAATGCACACTGGCGGACTCTGCCGGCGCAGAGCTTGCCACGCTCGACTTTGTGGCGGTCGCCAGACAGGGCGGATACGAATTCAAACCCGAATAGGAAGGACGAGTACATCTTACATGACATACTACGACATTCGTTTATCTCCCTGTGGACTATGTGGATCAAAGGGCTCCGAACCCGCGTCATCTGAACCGGAACCGCTGGCAAACGTCCAGCTGCCGGTCGGCGTCAGCTCGCCGTCTTGAATTGACGATGACCCGTGGAATTCTCCGAAGTCGCCGAAACTGTCGAAAGCCGTATCGTCCATCTCGTCAGCGAATGAGAACGCATCAGAACCAGAATCTGAAAAGGGCCCGAAGCCATCCTGTCGAAAACGTTTGAGCACTAGCTGTTGCAGATCGACGGACACGCACGTCATCTGCGAATGGATCTGAAGCACCGGGCTCGAAGGCGTCCTGTATAATTGTGAATGGCGGCAGAAAGAAAGGTGAATGTCCTTACATCGAAGCCAGAAGCACTCAAAGGCCTTCGTTCCGGGCGACCAGTCGCTGGTGGCTGGCCGAGGGAAAATTTGGACTGTGATAACCATCCTCCGTTGGAGTCATCCTCGTCGTCCGAATCGAATGAATCTGAGCTTTCGTAGAACTTTTCCAAGTCAACCGTTGGTTCCCAAAGGTGGTGGACAATCAACTCACTGCAGCTGACCGGACTTCGAAGCCGTCGTTTTCGTTAGCATCTGCAGGCCCGAAATCAGCGCTGCCCTCCCGCCTCGGACGTGACGAGCTGGCGCGTTTGAACTCGCCCTTGACATTTGCGTCGCTGTCGGATGTTGTTGCCGCTGTCGTCGTTCCTGTGACTGCGGTTCCAGTGGTGTCTTCCTCGTCAACTTTCCACCGACTGCTCCCTGCCATGGTGCTACGGATGACTGGTTTCCCGCCACCCAACGGCTCAGCATCGCGCTGCTTCGTTTCCTTGTAGCGTCCTTTGACGTACTCGTCCCAGTCCGGCTGAGGTACAAACGGTTCGATTGCCTCTCGCACATCCGTGGGGAAACGCTCCATCGCAGTCAAGACGTCCTCCGAAATTAGTGTGAGATGGCCCATATACCCTAATCGTACGGCCTTGGGCTTGTCCTGCGCTGCATCGTTCATTTTCTGACCCTCGATGATCCTTTGCATGAGTTTTGCATCGCGGAAGAGGGAAATAGCCAGTTCTCGACTCTGCCCTCCATTATCGACGGTCCCAGTTAGGATCTGGTGCGTCAGGTCATAAACCGCACTGTGTAGAAAGTTATTCCATGGGAACTCGAAAAAGAGGTCCTAGGAAAAGGTCAGAATGGAAAACGCTGGGCGACTGAGAGTTGCGCTACCAGTAATGTCGACAGGATATTCAGTTCGAAAAATCGACGCTTGAACAGCTCACCCGGAGGTAGCTCCAGCACAACGCTCTGTCTTGCTCGCTGAGACCTGATACTCGGCGAAGATGAAGGCGTGGGCAACACCGGAGACGCGCTGGGCGCGGATTCCTGTTGCAGCGGGGGCGAGCCGCTAGGTGGTAATGGCGCGTGTGGTTTTGAGATGGGAAAAGGAGTATCGTCCTCCATCAGATCTTCGTCCGAACTACCCGGCTCGTCGTCGCTCATGTCTTCATCGGAATCCGACAGCGATGACAGCCCACCGCTCACAGGCAGCTCGTGCGCAGGGGCAATGTCATCCCTCGATCGCATCGGCGTGTCCCGGTCCTCGCTGCCAGGATTGAGTGCGATGACCTGCGCGAGTTCTTCGAGAGCAGCCAGTCCGCCTTGAAGGCGACCTTCGCTGTCGTACAGGCGGCTGTGCTCGATCCCCCGATTGAGGAGCGCCATATTCGAGCAGTGCAGCATTTCGGCAAGCAGTTCGCATATCCGATAGCGCTCAAACGTGAGAGGAGCGATGTCTCCGACCGTCGTTTTGATGGTTCCGTTCTAGAGGGCAGTCAACGGACGTGCATCTGATAGATGTAAGGGTAACGCACGACTGAGCGTGGCGAACGCAGGTAGCCCTGTAACCCGTCCAGCTTCTCTGTGATCAACTCTAGCAGAGGACCCAAATGAACCACTCCAATCCGATCTACCATCTCTCCCAAAGCGCTTTCCAACTGCTCTCGTCCACCATCGCCGTCCTCTTCTAGCGCAGCGGGCCCCAGATGCTGCTGGACCTGGATGAGCCGATTTCGAAGCGTGTGAAATAGGTATGGCTCGAAGTAGTTGGAGTTGTTCTTCCGAATGAGTTCGATGACGATCGCAATGGAGTGCACGACCGAGGAGGTGCAGGATTCCGCATTTGGCAAGGTCTCCGTCTCAGCCTGGTCTGGCGGCGGCGTTTTGTAGTCCAGAAGTATGTAACCGGATAGCGTCTTGACGCTCTCCATCGATGCCAGCTGTCGCGCAAAGATGTTGGACGCGGGTCCGGCTGTCATTTCCCCCAATCCGGCACCGGGGGTGGGAGTGGCCATCGAGATGATGCCTTTGATGAGCTCCGCGACGACATTATGCACGTCCGGAGAATATGTCGGTGCGAGGAACACCAGGAGCCGAGCCATCAGGTTCTCTGACGACAGCCACTACGGTCTGTGAGTGCGACGAGGTGCGACGAGAGAGCGGCACACACCTCGAGCACACCCGCTCCTCCCGGCTGTTCGTCCAGCTGAATGATGCGCACAAGCAGGTCGATGAATGAGGGCGTTTCGATGTGTCGGAGAATGCGCTCCACAATGTCCGGTTGCGCGCGGATGAAAGCCAGCATCTGGTGTGGGGCTGAGGGAGAGATTGGTTGGTACAACGGACCAGACACACCTCCGCAGGTCTTTTTCCCAAGAACACAGCGTTGATTTTGGCGAAGTGCGACGCCATGACCATCTGCGTCTTCATGTCTTCAGGTGATCTGTCGAGGATGGCATCCCAGAATGGGACCAAGAGCTCGGTTTGCGAGTTGACACACGTCTCGACAATAGACCATATCTCGCTGCATAGCACTTCGGTAGAGACATAAGGGTACCTGCGCTGCGGTGAGTCCGGGGGTACGCATACAAGGAGGTCAGGCGACTGACTTGAATTGGCCGTGCTCTTCGTTCTCAATCTGCCCCGAAACATGCTTCAGCAATCTCTGCAACACATCCACCCGCTGGAAATAATCTATAAGGCGCGTGTTTTGGGCCTTGCATTCTTGCAGCAGATCGTCTTCGTCCAAAATAGCTTCTACGGAAACGTCTTCCTTATCCAGCAGGCTGTCGATAGCGGAGGCATTATGGAAGCCGAATCTATGGAATGCGCTTTAGTCCATGGGAGAGGAGGCAGGACCGGGTCGTGCCTCCAGAACATGCGATCTGTGTTGGAGAGGAAGATGAGGTGGTGGACCGTGGTCAGATCACAATCGGTGATCGTTGCCTATCAGCGCGCGCCCGATATGGTTGCTTGACATCCCCCGCACCACATCCCAGTCTTTGACGTTCTGTCTTTAAATTTTCTGACTAAGTTGCCTCCTATTGCCACGACACTTGTGCAAGACTCTCGTCCTCATGACCGTGACCTACCCGGCAGTTCCTCCTCTCAACGAAAGCTGGCCCCTTCCTCCGGCCAATGAAATCGGACTGCACCCTGACGGGGTTAGCGCATGGAATCTCCTACTATCTGCCGAAAGTGCGGCACTCCGACTTCCTAAGCCTGCGGCGAAGTATCAAGATAAATTAATTGCCGTTCGGGTGGTAGCATGGCTCATCAAGGACTTTTATGAACACAATATGACCGCCGGCTACAAGAGCCTGACTCGCCAAGTACTGTCGTGCAACAACGTGTCAATGGCACTGGGGCCGGCGGAGGACCTCGAGCAGCGTCACGAAAAAGTCTTCCAGCTCGGTATAGATCTACGCAATCAACTGTTTCGCGTGTGTGAGTAACGAGGCAATCTTTCCTTTGCAGTAAGCTGACTATTCAAGTTTGCTCGCGCACCGATCGTACTCCATCCCCATCCCCTCACGCCTCCCTCCCGTCCTACGAAAAGCACAGAGCTGATATCCTCAAGAGCATGGCAGAGGTCCCGCCCTGAGCAAGGAAGGACACATTCGCAGGCCAAGGTCGACGTAAGTCTGTCCCCCACTAGCTGCCGGTTTTGTCGACCTTGGATCGTAATAGGCCCTGCTGCGGGACGGCCATAAATGTGTAATGACACGTCTATATGACAAGGTTACCCTCATGAACGTTCCCGAATTGAACCAGAAGTCGGATCATGAGGGAGTGGGGAGCGTCGAGACTGAGGTCGCTCACTTGATCTCGGGCACCGCGCAATCTGTTAGTCCCTTTCCCACCAAATTCATCTGCTGAATCGTATGCCAGTATTCCGAATATTCTGCAAGCGCTTTGGCTCTGCTTGAAAGCTTTGGTCTACGCAGTTTAGTCGATAAGCTGCAGGGTAAATGCGTGAATACTTTGTTTCACACCATGACCTTGTCCATCGCCTTGCACAAGGACTATGATAAATTTCTCTTCTGGCTTGAAGCTATCCCTGGAACGGTGATATTTCTATCCTTTACTGAAATTTCTCGAAGAAATCTCATCCTCGTCGTGCAGGAGCATACCTACACTGTCGTTGCGCGCCATCCGCCAACTTTCTTCAAGCAGGTGCCCAAGCCATCTCGGGAGGTGGCATTTCGCGTAGATCCTGATGCGGCGCGAGACGCTGCCGCCAATGGCATCGAACTGCCTCTCCCTGATCCAGAGCTGATGAACATCCGTGCTTCATGCGCCCGTGCTGCTGTGATGTCCGGTGCCGCTGATCAATTTCGGCTGCTAACGGAGGATCGGGACGATGCGGGGACGCTGACGGATTCGGATTCTGCGATGCATCTTCTCGACTCCCTACTTTATGCTGTATCTGATCATTCTTATGTGCGCACATTAGCTCCTGGAGCATAATCTTGTCCCCTAGTTTCTTGCCAGTGAACTTTTTGTAAGATCGACACAGCAGATTCTGCTCTACTGCATGAGTGCAGGTGAGCTACATTAACCCTTGCCCACCCCAATTCAACCCAATTAACCTCGAGCCCCCCCCCTGCACTCCCATGATCAGATGCGTCTGGGATAGGGCGCGCCTAGGCGTTTGGATTGCTCTGTGCATATGTACTGGAACCGAATTTTGTTCTATCCGATATCCACTGGGTGAATCGAGAAGAAAAATCAAGCCAATTCTGTTGGATTGATCGTTAGAGTGATCCGTACACTATCTACTCGTGGCTGTGTAATCATCAGACACTGTTATACTCGTCCACCATGAAAGTCAACGCCAACACGGTTCTAGTCGGCAGCAAAGTAGTGCTCTTGCCTTACCTAACTGAGCATGTACCAGTAAGATCCTTCGCTCTTTCTTGAAAACCCTCCCGGATGAGATCGAAACACGAGAAATACCACACCTGGATGCAAGATGAAGAGCTTCGGGAGCTTACTGCAAGCGAGCCGCTTTCTTTAGAAGAGGAGTACGAGATGCAGCGTATGTACCCCCCCTTATTTTTTTGGGATTACCAACTCAGACTTGACTGCTAGGGAAGTGGCGAGAAGAAGAAGACAAATTGACGTTCATCGTCCTCGCAAAGACGCACGACGCCGCTGGATCCAGCACTCTGAGCTTAGGAGATCCAATAATCTCACAGCTGCCTATGATCGGAGACGTCAACATCTTTCTTCACGGCTCACCCTCGCTGACGAACGAGGAAGCGGGTGAAGATTTCTACGCCGAGGCTGAAGTCATGATCGCAGGTGAGTATCCAGACGATCCCCGTTGCATCTGCCCTCGCGGCTCACTCTGATACTAGAACGCGATTACCGGCGCAGAGGCTACGCACTGGAAGCGCTCCAGCTGCTGCTGGGTTACGCGACTGCATCGCGCGGCGGTTCAGGCTCGTTCATATGCCACGACCCCGCTTCAACCCGATCGGACCTCGAAGCGAGCTCCAGCCCGCTGCCCATCTCGCCCGCATCCCTCCTGGTTCGGATATCGGAATCCAACACGCCGAGCATTCGGCTGTTTGAAAAATTGGGGTTTCGTGTCACGAAGCGGGTGGCGGTTTTTGAAGAGGTGGAGATGCGCTGGAGACAGGATGAGAGTTGAGTCGATGTAAAGTGAATCAGGATCCAAAAATACCTCTTGCCGGTGTATTATCGCGGAGCGAGTAAAAGCGCAGATCTAATCTGAGCCCGCGATTTGATGAAAAGCGAGATAATTGCCTTAAAATATCCATATTAGACGTGCACCCCGGAATGGATCGAGAGAGGCCCCATAATGTACAGCAACGTTATTTTTATTCCTTTTTTGATATGGATGTACCTGTCAACTTCTTCCTCAATCCCTCTTAGCTCAGTTGGTAGAGCGCGTCACTAGTAATGACGAGGTCAGTCGTTCAAATCGGCTAGCGGGAACGTTTTCAATCTCTTCAAATCTTTTAGATTTTCTCTAAATACTTTTTAAGTATTTGAACTTGCATCCCGAGCTACTTTTCAATCCTCGCCGTTAATGGTGGACTGCCTTCGTACTGAGACAGCATGAATTACTAGGCTCAGGGACAGCCAGGCGCTGTCACCGTGTACAGAGTCCAGACCCTTCGGAAAGTGGTTTATGGCCGAGCACGTGATCCAGGGAACGTCGTCGGCATTCCGGCGTCCCACGATCGGACACGCCTCTGCTCGCACCAGATGCAAAATTTGCTGCGCGCGCCGCTGCGCCAGACATGCCGACACCACGGCCTCCACATCACCTCCCAGTCTAACCCGAAACTCAGTCTTGTTGGCTCTTCGCGCCTCAAGTCGACTAAGAGCGCCAAAAGTGCTGCAAAGACGCCTGTGCCCCCGAAGACGGCCACTACACCCCCTCCACGACCTGCTCCGAAGCCTACCGTCCACGCCGCTCCGACTCCTGGGTTCAAGCCTACTGTTGCGGCCTTGTCCACGCCTGCTCCCGCGGCGAAGGCTGAGACCGCCCTGTCAGACACCCTATCTTGGCCCGAGTACTTTGATTTGAGGAAAAAGCGGAGGAGATGGCAGACGGTGCGCATGAACTTCTCATCATACTGTCTAGGGTGTCTTCTTATCTTTTGTGTGCAGTATATCTCGTTCCCCGCCGCGGCTGGTGGTTTTTTCGGGGGCGCATTCTACTTTGGGTCGCTTGAGACCGACCCAACTGTGCCTATCATGGTACGAAGCTCGCTCCCCCTCCTCCCACCTCTTATTCACCGTCCCTGTGACAGGGAGTAGACCCGCTCATGTTCTACGGAGGATGCACCATTCTCTGCAGCGGTCCGTCCCATCATCCATGTCACCAGCTTACCTTCCCGCCCACTCACCCCACGTCGCAGGGTTCGGCTTCTTGATTGGGCCCACCATCGGCTCCGGCATCTGGCGCATGATATACCGCAACTCCGCCGCCAAAGTCGACGCCAAGGACCGCGACTTTTTTCAGCACATTGCGCGCAACCGCGTCGACGCGACGCTGCAGAGCGCGACCAGCCCGATACCGGACTACTACGGCGAGAAGGTGGGCTCCCTTCGGCAGTATAGACAGGTGCGTGTTTCCGCTGTCGATAGATCCGCGCGGGTACTAACTCACTGTTTGTTGCAGTGGCTGCGCGATCAGTCGAAGTTTCGCCGGAAAGCTATGCATGTCTCCGTAGATTAGGTTGTGCAATGCGTATCTGAATGGCGGGAGCTTGTTCTCTTTTATTTTTGCGCTTCGGGGGCGATTGGCTGCGGCGCGGAGAAACATGCATCGACCCATCTATCAGCCCGCAACTTGATCATCAACACGCAAGGATCCTCAGGGCTCTCGGTGGATTTGTGTTGAATGCGACGCAATCAGTGTGTTTGGCCTGAAAAGGCTGATCCGCATTCTGTCCGAAAGTCACCTAAGGCTGCTCGTGGGGGAGAGACGAGTACTCATGGTGCTTGATTGATTACTTCCCGTCCTGTTACCATGCTTCGTCGACAGGATGACTGTCCGTTCCAGGGTGTGTCTCTCGCGTCCTCTCCATTACAAGTGCGTATATGGGCAGTTGTGTGTCATGGATGCACAGGCGTAGGAGAGGCTGTTCTCCTCGAGCGCAGCCCGAAATGCTGCCATCGACTTTCAAAGAGGTGAGATCGGCGTGATAAGGTCATGTGATATGATCCCTTTTCGGTAGCCACCAGGAAGAGCTTGAGAAGACAAGTGAAGGTGTTCTCTCTCGATTGGAATGTAGCCAGCATATATTGGAGACCAGGCACCTGCGGGAAACTCACCCAGCCGACTGGGTCTCACCGCCGACATCATAATTTGTGGATCTCCGTGTAACTGAATCCTGATGGCGTTTTGAGGAGTTGGTTTCATCGGACTGACAGGATCAAGATGCGGCACTCAAAACTATTCAAAGGTTTGTCGGCTGCGAAGGTCTTCGTTCCTCTTCTCTCTTCTCCCTTTCGAGGCGCTTGTCTCTCCTTCCCCTCTTTTCGTTCGTTCGTTCCCCTTTGACGACCAGCCATGCACCACAATCCATCCCGTATGGTTCGCGAGCGCCGACAGAACACGTCCGCCGCTTCGCCGAGTGCCACAGCTATCGTCGATTCCGCCCCGCCCAGCAGCAGCACATCGGTGGTCAGCCTCACGGCTCCGACGTCTACGAGTGTGCTGGCGGCTATTGTAGCCATTTTGTTTGCCGTGGTGCTACTGGGTGCGTCCCCGTCACCCTTGGCCCGTGGGCGCGCTATCTCCGCGTACTGATCTAGGCGACTCCCAGGCATTGCGATCTGCATCTACCGGCGGCAACGAAAATCGAGGAAGAGTGCCGAGGGCGGTCCCCAGCCTCATGTGATCAGCTTTGAGGAGAAGAAGAAGGAGGCGTCGTTCGACGAGGACAAAAAACACGACCTGCGCATCTCTGCGTATGGGATTGAGAAGCCCAGCCGCGCCTTCATTCCGGACTCCGCGAACACAGGCGCGGGCTGGGTGCCCCAGATCCCGTCCGCCGATGCGACGCACAACAGTGCGAAGAAGTCGAAGAGTAAGAAGACGCTGCGGCCTTGGGACAAGACGCTTTCGGGCTTCGCACCCAGCGAGCGCTCGCCGCCGCCCTCGTACCCGTCAGCCAACGCCTCTCCGACGTTCCTTTCCACGCAGATCCCGCTGCCTCCTTCCCCGCCCCATCAATCTGCGATGCCCCCGACACCGCCGACACCGCCGGCGAAGAAGAGCAAGATGAATCCCTTCGGGCGCGAGATCCCGCCTGCGAAACCGGAGCCGTCCGATCTCGCGCCGCTGCCGCTCCCGTCTCCGGCCCGCACAGCCTCCTTCGCGCACATGCAGACGATGCAGATGCCCCCGGAGGACGAGGCGGCGATCCCGCCGTCGCCGCTCCCGGTGCGCCTCATGAACGTGGTCAGCGCGTTCGCGCCGACGATGGAGGACGAGCTCGCGCTCCGCGTCGGCGAGACGGTGCGCGTGCTGGAGGAGTTCCAGGACGGGTGGGGCCTCGTGCAGCGCGTCGGGAGGAACGCGAGCGAGGCGCCGAAGGGCGTCGTGCCCATGACCTGTCTCGTTGAGCGGGTGGCCACCGTCGTCGGACGGAGGCTTTGAATGACTTGCTACTGCTTATGACCGACTGTCGCGTCCCCGCCGCCACGACCACGACCACCCACCGTGCAGGGCCGACACACCACATTCGTTTGCCCACACCGCGCGTTGTCGCGCTTTGATATTTATCTGCTTGCTGCCGCCCCGTTATTTATACATATCGGAGGCGCGCCGCACCGCTTCCTCCGATATCTCGTTCTCGTTCTCGTTCTCGTTCTCACTGTTGCCTTTGCCCTTGCCTTTGCTCTTATCCTCGGTTCCTCTTATAACTTAGTCGTACTCGCTCGACACCCCCCTGCTCTTTCGTGCACCTGGGCTGCACGCTGTTTCCGCCTGCGAGCCAGGCCGGCACCGACTGTCGCCCGACTACCAGTTATTCGACCCACAGCGCGGCGTTGCCGATACGGCGGACGAGTCCCTTGGAGGACACACGTAATCTACCTACCTCGCAGACCAAATAGCTACATCCCTTACTTTATTTCTGACTTATCAACTTGCATTTTTGGTCTTCGCTTGGGTGGGGGGGGTTCTGCCGCTCAAAGCGACGAACTCTAGCAGTGCAGCACAGTTTCATGGGTCAACACTGGATCGAATTGACTTGAGGTGACTGATGGCTGGGACACAGGACAGATTGTGAAGGGTCACAAGTGGGCGATCTGATATCGCATCAGACCTCGGATACTGACAATTTCCTTATTCGACGCTTGTAGTTTAGTTTAGTTTAGTTTACTCCGCGCCTACGATGTACTCTGGATTTATCTCCAATTCATCCAAAGTATCTCGTTTACCATACAAACCATGTACTATAATCATCCAGAGAAGAAAATGGGTTCTACCGACTTAACAACTCTTACTCCCCAAGGCTTTCGGCGGGAGTCTCAATCTCAAACTTTTGTTGGCTTTGACTTTGAGCTGAGAAATTACAAAGCTTTACAACAGACAGATCAAGTTGGATTGAATTATATCCGATGATGACAAACTTAGTCTACAAACCGCACCCGGGTTCTCACATCCTCAAATCCAACCCTCCGGCGTTTCCCCTCATCCTCTTCCCCGGGCGGAGACGCAACCCTGACGCGCTTCTTTGGGGGCGATTCTTGGGCGAACGCGACCTTGCGCGGACTCGCACTCGCCTCTTCCACGCTCGTTCGCGTCGTTCGCGAGAGCGCTGGGGCCTCGGGCGGCGGGATCCGGACAAGCGGGTGATCGAACGCGACCAGTTCCGTCGGTCGGTGCGTCAGAAATTTAGGGTTCTTGCGCGTCAGATCAGCACAGCAGGAAAGAAACAGCAGTCGCGCAGTATGGTAGTAGATGTCTCACCGCGATGAACGTCCGCATCCCAACCTCGTCGATGAGGCGCGGCGTTTTGCCCTTGCCGGCCTTCAACTCCGCGCGCCGACGCGCCATCTCTTCCTCGGACGTCCCCCGGATAGCCAGAGTCTTCACTGTGCGGATGGATCGGTCGATCAGCGAGCCTGAAGAGAGGAACCGCACTCACCCGTGATGGGCCGCGTCTGGCCGATGCGGTGGCACCGCTTGATCGCCTGGCTCTCGACGTCCGCCTGCCACACCGGCTCGCAGAAGATCACGCGCGACGCGCTGGTCAGATTCAGGCCCCGCGCGCCGTGCTTGAGCTCCATCAGGAAGACGCGGTACTTGCCCATCGTCTCGAACCCGCGCACGAACTGCTCCCGCACGCGCGCCGAGACCGCGGTCGTGAAGCGCAGGAACTCGATCCCGACGAGCTCGAGCGCATCCGCGATGTGGGCGAGCGAGAGCACGGACTCGGAGAAGATGAGGATCTTCTCGCGCGGCGAGTGCTCGAGAACCTGCGGGTTCAAGTCAGTTGCCTAGTCGACAGACCAACCGAGCGCACTTCGTTGATGATATAGTTCAGTTTGCTCGACCCAGTAGACCCCAGGCGTGTATGCGCAATCAACGATTGAGCCACAAGCGCCGACGCGTACTGCGGCTCGTTCGCAGCGTCCACCAGTTGCGCGTCGTCGAGACTTTCAATCGCAGCCTCGATTTCCAACCCCTTCTGCACCGCCCTCGGATCCGCCGCAGCCACAGACGGTCCTGCGCCTTTCTCGCCCTTCTTCCGCTTCTTCGTCCCGCGCTGCATCTCGCGCTCGAGGGCCTTGCGCCGCCTGGCATCGTCGCCCGCCCGCTCGACCAGCGCGTCCGCGGAGGTCAGCGGCCGCTCGAGCACGAGCGCGCGCAGCCCCTGGATGCGGTCGGAGTGCATGAAGCCCTCTGCGCTCGGGGTGCGTGTCCAGGCGGCGAACAACGCTGGGTCGAGGCCGTGCACGCGGAACGGCACGTTCGGGTCTTGTTGGATCGCACGCCACAGCGTGTCGGACCATGCGTGAGAGCTGGGGGAAATCGGGTCAAATATCATCAACTCGGCGAACATATCACTCAACAGAGAATCGACCGCGTCCCTCAGCAGCTTTGCGTCGTCCGGCCGCTCAGCCAACTTGTCTTGGAACTTGGATACATAATCCTGCTGCATGATCTCCGCGGCGTTGTACAAATTCTCATCCACGGACCAAAACATGACTCTAGAATTGATAATGAGGTCTTTATTCCTTGAAGAAATAAAACGCTGGCTCACTGCGAAAAATTTTGGATGACCTCCTGCAGATGTTTGGTGTTCTGTGCCAAATGAGTACACGATTGATAGACCAACACCGAGCAGACCGACCTTCTGATGAAAAAAGTAATCCTGACCGGAGTATTTCAGTACCTAAACGAAATGGAAGAATTCGAACATACCAAGCCCTCGCGCTCAGACGTCACCGCATTGATCGCGACCACGGCTTGCAACGCATTGTAGGATTTGACCTGCACCGGCTCGAGATCAAGCAGCACCAAATCCTGCGACACCGGCGGCAGCCTGATCTCCTCCTCCACATCCGATATCCTACGTTCCTCTCGTTAAGAACACCCAGCACAGCACGCGCGCCCCGAAATCCGCAACGCACCGGTGCCGGATCATCACCGCCGCCATCAGCTGCATCAGCACATCAGTGGCGCCGGCCCGCGGGGGCCGCCGCGTCTCGCCACGCTTTCCCGGCACCTTGCAGCGGTTGAACAGCGCGTCCCTGACGTGCGTGCCCATCAACCGCGGGTTCGCGCGGAGCTGTGGCAGGCCCACGAAGTGCGCGATCATGTTGCCCAGTTTCTTGAGATCCTGGGCGTCTTGGTCCGTCCACACTCTCCCCACTGCATCCTCGACGCCCTCCTCCAGAGGATCGGGCTCCGGATCCGCGTCAGCCGAGGACCTGCCCAGGCTGAGGCCCAAAAGATTCGTCGTCGGCGTCCCGGTCACGATCCACCGCCGCTCGACACTCAGCGTGCTTGTGAAGGGGGTGAGGACAGTGTCCAATGTCGCGGACACGTGCCCTTCGTCGATGACGAGCCGCTTCCACCGGATTTGCGACAGGGGCGAGACGCCGGCGGGTGGTGAGCATGTGCATTTTGGGATGCGCACGTTGTCGTATTCGGGGCATTGGCAGAGGGGGGCGACGGTGTGTTCGCGCGTCGGGCCGCCGATCTTGTCCTCCAGTGTGAATCCTGCGCGATTTGAGCTGCGTTGGAACATAGAAAAATCTCACGGACGAGGATATGTCATGAGGATAATCTAGCAGATATCAGAAGCCATAAATTGAGCCCTGGAACATAAAGATAGACACGAACATCGTATTCGCTCGCCAGCACTCGGGCGGGCGGCATCGCATCCCCGTTCTTCAGTACGCACAGCCGGAGCGAGTCATCACAATGCACGGAACATTCTCTCTTCCACTGGAGCAGCAAATTGGGCGGAACTGCAGCCCGAGTCAACTGCCATCCTGCCTGATTGCCAACACTCACCAATGATCAAAGTCGCCGAGGTCAGATACAATACCCGAGGGCGCTTTGGCGAATTAGCCACCGCCCGTTTCTGACCTTCCCGCTCCTCGTCAATCGGCTCCGATGACGGAGACTCGAGATAAAAGGGCAGATTATCTCGCCTGGGACCCGTGTAGTGCTCCAAACTATCGACTGCCTCCCGGAGCGCATCATGGCGAGCGCGGCGGCGCGGTGGGACAAAGTCGACCGGCCGCGTAGCCAAGCTGTGCAGCAGCAATTCCACGAGACTCGGCACGCCGTGATCCATCGCCGGTTGCTCGTCTAGTCTGTCACGTGCCTCCGCGAAGGGGCCCGAGGGAAAGTGGCGCAGCGCGAGCGGGGTCAGGACGGGCCGAGTGTCCATGATTGCAGGCTCGGGCGAGGATATCTGGTTCCGCGTGCACGAGATCAAGGCGAGGATCATGACCGTCTTGCCCGTGCCTGCCGGCGATCAAGTCAGGTGCATACACGGGGTGGGTGGGTGCGGGTGCGACGGACCTAATTCCTCGCAGAGGATGCCTCCGCGGCAGGGCGCCTCCATCGAGCGCTCCCTGAGGACCTCCATCGTCCCCGGCTGGTACCAGAACTCCTGCCCGTCCGTCCCCGTGACCGGGACGAACAGCGGATTCGGCACGTTCCGCGGATCCGTCTCGCGCTGGACCATCGCGGCGACGGAGCGGCGCTGGTAGAGATGCAGCCTGGAGCGGATGCCGATGTCGCTCTCGAGCGCATCGGAGAAGTCCAGCAGGCGCCGCGTGGCCGGCGTCGATGCGGCGCTGAGCGTCGCGGCGGGCGAGGGCAGCTGCTCGTAGAGCTCGGAGAGCGTCCTTCCCTTGGAGAGAAATCGACATCAAATCCAGCGGAGTTTTATTCGAGGATGTCACGCACCGGCTCGCAGGGCTGCGGCACATGCGGGCCCCGGCCAAGCCAACATCGAGGATCGCGCGACAGCGCCGGGAGCAGCCCGTCCAAGAATCGCCGGGATTTCCCCAGATCGGACTGTCTCCGGGCGCGCAGAGCACCGGCGGCGCCGGCCAGATCGTACGGTACGAGGTACACGCGGATGTACATCAAGTCGGGCGACGGGGACAGGCACGCCGCATGCGCGAAGCGGTGGAGGATCAGAAACTGCAGTGAACGCTTGAGCGGCTCGTCGGGCGAGTCCGCGAGGTGGGTATAGACGCTGTCTGGAGCGAGGACACGCCAATCTTCCTCGTCGTGTTCGCGCTCCTGGTTTTGCAAATTTGATGCGGAGACGGACGGATTTGCGAGCGGGAGCACCAGGGTTCCAAACGCCAGGTAATGGCTTGGATGCCATGGGTCGCTTTGCATCGCTTACCCGATAGATACCGTGAGCCGAGCAAGGGCTCAGATTACTCGAAACTGGTGGCAGCAGGATATGAGCAGAAGTGGCTGTGCATCAGGTGCCACCAGATCACATGTTAGATTAGCCAGTATCTCGCGGTGCGAGGGCTCGTTGGCAAACGGCGGATGGCAATCATACAACACGGTCTGTCCCACGTTTCTGCTCTTTTTCACCACCAAATTGAATGAAATTGGCGGTATCGGAGACCTTCGGAACTGGGAACGGAACGAATCGTGATTGCAGTAGCTGATCGAGTCACGAGACCGCGCTCCAGTGGCTGTTCGTGTCGCGACTCCCTTTCACGACAGTGAGAAACTCTTGTACCTCGAATCAAACGAAGTCATATATGCTGGCGCGGTAAAAAGACAACGACGGAGGATGATAAGGACGAAGCGACGCAGGCTGGAGAGAAAGAGCTAGATGATCTGAATCGCCGAGGACGCACGCTCCCCATATCTCGGTGAGTCTTCCATCGTCGCTCTTCGCGATGCCAGTACAGAATTCACGGATTTTACAGGCTGCGGTCCCTGAATCGACGGTGTGCTCTGTCGCATCTATATACAGTGCTCGCGACCGAGCGCACGTGCAGACGATTTGGCAGATATTCTGCTACGGCCATCTCGCTGCCTGGCTGAGTGCCTCGGCGAGTCCGAACATAGCGAATAAACAGGTGTGCCGCTGTGGCATGGTCCTTGAGTGCGATTCCACTTGGATTTGGATGTTTTATACTGCGAATTTCCATAGACTCTTAGGCGGACTGGCATGTATCGAATCGTCGTGCCTCTGATCGACGTCGTCTGAGCGATACACATCGGTGGGCAGTCTACTACTATGCGATTCACAAACACTCTACGCGGTCCACTGTGAAATAACAGGCCGGCCACCGATAGCGGTCCCTGGTTTTGCGAACCTTCGATGCCACGAGACCTGGGTGAGGAAAGTCAGCGCACAATCGCGAGTGTCACGCTGAGTGAGCCATATTCCCGGACGACAGAGGGCACACCCCATTGCCGCTTGCTGTTTCATCACGATTCCCAGTGATCGAATGGGCGGGTGACGGCGGACCCACAACACCCGTATGCGGTGCTCGCGCCTGTGTGCGAAGAGAGACTATGGACGGACGTTGGCCACCGTCCATCCACTGGGGGCGCCCATGTGCTCGGCCTTGAGCCGTTTGCGCTGGTGCCAGAAGGAGAAATCGTGCCGTATCCGAGGCTCAGAGCCATGCGAGTCCGTGTGCGCCGTCGCCAGTGGCCAGTGGCCGTGAGCCGTCTTACATCGAGCGGTGGTGATCCTCATATGCATGTACGAGTACGTCGCCAGTAAGCCAGTCTCTCTCAGATGTCGATCCTCATTGATCGTGTCCAAGCAGGAACAGACACGCCGGTGGCCAGCTGCAGCACCCCTCTCTAACGTGCATCCCCGGTGTGCGACCGATCGACGATCAACATAGCCGAGGCGCAGCGGTCACGACCGTGGCGCTCGCAGCGTGCACACACGGACCGTCTTCGCCCCCGGCGTCTCTCGCTTGCGCCTACGCCGTCCGTCCCCCGGACTAGTACTCGAGGAAAGAAGGAATATGACCCACCGAGATGGATGGCTGTGGCTTGTGGCAAGGAGAGAGAGGGAAGGAGACCCGGCTTCTGGTAGATCGAGGTAGAGGGAGAGAAGAAGAGGCGATGGCGGTGAGGCTCTCTGGCCGTGTGGTTTTTATAGCAAGTGCTGTGTTTTGTGGATACACAGAAGCCAAGCCCAAATTGGGTCTGCCGTATGTTGGCCGCGCAGTATGGCACGTAGATCATGATATCGCAGAACGCGGCGGACACAGGTGCGGCCCGGTTGTGGGTGTCGTCAACCAACAGCAAACGGCCGCTGCTTCACTTCAGGTGCCCGAGTAAGCGGAACCAGATGATCAGTGAGTGCATCGCGGCTTGCGTCGGCACGAAGCAGGCGGCATGGAATCGGTAGGTGACGAGACGATTCCACATCGGAGTGTGCTCAGCTGGAAATTTCAAATCGATGGAAAGAGACGTGTCGTTCGTGCAAGGACTTCATCCGAGAAGAATTTCATTGCTCAGCCGCATGTCAGTCGCACCGAGTCGCTAGCAACGATGGGTCAAGCACTGGTAGTGGTGCAAGCCAACAAAATGTGAATGCGGGCAGCTGGGTCCGATGACAAACAAGGCAATACCATGACTAGCCTTTCAATCCACTGGCAAGCCCATGCCTTGATTCACACTCAGCGAGCATGGATTTGGACTTACGGCGCTTGTAACATCCCTCGCAACCAGTCTCTTCTCTCCGAACACGCAATCCCCTCACGTGGCAGGAGAGCGCTTAGCTAGGAACTCGGAACGTTTGAAGGCGTACGGATTGCTACCCGAGTATATACAAAGGACTCCGTCCGACTGTAGGACGGACGTGTCAGACATTCGACGTTCTCCGAAGTGCTTGCTTCACCTCCCTCAAGAAAACGCGTGTCTTTGGATGATACAATTGCTGTGGCCCTATTGGTCGGGTTCGCACAAGGCCTACTATTACACTTTTACACTTCTACTCGATCTTCACTTTGTGCGCAGTCGCCTTCTCGCACTCCTCGCCAAACACATCGATGTCCCACTTGGGTGTGTAGCGGGCGGGGATGTTGTACCGCCGTGGGCTCTGTCCCAGCGCGTTGACCTTGGCATAGTCCGCGTCGCTGAGCGCGACCTGGTTGAAGTTGGCGACGATCCGGGATTCCGTGACGCTCTTGGGGATCACGGAGTAGCCCCGCTTGATGCCCCAGGCGAGCAGGACCTGGGCTGGAGAAGCGCCGATCGAGTTGGCGACTTCGACGACGACCGGGTTTTCTGTGAGCAGCGGGTCCCCGACAGCTGTGAGGTCGCGGAGTTAGTTAGGGTTGTGGGACGGTTTTGAAGGGCTTACAGTTGTTGCCGAGAGAACTGTAGGCGGTGATGTGGATGTTCTTCGACGCGCAGTATGCCGCGAGCTCATCTTGGGGCAGCAGCGGGTGAGCCTCGATCTGGTTCGCAGCGGGGACGACGCCAGTGGCTTTGATGATGCCCTCGAGGTGTGCAATGGTGAAGTTGGAGACACCGACGTTGCGGACCTGGCTCATATGAGATGCGACGGGGAGAGAGTGATTCGTCCACGCACCTTCGACTTGGGGAGCGCGAGCATGGCCTTCCATGTGTCGACGAGCGAGGTCTCGAGATCGAGCGCCACTTCGCCCTGACCGGCCGGATCGAGAGGGAAGAGGTTAGCGCCAGGTTGGAAAGCGACGGGCCAGTGGATCACTGCGGAGCGATCAATAGGCTATAACGGAAGTAGCAGATCATCCCGCACGATAGAGATCCAGGTAATCGAGTCCGAGTTGCTTCAAAGTCTCGTCCAGCTCCTTCTCGACAAGATCCGGCCGATGTGAGGTGTTCCAGCACTTGGAGGTGATGAAGATGTCCTCGCGCTTTGCGACGGCGGGGAACAGCTTTTTGAACGCCTCGCCGATCTCGGGCTGGTTGGCGTATACCATCGCGAGATCGAGGTGCTTGTAGCCATTCTTCACGGCGATCTCGACCTGATTACCGAATCGTGAGCTGGGCGTGATGATCGATGTGTTCGTGCTGCTTACTGAGTTCCCGACCTGCCCAGGCCCAGCCTGCCATGTACCGAATCCGATTTGAGGGATGGGGGCGCCGGTGGAGAGGGAGACACTTTTTCCAAAAGACATGATGGTTGATATGGAGAAGTTCTGCAACTCAGAGAGCTCTTATAAGAGAATTGTGTTTGGAGTTGGGATAATAGAGGCTCCGGACTGACGTCACGCGGTGAACGCGGTAATCGAAGAAGATCGAGAATTTGGAGACTGGCTAATCGACAGGGTTATGAAAAAGCCGGTAGCACCTTTGAGAGAACTTTCACACGACCGTGATGCGCCTGATATGAACTCTGCTTTCGAGGGCGCATCAATACATTCCCAAAATTAGATTAGATTGATAATCAGATAAGATTTTGGATACCCACGTGATCGTGTGCTATGTTGTGAGGGTCGGCTAAACCTGTCTACACCAAAGTGGACCCCAATATTCTGGGCACCGTCGAGACAAGATCAATCTGGAAGACAACTCTTGACGACCCTTCATTCTCCATACGCTCGATCCCACCAGGACTGGATCCTGGCCGAACAAGGACAGGACGAAGTGGCCTTTTGGAAACCCCAAGTCGGTTTACAGGGCGACATTTGCAGAGACTTGAACGGGCTGAGATTGTGCGGACTGACAAAGTGATAGAGCTATGAGTCCAACAGAAGTTGCCTGGAGAGTCAAAAGTGAGTTGCTCTAAACCTTATTGCCATCTGTCCATCTCCACATATGTCCTTCCACTGTTCCGCACGTCACTCCGTTTCCCATTGCGCAAGTCCATTCTTACGCGCGCTACAGCTCGTCCGTGCCCTTTTTATCAGCAAGGCAGATGCGTGTTCGAAGAATCGTGCAATTTTGTCCACGACATCTCCGTCCGCCCTCGTCCCATTCCTGATCAATACACCGCTCCTGTGTCGCCTTCACCGTCACCGCACCGTCTGCCTGAACTTTTGGATGCGCTGAGCGATGTCCTCGACCCAGACCCATTCACGGAGAGCCTGCATTCGGTGTCGCTCGTTCAGGAACACGGCGTGTCGCCGCATATAGCGGGCGAAGGGTGGACGCTGGTGAACAACAGCACCCACGACGACTCCGCGAACGATCTCCTCTCGCCAATGTCTCTTCCCGACCTCAAGCTGTCGCGCTTCTCGACGATGGGCGTTCCGGTGACCAAGAACAACTCCGACTCGTTTGACTCGGGCTACGGATCTTCCTCGTCGTCGCCGCCCCCAGTGCCTTCGTCGACATTGAACCTGATCGCATCTCCGTTCGGCTCGCCATCGGAACGCATGGGGATGGGTCTGGTCGGTGTGGGTGTGGGTGTTGGTGTTGGTGTTGGCATGGGCGCGAGCCGGTTGTTCTCGATGCCATTCAGCTCGCCTGGTGGGAAATGGCGGGAGGAAAGCCCGGACTTGGACTCACCATCGAAGCTCCGACGGTCGGTTGGGATGGTTGGAGAGGAGAAGAATGCTACTCCGATGGAGGATTCCCGACGCTTGTCCACCCCCTCACCGTCCTCCCCGTTAGACCTGACGGAAACTTCCGCGGACCAGTCTTTCTCTGAATCCCCCGATGAAGAGACTACTCAGAACGTGGACTACGTAGTCGCATCGCCGGAAGTCACACGCGTACAGGAGAACGACACCATCCATGGGCTTTATGATGTATATCTGCACTCGCCCCCGCAAGAGGCGGTTGTCCCCGAGACAGCATCAATAGACGAAGAGCGCGGGCGTATCCGGCCACGTGTATTTACACCTCCCCCCGCTGCTAGCAAGTTCGATCCCCCGGATTCGTCGACGCCGTCGAGTGGCGATCGGCCCAAATCTCCGGCGTCAGTGTTCACATCTCCTGAACCGATCCCCTCCCGGCCCGTATCGAGAGCGTCGACCATATCGAGAGCGTCGACCAGAGCGTCGACCAGCAGGCTGCCGGCTCAAATTCCGTTTCACATCACACCAGAACCGACCGGAGGAAAGGTTCCTTTCGGGTTCAACAGCAAGCGGAACTCCAGGAGGATGGGTCCCGTACCAGCATCTGCCTCTGCTGTGCAGGAATCATTTGGATCTCCGGTGCGTTTAAGGCTTCCTCGAATGATATCGGCTGATGCTCCTTTCAGCGCAGGAGAAGGATATCGAGGAGCGTTACTCCTGCTTCAGCATCTGTTCTGCGCTCTACGTTCTTTGAAGCAGAACAGGACGCTCCAATTCCTGCAAAAGGACTGAAGCAACTGCGCTTGGTGGGTTTTCGCCATATGAGACGAATGCAGAGACTCATTCGCGCCAGTCGACCATCTTCACACAACCTATCAATTTCAATTTACCACCACCGGAACCGATACCCACTGAATCACCACGGATATTTTTACCCGAAGCCGAACCTGACAAGGAAAACGACGAGGACCACGACGACATCGACAATGACGACGAAGACCATGACCAAGACGACACTCACGAACAAGACGAAACTGACTTCACGATCCGCAGGCGAATCGTCCCGCCACCTATCCAGATTCCCTCACCGCTGGTGCGAGCTAATTCGGCCATCGGCTTCACGCAACATCCCGCGACACCTCGTCCCACGCTTTTGTTCGCCATCGGGTCGGACGATCCTGACGCCGTGCGCAAGGTGCTCGAATCCGGGGAAGCCAACGCAAGCGATGCGGCTGGGCCGAATGGGGAGAGCGCTCTGGAGTTCACATTAGCGAATCCACAGCTGAAGCGGAAGAACGAGATCGCCAAGGTCTTGTTGGCGTTTGGCGCTGGCGGCAAGGAGAACGCGATGGGAGATGATGTCGATCCAGCGATCAGGTACGTGGATGGACACTTACTGGACTGAATACAAACGCTTATGGGAGATAGGTACTACGTCAAACGAGCGGCAGAAGAGCATACTAAAAAGTCTGGCGCACTGATCCACCGCTCATTCTTCCGTCCACTGACAGGGATCCGCTACGAGCTGATTGGCCAAGACCGGGCGTTGGAGCAGCTGTTCCGGGTTCTGAGCATCCACTCGCAGCAGCTGTCGGTCGTCCCTGTGGTGGTTCTGCTGTGCGGGCCAAGTGGTCACGGCAAGAGCCATCTCGCGAGAAAGTTCGGGGCATTGCTCGATGTGCCGACGCATACGGTCAACATGACAACCCTGAGGACGGGGCATGACTTGTGGGGGGCATATTCGATGAATCCCTTCGAGGCAAGTTGTTGGTCGTCTCAGAATCCTTATCCTGCTTCTCATACAGCGACACAGGAGCCTAGCACATCTACTCTCGCCGAATTCCTGATCAACAACGAGGGGAAGAGATGCGTTGTGGTCCTCGATGTGAGTCCCTCCTGCGACTGGACGCAGGTCGCCACTGACTGTCTCAAAATAGGAGATTGAGAAAGTGGAAGAGAAAACACTTTGGACTCTGCTGATGCCATGGGAGTCTGGTCCGTTTCCGTCATGTTCTCTGCGGCCTTTCCGCTGACCGATCCAACAGGCCGCTGCTCATTTGACGCCAACAGCCGGCACATCGATGTTCGAAATGTCATCTGGCTCGGGACGTCCAATCTCGGGGCCGACCTCGTCTTTGAGCATCATCAGACACGGGCTAACCCCACCGAGCTGGTGTCGCGGCCTGAGTATGTCCAGCTCATGAACCTCGTCAGAGACCCTGTCTCGAAACACATGGGGGTGCGTGTGCAACTAGAAAGCCTTGCATCCTTACTTACACGGCCTTGTCCAGGCCTCGCTGCTGTCGCGTGTTTCGACTGTTCTGCCGTTCGTCCCGTTTACGAAGGAGGAACAGGAGGCTCTATGCGCAGAGGCCTTCCACACACTCGGCGCAGGCTTGCTGGGAGACGACGTGCAGCTGGACACGCTCATTCGCGGCGCAATGGAAAGTTACGTTCCGGAAGAAGGGGCCAGGTCGCTGAGTAGGGGAGTAGGCAACTTGTTAGTCGATCTATGAATGCATGCTGAAAACCCGGAGTGGGAGAACTTGGAAGTTGACTCCAGAAAACAATGTCCAAAAGGAAATCACATTTCTGACGAAAAATTCCCGCTAGCCGATTTGAACGACTGACCTCGTCATTACTAGTGACGCGCTCTACCAACTGAGCTAAGAGGGATTGAGCATAGAGCGTAGAGGTCATCATGTCAACCATGATCATTCTTCTACTTGATCCCTCTGTAGCCTGTCTGCACCACTCTGCAATTCAGTCCCCATGACGAACAAACAGTCCAGGTACGGCCACGTGATTCTTCATCAATGAGTTCTGTGAGTCATGGCATTGGCATCGCGTGTTACCCGAAAACTTTTCATAAATAGACCAGCGAGGTCTGTCATGGGCCTGAACACCCACAAGCGACCGACCCATCGGGCACCAGACCCTCTCTGCCAATGCCGCAATGCCTGTCGCTCTCGATCCTGTGTCCCCTCGAAGGCGTGCGTTGGCCTGGTAGTCCCTCTGAGGCGGGGTTTCTATTTTCAAGCGACGGCCCACCGGATCCGGCGCAGTCAGAAGCAACGTGGGCCGTGCACTCGGCGTCGACGCTCCACATCGGCCCCCGCGCGTCGGTGTTCCGGGCGCAGATCGCGCGCCCGCATCAAAGCCGGATGCTCGATGCCGTGTTGAAGATGGATGTGCGCGGGCGGCGGGAGACGGCGTTTCTGAACGAGGAGCGGGCGTATGCGAAGGCGGAGCGATTGCAGGGGAGTGTGTTGCCCGTGCTGTATGGCCGCGTCCAAGCGCGCCTTTCTGATGGGGTGGTGGTTACGTGTCTGGTGCTGGAATACTGCGGAGAGCCGATGGAACGCGAGCTGTGGCAGGTAGAGAACCCCTTTATGTGAGTTGTTGCCGACGTCTATTGTATAAAACACTGATCAGTCCGCTAGGAGCAATATCCTGCTCTGCGTCGCGGCGTTGCATGCCGAGGGTGTTACACACGGCGATATATATACCAAGAACATTCTCAGCCGAAACGGCGCCCCCGTCCTCATCGATCTCGAGTGCAGCCAATGCCACAAATGTGAAATCAATATAAGGACAGTCGGAGGCACCATCATGCCAACAGTGGACGAATACGGTTGCGCCGAGCTGCACAATCTCATTTGCAGGATGCAGCTGTGGCAACCTCGTTAGTCCGCGCCCTCCTGGCAGAACGGACACTGATTTGCGCCGAGCAGGATCGCTTCCATTTTGCGATGTCTACTTGGTGAAGGACGAGCTCAAGTCCGAGGCTGACATCATCACATGGATTCCTCCGCATGTAGATCCGGACGCCCGGGCCAGGTTCATGGAACGTGCGCGAGCTTTGTGGGACGATGTGCGAGAGGAGCGGATGTTGACCTACGGTTCGACTGACCCTCCTGGTGTGTCTGAACCGTCCTCTGATACTTGGCGTCTGTTGCTTAACGCCCCGGGGACCTAGGTCGCAGGACGCGTCTGGATGTCGTCCAGACCAGCTCCAGATGTGCTGTGGTTTTCTAATGTGGTCCTCAGCAGAGCGACGGGCCTCATGCTTGGCCTTATATCCATTGACCGCGGGATGCATAAGCTCTATCTAGGAACGGGACAGCGGGGTTCTGTACCTACAAGCACTAGCCTGCTAGGCCATGGCATATGCTACACTCCAAACAAGCCATCAGCCCCTGCAGCGCAATCAGCGACTACCAGCCTGGTAACCGTCCCGTGCATTAGCTGAGCGGGGATGATCGTGAGAAGCTAGTTCAGAGTTTGGCAGGATGGATGTAGGGCGGATGTCTGGTAGGCAATGTCGCCGAGGCCTCACCCTTGAGGACACTACTGCCAGCGAAGATAACACAGCGAAGAGCTAGCAACCGGAATTTTTTTGTTGATTAGACCGACATAGGCGAGTCGGGAGCAAGATTGCAATTAGTTCGGGGGGAGATAGAAACCCTGTCTAGGGGCAGGCAATACCAGCAGTGCAATTTAGGCGATTATGACGGGGATAGCGACCCTCGCATAGACTAGTGTGACTGACTGACCGTGGGCGTGTGAGGTTTGAAGTTACATGCGTCCGGATAACGACTTGATGACACCGCCTTTGGGTTGATATCGCTGAGTGCTCGTTTCGGATCCGTTGCAGCGCGTAGAGCCGTCAAGTACGAGTCGCAAGTGGTCACCACCGCGTGGATTTTGAAGTGCTGCCAGTGTTAGGTAGTTGCCAAGGTCGGAACTGTTGATGTTTTGATGAGCGGCATGGATCGCTGTCGTTAGGCTGTTCCAGGCCACTGGAAGCAATGACAAGGTACTGATTCCGCTCTTTCTTTCTCTTCTCTTTCTTGAGCTCTTTCGACCACCTTCCGCTCCCCTCATCGTCGAGGCAGCATCTTGATCGTCGGCCCTGGCGCGGTCCCCCACGTTCCTTTCACTATAGTATGCACAACCATTTGAAACGCTTGCCCGCGGTGCGGGCACGGTATAACAAGAAGCGTCTCCCTTCGGAAGGCTGGAACGACGCACATTTGGCTCCCAGATTCACTCTCACAGCACCCATTACAATAACAAGAATCTTCAGTCCGATTCCAACAGAGGCGTCGACGCCAACTATCACGACCACGATACAGCCTACTGCTCCCCCAGTCACTTCCACCACTACCATCACGACTTCGCCTCCCGCATCTACGACGCTGTCCCCGCCTCCCGCTGCGAGCACGTCCACATTCACATCAACATTCACGCCGCCCTCGTCCGCACTCGCCACCAACCCAGCCTCGTCCGCGTCCGACACAGACAGCACCAATGTCGCGCCATCGAGCGCCGCCGTGCCCATCCCCGTCGGGTCCGCGATCAACGCGAAACCAGTCAGCATCGGCGGCGTGAGCACGGGCTCGTCGAGCTCACTGCCGACCGGCGCGGTCGTCGGCATCACGCTCGCGATCGTGCTACTGCTCGTCGGCGCGATCCTGTTCTTCCAGCGCAACCGCGCGATGCGGCAGCGTGAGATGCGACGCGCGACGGCCGCGTGGGCGCAGCCGCGCCCTGCCGACAACTGGGGGGCACCCCGAGCGACGGAGGGGTACGCTGCGTATGGCAACGGGAACGGGAACGGGAACAGACCCCCCATGGCTGAGGCGACGCCGGGCATCTCGTTCACGCCTGCGCCCGCGCCGTCCATGCCGGCCCCGCTTGTGGCGTCGTACAACAACCCTGTTGCCCCGTCTGCGATGGCTGCGGGGGCCCTAGCGTCCGCGGGCAAAGACAGCGCCACGGTCCGCTACGAATTCATTCCGTCCCTGCCCGACGAGCTGTCCATCACCGCTGGCCAAACGCTGCGCGTCGTCGCAGAATACGACGATGGGTGGGCGCTCTGCACGAACCCCCGCGGCGAGCAGGGGATGGTGCCCCTCGAGTGCCTGGAGATGCAGGGCAAGAGCGACGGATTGTTGGGTGACCGACAGGAGTACCGCAATTCACGCCGGACGAGCAGTCTGGCGCCGGGCAAGAACTATTAATGCGTGGGTCGACGGTTGATGAGCTGAGGACGAGGACTGGGTGCGTGCGCATCCTACCTAGTGCGCTGGAAATCTGACTGACGGACTGTGCTGATATCCAGGTCATGTTTTCTAAATTATCGTAATGGACTTGCGAGTTTGTTATTTTGTGCAACTTATTATAGTTTTCGGCTGGTTTTCCCGAACGGGGACCGTTCGTCTGTCGTTTTGTCTGTCCGCTCTGCATCCATCTTCAACCAAGTCTTGTACAGTACTGCACTTCTAGGGTTCCTCTGTACTTTGAATGTATGGCATCCGGTTCTGACGAGAGATTCCGGATCTGTGATCTGGGATCTCGGACCTGACGATCCCCACACACTCTGCGCGTTGCACGTGAAATCGTGAGTCAAAGTTGTCAAGCAAGGAACGTGGTCGAAGCTAATGCTACATGCAACTATTGCCATACAAACGCTACAAACTACAGTGTGTACTTGGGTCGATTGTGTACTTGGATCGATTGGGAACCTCATCAGGCTCCGATGGTCTTCATGCTCTCGAACTGCTGCGTAAACTCGTCCATGGCATCCAGCGTTTCGACAAAGTGGCTGAAGCCAACATCTTGTTTCCTGGCACGGGCGAGCGAACACGCCGTTCTTACGGCATTCTTGATCTGACGCCCGTTGATCTCGCGTTTGGCCAGTCGGTCGACATTGTCGTCCGTGATGCCGACCGCACCAGATCGAGCGATGAATGCCCGCCAGACCTCGGCTCGCGACGACTTGCTCAAAGGGCCGAAGTGGAGGGCCACATGGATTCGTGACAAGAAGGCCTCGTCGAAAGCCTGCACCCGATTCGTCGTCAAGAAGAGGATTCCTCGGTAGTACTCGACATGGCGCAGACTGAGGCACTGTGAGACACGCCTGGCTAATGAGGAGGGCAAAAGACGCTTACAAGACAGCGACCATGGCGTTGCGCTCCAGATCATGCAACGAGCGCCGTTCGAGGAAGACATCCGCCTCGTCGATCAGCACGATGGCTTTCCAGGCAGTCGCGACGTTGAACACGTTCTCCAGCGCATGGTCCAGTGCGGAAGCCGTCGTGCCCAGATCTCCTCCGCCGATAACGTAAAGAGGGCGTTTGACATGTTCGCTCGTAGCTTCTGCAGAAAATGTTTTGCCTGAGAAGCAATCAGCATGTCGGAACCGAGAGAGATAATGTAAGCGATCGGAGAACGCACCGACACCCGGAGGCCCGAATAGGTTCACCACGAGACCTGCTCCCTTGCCTTTGACAAAGTCGTCGAAGCCGGCCTCGTCGTGGTGGGCCTCGACCAGAGACTGGAGCAGAGTCTTGCGGTCGGTGGGAAGGACCAGGTTCGCGAATGCATCCGAGTTCCACTGAACAGCAGACACCTTGGTGATGTCAAATTCCACTAGACTAGAGTGAGCAATTGTTTAGTGGACGACAAGAGGACAACGCACACCACATCTTGTCATTGAGCGAAAAGCCATACACCACGGTCGGTGTCAACAACAGTTCCTCTTCCGAAAGCTCGAGGCTCTCCGTCGTCTGGGCATGCATAAGCGCGCCTTGACACGAACGGTGAGAATAATCGAAGTAATGTGATACTAGCACATACCATCTCCGTGTAGTCCTTGCTGTGGCGGCTGCACCAGCGGGTTGCCATATATATCAATAGGAACCACTATCCGATCGTCATCCGATTTTGGCTCGACGGGAGTCGGGAACGAGTAGTTCGGATTCAGCTTGGCGAACGTCTCGCGGTCGACCATGACCCGCCCACGCACAGCGTGACGCACGAGTTTGGGCCCCATCCTGAACGCGGCGATCCCGTCGTATTGCATGTGCTGGATGCCCGCCATCTCGAGCCATCGCTTCCCGCGCTGGACGATCCGCTGGCGCAGCTGGGCCTCGTTCGGATGGAACTGGACCGGGAACGCATCCAGCTGGTCGATCCGCATCGCGCCTTTGAAGAACGGGATCAGCGCGACAGCGGTGACGCGCCCGACGCCCACCGTCTGGGTCGCAGGACGGTCGACGAGGTCGACGGCCTCGAGCGAGAGCTGGAAGACGGCCACCCCTTCGACCGCGGTGCGCTGGAAGCTCTGGAGCACGAACAGCCGCTCGTGCCCAGTCACAGCACACCGCCCAACAATGAGTGTCCGCGGCACGAGAATCGCGTACAGCAGATCCCAGGTGATCTCGCCGTGAGCGGTCAGCCGTGTGATTGTGCTGATTGTGGTGCGGTAGTCCTGAGCGAGAAACGACAGAAGCAGGTTGACAGAGGAGAGGACATGCGAGTCTTGTTCAGTCAAGCTCTTCGTAGCGGACAGCTTGTCCCGATAGGCCGTAAGGCTGGATAGCCAGGTCAGGAAGATCTCCGGCTCGAGCTTGAGGAGTGCCGCTCAATCGCGTGTGAAGCAAGAGACTGTGCAATGCGCACCTCAAGAGGATCGGCGTTCCAAGAGACACCAGGCCAAGTTTGAATGACATCTCGCAGCGCTTTCGCAAGATACGCGCTTTTGATAACGATCTTGAAGGTCGGTTTCTGGTTCTCTTGCTGAGGGATCGTCCTCACAACGCTATCCAGGGAGATGAGACTGTCGGAAACGACACCGGGGATAGAGCAACGCACACAAAGCTATAGTCCTTCCACGGATCGTTGCTCCCTCCGCCTAGAATCGGGAGCGTTTCGACCGTCACACGTGAGTTCATGTTCTACGCATCGTCAGGGTTGTGTCGCAGGGAGACCTGGGAACACGCACCTTATACTTCCACTGTTTCGACCAGCTCGAGTAGAAGTAGTCCAGTCGCTTAATCTTCATCGATGCCGGGGGCAGCGGCTCGTCCCTCACGATGGTGGACGTCTTCGATTCGGTCTCCACATCGTCGTAAACGGTGGTCGACGAGAGGCCCACAGAGGGAGATTTGATGAGGGTCGAGAAACGGCGCATGGTGGTGGCCTTCGACTCAGAGAGACGATATCAGGACTGGAAGCACAACCAGCAGCATTTATAGCGCGACAAGCATCGTTACGGGCGGCAAACATGATTTTGGGTGCTGTGCACGGAATGACTCGGTCAGTGGGCTTCCATTGGCCGTTGAGTGACATCGAGCCTCGAGGGAGGGTTCTGATGGGATTGACTCGAATTGAATGGCTGTGGACATCGTGTCACGACGGGACCGCGACTTACAAAGCACTATTCACCCCCACCACTCGCGCACTTTGACAGATCCGTGATGCTCGGTGATGTTGCGTGATTACGATGGATACCTCATTAGATTAAATGGTATAAAGCAATGACATCACTGACTGTGGGACTTGGGGCGATTAAAGGTCGGTCCCATGCCCGAGATGCCCGAGCATGTAGATGACGATAAGATAATAAATAATCACTATCTAGCGCCCATTGTGTTAGCAGTGTAGCACCGATCAGCCTTACTACCACTCAATCCCCATGTCGAACGGCGGATATGACCTGTTTCGAAGTTATGCCGATAATCGGCAACCATCTGTGACAGATCCTTGCCCACTTTCCGACGCTTGAGGCTGCGCAAGAAGATTTTTGACTCATCAACGTCTTCAAGTTGACGCTTAAGGATGCTGACTGTGTGCTGACAATCTTCAAGCAGCTTTTGACTAAAGTCCCGCAGTTCTTCGGTCTATCACATGTTGATGAGTCGTTTGCAGATGGAAAGGTATTTAACTCACATCATCAAATTCTTCATCGGGCCGAACAGGTGGTTGAGAGCGAGGTGGCGACGATGAATCGGAACTCTGATCATCGCTGAGTTCGGCAAACGGAGCATGCGACTGATTGTGAGAAAGACCACCATGATCAGCTGTTGCGCTCGCACGAAGGTCATCCACGGCAAAGTCTCCTGCCAATCGCGAAGGCTGATACTTTGATGTATCAAGTCGTGATCCGTCCTTTGGGATGAGGAGTGCGTGGTGGTAAAATGGTGTCACCCGACGACGATAAACCTGCCGAAAAAACTTGGGATTAGGAGGCTGGACTCCCTGCACAAGATGCTTGCAGAGTAGATGAGCATTGAATTTTTGCTGGCCACAAGAGCAAGTCCAGGTCGAGAGGTCTGTGGTGTAAGTCGAAGCTGAGGGGCCAAGCGGACGGTGGGAGAGCTTCTTCCACTCCGCTTGGAACGCCAACTGCCACGGAGTGAATGGCTTCGACCGACCATCGCGCCAGTCCGGATCAAACTTGAGCATCTTTGCCTCAACTGTCGGAACAATTTCGGCTGCAATGAGATATATCAGTTGGTCAAGTCGCGGATGCGTTAAATGAAGTAAAGTATTTTTCTTGATGTTCCGCCAGAAGTTCTCGACAGCCATCGTCGTGCGCCAACGGCCAATAAACTCTGGCTGAGAGGATCGAGCCCACAGACGCCACTTCTCCGGGCAGTACCAGGCCTCCCAGAGATAGGCCCAGACCTCACGTAGGCCACGCTGCTCGCAGAAATGATAGACCTCATACACTGAATCACGACGGATCTGATCCTTTGTACGCGTCTCTCCATTTCGATCCGGGAGGAGCGAATGAAGGCATCCATGACGGATGAATATATACAGCAGTTATCGGCGATGAGGAGCGGGACAAAACTCATATGATCCACCAGTCCAGTCAGTATGGTCTGAGACCCTAATAGGGTACCAAAAGTGGTCATTTTTTAGCCTTAAGAGGGTCCAAGACCACTCAGTGGTCTCAGACCATCCACCTCTTTGGGCACAACCACCCATCCCAAATCAGTAGCACACCCTATTTTGACTGTTGAAAAGGGTGGTCTTGACCATTTGTGGGCCTTTGGTTGCAGCCACCTCAGGTCAATTGATGGTCCTCACTGCATATGGTTGCAACCACCCTGTGATCATGCATTTGTGATTGCTCCAATTAGCCTTGTGGGCTGCTTGTATGGGCTGTTCAGCTTGTAGATGAGTACAATGGGGGTGCACTCAGCCCATCCCAAGAGGGGGATGCTGTATCCAGCCCCAGGGCCGGCCGTAGGCCGGGGGGAAAAAAATCTCAAATGCTCCAATTACCCTTGCAGGCTGCTTGTATGGGCTGTTCAGCTTGTAGATGAGTACAATGGGGGTGCACCCAGCCCATCCCAAGAGGGGGATGCTGTATCCAGCCCCAGGGCCGGCCGTAGGCCGGGGAATTTTTTTTCTCAAATGCTCCAATCAGCCTTGCGGGCTGCTTGTATAGGCTGTTCAGCTTGTAGACAAGTACACTGGGGGCACATCAAGATCATACCGAGTGGAGGGTGCTGTATCTGGCCCCACAGCCAGCCATAGGCCAGAAAAGAAAATCACCCTTTGCTGGCTTGAGTGGGTGGTTGCAACCACTACAGGGACTGGATGTGGTCTGGACCATCCTGTCCTCATGCATTCGTGAATGCTCCGTTTACCCTTGCAGGCTGCCTGTATGGATGTTTCAGCTTGTATACAAGATCATTGAGGGTGCATTCAGCGTATCCCCATAGACAGATGCTGTATTTGATCCCACAGCTGGCCGTAGGCCAGGAAAGAAAAAAATTGTGAATGCTCCAATTACTTTGTAGGCTGCTTGTATTGTTTGAGCTTGAACAGAAGTACACTCAGAATTGTCTATTTTTGGCACATTCTGGGGCACTTGGCCAGAATTGAAAATCAGCATAGGGTATTGTCCAGAAAAAGAATGTTGATTTCCCATCACTTTCTATACCAGCATCAGTCACGTACTTCACTGTTATGTGGAATAGCACAGCTTTTGATTGCACATCAATTTTTCATGATGTTAATGATGTAATATGAGTTTATAATCAGTTCACCAGTCACATGTCACAAGAGCCCTGATAGGGAAGAAATACAATGATTTGTCACAGATCACAAGCCAAGGTGACAATTTCATTTTTCCTCAGATTGGGTCTGCATCATGTCTGGTCATTAATATTGGGTGTTTCCGGATTTTTGAGGCTGGATTTTACCACCTGACAATTCTTTTGTCTTGTCACAGATCACAGACCTAGCTGACAGATTGACAAATTAGTGTCAGATGTCACTTGTAACAAGGGTGGCAAACTGATTATAAAGTTACAGTAAATCCTAATCTCATCTTAACTGTCAGACCCTGATTGACATCATCTGCTTACTCAATTTATGCTCATGTTGTTGGTTCTCTCTTAGCCATTTAGGGGATATTCTTCCATGCAATCACTTATATTTGTGCTCTTCCAAGCCACTGCACTGTTGTACAATGCCTCCATGCTCTAATTCGTTTATTGATATCCTACATAGCTTTCAATGACAGCACATGTTTCTCTAGGCATATCCCTCTTCCTTTCCAACACTGTATGCTTCTCTAGCAATATGCTGTTGTCTTATATCACATAGTAGAGCCAGCCATTGAAGGAACAGAAAAAGCAGTGGAAGCAAGGGTAACAGGTAGAAGTGAAAGTCACTCTTGTAATGCAGATATCCTTGCTTCAGTCACCCTAAGCAATGTGCTACTCCATTACAGTAAGCTATTTGGGAATTTTAGAGACCTCATTGCTCTGAAAATCCTGCTCTATCTATTTTATTCAGGTGCAACTGATTTTACAATAGCAATGTAAGAGGAACTGTGTAAGTGAGTTCCAACCTCTTCTCAATGTTGAAATGGACTTCTATGGGGTTTTACACTGAGAATATGAATTCCAAGGCAAGGGAAGACAAAGAGCCTCCATGACTTTTGAGGGGTATAGCTTTACAAGCTGAAGATGTACTACTAATTCAAGTTCAAATAATTGGAGGCTCTTTGTCTTCCCTTGCCTTGGAATTCATATTCTCAGTGTAAAACCCCATAGAAGTCCATTTCAACATTGAGAAGAGGTTGGAACTCACTTACACAGTTCCTCTTACATTGCTATTGTAAAATCAGTTGCACCTGAATAAAATAGATAGAGCAGGATTTTCAGAGCAATGAGGTCTCTAAAATTCCCAAATAGCTTACTGTAATGGAGTAGCACATTGCTTAGGGTGACTGAAGCAAGGATATCTGCATTACAAGAGTGACTTTCACTTCTACCTGTTACCCTTGCTTCCACTGCTTTTTCTGTTCCTTCAATGGCTGGCTCTACTATGTGATATAAGACAACAGCATATTGCTAGAGAAGCATACAGTGTTGGAAAGGAAGAGGGATATGCCTAGAGAAACATGTGCTGTCATTGAAAGCTATGTAGGATATCAATAAACGAATTAGAGCATGGAGGCATTGTACAACAGTGCAGTGGCTTGGAAGAGCACAAATATAAGTGATTGCATGGAAGAATATCCCCTAAATGGCTAAGAGAGAACCAACAACATGAGCATAAATTGAGTAAGCAGATGATGTCAATCAGGGTCTGACAGTTAAGATGAGATTAGGATTTACTGTAACTTTATAATCAGTTTGCCACCCTTGTTACAAGTGACATCTGACACTAATTTGTCAATCTGTCAGCTAGGTCTGTGATCTGTGACAAGACAAAAGAATTGTCAGGTGGTAAAATCCAGCCTCAAAAATCCGGAAACACCCAATATTAATGACCAGACATGATGCAGACCCAATCTGAGGAAAAATGAAATTGTCACCTTGGCTTGTGATCTGTGACAAATCATTGTATTTCTTCCCTATCAGGGCTCTTGTGACATGTGACTGGTGAACTGATTATAAACTCATATTACATCATTAACATCATGAAAAATTGATGTGCAATCAAAAGCTGTGCTATTCCACATAACAGTGAAGTACGTGACTGATGCTGGTATAGAAAGTGATGGGAAATCAACATTCTTTTTCTGGACAATACCCTATGCTGATTTTCAATTCTGGCCAAGTGCCCCAGAATGTGCCAAAAATAGACAATTCTGAGTGTACTTCTGTTCAAGCTCAAACAATACAAGCAGCCTACAAAGTAATTGGAGCATTCACAATTTTTTTCTTTCCTGGCCTACGGCCAGCTGTGGGATCAAATACAGCATCTGTCTATGGGGATACGCTGAATGCACCCTCAATGATCTTGTATACAAGCTGAAACATCCATACAGGCAGCCTGCAAGGGTAAACGGAGCATTCACGAATGCATGAGGACAGGATGGTCCAGACCACATCCAGTCCCTGTAGTGGTTGCAACCACCCACTCAAGCCAGCAAAGGGTGATTTTCTTTTCTGGCCTATGGCTGGCTGTGGGGCCAGATACAGCACCCTCCACTCGGTATGATCTTGATGTGCCCCCAGTGTACTTGTCTACAAGCTGAACAGCCTATACAAGCAGCCCGCAAGGCTGATTGGAGCATTTGAGAAAAAAAAATTCCCCGGCCTACGGCCGGCCCTGGGGCTGGATACAGCATCCCCCTCTTGGGATGGGCTGGGTGCACCCCCATTGTACTCATCTACAAGCTGAACAGCCCATACAAGCAGCCTGCAAGGGTAATTGGAGCATTTGAGATTTTTTTCCCCCCGGCCTACGGCCGGCCCTGGGGCTGGATACAGCATCCCCCTCTTGGGATGGGCTGAGTGCACCCCCATTGTACTCATCTACAAGCTGAACAGCCCATACAAGCAGCCCACAAGGCTAATTGGAGCAATCACAAATGCATGATCACAGGGTGGTTGCAACCATATGCAGTGAGGACCATCAATTGACCTGAGGTGGCTGCAACCAAAGGCCCACAAATGGTCAAGACCACCCTTTTCAACAGTCAAAATAGGGTGTGCTACTGATTTGGGATGGGTGGTTGTGCCCAAAGAGGTGGATGGTCTGAGACCACTGAGTGGTCTTGGACCCTCTTAAGGCTAAAAAATGACCACTTTTGGTACCCTATTAGGCTCAAAAACCATCTGACTATAGTGGATCCACCAGTGCTGAAAGCCGTGCCAATAGGCTCGTCTCCGGGTTCCAGCCATGACTCGGCAGCTTCCAGGCGATCAATTGCATCGAGATCGTCACCCAGATGCTCAGCAAACTCGTCCTCGTCATCCAGGATGTCCAGCAAGTCCTCGGACTCGTCAAGACTCCGCAAGATGTCGTGAATGTGCCCGTCAAGCCGAATGATGATTTTGGGTCTTTCAGGCACACTTGGAATCAAGGAGCCGTTGAAACGGAGTTGAACCGTGGGAATCATTTCCCGGGCCACGGTCACATTAGCCTGCAATCGTATCAGTCTAGAAGGCACTGCACAAGACACAAGAGTCAAACCCGATCCTCGGGCGGTATCTGCGCCACGGGGAGAAATTTCTTGTCAATAAAATCAAACTCTTGAAATGCTCGAGGTGCGTCATAGTGTGCTGGCGGTCGACTCGTTGTAGCGAGGTGACCACGCAGTACCCTGATACCATGCCAATAGCAAAGTTGGTGTTTTACGTTGCCCGGGAGCTCGCCAAGAAACGCATTAATTTCCGTGATGTCCTTGTCGCTCAGCGTCTGTATCGGTTTGATGTCCCAGTTCATTGTAATGTCACGAATCAGGGCACGAAGATAGAGCTCCTTCGAACCCGGCTTAGGACTGCCATTGGATTTGATGAGCAAAAAACCGAGAGGGAGACCCGAACCAAAGACCTCGCCCATCAGAGCGAAGCACTCGTATCCGGCTTTGTTCGTTTTGACTAGTAAAAAAAGGCTCTAATTCATTCTGCTCAGTAATGAGGAGAGATTGAGCCACATACATGTTGAATCGAGCTGAACCTCGGATATACAGCCTTGCCATTTCTTGATGAGTGTCGGCAAGGAAAACGCAAATGCCGAGTACCCATCACTCGGGTCCTTAGGAAGTTCGATCCGTTCGAACACCGGTGCACACTCCGGTCTCTTCTGGCACAGCTGTTCAAATAACAGTGCAGCGGATTCTTCTTCATTCTCGCGGAGTCGCCACGCTTTCCCGTTCATTGCAAGTAAATGGTTGTAGATTTGCTGGTACGTGAATTTTGGCTGGGGAGTGACCTTCAGAATTTCCTTCCAGACCTGAGTTTTGAATCAGGTTGAGGACATGCACCAACCAAAATAACGCACCTGTGGTCCACGCATATTTGATCGTTCCTTGATGAGTTTGATGATCTCCGGGGGAATGTCGATACACTGGTACTTCTTATGCGGCTCCTTGTGCTGATACCGAATAAAGCACGATGATTGCTTTCCGTCTGCCCAAATTGTGAGGGTACCATCGCAGTCGAACGTTTCCATCTTAGCCTTGTTCCGCTGTTTGCTCGGATCAGGGATTTTCTTCGATGCATTCTGACGTTTAGCATCTTGACAACACGTGTATCGGAAACGCGTGGTATCGTCGAAGAATTTCGAGTCCTTGTACCTATATTTGACTACGGGTAAGCATTGAGTATAGCCCACAAGTTTCAGTTGACGTACGTGAAGCGGTAGTTTGTTTGCTCCCAGACCAGCGATGCGATGTGATCCATTACGGGTTGATACTCCGTGACATCGGTCGTGCGCGTGTCCCGCAGACTGATGTCGTGTATGAGAGAAGCAATGTCCACGAGAGCAATCAGCTGATGGACATCGGGCTTCAACATCTGCAAGAAGGCCGATGTCGATACGGGTTCCGCATCTTATCATTGTGTCAGACTTGACGTGAACATCAGAGAGTGTGAGCGACCAACTAAAGAAGGGAGCCGCATCCTCGCTATCCTCGCTTTCTTTACCTCCCTTCTTTTCCCGGAAGGCCCGCGCATCATTACCACAGCATTTACGGCATCGATTATTGGCTTCTGGTCCGCCTGCACGGAACTGAGCTCCCCAGAACTCTGCTGTAAGATCCAGAGTTTTGCGACACTTGGAACAGCGCTTCTGTTGCATGATGGCGCGTCAATCGCGTCTCGACGCGTGGAAAAACAAGAGGATGTGTGTCGACAATTATCACGCGCCTGTGATATTCTCACGCCAGCTGATAGGGTCTCATTCAACAAACGGTGCGTGATCAATGTTATCTCATGTCTAATCTATCTAATCAAACCAGATATCATGGAAATCGCACGAGATCACGCAACATCACCGCACATCACGGATCTGTCAAAGTGCGCGAGTGGTGGGGGTGAATAGTGCTTTGTGCCCTCGATAAGTAGCAGCTGCCAGGAGCAACAACCAGCGGCACCCGTCCCGATCTGTTCATGTACCGTCATCAAGACCTCGCACTTGGAATGATACAGCCCGTTTGTTCGCTTTGAATCACTATGATCGGTGTTCATATCACCGAATCCGACCGTCCTTCTGTGCCAGGTTACTGGCGGTGCTGGTCACCCAACTCCCCTGTAGCATAACCTCGGCTGTGCGAAATTTTCTAGATTTTTGTAAGCGGAGTTAAGTTTGCTTGGACTGCTGCGATATGATTCGTTGCCCCCAAGAGTTGTCCAAGAGAGTCGTTGATTGGCCAAAGGATTCTGCTTTAGGAAATTGAGGGTCTGGACCTTTTTGTTGCCACTCCAACGAGCTCGGCCGCGGTCTCGTCAGCGCAGGGTTGCTCTGTTCAGCTATCGAGGATCACGATGCATCTGTAACAAGTGTTTGAACGTGTCCGTCATCCGGCCAGAGGCACCGACAACAGTTTACCACCCACTCTTTCGCTTTCACACAACACGCTTCCCATTACCATGAACATGTACAACCCCGGGCGCCATTTGGACGAGGGTTTCACGGACGAGGAGGTGTTCTCGGCGAGCAGCGAGCTACTCTCGAAGGTGACATCAGAGCAGGAATGCGAAGGTAAGCAAGCGCCTCGTGCTCTGCATGCCTTGAGATCCGCAAATGACCGAGTCGCCCCCGTCCTTCGCAGAACTCGCGCTCAAGCTGCTGGTGTCGCTCCCGAGGTCGAGACTCGCGACGATACAGAGGAGACTGGCGCCTTTGCTGCAGTTTGATGTTGTTGGGGTCCGTCTCCGAACGTGTTTTCTCTCCCATGCACCCACTCACAGCCACGCAGTCACTCCCGGCGGAAGTCTCTCTCCAGATATTCTCGCACCTCCCCGCGCATACGCTCCTCACCTGCTCCCTCGTCAGCCGGCGCTGGCGCGCGCTCGCGAACGACCAGGCGATCTGGAAGGAGCTATGTGAAGGCCGGGGATGGGTATGGAAACAGCCTTCGCGCGTGCATTCATTTGATGCGCCGCGGAGCAGGGGCGAATCGTGGGAGGATGATGAGGGGATGGGTGACTCGGACGAGGAGGAGGAGGAGGAGGACGAGTTCTCCGCCGATGGGATCGAGGTGGCGAAAGCCGAGTGGGTCATGATGCAGGCGGAACTGGCCGGGCCAGCGACTACTAGTATGCCGTTGGTCACGGCACGGCCCTCCACCCTGGCACGCTCGAAATCGAGGACGCGGCACAACTCGGCCCCAGCAGCCCTGAGCGAAACGTCCTACCTGCGGCCTGACTACAAGCGCCTCTTCCAGACCCACACGCGCCTGAACAACCGCGTCCGGAGCGGCTCCTACCGGCTATCCGCTATCCAGACCCGCGGCGGCCCGTCGAACGCGCACACCACGACGATCTACTGTCTCCAGCTGTACACCTATCCCGCGACCGGGGTGCAGGTGTTGTTCACCGGCTCGCGCGACCGCACTATCCGCGAATGGAATCTGAGCACGGGGCTTGTCGAACGGGTCATTGCGGGTGTGCACACGAGCTCCGTGCTGAGCATATGCGTCCACGACGGTTACCTTGCCAGCGCGAGCAGCGACCGACAAGTCGCCGTCTGGGACCTATCGAAGAACGCGCTCGTGAAGCTGATATCGGATCACGAGGACAGCGTCCTGTGCGTTCGCATGGACGGAAGAAGGCTCGCCTCATGCTCGAAGGACCGGACCGTGCGGACGTACTCGTTTCCAGACCTCGAGCCCCAGTTCGTTCTGGGCGCGCACCGCGCTGCCGTGAATGCGGTGTCCCTGTCCGGCGATTTGATCGTGTCTGGCTCTGGAGATCGGTCGGTAAGGCTGTGGGACGCGACAACGGGGAAGCTTTTGCGGACTTTCGAGAATCATCACAGCCGTGGGTAAGCTCTCGATCGTGTGTCTATGACGATTGTATCTCTAATGCTAATTCCATCCACAGCATTGCCTCAATCGACTTTGCTGCACCGTATGTTGTGTCTGGGTCATCGGACAAGCACCTCCGCTTCTTCGACATAATGTCCTTCCAAGGATGGTCCACTTCAGAGGGCGCCTCCCAGGCAACCCCTCTGTCCGCAAGCGGTACTATCTGCGCGACATGCGGTAACACCGCCGGGGGATCGCACGCAGCTCGACCTGGTGTCCAGCGCAGAGTGCATTCCGATCTGGTCCGCAGCGTGGCAATGGGCCCCGATTTCGTGCTAAGTGGAAGCTACGACTTGTCGATAAAGGTGTGGGACCGCAAGACTGGTGAGCTGGTCGCAGATCTCACAGGTGGTCATTCTGGGCGGATATTCTGCATCGGCTTTGACTGCACGAAAATCGTTTCGTGCGGAGAAGATCAGGTTAGTCGCCGCTGCTTTGTTTGTTGCATCTTGCTCACTGTTGGTTAGCGTATATGTGTCTGGGACTTTTCGCATGGTATCGACACTAGTTACATTCAACTTTGAGGTCTGGACTTGTTTGCGCGCTTTCCTAGCTATCTGTCGTGCCGCCCCTGCTCACTTTGGCCCGTCGCACTTGCTGCTATCCACTCTCTTTCCATTTCAATCACTTCGTTTTCACTGCTTGTATCCAGAAAGGATTTCACTTCAAATAAAACATGCAAAAATTGCAAACTTGACCCGTACGGATTGTTTCTGTCAATGCGCCGTCTCGCTCAAGCGTTGTCGTTAGATCGTGAACACTGGAGAAAATCCGAGCCTTCTTGAGTGGACGGGGTAATCCAATATTGGGAATCTCATCCGCAGCATACTCGTGAGCAACTTCGAAACTCTTCCACACAGCAGACGTAGCCGTACTGTGGAAGCTTATAGTTGATAATCGTGAAGTGAAAACACAACATGGAAATGATGTGCAACAGGCTTGATCAGATGTTGTAGATTGCCATAGATTAGATTAGATTAGATTCAATCACAGCTTAAATCTCCCGATCAGGACTTGAAAGCACTCCAAGAGGCTTGCCTGCCCATTTCATGTCAATTCATCTTATACTTTACCCTGTGTCTTTGCCTTCTGTCTTCGAACGCTCGTCTTAATACCTCAAGCCAAAGAGCCAACAACTTACTCCCAAGTGCCTAGGATGCAGCAGTTGTGCACTGTCCGAGCTGCTGAGACCCACGACACACACAACCGGGCCGCGCCTGCACGTCCTGCTGTCCTGCCGCGTTCTGCGATATCATGATCTACGTGCCGCACTGCGCGGCCAACACACGGCAGACCTAATTGGGGCCTGGCTTCTGTGTACCCACAAAACACAGCACTTGCTATAAAAACCACACGGCCAGAGAGCCTCACCCCCATCGCCTCTTCTCCTCTTACTCTACCTCGACCCACCAGGGGCCGGGTCTCCTTCCCTCTCTCTCCTTGCCTCAAGCCACTCAGGCATCCCTCGAGGTGGGTCATATTCCTTCTTTCCTCGAGTACTAGTCCGGGGGACGGACGGCGTAGGCGCAAGCGAGAGACGCCGGGGGGCGAAGACGGTCCGTGTGTGCACGTTGCGAGCGCCGTGGTCGTGACCGCTGCGCCTCGGTTGTGTTGCGTCGATCGTCGGTCGGCCGCACGCCGGGGATGCACGTTAGAGAGGGGTGCTGCAGCTGGCCACCGGCGTGTCTGTTCCTGCTTGGACACGATCGATGAGGATCGACATCTGAGAGAGACTGGCTTACTGGCGACGTACTCGTACATGCATATGAGGATCACCACCGCTCGATGTAAGACGGCTCACGGCCACTGGCCACTGGCGACGGCGCACACGGACTCGCACGGCTCTGAGCATCGGATACGGCACGATTTCTCCTTCTCGCACCAGCGCAAACGGCTCGAGGCCGAGCACATGGGCGCCCCCAGTGGATGGACGGTGGCCAACGTCCGTCCATAGTCTCTTTTTGCACACAGGCGCGAGCACCGCATATGGGTGTTGTGGGTCCGCCGTCACCCGCCTATTCGATCACTGGCAATCGTGATGAAACAGCAAGCGGCAATGGGGTGTGCCCTCTGTCGTCCGGGAATATGACTCACTCAGCGTGACGCTGGCGATTGTGCGCTGACTTTCCCCACCCAGGTCTCGCGACATACAAGCTTCGAAAATCTACCATCGATATCGGTGCCGGTGTCCTGCGCAGATTGCATGGTGTATCTCCACTTCTGATCGTTACGCTTGTAGTCCGTGCTGAGTATCCTCCATCGTTGCACTAGGATGGTGCATTGCACATCGCATAATCTCGCCTCCCACCTAGTTGCTTATCTGTATGTTCCCATGAATGCCAGACTGCGTAATTCGCTGTTGTCTCGACTTCCAAAGCGGTAGATTCACAGCTACAATTAGTCGCTGACATACGTGACGCTATCATCCTCGTCCATCCGGATGATGAGCCGGCAGTGCGGCACCAGTCCAGCCTGCGCCACGGTCTCATCCTTGTCACACTCGATTTCGATCGTTCGCCCGTTCCGATCCTGAGAAAACAAGAACAACCTCGCTCTGAGAAGGCCGAGGTCAAGGGCGGAGCGACAGAGAGCAGAAGAAACGCACTGGTCAAAGTCGACGTCAAAGTTCTTGCAGGCCCCGCCGAGAACTTTCCGGATCGAGTGTCCTCCGCGCGTCGTGAACTCGGCGCGTTCGTTGTCCGGGCCCGTAATGGAGATCTTGAAGCGTTCGTCGTCACCCCGAGAAGTCTGCGTCGCGTTTGCCGCTGCCTGCGATGACTCCGCACGCTGGTTGGATCCTGGTGCGCACATCAGAGAAGCGTTGTGCACCGAGGAACGATCGGGACTCACGAATGGATGCGTTGCGAGAAGCTGCAACGATGGGAGCCGGCTTGACTTTGGGCGTCAGCTGCTTCGAGCTGCTCGCTTTCTTCGGGGACGATGTGGCGCTGCCCGGATTTGGCTGAGTCCTCGAGCGCGCTTCAGATAACTCCTTGGTGAGTGCCCGCCGGGAGTGAGGTGGGTCCTCTTCGTTGTCGTCTTGGACGTGTATGGATCGATCCACTTCCTCCTCCTCTTCCTCTTCCTCTTCCTCTGCCTCGGGTGTTGGATAGAACCCTCCTGCGTGGCGCGAGCTGCTGGGAGCGGCGCTGCGCGCTACATCGGGTTGGATCACGACCATATCGACTTCAGTGTCTTCCGGCCATGATAGGGTCGTGGCCGGTGGATTCCTTGCAAGGCCTAGAAGACCGTGACTGAGAACGTTTGATAACTGGAGGGAGCGCACCAGTTGGATCCACCGCGACAGTAAGAGTATCTATAAATGGCGCCAAGAGTGTATATGCGCCTTCAGTGACCTCGACATTCTGCCCCGCACACACGTCCCACGTGGAGACCTCGAGAATCAATGCAGTACGCGCGTCAATTCCGAAATTTAGTTTCACGATGCGCTGCATCTCCTACGGGGGAGCGTCAGCGCATACGCCATCCATTGGTAGAGATCTTCACTTTGTACGTCTCGCATCGGGGGAGAAACTTCCGTGTCTCATCGAAACTGACGAGAACGACGGGGATGTCTTGATGGGATTGGTTCTTCGCGTTCACGGTGGATACGATATGCATAACGGTCAGAAGGGGAGAGTAAAAGTGGGTGGGCAAACATCGCGTCAACACATCAACACCCGTGGCAAGTCGGGGGCACGTGTTCCAGGATTCCTGCTTTGTCCTTTGATCTTTGTTCTGTTCAGCTCCATGTCCGATTCTGTTCAACTGGTGCGGGGCCACCAGCCCCTGATTCATTCCCGTAGAGTTGCAACTCCCGGATGCTCCACTCTCCGCCACATCACCTTCCTTGTCGGCAGCCTCGCCACTCGTTCAATCAAGAGCTCTCCATCTAGCCTGACTTTGCCCTGTCAAGCTCCATCGCGTCATCTCACTCAGGTCAGATCGTATTGCCCGGCAGAGCAAGTGCGACAGCTCAGTTGAACCCTGCCGGTTGTTCATCTGCTTCTTTACCTTATTCGGCAACCATGAGCACCGTTTAGCCACCTGGCTCATATATAACGTCGCTGCTCCCTGCCTGTGTCTGCGATACAACATCTCTTCGCACATAACACAATGTCTTTACCTGCAAGGACTACTGTTCTTATCGTCGGCGCCGGTCCCTGTGGAATGGCCGCTGCACTCTCTCTGTATCATCAAGGGATCAAGGATGTGGTCATTGTGGACGCCGTCGAAGCAGGGGAGAACTCTTCGCGCGCGATGGTGATCCAGGCCGCAACGCTTGAGGTGCCTTTCCTTATACATTGCCCCTGTATTCTTCAGACCGCTCATCCTGACACCAGGCGCTCAACACCATCGACTGCTTCGACTTTATCCTCCCCCACGCGGAGAAGATCACGCGCGTGGACATGCACCAGGGGACATCGGTTCTGCTCACCGCCGACTTCTCGCAGCTGGCGGACAAGACCCAGTTCCCGTTTGGGCTGCTCATCCCGCAATCTCAGACAGAGCGCGCCATGCTCGCCAAGTTGACGCTGCTCGGGATCCGCGTCTTTCGGCCTTTGAAGGTCGACTCGGCCAAGCAATCGGACGAGGACTCGATGGTGGATGTGCGGTTCGAATCCGGAGAGGTCGTGAAGGCGAGATATGTGATCGGCGCGGACGGCGCTCGTTCAGTGGTGCGTCACTCCTGGCATGACGTAACGTCCCATCGACGCCGCCCTTTCCAAGATACAAGGCGAAGCAGGCATCGGATTCACCGACCCCCAAGGCGATGGGCCGCGTGACTTTGGCGACGTATCTCAGATCGTCTTGGGTGATGTCTCATTCTCGAGCCCCCTCCCGCCGGATACACCCCGCTTCATGCTCAGCGTCGCGAACAGCAACTTCATGCTCGTCGCGCAGTTCCCTGCAGACGCCTACCCGGATGCGACCGGTTCTGTGTACCGCATCGCATGCGGCGTGCCCCAGAGCATGGGCGCGGTGCCCCACGCGCCGGGCATGGATTATCTGCAGAAGGCGATGACCCGGATGGCCCCGGAGCCGTTGCGCGCCGCGCGCATCGACGCCGTGCACTGGTCCTCCCGCTACAAGACACGCTCGGCCATCGCCGACCGCCCGTTTGTGCGGCTCCCAGGCGGCGGGGTCGTCCTCCTGGTCGGCGATGCCGCGCACATCCACAGCCCCATCGGTGGGCAGGGCATGAGTTTGGGCATTCGGGATGCGATCAGCCTAGGCCCCATCCTGCGCGCGCACTTTGATGCGCCGGAGGACGACCGCCGGCTTATGGAGTGGGCCCGCTGGCGGCATGAACGGGCTCTTGGAGTGATCAGTTTGACAGAGCACGGGATGGGGTTGATCACTTCGCAGCGAAAACTGTGGTTTCCCTCGCTTGTGTACGGAATTATCCGGATGCTTGGACGATTCAAGTTTGTTCAGAAGATGGTCGCGTATCGCATGAGTGGGCTTGCAGAAGTTTAGAGCCAACTGTATCAGTAGGATCTGAGTAGAAATTGTGTATTTATAGGTCACAGTAAACAATGGTCCGAGATTTGACATTCAGATGACCATGCCCAAGTAATTACATTTACAACAGTCGTACGTAGTTAACAGAATGCTCGTCGAGCCGAACATGTTACGAGGTGGCCTTGGAACCGAGCTTAAACTCGATGTCGACCAGCACGGGGGATTGACTGGCCGGCGAGTGAGTTTCTGACATGTTCGATTCCGCGTCTTTCAGGGCCTTGTGCTCGGCGATTTTCTGAAACAAGATGTCAACCACTGAAGATCGCGAAAATCGACTGCAACGACTTACGGCCTTGAGAGACTCAGTCGCCACCAAAACGGCATCGAGGGTCGCTTCAGAGAGATCCACCACCTGTGGCTATGTGAGCATGTCGGACCAGCCAGAATGAAGCAAAAACGCGCACCCTCTCGTGGATGCGAGTGCGTTGCGCCTCCCAATCCCGCGACGACTGCGCCGCCGCCGCCGTGTCAGGATGCGCGGGATCGAACTGGGCGAGCCGAGCGGCGCGCTTGCACTGCCTCTTATTCTTGTTGGAGACCCAGTATGCGCCTACGCCAGCGCCGAGCATGAAGCAGAGGAGAGCGGGTGCCATGGATGTTAGTAGGTATTCGAGATTGTGTTACGGATGACAGAGGCGGAGATGTGTCGGGTTGCTTTTATGGGTGTGGCGGAGGGACACGTATTGGAACGGCACCGCAGTCGTGGCGTCGCGCAGCAGATCGCAGCCTGTCGCAGCGGTTCATGCCGAGGGGAGTCGTGTCCCCAGTCACGATGTCTGCCACAGAGCCGCGATGATGACATCAGAGCGCCAAGCCAGAATTGAGCGCAACGCTCCGTGCCTGGATTAGGAAGGAGGTGTCTACCAGGGCCCGAATAAAACCTCGGAAAGGGTCAATCCAGAAGCCACAGATAGCATTTGATAGTTTACGAGCGTGGTGGGATGTAAGCATTTGAATTGGTGGCTCGAAAGCGTGGTCTGGTGACCCCAGTGTGAGTATTGTAAGACCCTCCGAACATGGGATGAGGAAGCAGGAAGAGCTTTAAGGGCTGTCCGAGAGTCGGCCTCGAACTATCGCGCTCGGCCTGTCTCGGAAGTGTCCCGCATTCAATCAAGTCGCAGATGACCCTCGGAATGACATCAGTTCCTATAAGGTCTCACTTGATAATCGTATATAAGCGCCGCGAATGCTCTGCGGACCAGACAGTGCCAACATGAATCGCGCCCTCCGCTCCCTCCGCCCGTCGACGCTCTCGCGCAGCATCTTGGCTGCGAGGCACGGGAGTTTCAAAAGCCTGCAGACCCGGCCCATATCCCCTCTCATCCCCTATCGCACTGTGACCAACACTGTCGGCCCAGGGAGCCAGTCGCTCTCGCATGCCCGGCAGAACATCAAGGAGGAGGCGGGAAACTCGATCCGGGACCTGGCCAAAGCAATCGCCGGGACAAACCCTGCCAAAGAAGACACTTTCGTGAGTAAATTGGCGCTGTCTCGTTCCCGAGGGCGGTCTGGACGACGTGGCTGTAGATCGGGATAACAGGCACAGTCGCTTCTGAGGTTCCCACCTCGGTCATGATCTTCGGGCTTGCTGGTTCGTGCGCCGGCTTCCGGCCGTTGTTAATGTCCCTGCTAAGCCAGACCCAGGCGGGATCCCGTACATCGGAGCGGCCGCAACAACCGTCTACCTCGCGCGCGAAGCCACTCTCGCGACATCGACCATCGACCACAGCACCGCCCTCAACGTCCTCAACGAGGCGCTCAACCTCCAGGTCACCTACGGCGCGGTGATGCTCTCCTTCCTCGGCGCGCTGCACTGGGGCATGGAATTCGCCGGGTACGGCGGGTACCAGGGCAACCGCCGGCTGATGCTGGGCGTCGCGCCCGTCCTGTTCGCGTGGCCGACGCTTGCGCTGGACCCGACGATGGCGCTCTGCGCGCAGTGGGCCGGGTTCACCACGTTGTGGTGGGCGGATTCCTGGGCGACGGTCTCAGGCTGGAGTCCGTCTCTCTCTCGCGAAACTCGAAGCAACCGGCTCACATGAGACAGCACCCAAATGGTACGCTCAGTACCGCTTCTACCTCTCGATCCTCACGGGAGTCTGGTCCGTCGTTTTTCTGCCTCGCTCCTCCGCCGCAGTGTTGACTGACCCCGCGGCAGCATCATCGGCTCCCTGGCCGGGATAACGTACTGGGGCCCCGTCGGTGGCCATGGGCTGCTCGACAAACGGCTGCGCGAGATTCGCAAGGAGCGGGCCGAGCTGCAGGCCAAACCTGAGGTATACTATGGAAAGGAGGTGACGATCCTCCCCGGCGAAAGCACCTTCACGCGCTTGCGCAGAACGAAAAACATCGAGAGGGAGCGGGCTGAGAAACAGAAGGCGGCCGAGCAGACATGGTTTGACCGTGTGATCCAGTAGTCTTGATCTTGAAGGCGAGAACTAGGAGAGTGTTACGAGCGGCGGAAAGAAACCCAGTATGATCGAAATGTACTACTACAAACAGCGTTCGAACGTGTATGACAGTAGGATTTGTTGAGACCACATTGTCAACCGTAGGCTTACCCCAGGGGACACTTTCAAGGAGCTCCGGACTCCGCCGCACGCCATCGGATGCTCCCCCCGAAGCACTGATGGAATGCAATCCGTGGAGGCGACTACTGATGTGACACCATTGATGTGCTGATGGACCATTAGGACTTGTGGTTTGAAATGGGGTTAGAGTCAACAGAAACTCTTTTCTTTGTTTCTTTTTTCAGCGAAAATCGATGTCGATTTGCAGTGAAAATAGACTTGAAAAAAAAATATATATTTGCAGTTCACTTCTTGGGAGAAATAGACGTCTATCACTGCGGGGGGACTTAATTTTTTTCCGTGGAAAATGCGTGACAATCTAGAAGTCCGATTTTCACCGTAATATTTTCAGACAAAATATATATATTGAAAATAGACGTCGATTTACAGCTCAATTTTTACCATGAATAGACATCTATTCCTCCCGAAAACAGAACTGTAAATAGATCATCTTTTTTTTGATCGATTCCCACCGGGAATAGACGTCGACTTTCACCAAAAATAGAGACAAAGAAAAGATGATCTTTTTTCACTGAAAACAGATCAAAGCCACTGGAAGAATCTGTTGATTCCGGCCCCAACTCACATCACAAGTCCTGCAGCATGATTCCAACATGTTGTGAGTAGCATCCAGTAGCCTTGCCAGGGATACAAATTGGGGCCAGAATCAACAGATTCTTCCAGTGGCTTTGATCTGTTTTCAGTGAAAAAAGATCATCTTTTCTTTGTCTCTATTTTTGGTGAAAGTCGACGTCTATTCCCGGTGGGAATCGATCAAAAAAAGATGATCTATTTACAGTTCTGTTTTTGGGAGGAATAGATGTCTATTCGTGGTAAAAATCGAGCTGTAAATCGACGTCTATTTTCAATATATATATTTTGTCTGAAAACAGAACGGTGAAATCGGACTTCTAGAGTGTCACGCATTTTCCACAGAAAAAAATTAAGTCCCCCTGCAGTGTATATACATGGTACAAATCACACCGAGGGATCACAAATAACACCGCCCATAAAGAATAAGTTATATTCCATATATTGTGACTCGAAAAAAAGCTGACCCAATATGTCACACATCAGCGCATAAACGTCCTGATACCACAGATATGGGGTGCCGGGTATGATCCGGGTACCCGATATGTCACATATCAGATGACTGCATTTTTTATCCCCCAATATATGGAATATAATTGATTCTTTATAAGCTGTGTTATTCGCAATCCCTCGGTGTGAATCATTCTCTAAATTGATGTCTATTTTCAATACCTGTTTGTTGTCTGAAAATAGAACAATCGGACTTCTAGATAGGTGTTTTCCATGGAAAAAGAATGCAGTGACTGGAGCAAAGGAGAACAGTTTCCTTTGAATAGGTTACTCATATCTAACACAAGTTTACAAGCTTCATAATGTAAACAGCCCTCTCGTATCCTCAAAAGTACAGTTTTTTTGACCCGCTGATGGGCATTTGATCTACTGGGGGGTGCGGGTGCCTTCTCGATTGGGGCTTGAATTTTTTCCGTGACTATACAGAAACGCGCTGCACTTTGGCCACATTGGTGTGACGCCTACCCTTGGTTAGAGAGTAGCTGGGGGCCTGTCAGAATCGTCCTCGACATGGAGCACGAAGTTGATAAGCATAATCACGAACACGGAACTCGAAGGATGCATCGTCTGAGCCGAACAAGCGTTTACGTCTCAGCCCGGCACGTTTGGACAACGGTCTGCACCCTCGTCATTCGTCGAATCAAGAGCTCTCCATATAGCATGACTAGGCCCTGTGAAGCTCCCTCGTGTCATCTCGCTCAGGTCAGATCGTATTGCCCGGCAGAGCAAGTACGACAGCTCAGTTAGATTGCCCGGCAGAGCAATTGCGACAGCTGAGTTGGACTCTGCCGGTTGTTCATCTGCCTCCTTGCCTTGTTCGGCGACCATGACCGACGTCTCGCCAGCTGGCTTGTATATAACGTCGCTGCTGCTTGCCTGTATCTGCAATAAAACATCCCTGCAATCTTGGCACACAGAATGTCTTTACCTGCGAGCACTACTGTTCTAATCGTCGGCGCCGGTCCCTGTGGGATGGCCGCTGCACTCTCTCTGTATCATCGAGGGATCAAGGATGTGGTCATCGTGGACGCCGTTGAAGCGGGGGAGAACTCCTCGCGCGCAATGGTGATCCACGCCGCGACGCTTGAGGTGCCTTTTTCTATTCTTCGCCCGTGTGCTCTCCGGGCCCCTCACCCTAATACCAGGCCCTTAACACCATCGGCTGCTTCGACTTCATCCTTCCGCATGCGGAGAAGATCACGCGCGTGGACATGCACCAGGGGACATCGGTGCTGCTCACCGCCGACTTCTCGCAGCTGGCGGACAAGACGCAGTTCCCGTTTGGGCTGCTCATCCCGCAATCTCAGACAGAGCGCGCCATGCTCGCCAAGTTGACGCAGCTCGGGATCCGCGTCTTCCGGCCCTTGAAGGTCGCCTCGGCGAAGCAATCGGACGAGGACTCGATGGTGGATGTGCGATTCGAATCCGGGGAGGTCGTGAAGGCAAAATACGTGATCGGCGCGGACGGCGCTCATTCGGTGGTGCGTCACTGCTTGCATGATATAACGCTCCATCGAAGGCTTTTCCAAGATACGTGGCGAAGCAGGCATCGGATTCAAGGACCCCCAAGGCGATGGGCCGCGTGACTTTGGCGACGTATCCCAGCTCGTGTTGGGCGATGTCTCATTCTCGAACCCCCTCCCGCTAGACACACCCCGCTTCATGGTCAGCGTCGCGAACAGCAACTTCATGCTCATCGCGCAGTTCCCTGCGGACGCCTACCCGGATGTCGCTAAACCAGTGTACCGCATCACATGCGGTGTCCCTCAGAGCATGGGCGCGGTGCCCCACGCGCCGGGCATGGATTATCTGCAGAAGGCGATGGACCGGATGGCCCCGGAGCCGTTGCGCACCGCGCGCATCGACGCCGTGCACTGGTCCTCCCGCTACAAGACACGCTCGGCCATCGCCGACCGCCCCTTTGCCCGGCTCCCAGGCGGCGGGGTCGTCCTCCTGGTCGGCGATGCCGCGCATGTGCACAGCCCCGTCGGTGGGCAGGGCATGAGTCTGGGTATCCGGGATGCGATCAGCCTGGGCCCCGCCCTGCGCGCGTACCTCGATGCGCCTGATGACGACCGTCGGCTTATGGAGTGGGCCCGCTGGCGGCGCGAACGGGCTCTCGGAGTGATCAGTCTGACAGAGCACGGGATGCGCTTGATCACTTCGCAGCGCAAACTGTGGTTTCCCTCGGTTGTGTACGGAATTATGCGGATGCTCGGACGGTTCAAGTTTGTTCAGAAGATGGTCGCGCATCGCATGAGTGGGCTGGCAGAAGTTTAGAGCTCTGATCGTCTCCTAAGCGTACACGCACAGTGGAGTTGGAAATCGTGTATTTACAGGCCAATGCAAACCCGTATCCCCTCTCATCATCGCACGGTGACCGAACAGACGTGGTTCGACTGTGTGGTTCAGTAGGTTTGACCGTGAAGGCAAGGATTTGAAGTGATTCGAGCGGCGACAAGGAAACCAGGATGATCAAATGTACACGAAGCATTCGAACGTGTATGGTAGTATGATTCTTCTCCGAGGCCAGATTGTCGACCACAGGTTCAAGTATCACGGGGGAAAGACGTATGTAGACTCAGAATTGGAATCGGTGACATGACTAAGCAGTCATTTCCTGTCATTCGCAAATATATGTCACTCAGGCTGTTACCACGATTCACCATCTTTTCGGGCGCAAACTGCTCCCTGTGCGACGTGCGTTTCTCCAGCTGCCAGTCCTGCCGCCTCCCGACTCATACGATCTCCTATCAAGATCGCTAAGCTTGAGCTCAGTCGCGTTCGCCAAACTGTGAGCTGCGGGCTCACCCAATTTAGCTGCCCGCGCCCTCACACTGTCTAGCGCCCATTCGAGATCGACACGGTCGACATTCACGCGCCAGGCAACGAAAAGTGGAACAAGAAATATGTGTATTGGATCCCTGCGCTGCACCTAGACGGACAGGAAGTCGCCAAAGGCCGCTGGGACGCAACGAACGTGAACGCGGCGCTGGATCGATGGGAGGAGAATCGGAGGAAGACGCAGGGAGTGGACAAGAAGGCGTCGTGATAGGCAGTGAGGTAGATACATGTTGCGCCTACCTTCAGTCTCCGAACTTTTACTGAGCACTATCATGCGCTAGCCTACGTTGCCGTTCTACAGCCAGCCTTACCCCGCCCACCAAGGCGTATGGGAACCGTCTGGACTGTACGCCCGGTACAACGACAATAACGATGGCGACGACGATATCCATCCTCTGGGTTCACCCGACCGGCTCCCGCCAGATCCGTACGCTTCCAGCAACACCCAGCCGCGGTGCTTCAACTGCGGCGACCAGACACACGTGCTGTCGGCGTGCCCTCACCGCCGTGACGCCGCGCTCGTCGCGCTCTCGCGGCAGATCTACGATTTCGAGCACGCGCGGGGCGGCGCGGCGCGCAGTCTGAAGGAGTTCGCGGAGCGACTGCGCAAGGCGGATTGGGTCGCCGGGCCGCACGCGTTTGTTCCCGGGAGAGTGAGCTTTGAGCTGCGTAGGGCGTTGAGGTGGCGCGCGGACGGCGAGGAAGAGGAAGAACAAGTGGGGGGAGACGATGTCCTAGACGATAGCGACCCAAGATGTGAATGTGACGACGACGGACGAGATCATCCGTGGTTGAGCAATATGGCGCTGTGGGGCTATCCGCCTGGATGGGTTGCGGTGCAGGATCCTCGAGAGGAGATGTTGGCTAGGATCATGCACGAGAACAACCAAGACGACGACAGCAGCGACGGGGAAGGTGTGATGAAGATATGGGGCGAAAACGGGGAAGAAGAGATCCTGCTTACTCCCGACCCCGCACGCTCCTCGATGGACGCTGAAAGCGTAGCCCCGACATCCGACAAGATGGTCACGATGAAGCGATGGGCGCAGTATCCGGACCTGCATTTTGTGTGGGATCGACTGACGGTCTATAACGGTCTCCTGCTCAGCGAACATGGGCTTCGCCCGCCTCCTCTGAGGGGTCCACCCCCAGAACCTACAGAACGGCCACCTCCGCCACCACCAGACCCTCCGCCACCAGAACCTCTACCTCCCGCACCGCCTGTCTCTGTCACAGCTTCATTTTATCAGTCGCAGGGGTATCCGTCCTACGGTTACTATTGGCCGGCTGGTACTTATGCCGTTCAGACGTACGCTCAGTCAGCGCAGAGCGAGTCTGTGGCTCTACAGGATCAGGGAGAAGAGGAAATGGATCTATCTGATTGATTCAACTCTTCGTCGCTTTTGAATAGAATTCTCTATGTTCGTTACCCGTATTGGTGCTTGGCGCAAATGGGGATCAAGTTTCCAAATACAGATCGGAGGCGTAGAGCGTTGTGCAGCTGAGGTTAGGGCTACAACGAATCACTCTCTACTTCCAACTTTCTATTCCCAAGGCCGTACGCCACGCCACGTTCTCGAGTCCTAGTCTCTTAGCTCGTCGGAGGAGTCCCTCAAGACACTGAGGACAACACTTGTGCTCCATGGCTCTCTCGCACACGCCGGAACTTCTCCGAGCGCACGTTCGAAACAAAATTCCAGGCTGCCGCACTTTGGGACGAGCTTCTGGAGCCATCTGCAAATTTTTCCAGGATATCAAGCTACATGTTTCCATTATCTGCGAAAGAGCCCGTTTCGGCGGATACGGATTGCCGAGCACACTATGATATGGAAGAAATGTATCCTGACATCTGCCCTCGGACTTTCACGCTCCTCTCAATCTACTGGAAGGACATGACGGGTTTCAAACTCCAGTATCAGAACATCAATGAACCAAGCGGCTCTCCAAGTAGTCAACATACGCCCGACAGATTCCGCAAGATCGCCCGACAGATTCCTCGAGATCAGCGTGGGCAAGGAATCGACCGCTTCGAGAAAATCTATCTTGCCCAGTCGAATGGGATATCTTCATGGGTCAGGCGGCCGGCACACTTTGCGTCAAGACGTCGTTGTGGACGAACGGGACGAACTTTTCACGACTCCCAAACACTTTGCACGCCGCAGGAGAATACCGCAACGAAATGAAGACAGATCAGGCGGAATCGGATCATCACAACGGGGCTGTGAAATCTCGCTCATGCACGCTTTGCATGCCACCCTTTGAGCGCTGGGATCGCTTTGTTGGCTGCCTGCTACAAAGCCGTTTCACGCTTGCGCCAAGTAATATTACGATGGCGCTCTGGGCAGCGCTTTGGGTCGATCTCACGTGTCTATGACCTGAGGACCTGATAAAGGTGCATCGAGTAACGTGATTGTCCGCACTCGCGTTTGCCCCCCACGGCCTCCGACGAGATATGCACGCAGGCGAGATCGAGTCTTCCGCAGACGCCAGGAACTCTTCCAAGACGCGCATGACCCAGGCTGAGAAACGGAAAGAGAAGCGTCGCCAGAAGACGAGCTCAGATCCGAGGGACCATATCGACCGCCGTGGTTATTGCGCTTTGTGCTTCAACGGGTGCGTTCTGCGACTTTTTGCACTTCCTAGCCACCTGAGAGCTTTTCTGCAGAGGAGAAACCATCCACTCTCCCTGCTCTCAGCATGTGAACTCTGATCTCTGCCACCGTATGCGCAAAGAGCGTTTCGGTCCCCACGCGCTGGACTCCCAAGACGATCGATTGCGCATACAGAGGAGGACTGCGACTCATGCGCTCTGCGTCCAGGGTAATGAGTTCTGGCGGCTGCCGAAGAGCGTCTGGGCGACGGCGGCAGAGCTGTGGTGGGCCTGGCTGCTCGACAGGACCAACAACGGCTTGCCATTTCCGACTCTCCAGTCGCTCATGGATGATAACGATGTCGTGGACGAGAAGGATGGAGATGAAGAGCAGGAGGTTGAGAAGTTTGGACACGAAGTCGGGGAGCTCGAACAGGATGCGAACACGACTGCGGCGGTCCCATTTCCGTTCACTTTCGCCTATCCGATGTGCCCTAGTCCATTTTTCCACCCTGACGCGGGCCTACTGGGGTCTGCTTACTACATTCATACACCTACCTCCTACGCGACTCTCCGCTCTGCCCCACTTCGCGTCAACTCTTTTTCGCGGCGCTCGACACCGGAATCAGACACGTCCGGTAACCCCACACTCGACTCGTGGGCGTCTCCTTGTCCTGAAACTCAAATCGAGCAGTACTTTGGCCATGATCTCCCGGCTCAGGACTTGGATTCCGGGATTGAGGACGACGATCGTGGGACTGGACAGTGCTCAGCCTACGATGGAATAGGAATCGAGACCGCCCAGGTCTTCGCATTGTTTGAGGAGAAGTTTGGGACGTACGAGAACCCCCGGAATGAATTTCTATTTGATGAGTTCTGAACTTATGCAACACTTGTCTGTTGCAGTTAGCTGTAATTCTGGGCTTCTTGTACACATGCTCTCTGAGATGTACCGCTTCTACTCACTGTAATACATATCCTCAGCACTACAATGGCCATGCGCGTCCCAAATTTTGTCTCAGCCGATGAACGTCTCCCGCTTTGTTTATGTGGATATTCGATTATTTCGATGCATATCATGTACCATCGAAAGCACTACGTACAAAAGTACTACAGCGAGTCGTCGGACACTGGGGGCACGTTTAGTTTCGTTGCAAGCAGCTTCTGTAATGAGTCGATGGTTGCAGCGCTCCCTGCGAGATCCAGTGCAGCTCCTCCGCGAGGGCTCTGCGTCAGCAAGTGCTGTGCACTGGGGATGCGGAGGGGCGAATCTTGTCGGCGAGCCATGTGTGCAGCCTCGCGACCGGAAGCACCGCCACTGGCAGGCTCTTTGGTGAGCGCATGCTCTTGCTTCGTCTTCAGCTCGTCCTGGGCGACGTAGGGCCGCGTTCCGGGGAAATATGGATTTATCCGGCGGGGGCTGTCGTACCCAGGGTGGGCTGTGACGTGCAAGCGAACTTGTGTGTCTTCCAAACCATTGGAGATGTCAGTGCCAACGACGGTCGGCACTTTCTCGACCATCAGCGCATCCGTCGTCTGGGGCCGCATCAGTGTCACCGACTTCAGCCACAGATCGCGGTTCGGTTGCCCGTCCTGCATCAGCGCAACCCGTCCATTGGTAGCCCCGGGTTTGATGCGGGCGGCGACACCGGCGAAGGCCGCAACAGAGTGCCCATCCTTCAATTGGAATCGACCGACGGTGTTGACATCATGCATCACAAATCCAGGCTTGGGCTTGGAGAGAAAGAACGAGTGCACCACCGAAGGGTGAGAGTACATCAGTCCCCCGTTGCGGTGCGGCCGAGGCTCGATCTTGTTGGTCGTCTGGTACTCCTTCGCGGTCTGCTGAGAGATGAATCTTTGATGGTATTCGCCGACGTTGGCCTGAGCGACGTCAAAAGCTCGGCGCTGTCCATTACCGAGAGGCTGGCCTGCCCGAGCCTCGACTGTCTGCAGATACTCCTTGAAGGCAGGACGCTTCGCGCGCAACTGAACGAGGTATCTCGCGAATTCCTGCGGCGTCATCGCATGGATATTGGGCACGAGATACGAAGGTGGCCGGGAGGCTTTGGGCCCGTACTTCGAAGGTCCCTTGTTGCCGAGATGCTCGATGTAGACGCGGTTGTCTGGATTCCTCGACGGCTCCTGCTGCGCAGTGGGCGAGGCTTCTGTCTGTGCGTTGTCCGCCAAGTCCGACGCGGAGGGAGAGTCGAGATCTGCAGCCGTTTCTGCTGTAGTTTCGCCTTCAGTCTCGGCAGACACCTCCACAGCAGACGCGTCTGCTGGCACTTGCGCGGGTTCCGAGAGCGCGCCCTCGATGACAGAGTCGAGACCAAAAGCACCGTCGACATTGGGAGCTATGACACCGGAGAGGGCGGTGATAGCGTCGCCAGAGTTGCCGTCTTCGGTGGCGGAAGCGGAAGATTCATCGCCCAACGAAGGTGCCCAGTGCTCAACAGGAACAGGACTGAACTCCGAGTCTATGGCCCAGTTCCTACGGGTGTCGCCAATTTTGAGAGACCACGCAGATTCACCCCGACCTCCAGCGACCACGTCGAGCTCTTCCATTCGGCGTACGAACCGCACCTGGTCCTCTGCGTTGTCCCATTCTACGTAGTGCTGACGAGCCTCGAATTGTTTGACCGTAATGAAGGAGTTCTTCTTCCGCTGGGTGATAGGTCGCTTGAGACCCCAATACCCGCGCTGCGCGAACTGCTTGGGCGCGGTATACGTCTTGCGGATGTTGGGGTCGAATGTTGCGAAACGTGAGCTCCGAAGGAGTTGGGAGAAGGGGGACGACGGGTTCTGGGCCACGTTTTGGGCCGCTGTCGCTATAGATGAGGCGGATGCATGGCTGGAAGAGCTCGCAGCCGCTGCAAACGCTCTGGACATGAATGTTTTGAGAGGAAGAACTTTTGAATGGACAATTTTGGGGCTCCGCAATCAGCCGACAGTGATTCAATCAAATACAGATCACGTGCCAAGGAAATGCATATAAACTGAATCCGTGCGTGATTCGTTTTTGAAAAAAACCACGATGTCCAAATTACTGTTCGTCCTCCGCCGTCCGGCATATCGCAAGGAAGGATAGTCCAGACAAACGTCGGAGATGGCGCGACCTCGTCGCGAGGACTCCTTAAAACAGTCTTTGCTGAATGTTTCTCCCTCTGGTCGAGAAGCTAGGACGCAGGACCACCTATGGAGTCCGACATATCCTGGTGTCTTAGGAGTACCGATGTGGTTGTCTTACTGTAGTGGATCAATGTATGTGAGTTTGCTTCTCGTATTGTATTTCATTTCTGCCTGCGGCGCCGATGACGAAAAAACTGGTAAATCGACGCACCCCGGCCCCGCTGAAGAGGTCTTTTGGCTTCGAAGCGGCGGTTTCTGCATCGTGACAGGCGGCGTCCTACCTCTGTGTAAGGCACTGGCGATAGCGGTGCGAGTGGAGAGCTTAAGGCGAGGCTGAGGTGCCGACGGATTTCGCTTTCTTGCATTCGCTTGTGTTGCCCCATGAAGCTTACAGTCTTTCTTAGGTCCTGTACACATCAGCACCCCTTTTGATAGTCCTCGGGCCGTTAGGTAGCTAGAAAATAAGGAGTACTGCATGACCGCTTAGTGGCGGAATTTCGTCCAGTATTTCGCAAGCTTGCGTAGAATACAGAATACATTCGGTTTGCAAGAGGTGCTTTATAGGCCGGTCAGGGTCCGCAGTGCATCTCTTACGTTCCCGTTGTGCTCGACGAGGACACGTTCTGCCTCGGCTTTGGGAAGCTCAAACTCAGACACCTGATGCACGATAAACGGGTCGGCGCGTTATCCCAAAAGACAAGCACGCACAATGAGCTCCACGTCCTCCTTCTTGATCGAATCGCGCTGCGCCTTGGTCAACGGGGTATTTTTGTGCAGGACGATGGGCGGTTTATCGAGAAAACCGCCAGGCCGGAGGGCTTCCTGCATAGCGGATTTCACGTATGAGAACCCATCGAGGTACTAGATGTCGTCGGAGTATATTCGTATCCCATGCATTATGTGCGCACGGTCTGGGTAACTTCAGGCTCGGGCCGGCCGTTAGTGCGCGCGGTAGACATTTGTGGTCGGGGGGTGGGAGGACCGAATAGGGCAAGTCACACTTGTGACTGGGATAAGATTTCTCGTTCGACGTTCCTTCCTGTTCCCCTCTTTCCCCAGCGTCTCTCTCACTCTCAATGGCTGAAGAAATCCGTGCCTCATCCTACGTCGGTTTCGACTCGATCACCCAGCAGATTGAGCACAAGCTCCTCAAGCGGGGTTTCCAGTTTAACGTCATTCTTGCTGGTGCGTCTCCGTGTTTGACGCTACGCAAACACCGTCCTTACCTCGGCCTCTCCTCCCTTTCCTCATAGGACAAACGGGTCTCGGAAAGTCGACCCTCATCAACACCATCTTCGCGTCGCATTTGATTGACTCTAAGGGTCGTTTTGCGTCTGACGAGCCGGTGAGGCAGACAACGGAGATTCAGGCGGTGTCGCATGGTGTGTGCTACGTGGTTCCCACCCCCAGTCCTTTGCTCATTTGGGTACTCCCACCTTTAGTTATCGTTGAGAATGGCGTCAAGTTGCGTCTGAACATCGTCGACACGCCTGGCTACGGCGACCAGGTCAACAATGAAAACTGGTACGTAAACAGGTCCCTCGTGTCGAGCTCTTTCGTCCTCATACATTTGGTAGCTGGGACCCTATCATCAAGTACATCAAGGACCAGCACAGCGCGTACCTCCGTAAGGAGCTCACCGCCATGCGTGACAGGTATATCCAGGACACGCGTATCCACTGCTGTCTGTATTTTATCGCCCCGACCGGACACTCCCTGCGCCCGATCGACGTCATTGTCATGAAAAAGCTCAGCGAAGTCGTCAACGTCGTCCCTGTCATCGCCAAGTCCGACAGTCTGACCGTGGAGGAGAAGGAGGCCTTCAAGCTCAAGATCCGCGAAGAGCTCGTGTACCACAACATCCGGCTGTATCCCTTCGACACGGATGAGGACGACGACGAGGAAGTCGCTGTCAACGAAACCATCCGCGTGCGTTTGGTCACATAAATGACCGTCTAGCAGGGTCGCTGACAGGATCGCAGGCAATGGTTCCCTTTGCCATCGTTGGGTCCGAGACCAACGTCATCATCGACGGAAAGTCTGTTCGTGGGCGCAAAAACCGTTGGGGTGTCGTGAACGTGGAGAACAAGGAGCACTGCGAGTTCATGCACCTGCGTGATTTCCTGACACGGACTCACCTGCAAGATCTCATCGAGACAACGGCGCAAATCCACTACGAGGCTTTCCGTTCGAAGCAGCTGCTGGCCTTGAAGGAGGGTGTGAACCGCCCCGCGCCCGCCGCTTAAAGCGGCTGGCTGGCTGGTGCGCTGTTATTCTATACCCCGACCCGAAAATGGCTTTGTTTCTTGTGTTACCCGGATTTCCTCCCGTTTCTGGACCCTACGTACCTAGTTGCTCCCACTTGTCCATAGCTCACGCTCGTTTTCACTTCTATCATACTGCATTTCATGAACGAGCCGGTCCAAGAAGCGCAGCACAAAGCAACACAGAGGAGAGACATTCATTCATTACCAATTATAAAGATACGCTAACAGTACAGATCGTAAAAGTATCATCGTGAATCATGGCGCACCCCGCCCGCGTATTGTCGAAAAGACAGCCCGCAACCGCCCAGGCCTGTGAGCACTGTCCAAGTTCACCCTACTCGCGTGCGCTTCGGACAAATTCGTCTGCATGCGGCGCATTGCAACCCCGCCTTCCTCGGTCGCAAAATCAAACCCGCGGTGCACAGAGCGCATGCCCGTAGCCATGTCTGTCCGGCTCCCGCTTCTAAAGTCACCCGAGGGGCGACGAGGACTTTGGGCTGACGGTGCAATCGAGCCCACGCTCGAATGCGTCGTCGTCTGGCGCTTGAGCGCGGCGAGGCGATGAGAGCTGTGTCCCTCCCGTCGCAGTTCTTCCACGTCGTGGTCTGGCTCGGTTTTGCTGATGTATCGGAGGATGTCCAGGTCACTGGGGCGGAAGCAAGATTGGTATGCTTTCCAAAGGAATCGGGGTGCCAGCGCCAGGATAACCGCAAAAATGAGCGCCAGCCAAAAGTAGGCCGAGCGGAACAGATAGTGGTCGTTTCCGTACACAGGAGTCCTGATCCAGCCGGGCGAAATCAGAGAGTAGATGGCCTGGAGGGGGTAAGCACGGAGAAACGGTCTGTCTGACTGCAACACCGACCGTGTAGCCCCAAATCAAGACGATCCCCAACAGCACTGCGAAAAACACCCATCCTGTCCACACATTTGTGTTGAGGCCATTGAAAAGGTTGGCAACCATGGCAGCCGCAATCGCCATCGTCTACCAGAAGTCATCAGATCGGAACAGGTAGACTGATAGCTAGGAACTTTACCGTTGCAAACTCGTACTGGTAGACAGCATACCCGTCTGATCGAGCCGTGGTCGTATCATACGTGTACAGAATGAAGAAGAAGATGATGGCCGACTGGGATTCTCTCCATGAGCACGAGAAAGAGATATTCTGGTCGAATAACTGACCTGGAATACGCCTTCGAACATGAAGACAGAAAAAAGCTTGAATCCAAACCACTTTCCCTCGCGGCCGAATCGATATAGCTCAGGGAAAGCCATGAGAGTTTTCGCGTCTTTCATTGAATTAACGTCAGACCGGAGGAACAACAACTCGCCCAGACTCACCAATGAGACGGTCGAACAGGCCAATCGCAATCACGGGCGCTATTGTCCAGAAGGCGTTCCACCATAGCAGATACGTGTACTCAAAAGCACTGGTGACGGCCAGTTAGAAAATTATCGAACGCTCGCGCAGCATCTGTCTCACTAAGCAGAACTCCATCCGTTGTAGATCTGGAACCACCACAGCACGCCAATGCACACGATGTTCTTGTAGAAGAAATTGACGATCATGTTACCCTGCACAAGAATTCTCAGCCAGAGTCAGATGCGGCGAAAATCAGATACTCACATTGCGAGCATAGGACCAGTGGCCGTGGACGAGCAGTAGCCGTTTCAAAAACCGGAACTGATAACATGTAAACTTGACAAAAGAAACCAGCATAAGGGAACGCACCTGAGCGATGGCATAGTCCGACGAGTGCACTGCCTGTAGACCCTCTTCACCAGAAACGCCAACACCAACGTCAGCAGCCTAAGCATGAATTGAATTCAGAACCAATAAAGATCAGAAAATGGCAAGGCAACATACCTGGATCATGCTGACATCGTTGGCCCCGTCGCCGATCGCCAGCGTCATCGCACCTATGCCATCCTTGACGAGGCGCACAACAAGCGCCTTTTGAAGAGGCGACACCCGACAGCAGATGACGCCCTCACACAGCATTGCAAGCTGCAGCAGAACGTCCTTGCTATGCTCTTCGACCAAAGCCTGTCCAAGCAGCGTAAGCATGCCTACAAGGAGAAGCTATTTGGGAGCACTCACATGACCCAGCGCAGTCCCGTCGATGACGAGCACAAATCCGCCCGGGCGGTTGCCGTTGTTGGCCCCGACGATGGACGAGACACCGGTGTTTACCCGCCGCAAAGGATGGCCGGGTTGGCTGGCGGAGGAAGAATGACGTCGGTGGTGGAGCGTCGGTCTGACTGAGCCCTGATCATTCAGAATCCCGCTCTCAGGGAAGAACTCCTCGATTGCGCGAGTCATCTGGTCTAACACCGATCGCGAGCCCTCGTCCCCACCGCGCAGAACGATGATATTGGATTCTTTGCCGATCAGGTTCGTGCTGTGTCCGATGGCTGGCACGGCAAACAAGTCAGTCTAAATGAAACACCCTGCACTTGGGCCACACACCAATGGCAGTCTCGAGCTTGTCGCCAGTCGCAACCCAGATCTTGATCCCAGCGCGCTTCAAGTCGGCGATCGTCTCCGGAACACCATCTTGCAGTCGGTCTTCGATGGCGGTCGCTCCCAGCAACCTGAGATCGCGCTCAATCTCGCTGGACACAGACTCAACCAATTCCTCCCGATTTTCGACGGCGACGGTGGCATCGTGATATCGCTGGCTCCATGTATTGTACTCGTCGTCTGCAAGGAGGGATCAGTACATGTAAGTGAATCTTCCCAAATGACCACGAACCTGGTATAATCTTGTACGCTAAAGTCAGCGTCCGCAACCCTTGTGATGCGAAATCATCGAGGTGCTGCTCGGTCTCCTCCAAGAGCCTATCCGCAGACCCCGGTTTCAGCCGCTCGAATATGACGTTGTCCGCTCCTTTGCAGAGCAAAAACAGCCGTTTGTCGTCCCCATCGAGTTTGCGAACAATCACGCTCATCCGCTTGCGAGCACTGGTAAAGTCCAGGATATTCAGCAGCTCATAACGTTCGACCGTGCCTACTGGCGTGAACGGCGTCTGCAGCAAGAGAACCTCACGCTCCCGACCACGGAACACATAGCCGACGTCGGCAGCTGCCTGGACGAGCGCAGCCTCATCCGGGGACTGGGCTTTGTACGCCGTGACTTGGCCCGTTTCCGCGTCCGTGGCCGCGAGAGCCGTATGACAAAGGGAGAGCACGGAGAAGAATCCGTGCAAGGCCCGAGAGTGTTCCGCATTCGGAGCATCGGGGCCGGCATGCACTGCTGCAGCAAGATCTGCAGCAAGGGCGGCGTCTTGGAACTTGGGCTTGGGAATCGGCGGCAAGGACGGCGAGCCGTCGTTACTGGAGTCGACTGCCGTTGAGGATTCCCCGGAAGAAAGTCGGGTGTTCAGCGCAGATGAGGGAATGGGGTCGGACTGGGTGGCAGCGCCTTGCCCAGTGTAGATGGTGCCACCGATTGAGCATCCTTGGAATACCATGGAGTTCTGGGGAATAATGAGCTCAAGTGATGATAAGCGTCACAATAAGGCAAGGCGGACGTACTTGAGTCAAAGTCCCTGTCTTATCAGAAAAAATGTACTCGATTTGACCCAAATCGTCGGACAAGTTCCAACTACGAGCGAGAGTTGCTTGTTTAGTCTTCTCGTAGTAGATCTCGTAGTCGAAGTAGATAAAAAGCGCTTGACATGTCCGGACGAATTCGATCGAAATATACAGCGAAATGGGGACTATGTTCTGGAAACTGTGCGTAGTGTCAGAAGCGGAAAGCAAACAGATGCTGAACGTTCACGGACGTGATGAGAGCAAATGCCCATGTGATGAGCCCATTGATCCTCGGATTGTCGTTGCTTCTGTCATCGTCGAATAGCCAAGGAGCCCCTCTCGGGTAGTCACGTTTCTCCAGCTGAGAATCGACAATCCCACAGACCACTGCCATAACGGCCAGAAGAATGAGATTTGAAGCGCTATCCGAGATGAGTAAAGCGCTTCGACGGTGCACGACACACGTACACTTGGGGATTCATCTGGCGCTCCACTTTACTCCGCTTACTCGGCGCTCCACCAGAATTCTGCACGATCTTTGTGTCCTCGCCCGTGAATAACACCACGCCGATGACCCATCGCGTATTTCGGAGGACCGTCCCCCGTAACAGGGTCATGGTCAAATCAGCAGGAACCGCCCCATCTTTGAGGTGTACCGCGCAATTAAGCCGAAACATATTATTGTCCGGGCGGTCGCAATCGACGTGGAACGCGTTCTCCGGTGCAGCGCAGGCCGCCGAATCGCGCAGATGCGTGAGCTCGGGAACAGCGTTGCGGGATTTGAGATTGGTTTCTCCGTCCAGGTTCTTCGTCTCGACGAATGCCACATTCTCGTCCTCTGACGTCGCGCAGATGAGGATGTCCGCGGGAACCTGCTCATCCTCTGCGATCTTCAGAAAATCCCCCACGCGCACATCTTCCCACCGGGCCACCTTCCATCCGCCGTCGTCATCCCCGTCGGATGAAGCAGCAGCAGCCCCAGCCGCAGCATCTTTCTCCAGAGACTTCTTAGTGCGCAGACCCCTGACGAAAGTGCGGTTCCTGGGCTGCATGCGGTTCGGGTTCTCCCATCCCTCGGCGTCGAGGACGAGTACAGGACTTTGGTTGACTCGGCTGTCCGACTGATGTCGCTTTGCATCTTCATATGCATCCTTGCCCCCCGTGATAGCGAGAATAACCAGTAACGGGAAGATAACGAGGCCGGGCGAGATGGTGGAGAACTCGCTGAAGAACTGCAGGATCGCAATTCCCAGAAAAAACCTGGAGAATGAGAATCAGCCCTTTGACCCGAGCGGATTTTAAGGAAAGATGCGCGCGCACACGTTAGCGACTCGGCGGAACTGTTCAAGTAGATTGCGCGGAACGAAGGTGATCAGGGTGTACTTGGAGGTGATGACTTGGTTTGAGGGATAGACATGCTCGGATTGAATCTTGCCCTTATTGGTGAAAAACTCGCCAGGCAATGGCTCGTTAACGTATACTGTTCGCTTGGGCCCTGGCTGTCGCTTCCGTGAGAAGAGTGTTTCAACATTGAAGTCCGCGACTTTGTGGTACCAACGAGCGACGGCCGACTGTCGTTTAGGAGACATAGTGGGGGTCGATGAGAGGATTAGTTATGGATGGCAAGCATGCTCGTGGCGGTCTAGGTGTAAGTACCCCGTATTCTGCCGTGTCGGAGTCTCCGCAAGGAGGAGACACAGCTGTGACAAGTGGCCTACGTACGAGACATTACGTCACATCGTGGGCTGGGCATACATCACCGGTACCGCTCCCACCGAAAAAGCATGAGGGCACTCGAGGATTCTTGTCGTGCCAATGTTTCGCCATCCACAGCGTGCGTCCGCCTTTTTTGGACTTGCTGCAGGTGATTCTGGGAAATCAGAGAGGAAGCTTCCATAAACAGGCAACGGCTTGTTTCTAAATATTTCACGGAACCATTTCGAGTAATGTCAATTAGATAAATGCCGGGACCGACGGAGAGACAGTAAGCTCAATTGTTGGCGCCACCGATTATCGGAGAATGTACAGAACAGTCTAGTGCTCACAGAACGGAAGCTGGACTTCATCCCTCGACCTATCGGCTGCGCGCAAAGCTGGTTTGTTTCAGAGTCATTGACAAACTCAATGCCTTCTTGTAGAAAACTGGAAAGGGTGCTCGCGCTTGTACTCGCGTTCGACATATATTCCAAAACGGCAGGCATATCTGAAGATGTTGCCGACACCTTGAGCCAAGGAATCAGAACGCTATGTTACTGTAAGAGAGGGTGGATCTGAAGAGGGGTGCCAGCATTTCAGCATTCGAAACCATCGTGCGCTGGCCGCCCAAAATGATGCCCGATAGAGACGCCTGGATTGGATTGCTTTGTAGGAAAAAGCTGAAAAGCCAATGAAACTGAATCCCAGATAGATTTTCGTGGAGTTGTTAGCACCCGACATCGACTCCGACCGCGGTGACCTGCCCCGAGTGGTCGTGGTGGCGAGCATCCAGGAACGGGTTGACCTCCAAGCCCCCATTCGGACTATACTGAAAAGACATTCGGATAACTATGTCGCTCAGGCAGCCGACTCGATTGCAATGTGCACTGGGAACAAACTAAATCGCTAATCGGATTGATCCTCCAGATTTAGTTCTGTGAAGCGGTTCTGTGGCAGAATGTCTTGAGCTGTGATTCGGCCAGTGGATGATGCTATTGTGACCTTTTTGATACTTTACCGTCCGTCCGCCGCCACCGATGCGGACATGGGGTATCCGATCAGTGCTTTGGCGTTTCCTTTTGCAACAATATTGCTGTTCTGGCCGTTGTCGACACCATCCCTTCCCCGCTTTCGAGAAGGTGCATCGGGCACGCTTTCGCTGTGTTCCAGTGCGTCCCAGCGTTCGTTTTGTTCAAGCATCGTTGAAAACACTTCAGACATTTCTTCGTAAGACAGCTTCTCTGGGGTTGTGACGGTGGCCGTAGAAGATTTACGCGGAAAGGGATTGGCCTGTGCGTTCTGTGCCTGGACCATAGTGACCAGACGTCCAGAGAGCTCGTGGAGCACAGACCCAGTAGGACCGAGAGTCTCAAAGTCTAGAACCCACAAGAATTTCTTGCCACTGGACGAAGGACCAAACAGATCCGCACAGGTGTCCTTGCCTGCGCAATGAATCTCAGGCCGAGTGTGTCGGAGGACCGTCCAGATCAGCAGCCAGTAGAACGACTCGAGATCATGGTAATGTTCATGAGTGTCTGCTCGCTCCAACGCAAGATCGAGCGCAAGGAAAGGCAGAGTACCCTGTAAACAATCGTCAATGGTCGCTGCACAAGAATGGAGACCACCATACGACGAACCGTGAGTTCCTTGATAGTCTTGCTGATGCTTGGGTAGTAGAGCGAGTGCACCGTGCCCAGCCTTGCATGAACCTGTTTCAATGTTTCGAGGCCCTCCTCACTGAATTCGGCGTAGTCGTAGTCGAGCAGAAAGCCCCGTACTTCCGCACTGTACGCATCGAACATCACATTCCCGTGGCTCACGTCTCGGTGTCTGACCCCGGCTCCCTCAGCGATGTGGAGATCTACATATCCGTCAGAAGCTCAGTCTACCGAAGAATCGCAAAACCCACGTTTGAGGCCGTCGTAAAGGCCCTCCACGAGCTCTCGCACGGACGAAAACGTCGACAACCGGTGCCCAACGGGAGTGAGCAGTGTCCGCGTATGATACCGCGCAATCAGGTCGCGCTCCGGCTCAGGCAGCAGGTCCACAGACGCAGTCCTGTGCAGCGAGGGATCCCACGTGGCATCCTCCGCGGGAATCGACGGGATCCGGAACGACATGTCGAAGCAGCCGTGGCACTGCGCCATCCCAGTCGTGTCGATGCCCTTCTGTCGGCAGCACTCGCGGATCACATCGTAAAAGTCGACTTCCGGTCGACGAGACCCTTGGCGCCAGGAATCCTTCAGCGCGTAAACAGTCGGATTGTCAGCGTCGAGATCTTCGCGCAGAATCACGCGGAACACTTTCGTGGCGCGCCCGAACAGACTGTGCGACGCCCAGAGCAGCGGTCCCACGGTGAGGCAGTGGACGAGCTTATACGACCGTCGCCCGGTCGCTTCGTCGTCTTCGAACATCACCGTCGGGATCACGCAGCTGTGTGCGAGCCAGTCGTCGCGTCGCAGCTCGCTTTTCTGCGCCTTTGCCAGTTTCCGCAGTCGGCTCGCTTTCTCGGCGTTTGTCGTCCGAGAGGCAGCCGCGGCGCCGCTGTTTTGGCCCGATGTACTGACCGGCTCGTCGGGCTGCTGCTCGAGCTCTCCCGCCTCCCTCAACATGCATTTCACACGTCGAACCATGGCGGCGTGCAGCCGCTCTCTCTCCGCCTGCTCCGTCGGCACGATCGTGTAGTCGTCGCCCAGCATCCGGCCGGGATGGCCGCGCGGATTGTAGAGACGATACAGAAAACGCGGAAGGACTGTCGGCTTGTCGTACCAGTCGAACGCCGGCGTGGCTTGGTAGCCGGCCGTGTCGAACCGAAAGAGGTGGGCGCTGCGACCGATGAAAGTGACGAGATAGATGCACCATGCACCCGAAGCCGCGAGCAGGCTACGCGCCCTCTCGCCCCACTCCGCCAGGGGGCCTGTGGATTCGTCTTCGTCGTCGCTCCGGGGATAGTACATCATTTCTCCGGTGCTGCTATCCCTCTCTGCCACGATGAAGTTCAACGAGTCTTTCACCTCGAAGAACGTCCCGATCTGGGACCAACGTAGCGGGTTGCCCTCTTGCGGCGCAGGAATCCCTGGCCGAGTGAAGGCAATGTCGGGCTGGGTCTTATGATCATGGTTGCCATCGGAAGAGGATATCGCTCTTTCTTGTGTGGCTAGGACAGAAGGCCTCGTGCCTTCAGGAAACTCCGACACGACTTGTTGAAGGTAGGGAATCTCGTAGCCAGATAAGCATTAGATCCACCTGGGAGTATAGCACACACTAGCCGATCAACGAGTGGGTTCTCTCGTCCTTCATACGATAGAGGCAACGAGTCTTCGCTTTCCGTCTCTTCTCTCTCACTTGCTTCGCGCTCTTGGTCAAACAGGTCACATCTCTTGTGCGCTTCATCAAGTTGACTTTGAGCCCCAGAAACTGCATTCATGATGAACGCCGCCTCCTCCTGTCCATCTTTGCCCATGGTCTCCAGCATCTCGTTCACAGAAATAATACCCCTCAGATGTTCTCGCATGATAGAATCCGACATTTCGTGCTCGTCTGTGTTGTCAAACCAGAGAGAATCGTGCGTGGTGTAGCCAATGAGATAACAAGGTCTGAGCTACGGACCGCGTAGGCTGCGCTTTAAGAGTTCAATGGGGCTAATTGGAGAGGATGAGAGTGAGCTCAAAGGGGCGGTTGGGCGGATTGGCCAATGATCGGTCACATGACGACATTATCACCGACGGTATGATTTAGTAATTATCACGATTAGTATCATCCCCAATTAGGACCCACTCAACACAATCACTGGAGCCAGAGATTCAGAAACATCTGAACGCAAATTGGAACCATGTACAGTCATCTTCATACCATAATCAGTCCAGAGGAAATGCTAGTGCTCATGAGGGATGCCGAGCAGAACGACGACGACGCGGACAGATTAGTGGCTGCGCTCGCGGAGAAGCCGCAGGTTCAGTGCAAGCTGGCAGAGGCCCGCCAATGGTGTGACTGGTTGGATGGTCAAGGTGAAGGGCGGCGCGACGACTTGCTGATCGATTGTCTCGTATGTGCCCGCGGTGGAGTTACTTTGAAATTGGGCCGACTTCGCACAGGTTTCCTATCTACAACAAGTCGTGTCGGAGTTTCCTGAAGGCACGAGGCCTTCTGTCCTAGCCACACAAGAAAGAGCGATATCCTCTTCCGATGGCAACCATGATCATAAGACCCAGCCCGACATTGCCTTCACTCGGCCAGGGATTCCTGCGCCGCAAGAGGGCAACCCGCTACGTTGGTCCCAGATCGGGACGTTCTTCGAGGTGAAAGACTCGTTGAACTTCATCGTGGCAGAGAGGGATAGCAGCACCGGAGAAATGATGTACTATCCCCGGAGCGACGACGAAGACGAATCCACAGGCCCCCTGGCGGAGTGGGGCGAGAGGGCGCGTAGCCTGCTCGCGGCTTCGGGTGCATGGTGCATCTATCTCGTCACTTTCATCGGTCGCAGCGCCCACCTCTTTCGGTTCGACACGGCCGGCTACCAAGCCACGCCGGCGTTCGACTGGTACGACAAGCCGACAGTCCTTCCGCGTTTTCTGTATCGTCTCTACAATCCGCGCGGCCATCCCGGCCGGATGCTGGGCGACGACTACACGATCGTGCCGACGGAGCAGGCGGAGAGAGAGCGGCTGCACGCCGCCATGGTTCGACGTGTGAAATGCATGTTGAGGGAGGCGGGAGAGCTCGAGCAGCAGCCCGACGAGCCGGTCAGTACATCGGGCCAAAACAGCGGCGCCGCGGCTGCCTCTCGGACGACAAACGCCGAGAAAGCGAGCCGACTGCGGAAACTGGCAAAGGCGCAGAAAAGCGAGCTGCGACGCGACGACTGGCTCGCACACAGCTGCGTGATCCCGACGGTGATGTTCGAAGACGACGAAGCGACCGGGCGACGGTCGTATAAGCTCGTCCACTGCCTCACCGTGGGACCGCTGCTCTGGGCGTCGCACAGTCTGTTCGGGCGCGCCACGAAAGTGTTCCGCGTGATTCTGCGCGAAGATCTCGACGCTGACAATCCGACTGTTTACGCGCTGAAGGATTCCTGGCGCCAAGGGTCTCGTCGACCGGAAGTCGACTTTTACGATGTGATCCGCGAGTGCTGCCGACAGAAGGGCATCGACACGACTGGGATGGCGCAGTGCCACGGCTGCTTCGACATGTCGTTCCGGATCCCGTCGATTCCCGCGGAGGATGCCACGTGGGATCCCTCGCTGCACAGGACTGCGTCTGTGGACCTGCTGCCTGAGCCGGAGCGCGACCTGATTGCGCGGTATCATACGCGGACACTGCTCACTCCCGTTGGGCACCGGTTGTCGACGTTTTCGTCCGTGCGAGAGCTCGTGGAGGGCCTTTACGACGGCCTCAAACGTGGGTTTTGCGATTCTTCGGTAGACTGAGCTTCTGACGGATATGTAGATCTCCACATCGCTGAGGGAGCCGGGGTCAGACACCGAGACGTGAGCCACGGGAATGTGATGTTCGATGCGTACAGTGCGGAAGTACGGGGCTTTCTGCTCGACTACGACTACGCCGAATTCAGTGAGGAGGGCCTCGAAACATTGAAACAGGTTCATGCAAGGCTGGGCACGGTGCACTCGCTCTACTACCCAAGCATCAGCAAGACTATCAAGGAACTCACGGTTCGTCGTATGGTGGTCTCCATTCTTGTGCAGCGACCATTGACGATTGTTTACAGGGTACTCTGCCTTTCCTTGCGCTCGATCTTGCGTTGGAGCGAGCAGACACTCATGAACATTACCATGATCTCGAGTCGTTCTACTGGCTGCTGATCTGGACGGTCCTCCGACACACTCGGCCTGAGATTCATTGCGCAGGCAAGGACACCTGTGCGGATCTGTTTGGTCCTTCGTCCAGTGGCAAGAAATTCTTGTGGGTTCTAGACTTTGAGACTCTCGGTCCTACTGGGTCTGTGCTCCACGAGCTATCGCAAAGTCTGGGCGACATGGTCTATGAACAGAACGCGAAACCCCGTCGGCTGGCACGTAAATCTTCGACGGAAGCCGCTCCAGCGAAGCTGTCTTACGAAGAGATGTCTGAAATGTTTTCAACGCTGCTTGAACAAAACGAACGCTGGGATGCACTAGAACACACCGAAAGCGTGCCCAATGCACCTTCTCGAAAGCGGGGAATGGATGGTGTTGTCGCAAACGCAAACTCCAAATTCCCAGTCGGATACCCCATGTCCGCATTGGTGGCGGCGGACCGACGGTAAAGTATCAAAAAGTTCAAAATCGCGTCGTCCAGCCGGGTTACAGCTCAGGACACTCCTCTGGAGAAATCTTGGACAGATAGGATAATCGATGATCATTAGTTTACACCAGTGAATCAGGTTGTTCATAGTACATGTACCGGGTTAATTATTCAGCGCATGGGGTCCTTGAAATTCGTTCAAGGAAGCGACCCAGTCATCATCCCACCACGCCATCTGCGCTCGCAACACATGCTCTTGCCCTCAGTTCGCAGCCCCAACCTTTACCTCGCAATGTCTGCCATGGCTCATGCCCGGCACGAGTTCGCCGTGTACAGCTTGTTTTCAGCTTTCAGCCACCTGACATATTTCTTTCCACCCTGGCATGACTGAAGAGAGAGACAGCGGGCATTGAGAACTTATGGTACCTGCTCTGTGGCTCCTTCCAACAGATAATCCAAACCGAATCATAAAAGGATAAGCATAATTTCAAAGGTCACTAACGGTATCTACTTGGCGACCCACGGTCTATTTTGGAGCGGATCGCAGGCACAGAGAGACCCGGACACCACCTCGTAGCAGTCTAGGCCGGAAATCGAGCGGTCGATTTGCCCTCCCGGCCGCGCGACGAACGACTCGTCTGCATCGCAAGCGGGTCCGCAGGCCCATCTCCGTGCATGAGATGATCCAACTCGGGCGGCCACAGACGGAAACCAGGTCTCAAGGAGGTCGACACCCAAACCCAACGTCAAGGTCCACTCAGAAAACGGTCACGCCGGACTGAGTTCCGGTGTACTGGCTCTTCATGTCGTCCAGATCCGCAGCATCGTCCTGGCTCTTGTAGTCGTATTGCGAGAGACTCCCCGCGTCGCTGATCCCGGCCACACTCGAGCTGCCGAACGAGGGGCGCCGGCCCCGGATCCTGTCGCTCTGCGAGTATGCGATGTTGCTCGCGCTACCGACCACACTGCTGCTATCCGTGATGACGCTGTTCGCTCCGCCAGGATCCTGCGAGATCACCGACGACGCGTAACTGCCGTACACGCTGCGTTTGGCACCGTTGGGTCCGCGGGGAATGCCGTTGGACACGGCCCCGAACGGCCCAGAGGCGGAGAACATCGGCAACCCGGACGAGTACGTGGCCTGCGACCGGAGAGACTGCACATCAGAGGGAATGTATCCTAGAGCATCGTGCGTTCGATAGAAGCTCGCATCGAAGCGGCTGGGTGTCCCCGAGCGACGGCCTTCGAATGTCATAAACATGCAGCAAAAGACTAGAAGGCACCACGTACTATCAGCGGTCCCAATGTAATCTCTGGCACTCGTTTCATGCCGCCGGAACTGGTCCATCGACTTGGAAAGCGTCCGACGAGGCTTGCTGAACTGGATCATGCTCGCTTGCAGATTGCTAAGCGCCCCTTCAACAAGGCAGTTCTTCTCTTTGTAGTGGGTCAGCAAGTAATGCCAAAGCGGATGCTAGATAACGACCCCGAAACATCAGCCTTACGCACTACGCCTCAAAACACTCTCACTCACCTTGCTCAAAACTTTAGGGTTCCCGAGAATGACCACACCGTACTTGGCACGAGTCAGAGCGACATTCAACCGCCGGGGATCGTTCAGGAATCCGATGCCCTGGTGCTCGTTACTGCGAACACAGCTGAGGATGATGTAGTCCTTCTCCCGGCCCTGGAACGCATCCACACTCGCGACCTCGATCTCCTTGTACAGATCCTTCTTGAGCGACCCGTTGAACTGCATGTAGTTCACGATATACGACCGCTGGCCTTCGTACGGCGTCACCACGCCAATCTGGCCCGGCACGACACCCGATTTGAAGAACTTGGTCACGATCTTCTCCACATTCGACGCCTCCGTCCGGTTCAGAAACGACGTCCCGCTGCTCGAGATTTCCTCCTGGCCCAAGTTCTGGTAGAAGAACATCGGCGTGTCGGGAACAGGCCACGGGAAATCGATGTTCTTGCGCAGTCGTTCGGGGGCCGTGACGCCGTTCTGCAGAGTCCCTTCGTAGAACATGTTCGAAGGGAACTCGGACAGACACGGATGCATCCGATACTGCACTTGCAAGCGGATCGGTCGATTGCCGAGCACCACTAGACGCTCAAAAAGCGATTGCGTTAGGCCCGCCCTCGCAGCCTTCTTGTTCATGATAACTGGCCCCAGTTGCTGGTGATCGCCGACCAGCACGACCTGCTTGCAGCCCAAAACGAGCGGGATCATGCACTCTAGAGAAATCATTAGCATTGCTGCCGTGTTCGTCAGATCGAGTCACGCACCAGGCTCCGCAGCTTGAGTCGCTTCGTCAATCAAAACCGTCCTGAACTTGAGCTTGCTCAAACGAGGGTCGCCGGCTCCAACACAAGTGCAGCAGATAACATCCGCAGCGCCCAGAATCTCTTTTTCGCACTGCCGGATGAGGGTCTTGTACTTGCGCTCGTCGTTGCTGCTCAGCTCTCCCTGCTCGTTCTTCAACATGATGAGCTTCTGCAGCTCGACATGCGTTGTGCTGTTCGTCACTTGCTGGTGCAGTGTCAGAAAGTTGATACTCGAGTCCAGCGCTTCCCGAGACTTGGCGGTAAGTCGGACGACCTTGAGACCCGTCGCGTGGATCTTCTCAGTCAACTGATCGACTGCGACGTTGGACGGAGCGCAAACGAGCACTTGTCCAGGGTTCATCTTGGCCAGATGGTACACGACAGACGCTGACGTCACAGTTTTGCCCGTTCCAGGGGGGCCTTGAATCAAGCTGATGGGCTTCTGCAGGACGCTTTTCACCGCATACATTTGCGAGTGATTGAGCTCCGGAAGACCTGGAGCTGAGAAACGCTTGGGCATTTGGGTGCGAAGGGTCTGAGGTTCCAGCTCATGACCTAGCAATTTGTGGTACTGGGCAAGTGGTCAATTGAAAACACAGAGAGGAGAAATAGATAACGAAACGCACGATGTAACCGCTAACGCTCTTTTCATCCACAGCAAACGTCTTCATCGCGAGCTGCATTCGATCAAAGCTCGTTGACTTCCAGACAAAGTCCGCGGCAAAATTATGGGTGCACTCTGACGGCACGCCCTCCGCGCGACGAAGTTCGAGTCCAATCTCGTCCGACACGTCTAGCAGAAGGTATTAATACTTCCGGAAGATTTCTATGTGATGCAAACCCACTGTTCGGGATTTTGATGACATGACCGACACCCTCCCAGGCCTTGTGCAGTTCTCCCGCATACCGTAAGCGAAGTTCATCTCCGACAGCCAGCCGAACCTCTCCGCTCTCAAGTTTCGGCAACACGAACCACGCGACCCGCTTCTGATTGAGACCTAGATCCCACCGCACAGTGATATCGGTCTGCGTCTGGCTCTCCTTGAGACGCTTGTCATAGTCCGCCTCGATCTTGACGAGCGGTCCAAAGATGTTTTGGTACTGGTACGCGTCCTCGTATCTGAGCAGGATGGGCTGCGGCTCGTCGTCGACGCCGGGCTTCTCGAGGTCCTCGACGGTGGCCGAGGCGTTTTCGCGCCAGAGATCCTCTAGGCGGTTGATCTGCGCAAAGGGGATTTGACGCGAGCGCAGCTGCTCCGCCTCGCTGGGAGGTTTGACGAGCCAGGAGAGGAAGGACCGGTCGTCGATAAGGGGAGCCCAGAGGGCGGCGTTCCAGGAGATGTCCTTGGAGATAGCGGCGCATGGTTGCCTGTGGTCATCATCGAGTCAGAGATGCGTCAGTGAATGACAAATCCAGCCGGGGCGCACCGACAAAGCAGCACCACCACTGTGTCGCTCTTCGCGGGGATGAACCCGAGCATGAACACGTTCTTGCTCCCGCAGTTGTAGCATTCAGGGGTGGTCTCTCCGAGGGGGCTTTCCGCGTGCAAGATGACCTCTTTGTGTTTGGCGCGGACGAGGTGGTTCACGATGTGCGACGCGGATGTGTTTCCCCGGGAGTTGCAGAACCACTTGTTGCAGATGAGGCACTTCACGACGGACGCCGGCGAGTGAATGCCGCAGTAGCTGTGAACGAATGATGGTGAGGAAATCGCGTTGGAAAGAAGCGAAGATCCGGGATACACACCTGCAGGCGTGCGGCGGCAAATCGACCACGCTATCGTCCTTCAGGTCATCCAAAACAGCATCAAAATCCTCCTCGATCCCTGCCCGTGGTGCGTGATGAGGATTCGTCTGACCATTGGTCGCGTCGGGCGAAGAGATGTATTCGGAGGACCCGGAGATGGAGAGACTGGACAAATCTACCGAGGAGGCATTGTCGGCCGTGTTGGCGGTATAGACAGAGGAATTGTCATCGACGATCCCCATGCCTCCATAGCTGGAGGCGGAATCGTACTGAAAGTTATCGAAGGTATCCATAGGTAGACAAAAGAAAGTGGGTGCGATGGATTCAGTCACTCAGAGGCGCTCGCTGCCGCTGAGTAACATCCCCATTTGGAAACTCCACACACAGCCCCAACTCGGACCTACATTCACTTTTTCATGGTGACTGCTTGGTTCGGAATTGCGCCAGTGGCTGACATTTAGCACCGCCAAATTCCAAGTTGGCTTTCTGAGAAAGAGCCTTGACGACTGAATGTTTTGTAAGGTAGATATACGTAGATTGCAAACAGTGTGTTATTCAGTATTGGACCAGACCATCCTTCACCCATCTTGTTCCCTTCTTAAAGTAGAAATCCCCGCGACGCGTATCCTTTTCCGGCGCTCCCTGGAGCAAATACAGCGCTGCAAGATTCCCCTCTAGACGGAAGCTTTGCAAGGCGGCCAGCAACTGAGCACTCGTCATCTCGTCCAATTCGGCTATGGCGAATTTGAGAGACTTCAGCTGTTCACCCCAGAGCGGGCTACATAGACACTCGACCAGATGGCCAGCGCCCTCCCATTCCGGTGCCCAAACGGACAGCTCCTCGAGGCCGGGGAACCGTTTAGACAAGCGTGCGAGGTCGATCGACGCCTCGTCGCAGATACTGACGACCTGGATTCGGAGGAATCTGAGAGCGGACATGCTCAGGCCCTCGAATAGTCCATGCAAAACGGACGACCGGCGACAAACGAGCTCGAGCGATTCGAGCACAGGCGCGTCGATGTGCGACAAGAAATCTGCGTTTTTATGCAGCAGAATCCCGCTGAAGCTCCGAAGATGGGGCAGAGAACCCTGATCGTGCAACGCCCACCCGTCAGAGCCCAACGAGAGTTCAACGACGTTGTCCAACCCGTGGTAGGCGGCGCGCATATCCTCCTTGACCGCCCAGGTGCAAGCAAACTCCGAATACGAAGCGAGCTGCGACCAGGGGATGGCTTTCACGCAATGCTCATCCATGGCCAAACCGTGCAAGGCCAACACCCGAAGACTTCCAATCCGAACCAACGTCGGCAGCAGCTTCACGGGGCCTTGCACGAACAGCGTGTGCAGTTGCTCAATCGAATCTGCCTCGAGGAGCTCCCGGATGTGATCAGTGAGTGACACCGCGCAAACACCCAGCTTCCAGATCCTGTCCAGTCCGACTTGCGCGATGGCCGAGTCACAGAAACGGCCCAGCGCTGTCAGGGAAACATTCGACAGCTCGCTCAAATCCTGGATCAAGTTGACGGCAAGAAATGCCAGGGAGGAGTCTGAGCGAGAGGCGAGATCGCGACATGCCTCGAGCCCCAGTGCCATCTCTTTAGAGTACGTGCGCTTGAGAGCGCCTTGATTCGGAGGCGGACCCGATGACGAGATGGAGCCCATCGACGAGAAGTTCGTCAGTGCTCGCAAAGGAGCAGAGTTCGTTCGCGCGAGTTGGTTCTGAGGATGCGGCTCCGCTTCCTTAGGTGCGAACAGCTGGCCTTGAGAATGTGCAGGGGAACTCGAGAACGGCGCGGGGGACATCCGGCCATCGGGGTCATCTCTGAGTGTGCTGGCTGGTGTCGGGAGCCTAGCAAAGATCGGTCGGACGTCCATAGTCGTCCAGAGCTCGCGACATTTCAGAGCCACAGCGCGCCAGCGGCGGCAGACTTGGGCGACATTATGCGGGGTGGGACTGCACCGGAAGGATTCGTTCTCTTGCATGCTGCAGGACACGAATACAGGCGCCAGCTGTCGAAATATCGCCTGAAGAATCTCAGCGGGGACTGTCTCGACCAGCCGCCGCACCGCAGCATTCATGATGTGTTGTAGAGCCCGTTCTTGCCGTTCAAGGGAGAGCAACTGCGCGCGTGTGTCGTTCAGTCGGCAACGGAGCAGTTCCAATGCGGCGCCAGTGCTCAAGGAGGTTTCAACAGATCTTTCTGCTGGGTTCTGTGCGATCTTTAGTAGCTGTGGGCACCGACCAATACTGTCAAGGAACGCTTGCCCCAGTCATGTCTCAGTGAGTTATGCAAGTGAGTAGCGGGAGAGCAAGCAGCCTGCACGAGCAGCAGAGCCTTGCGTGCAACATTGTCTGCAGACCGGAAATTGCAATCGTCCTCGAGTGATTCTGGATTCGGAGGACAAAGGCCAAAAAGCCAGATCACGTTACAGGACACAAGCTCAAGCCGTGGTCTCATCAAGATCCAGTCCAGTAATAGTAGCGCGCCGGACGGATGCGTTGATGTCTTGAAAGCTCCGCAATGCTGTGGACAACAATCTCAGTGCACGAGGCTGGTTCTGCCAGATCACTAGGGCTTGTCAAGGCATGGGCTGAGTGTCTCCAAGAAAGCATTGCTCATTGAAACTGGAAAGAAAAGTTGGCAGTGCGGAGGGGTCGGTAGGAAAGCTTGAAGAGCCGAGTTGACTTCTGCGCCATTGAAGCATTGCTCACCTCACTCACCGCTTCTCCGAATCTCTCGGATCTAGTCCCCCATTAGAGCTGGAAGGAAAGCTGGTGGCGTCGAGGAGCCAGAAAAGGTCCTCTTTTATAGCGTCAATTATGCTCGCCACACTCCCGCGCACACTCCAGCAGCTCCGGACTTGAAATTGACGAGGCCGCGCAGAGTGTGATGACAGTGGGAAGCAAGCCGCTGAGCCTAAACTGGCCAAATAAGAGATCACTCGGAGGGGGCGGCGTTCTTCTAGTGCAACAGGCGGATTGGACCGGGGTCGACGCGCCGAATAATGGCGATGCAGAATAGTGTGCACGATACACAGTCTGGCCGGCGGAAAACATACAGATGTGCACTCTAGATAGAGAATAGAGAAAGGATCCTGTTGTGGAATACGATAGAGGAATAGCGCCGCCATGTGCGTGCCCAGGTAGTAAGGTAGAGGCCCCGAAGAAATCATGTCATGAGAATTTACTACCAGCCACGGGAGTCACCGCACTTTCTTGCGAATCATCCGACGCGGCCGTCTGATCTGGGCTACTGACCTCGTCACTGGCGCGTTCCTGCCCACTGCTCGTCCCGTCGCTGGTATCATCTGTCGGGACCGGCGGCAGCTGTTTCCACGGGGACTGGTTTTCCGCAACGGTCTCGGTCTGGCCGACATTCAGACCATATCTGCTCCCGACTTCTTCTTCCCAGACACCCCCTTCCCCAGTCGAGCCATCAAACGCGGCTATCTGTGCCACGACCGTCCGGTCGCCGGAGATAGCATCAGGCAACAGCGTCTCCGTGCGTCCCTGGACCACCATCCCCGGGGCGGGCTTCTTACCCTGGCCCATCTTGCGCCAAAAGCTCTTCCCGGCACCCTTCATTTTCCGGCCGAGCGTCACCAGAGGGTCGTCCGACTCCGTCCCGAGCGAGGTATTATTCGCACTGCGCTGCGCATGGTCCGCGTGATCGGCGAATATGCGCTGCGTATGCATATCAGCATCGTCGTCCGTCCACGTCGGTGGCGCGGGCGGCAGCAGCGGGTCCCCGTTCGCATCGTAGCCGGGCATCCCTGCGCGCCGCCGGCGCATCATCGCACCGCGCGAAGCGACTGTGCAGCGCGTCCGTTATCAGTCAAGCGTGCACGGCGGTCCGGGAGGGGAGTACTCACCGCCTAGGGGGGCTGCGGAGCGTCGCTTGCGCGGGGGGATGTGGGGCAGGGTGGCGAAGGAGACGGACAGCGCGCTCATGCTCGTGCTCGTCCGCCGTAGCGTGTGGCCGGCCCCGTGACAGTGGTCTGGCGATGAGGACGAGGACGAGGATCCGGGTAGGGGGGTGTCCGACGATGAGCTCGTCGGCGATTCTTCGTCCTCCGCGCGTGGTAGGATGATTATTCCCGTGAGCTTGATACTACTGGGCTTCGATTTTATCGTCACAAAGTCTGAGGGGCTCAGTGATTCTTGTGAGTCGTTGCGCGGCATGTTCTTCGTCTAGAAGTGTAACGTGTCCCGGCAAGAAAAGGAGTAGCAGATGTCCAAAGGAGGGTGATTAGTTGAGAATAGATAGACCAGGTTGAGTTGAGGAGAGGAAGGCGAATTTCGAAGTAAGGAAAGACAGGCACCGCTTCCCGGAGGGAAAATTATCAGGCTACAATCAGCCATCATCGATCGTCAATCATAGATCAACACCCATTCATCAACGCAACCTGGGACGACTTGTAGCGCCAAGCTCTGATACTTGCCAACTTCGTTCGTTTGTTCGAAAGACGGCATTTATATAAGATCCTCTTCGGACATGAAGTAATCTCGACTGGATTCACCCCAGTCAAGTATCTCATCTGTCGACCCAGAACTCCATCCACGAATTATCCACGCTCTGTACCGACCCGGCTGTTAGGCTCACCCGCCGCGGCGCCATAAACGACCTGAGCATCTGCCGATTTCATGACGGATCATGTCGCTCAAATGCGCATTCCAGCGTTTCATCTCCAACGAAAAGATCGATAGTTGCCCAGCTGTCGACGCCTGTCCCGAGTTGCACAAGCTCTTGACGCGTCGCGCGCGCAACTTTCCTTGCAGCCGCTGTTCGCTCCGCCGAGGACCTGGCCCGCTTCATTCCGGTCGAGACGTGGCGCCGCAGCCTACATGCTAGTCCGCAAAGACAGATCTCAGGGAGCCATGAATGAGGTGTCAAGCTCTAGATGCTCATAGACTTCTGCCGAGACTATGGGACCATCTGTCGCGGATAGCGTTCTAGATGTGCACATTATGCGACAACTGGAGCATCATTCTGTATTCGGTCATCCGAATGACCGTGTTGCCAGCCGAAAACTGCAAGGGAGGATACATACCCAGATCACAAGGACACATGCTATGGCTACCCTATACAAACTCTTTGCTCATGCCATACGTCCAAAAGAACCGGTCAGTCCGCTTAACGCACACTTTATAACGCGTCGTCTCTCCAAACTTTTCCAAAGTATCTGGAATGACCGGATCGTTCCCCCGAACAGAATCAAGGTGCATCTCAAACAGCTGCAGGCCCCCACGGCTGAATCGGACTGAAAGCAAGTCCCAGAGCACCGGCAGCAAATCCGCGAGGTTGAAGATCGACAGATCGGCGACGCGCAGTGCCTTGAGCGCAGGGAGCAGCGCATCCTTCTCCCCGCCAACGGGTTTGAGGGCTGCGAAGACGTCCCCTGGCTGTAGCGTGATCCAGTCCATCGAGAAATCGACGAGACTGGGTAGAGCTTTGAGGACTGACATAAACATATCGTTGGAAAGGTTCACAGCGCCGCACAGCCGGAGAACTCGGAGCTGGATGCCTTGGACAAACTCGGGCACTGGATAGAGCACCGTTTCCCCTGCCCTGCCCAGAGTGTGCAGACTGAGACCCTTCAGGCGGGGCAGCTGAAAACACTCCAAGATCTGCTCCAGGCACAGTTCGCGGTCGGCGAAAGTATGGACTGCAAACGTCGCGAGCTCTACGTGCTCCAGGATGATCGGCGCCTCGAACGCCGGGAGCTCGCAGAACGCGACGTGCAGATCCACGACGTTCGTCAGCAGGCCGAGGATCTCCCACAGCCGGGCGTTGTCGCTCGGCCAGCCACAGTCGTCGTGGAACCGCGTCAGCTGCGCCCACGGCAGCGGCTCGAACATGGGCGCGTCGATGCTCAGCGTGAAAGGGAACGCGTTGTTCGTGAACACCACCTCGCGTAGACAGGTGTAGTCGCTCGGCGCGCCCTGGCTGAGGTACTCGACAGCCTGCATGTTAAGGCCGTCCAAACGGACCATCCTCCATCGGCGCATGTGCTTTGAGAGCGTCTCCAAGAACAGATTCCCCATGATCCTTGTCGAGTTGTCGTAGACCACACGAAAAACCAGAGGATGCTCCCTGGAGCGTTCCAAATATGCCTCGACCATGGACAGTGTGGCATTCCCTTCCCGCTCCTCGTTGCTCGACGTCAGCTCCAGATCCAGAGATGACCATAGCTGGGGGAAGGAGATTGCGGATCGGCGCCAGTGGCGGCAGACGTGCGTGAGAGTCCAAGGAAACTGAGCCCGGTCGCCCTCATCATTGTCTAACAAAGGAATCGAAGCGAGGAACACTTCGCTCAAGAGTTCCGCGGGCAGGGAGGCCATAGGGTGGTGTGGTTAATAATGGCGTCTAAGGAACATGATCGCTGTTGTAGAAATCAGAATTTGAGTAAATAGGTTAGGGTTTACGCCACTCGATTGGACTCTTGGACTTCAGCTTCATCTCTCAGCCACCGAGTTTCTGAGCCCTCGTCATGAACGCGTGGACACGAGCCGGAATAGCCGACTCTAGTGCGGCCGAGTTCGAAATTGTAGAGGTCACCCCTCGTGAACACGCATCCCCCTGATAGATGGGATGCCCTCACATGTTTCTTGCCAGTCTGCTACCTTCACTTTCTCCGCCTCTTTCTCTCGCAAGATCACCGGGCCCCTGGAACTGAAATCATGAGAGAGAGGGTGACGATTCGCACTGCGGCATTCTGGTCAACGACTGGAGCGTTGATAGCGAGTCTCAGTCTCGAGGAACAACTTGATGCGACATATGTACTTACTACGACTAGTACGACTATAACGCGTTGAGCCATGCCGCACATGTGGTTTTCATGGCTTTTCTATGGGTCGCTTCGACAATTTGCCGCCTGACACGGAAGACAATGCGCTGATGGATGGCTTTCCAGACGGAGAGTCGCATAAATGCGGAAATGTACGACCCATTGCTTGCTTCACAGGACTGCGACTCCAGCTCTTCACCGTGCCACCTCATTTGCCTGTTCCCTTGTTTACCTCTCAATTTCTTCGAAGAGAGACGACTACGCGCCGTGTGTGCTGCTGTCCATGGCCCCAGCTCCCCCGATAAAAGCCTGCAGGCCCACTCGTTCCGGTCATCCCAGTGCGAAGCGGGCCGCGCCAGACACGCTGCGCAAGGTGGCAGGCAAAAAGGCTGTGTGTTTCGTATGCCGCAGAACGTGCGTGCCCCATCCCATCTGCGCGACCTAGCGAGCAGATCATGACATTGCTCCCCCCCAGTCTATTCAGCTTACGGCAACGCAATATACATGTGGGCAACAAAGGCTGTTTGAGACGCGCAATCCAGATCGGACTCCCTGTGCCTGCGGATTTGGATGCCGAGAGAGAAAAGTACAAGCTGGACCACCTGCTCGATTGGAAGATTTCGGTTTCGTCGAGTATCTCACAGCTCCAGGCATCCGCTCTGTCGTCGCATACACACTCGAAAAGAATGGCATCTCTGCTGCAGCGGTACCAAGCGCTCCCATACCCGATCCCGTCCTATACGATTTGCCACCCAGAATCGTGTGACCCAAATCACTACTATCGCCCAATCGTGGCGCATATCCCAATGAGCTCGCGCGCTCCGCTGCCAATGATGCCCCCGGCAGTGCGGCCGTACCCCCTTGCACCGTCGATCCACACTGGAGCGTGGCCGACCGGGTGCCCGCTATTCGCACCGAAGCCGCGTCTGCCCATGCATGATACGGCTAAACAGCTCGCGTCCCTCGTAGAGCCCGAGTCCCCACCCTGCGAGGATGCGGAGACGCCCGCTCAGGTCTGGTTTGGGCAGGCCATGCCCATGTACGAGATGGATCAGTCTACGATCGGTTGTTTGTGGTAGCCATTTGCCGTGTACGTAGTTAACCGGTGTGCGAAATCAGATCGGTACGCGTGATCGCGTCTGCAACATTCCCGTTGATAGCCCATCAGCGGCGGTGTCGGTTTTGATCTGGTCCAGAGGGCCGTACAGTATGTGCTTGAGTGGCCAAAAGCCCGGACATTCTCCCCTCCCCAGCTGAAATTGGTTCCTGGGCCGCGGAGACGGCCTTACCACGGCCAGTTTGTGAGACCCGAAATAGGAGAGAGCGCGGAACGGAGAGTGGTTGACACAAGCAGCATTGTCTTGATCTCGCATTTAATATAGACCAGATACTGCTACTGTGAAAGTCTCTCATCCGAGCACACATGTCTGCACGCCGATTCTCGCTCCCCTTCGATACGTTCAAGCTCCCACTCCCAACAGGGCGCCGGGCATCATGCTCGTCCAGCCACCCGCCGAGGGTCAAAGCCGCAGGCGAGGCTTGGGAATGTCTCCCCGGCCAACCATCCGCGCGCCGAAAATCGTCCTTGAAACGGGCGTCCTGGTCGTCTGCAACCTCTTCGTCACCGTCCATGGGGGATTCGGGGGATGGGTCCAGCGCAAGCTCTGATTTCTCACACGACAGCGCAGGGGCGTCCAAATGGCCGCTCATCCCGCCGACAGAAACTAAAATCCACTCCCGGCTGGCTGACCGGGGTGCGCTCCGTCCCCTCTCTTCCTGTCCCAGCGCATATACTGACCCCCACGCAGTGGTTCCGCGGGACGCACACCCGCTCACGCACCGCATCATCTTGCACGTCCACTCGCCGAAGCCCCTCCCGCGGCACACATGCACCCTCCCGGTCGACGGCGCGCCACCGATATGCGACATGGCCGCGCTGCCTGTGGGCGTGTCGCTCCAAGACGACTGGGACTTCGATCTGCGCCCGGGGGAGGCGCCGAACGTCAGATTCCTGACGCCGCCCGTGGAGGGATTCGACGACTCGGTTGCGTGTCACGAGATGAGAGAGCTGTATGTAGACTGGGACTGACTGGCTTGCTGATGTCCATGGTCCTAGTATACGTACGTCTGTACTCATGTACTACCTGGTCTTGGGCTCGGATGGTGAGATCACCGACTTCCGCAAACAGCAAGCGTTTTACCTTAAGCGGAACGCCGGGCCTGGCCCGGGCCGCGTGGTCGAGTGCTACGCGGATTCATTGGTACTGTGACAGTGGGTGTCTACAGAATCATTATGTAGGGACGGGATGTAGATAGATTATGGCGTGCGTAATGGAGAGTTAAAGGATACAGTAAGTCGTAATCGGTCGTCAGAATGAATCCAGATCATAGACCTGCGGCGTTGCTCTGACTCATCCACGTCAACGGATCCCAGTCCGAGTAGTCTGGAGCGGGATAATCGACTGAATCCTCGGTCTTCCACGGAAAACTCAGAGAATCGTTTGTCGGAAGGTCGTTCGTACTGGGGGCGTCGGGGATCGTGCACGTAAGGGAGTCCAGGAACGCCTGGAGAGGATCGGAAACGGGCTGAAGAGCGCAGTCGTTATCGAATTGACTCGATCGAGTCATCTCCCAGGACCACAGCGCGTCCTCAAAGTCTGACCGAACGAGACGAGTCGTCGATGTCAGCTCGAGTGGACCGGAGGCAGGTGGAGCAGCAGAACTACGCGCTACGCTGCGGGCCGTGGCTCTCTCATGCACCGCCGAAGTCGTTTGCCTGGGGATACCAGCGGCAGGCAGTGGCAGCGCCTGTGCCCGATTGGGTGTCCGAAGCGGTGCTGGAACAGACAAAGCGCGATGATGGTCCTCCGTGAGCCGGAAACTCCCCCGCTCGGTCTTGCCTTCATCACCAGAGGGGACATACGCGTTCCACAGATAATCAGCGCCGTGTCGAGGCGGCGGCGTGCGCGGGGAGCCAGCCGATGCCACCGGGGACGCATCCGAGCTACTCGGCGAGCCAGTCGTCCTGTCCCCGTCCAGGTCCACGACGGACACGGACACGGAATGCGTGCCGGCAGGACCAGCGGCCCCCCCAGCCACCGCGCCGGCGTCCTTGAGCGCAGCCTGCACACGGAACTCGGGCACGATGCTGCACCGCGACCCGTACAGCTCGCGGAACGGGTTCGCCCAGTACCACTCCCTCATGCGCGCGAGCTCGTGCTGCGCGACGGGCCGGTCGATGAGCCGCGCCGCGATCGCGCGCTGCATGCAGCGCGCGTTGCCGACGTGCTTGTTGCGCGTCTTGCGGTCCTTGTACCTGATGAGTTCCGCCCGCATCGGCGCATGAGAACTGCACGCGTCGGGGGGGGGGGGAGGAGGGGAGGGCTTACCCTCCGTGGCAAATGTAGCACGCTGCGGTGTACACCCTCTCGCGCTTCCGCGCGGGCGCCTCGTCGTTTTCGTCCTCCGCCTTGCGTTTCTTAGCATCGGCACCGGCACCAGACGTTGTCATTGTTGTCGTCGCAGCTGCTTCCGGAGCAGGGGTCGTGTCGTCTTGCGCCGTGGCTGGTGATGCTGATCCCGACACGGATTCAACCGTGGCTAGAGAATGGACGCGTGCGAGGCCAGCTTGCATCGCGCGTAGTTGGAAGAAGGGGGGAAAAGACAGAGAAAGAACAGAAAGAGAATATAATAAACCCGTCTTCTTTGCATGACATGTTTAATCGGTGGTCCAAGTGGCTGATGGGTACATGCGTAATGATCGATCAATGATCATTGTTGTTGTTGTCCTAAGAAGGCGGGATTGGCGCTCCGCATCGTGACCTTGGAACGGAAGCAGCACTGAAACCCGAGGCCAACCCGGGGGTTAGAGAGTCACCGTTTGTCACGACGCGAGTTCCACTTTCACATGTCTTGGAGGATTTTCAAAATGGAGGGAATTGAAAGGAAGGACAGAACAACTCGAACCCCGAGTGTGCATGTTGTGTGCTATCATAATCCCTGGATGTTTTGAGAATCCCAGCCAGCCCTTCAAGTTGGCCATTTGGGTGGAGCTTCATTTTTTCTCAAACTGGTTCTGTTCGCTAAATATTCACGGCAATCTTGTCACTTGCGAACACCAAGAATTCAGGAGGCACATCTTACTGTAGAATCCGAAACAGAGTCCGGAACGTCAACAGTACCCGCTCAAAATATCATCTTGAGTGCTGTGGCTTACTGTGAGTTGACAAATGTCCAAATTCTTATGTACAATCTCCTAACAAATATCGGATATCTTCCGCCGGCTCGGAGCGTCAGCGTCTCTCACCCAGATCGATTCAGGTTCGCTGGATGCCTGCCCCTCAACAAACTCCCCCAGCGGTTCTAGCTCCCGGTTCCCGGAAATCTCCACCCCCGAGCTTATTTCCGGGGGAACTAACGAGCGTCCGCCCGGGTCGCAGTTGGACCCATCGACCACACACTCGTAGGGTAGAGTGTGTACATACTGAAGCCCATACGGCTAGCCAATTAATGTAACAGAGAGATGTCCATTTATCGTCTGAGCGACAGCCTCCGGAAACAGGTTCGTTTGATGCGCCATCCAGCGGCGGTGGCAAATGATGGGCGGCGGTGATGGATGACGATGATGAGATGTGTACCCGAATCATTCCTTCGCGACCTGGAATTCACTCCCACGTCACATGCGTTGAAGGCTCCAAAACCAGCAGAATGCGATAAATACGTATGTACAGGGTTACATTTATTTTGGTGTTTCATGATCATCTAGGATTCAGATTAAGAAATTGTATCTAGGAGAAGACGGTAGGTAAAATTAAGTGCGGTGGACGAAGGTAGAATATGATAATGATAGCGGAGAAGAAAGGGAAGGCTAGGCAGTAAGGACAGAGGTCAGAAGTCCGCTCGGAAGTATATGCAAGAGGGGGGCTGATCGTAATCGTAGCAATTCATGGGTCACGGACAAGACAAGAAGGAGAGAGAAACCAAAAAAGAAAGGCAAGACGAAGAGGAGAGAGATAGAGATAGTGAGAGTGAGAGTGAGTATGAGGTAAAAAACGGTGTGGTGGTGGTGGTAGTACAGCAAAGTCCGTGGAGAAGAGATGTGGTTGGTGTGCGAAGTACAACACCCAGCGGCCGCGCTGGGAAAAGCAAGCAAGCAAGTCGTCGTCGCCCGTCGTCGTCGTCATGCTGATCGTGCATCATACATCGGGCATCCCTTCTTCAGGCTGTCACACACTCGCTGAGCCGCGTCGGGATGTACGGCCGCCCGCCGCACTCGTCCTCGTACCCGTTCCCGAGCGGTGCTGCACGCGACCCGCACACGGACCGCGGCCGCCCGACGGCGTTGATGCGGTTCAACAGCGTGCGCGCGAGCAGCCGCGAGCGTGAGTCAGAGGAACTGTAGTGCCGCGCCATATAAGGCGTCGGGGCCCCGGGGCATGGGCTGCCGGGTTGCGGAGCGAGTGCGGGTTTGGTGTGGCGCGGGGGTGCGGAGCAGGAGGAGGATGGAATAGAAGGGAGTTGTAGGGACATGGATGCGAGGGAGGCACGGGTGCATCCTGAGCCCGCTGAAAATGAGGGTGAACGTCGGCGGCCGCGCACGACCGGTGCAGCAGGCAGAGACACTGGCTCGGCCACTACTGCTGGTGCTGCTGCGGGCTTGTTTTGTGCATTGGCGTCTTCGCAGAATGGGTCGAAGCGTCTCGCGGGGAGGCGCTGCGGCTGCTGCTGTTGCTGCTCGTGGGAGGTCGAGCTTGGCGGTGCCGCTGTCAAGCTGAGAAGCTTGAGCCGGGGTTTTTGCGGCGGCGGCGGTGCGAGCTTCGGTGCATCTAGTGTGTAAAAGGTGGCTTTGGGGAGGTCGAAGGTGAGGGTGCTGGACCGTTTGGTGTTCCATGCTGCACCGGACGTGTGCAGAGGGAGTGGGGTCCAAGGAGAAGAGAGGACGGTGAGGGTAATGGTCGCCATTGGAAGAGAAAAGTGGGAGAAAGAGAAACAGCGACGACCGTGCTCGTAAGGGCTGAGAAAAGGGAGGGAGCTGGCTGGACTGGCAGGCAGCGGCGGAATGAGGGAGAAGCAACCCTGCGTCAGCCGTCGCTTTTGAAGCGATCGATCGACGGTCGCCTAACCGAGAAGGGCAACGAGCCGGATCACTTCGGCACGTGTTCCTGTCCCCCTTCAAACGTCGACTTGAATTTCGCATGCTTCGCTCTAGCCCCATTTTGGGATGAAGTGAACTCTTGTACCCAACTGAGCAACGCCCGAGCTCATTGTTCTCCGCTCCGTTCACTTTCGCCGTCCGGAGCCAGGATGATCCTCGCAGTTCAGTTCCCTATCAGCAGCAGCAGCAGCCAGTCGGCGTCGCATCAGAGCGACTGACGTCGGTGTCACTGTGTGTCACCGTCACCATGCAGCAGTGTCATCCCGACATCTGTACGTCCCCCGCCATCTCGAGGGCTCTCGCACAGCTCAGATCGTATGCATACATATGTTATTACGCACACTGCACCGCCCTTGGCGGTATGCATGTGCCAACGGGGTCACCCTCCGCATTCATCTTGCCTGAAGCGGAAGATCCAAATCCGCGGGGGGCCTCCCTTGCTCCACACTCCATCCGCTACGTAGTTGCGTTACTTGGCGACCGCGCGCAAGCAAACCCGCACAGTCCAGCCTCTATCATCCTGGCTTCACGGAATGCAAGCTCTGGCATCCCCGGCCCTTACGCAACGCAATGCAACGCAACGCAACATTCATCTTTAATGCAAGCTACGACGAGTCCGGCCGGGGGTGCCTCAGTAGGGTTACTTCCGGACTGTTTGTTATTTGCACACCAGACCTATGCTTCGCCCGCCCGTCCGTCCGTGGTTCCTGGTCGAACCGAAACTGGGCGTGTGCCGCTCCGGATCCTTGTTTCGCGAGCCGCGCTATCACCGCGCGGGGATGCTTCTCGTCTGCCTCGCGGCCCATCGGATTTTCGATTCGTTGTTCTTCCCAACCCGACCCTCTGCACGCCCTGCTGTTTGGCGCGCATCAATTACATTGTCTGCTCGTCCATTGTTCCCGAACAGGAAAGTGCTCGCCCTCTGGCAATTGTCCTGCGGCTAGGGACAATTAGCCAGACGCTCTGCAGTCCTCGCGTCGCGCGCGGACATCGATCTGTGGATATGCGCGGCCCTGCCTTCTTGCTTTTTATCTGCAGCTCCACTGCGGCCTCGCTGTCGCGCCTCTTGTTGTCCTTGTTCTTGTCTATCCCAATCCTGCGCTGCAAGCGAAGAACAATGCGTGGGAAGCAGAGGTGGCCTGCGCACATGCACTTCTCGATCTGCGGCTCCGTCATCTGGCTGGGCGTTCTTTGTCTCGGATGCTGTTCATCTTCGCTTGGCTGCACTTCCTCTTGTTCCGCCTGCGGGCATCGGACCGCATACGTACCGTCGACATACAGTACATTGCGTGTCGACACTTTATTCCCGTTGTCGCCGAGTCCGGTCTTGTCACTCCAACTGAGGTCTCGCAACAAAGATGTCTCGCAGAAAGCACATGCGCGCACCAATTCTTACAGTACTCAAGCACGATAAGCACCAGCACCTGATGACCCCGAGATTCTTGCTTGTGCTCTGCAAGGTTGATCACCGATTCCACGTTTTCTGATTTCCTCGTCCGCGGATCCAGCACCGGACGACGCTCTGCACCCGCACCGCGACCACACCGATCCCCACTCAATCAATCATCAATCGTCAGCCGGTCGTAACAAATCGAGCGTCGTCGCGCAGATCCCGCGTGCTCTGTCCCCGTGCACCGGCTCCATGATCCATGCGCTGCCGGTTGCATCAGCCCCGCATCCATGGCGCGGCACCCGGCTGCGCTCGCCAGCCATCATCGGGCACCCCCGAGACGAACCTGGCGTATGTACGCGACGCCTGACTTGACTATGCCGTTGGTGTCACGGCCACTGGCTCAGTGCTCTGACGCGAGAGGACACCGCCCGGGTCCGGCAGTCTCGCACTCCGATCCGACTCATGCTGGCTGCGTTCGTGATGTTACGGAGGTCGGGGCGCGTTGCTTGCCGGCGTGATGGGACCCAGCTCCAGGGAGAATCCGGAGATACATATGCTGCGCATCAGTGGCATGGTATCGTGGAGCATTCGATCAGTGAGTCAGTGAGTGAGTGACTGGGTGAGTGAGTAACCCACGATCGGGCGATGCGGAGGGCGGTGCCGGACAGGACCCAGCCACGGAGAGAGCTTCAAAGACGTCACCGAGTCCGCGCCCGCGCCGTTCTGGAGAGCAGCCTGGGCTGCCGTCGGGGAGACCGGGATGCTGCAGGGTGCTGATACTCCGGCTACGACCGAGCGACGGTTCCAGTAATTACAGTACGCTTTTCTCCATGGACCATCGCATGTTTCCCTGTGCCTGGTCGACGGCGCCGAGCGCGAGCTTGGGCGGCGCTGAGGTCACTGGCTGCCGTAACGTCCTCCAGGGTCAGGATATTAGCACCGGGGGTCCGGCAACGGCAGACCTGATGATGACGACTTACGGTACTTACACGAGGTAAGCGATCCCCAGGCTTCGGCAAACCTTACTTACTTGCTTACTTACGCGTAATCGGAGGATGTGGCTAAATCAGTCTTCAGACCGGACTGCCTCTACTCAGCTTTGACCGACTGCGCAGCCCAATCAGGTGCGCGCACTTACTCGCACTGCTCTTCTCGAATACTGCGGCATCTTCATAATCCGACGGCAGCCCCCCTCGAAAATAACACGGGATCTCTTATTTATACTCCGGCGCCCAATTGGCTCGATAGGGCCGGAGTGCTCACCGCGTAGTTCATCGATACAGCATCTTTCCGTCACATGAGCCTCTCGTCTTGAAATACGTGTCAGAATTGCTTCTTCCACGGGTCAGAATGGCGACAGCCAAGTACCCTAACTGGGAGAACAAGTTGTCAATAGGAGCAAGCACCCGTCTCATGCCTGGCGGACTTGGGCGTTTCTGATCAGGCCGCCGCGCGTAGAGCAAGAAAATTCACGTGTCAGTCCTTCATTTTCATCTCAGTTGGACATCGAGTGCTGATTCTGAGAAGTCTTCCGACAGAAATATGTGTTCAGTGTTTTAAATTTACATTGCCAAATCGGTGTCTTCAAATTAAACCGGCCTCAGATCACGTGCAACCTTTGTTGAAGACCGCCCCGCCTGGAAGCCATGTCGAAAGTGTTCTTTCTATCGAATCGCGCCTTGTGAGGCATTCGACGGCACATACTCATGCTGGTGATATCCAAATCAAGATAATGACCGCTGCACCGGCAGCAAGTTGCCCTCTACATAACCCCACTTTTGTTCTCGTGACCTCAGGCTTCATGGCCCAAGGGCGAACCAACGCTCTCATGTGCCTTTGAGGGTCTCGGGTCCGACGGCCGAGTGTTAGCCAGGGCTTCTCTACAGCCGCGTCAAGTCCGCTCGATTCCTCACGCTCCAATCGATACAAAGGCCCCTGTCTTCGCTCGCTCTCCCGCGCACACGCACAGTAAAGATGAGCCCTCCTGCGACTCGGACGTTCCGCATCGTGTGCATCCCCGGCGACGGAATCGGGGTCGACATCACCGATGCGGCCGTGCAAGTGCTCACCACGCTCGCCGCGACGTACGGCACCTTCGCGTTCACGTTCGACACGCTCGACTGGAGCTCGAGCAACTACAAGGCGCGCGAGTACTACGCGCCGGAGGGCGGCGTCGAGGGGCTGAAGAAGTACGACGCGATTTATTTCGGCGCGGTCGGGTGGCCAGGTGCGGTGCCTCGCGCCTTTATCACGCCATCCTGAGGTTGACGCATCCCACGCAGACGTGCCGGACCACATATCGCTGTGGCAGATGATCCTCCCGATCCGCACGACGCTCGACCAGTACGCGAACGTGCGCCCGACGCGCATCCTGCGCGGCACGGCCTCGCCGCTCGCTGCGTGCGCCGCGGACCCGGGCCTGCTCGACTGGGTGATCGTGCGCGAGAACAGCGAGGGCGAGTACGCGGGGCACGGCGGGACGACGCCGTCCAGCGCGCACGCCGCGCACACCGTCGCGACGGAAGTAAGCATCTTCACGCGCGTCGGCATCGAGCGCATCATGCGCTTCGCGTTCGAGACAGCGCTGAGCCGCCCGCGGAGGAAGCTGACGATGGTCACGAAGAGTAACGCGCAGCGCCATGGGATGGTGCTCTGGGACGCTGTGTTCCACCAGGTCGCTAAGGAATATGACGGGCGAGTCGAGTACGACAAGATGCTCGTTGACGCTATGACAGGTGCGCAAGCGCCCCGCCGGGGTTGGTTGGTTTCTGTTGTGTGCTGACTCAGCCCGGGCAGTGCGGATGGTCAACCGGCCCCAGAGCCTCGACACGATCGTCGCGACGAACCTGCACGCCGACATCCTGAGCGACCTCGCCGCCGCCCTCGCCGGCAGCATCGGTATCGCCCCGAGCAGCAACCTCGATCCCACGCGCCGCTTCCCCAGCATGTTCGAGCCGATCCACGGCAGTGCACCCGACATCGCCGGGCAGGGCATCGCGAATCCCGTCGGCGCGTTTTGGAGCGCTGCGGAGATGGTCCGGTGGCTGGCCGGCTCCGATGGATCGAGCAACAGCGTCGGGATAGTCGAGGGGCCCGGTGTCGGGAATATGGTGGCGGCAGCCGATTGTCTGATGCAAGCCATCGAAAACGTCACCGGGGCTGGGGTAAAGACAAGGGATCTGGGAGGATCGCATGGGACAGCGGAGGTGACGGAAGCTGTATGCGCTGAAATCAGTCGGGTGTACGCACAGAAATTGTAGCTCACTTATGCATTACGTGGAATCATACCACCAAGAGCGGTCACGTTGATCTGTCGGACAACCCAGAGCCCCGTAAATAAAGTCGAATCTCGGATCCTCTCCACCTCCTTCATCTGCCGCTCGGTCACAGTCACGATCTCGACCGCTCTCAGCTCTCCAATGACATCCGGTGCGATCCGATGGCCCGCGAGACGCGAGCTGATCATATGCTCGAGCTCGCCGTGCGTCACAAACGGGCCCAGCTGCAACTCGAGGCGTTCCAGCCAGGGACACAACAGGACGGGGTCGGCGCCTCCCGCGGCCGGATACGCCAGCGCGCGCAGGAACGAGTTGTCGATGGGCACCGGCGTCCCGGGGATGTCCGACGCGATGGACAGCGCGGTGAGCGAGGGCGACACCCGGAGCAGCACCGCGGCGATCTCCGCGTGCGCCAGGCGCGAGACGAACAGGTCCCGGAGCGAGAGCGTTCTGAGCGCGCACCCCGAGCGCGCGAGGAAGCGCATGAACTGCGCGTGGTCCCACCGCATCGTGATCGAGCGCGTCCCGAGCTCCAGCGACTGCAGCGCCGGCGCGACGAGCAGCCGGATGAGCCGCTCCACGCCGTGCTGCGACGCGAGCTTCAGCGCCGCGAGGCGCGGCATGAGCACCGGCAGCAGCGGGTCGAAGCCCGGCAGGACGCTCTGCAGCTGATGCCGCACATCGAGCAGGTGGCACTCCTCCAATGCCGGGCTGGACTGCAGCACAGACAGACACGCCAGCTCGGACAGCTGCGCTTCGAGCCGCAGATACGTGAGCTGTCCCCACGGCACGTGGGACAAGTACTGCGGGGGCAGCTGGCCCCGGTGCATGGTCAGCGACCGCAGGTTGGGCGAACGGTCTCCGGATATGACGTGCGCCAGCCAGGGGATCGTGAATCCCACAGCCGGTGATGGAGGCGACCAGGACGAGGGGCTGAGCTCGAGGCGTTCGAGCAGCGGCGCTCCTTGCGATGTCAACGCAGCGTGGACGGACGCTGGCGGTGCACGGCTCTGCAGATCCAGCGACACGGCTCTCCAGCGATGCAGATGGCGCAGGAGGAGCTCCATGACAGACTCGACTCTGCCCTGCTCCGCTCTCGTGGTCTTCAATTCTGGCCGACGCGTCACCACAGATAGTGTCAAGGGATGCGCTTTAGAGAGATCCAGGAACCGGTTGATCACTGTTTCGGGAGGAGAGGACGACGAATAGTCCACCACGACCTCGAATGTCGACCAGAGCAGAGATATGTTGAGGGACACCTCTCTCCACTGTTTGCACGTCTGTGAGACATTCAACGGAACGTCGCAGCGCGTTTTCGGATATAAAACGGGACCAGAAACACAGTGGGTGAATATCACTTCGAGCAATTCGGGTGGAAGGTCGCCGATCGACATGAGAGCGGCTGATCAACGTTCAACAGCAACAGTTACATAGACTATCGTCTGTAATGGTCTGTAACAACCACGTGGCTGCATGTCACGCGTCCATCAAGTTCTCGCCGCTGTTTTCCGACTGAACATTCTGATGCTGGGTGGCAACACGGCCAATGATTGGTCGTGTTCGCGACCAAAATTTGGCTCTGCCTGTGCCGCAAAGCTCCAGCAGAGGTTGCGGGTGCAATTGTAATTCCATACAGGACAGAACACGGGGGCACCATTCTTCGTCACTTTCCACCATAGTCGGCAAGGTCCGATTGCCTTGGATTTGCCCATAAGGCCCTTATGGGCAAATCCTAATAAATGGATGCGTTGATATATGTATGCGCTGTGCCAAAAACCTCCAGATCATCTCCTCTGCCGTAGAACCTTGCCTGTCTTCACGGCCTGTCCTTTCGATTTCTTCTCGGAATCTTTCAGCAGTTTTTTCTCCTTCACTTGGCGCAGATGCTTGACAGTCAGTACCCAGTCGGAGGTGTCCAGCTCCTCCCTGCCCTCGTTGTACAACTGCTGCTCCTCCTGCGGGCTGAGCAGAGCTAGTGACTGCCGCCTGCCGTTGCGCCAGAGGATGATTTGCACGAGAGCTTGAGGCAGCAGAACGTCCAGACAGTACTGATGAAGTCTGTTCGGCAACCTTTGCGTGTGTAGGAGCAGTGAAACTTACGGAAAGCTTGTCCACTTCGGTGAGGCTCTCGAAACCCTCGCAGCCAGTCTGTGCCATCAGCCGTTCCGGCACGGCCTCATCCTGTCTGACACTCAGCGCCGTCCTCATGCATGAGCCGGATAGAAGATCGATCTCACCTCGTCGCCCGCGATCGTAAAGGACGAAGTGGGCGGGTCCAATACAGGCGAGGATGGTTGCCCCACGCCCTCTGTCGGTGTAGGTGAGGGTGCGCTGTGCGGGACGCTTGCAGACTGGAATGTGTGTGAGCTTGATACGTTGGACGTCCGTTTGACAAGGGTACCTCAGAGTCACGCTCTTCTCTGACCTGCTGATCCACATGTCGACTGTTTCGCTCCAGCCGCACGCACCATTCCACTATCAGTTTCCCTAGCTTCTCTACCTGTCTCGGATCCAAAAGTCCACGGATCGACGCTTTCTTGGCCAGAGCCAGTCTCGTGTTGCCCCCCGCTAAGAAGTGCAGATGAGCCTCGCGCGCGGGGGCATATTCATCCCTGAGGATAGCTTGTAGAACAGGTTTCGTATGCACGAATTGCTGCCGCAGGTCCAGAGCCGAGAACCTCGGTCCGTCGGGCGGGGGATCAAGAGGCTGGGGACTGCTTTCACGTGTCCAAGAATCCTCCTCCTCTTCGTCGTCGCCGTCCGCGTCATTGACGGCGTCCGTGACCTCACTAGCGAAAGTGCCCAAAAAGCATGTCCCAAAGCCGGGCTCGTCGAAAGTGTAGAAGAGATCTCGTGTGATCGAGGACCGTGATGCGTCCACCCACTGGACGTGGTATCGTGGTGGTGCCGACGGTTTCGAGGGGGGTTCGTATTTGAGTATCTGAGCCGGCCAGTATTTGTTGCTGGCTGCCGTTTCGCGGGCGTAGACAAGCTCCCCTGGTATATCCAGTGTCTCGTCAGGTGGAGGCGGGACATAAGCAGCTTTCTCCGAACGAATCGACTGGGGTCGAGTGGTTGTTGGCTTTTCCCTCTGAGAAATTGAAGCCTTGTCTTGCGATCCCGACTGGTATCCGGGAATATCCCGGGTACTCTGCATGAATTGCACACTCGGAAAGTGATTGGACTGCACTTCGTGCACGGCCCTAGATACTGCAAGTTGCCATTGCGCCTCCAGGTTCATCTTCTGCCGTTTTTTTGGGGACTCGTCCGATGTCGGTTTCGGATACGCCGCGTCTTTCGGTTCGCAGAAACGGATCGCGCGGTCAGAGTCGAATTCAACGTAGTAGTCTTCCGAGGGCGGGGCGGGCAGCTCGATTACACGGTCCTCCGCGCGCTCGCCGATGCGCTCGAACAGCAGGACACGGAAAGGCGTCCTGCTCAGCTCCTGTGAGACGTCAGTCGACGCGACATTCGCGTGCGGGAAGGCGGCGACGCACGCGACACGGCCACCACATCCCACTCTCATCCCTCGGAGCGAACACGTCTCCGTCGTGGTTGACCAATATCCAGCCAAACTGGGGATCTCCGCCCGGGGAGATGGAGCGGAAAGCACTGCCCCGGAGGGTGCGCGCTGCGTTTATGGGCGAGGGGGGATTGGAAAGCGATGTGAGGCTGGAGTCCCTCCCATCCGACGCGCGCGAATCGAGAGACACCGGTCGTTTTCTCCCCGATGTCGAGTGCGGACGCTGAGTGGCGCTAGCGCTGGCAGGGATGCCGCTTGCGGACTTGACGGACTTCTGCTTCAAGTTCGGACGACTGAGTGCTCGTCTGACCGGTTTCGCTGGCGAGTGCGGGGGATCCGAGCGCGTGGGCGACGAGTTCAGTTGGGACTCGAATTTTGTGGAGGCTTGTCTTGCCGCTTGACGAGTGGCACGAGAGCCAGACGTCCGTTCAGCGCCTGACATGTGGGGAAGGAGAGATAGATGACCTCGGTTAGCGGCAAGTCAGCGATGCTTCTGCCGAGTGGACAGCTATGAACGGTCCAGCTAAGAGTTTGGCAACCACAATCCAGGTGTATTATTTGCTTGTCCATGCAATTATGTTTCAAGGACTTCATGTCGAAGCGCGTCTACGTGTCTATATATCGGTGGATCGAAAGGATCCAATCCCATGTGTTCATTGGGGGTCCAGGCTCTGGCCATCGGAAACCACATCCGCGTCCTTGGAGGATCAGATCTTTGCGCAGCTGTACTATGGCTTTCGTTAACAGGCCAAGTTGTAATTCAGCCCGATGTCTCGACAAGTATCAAGCAACGATCATGAGACACTGTGCATCACTGTAGATGACAGCCCATTCCGTTTTGCGGGTCCAGGATCACGGAAGCATCTGGGGCACTAGAAGTCCTTGCGCGGGTACGATTGCGCAAGGTATTCTAGCGGGTGATAGCAATGTGCAGTCACTTTCGAAATACTCGCCGCAGCTACTAGAGGCCCTGTCGCCTCAAGACAAGCCATTAGATGTCGAATGAGAGACATCTAGTTCCTCTCGGTATGCACCGATGTTTGACGGCCGAAATGAGCTCGCAGACAGCAGAAGGAGCGATGAGTGTGAAGAAGTCGACACAGGGAAGCCGTGACGTCGACGGGCAGGGACTCAGGGAGCAATCCCAAGGACTAGAAGCAGTCGGCACGAAGATCGATGGGGTTGAGGAGGTTATAAGCTGGCTCTAGCGTGCCCAGAAAGCTTATTCTTTCTAGCTTTGTTCAAATTTTCGTCGTGAGCGTTCGTCATAAACTGTAATCGACTCTGTTTGGACTTGTGTTCCTGGCTGACAGTCGTCTCCAGGGCGTTAACCTTTCTCCGACTGTGACGACAACGGCGGCGAGGTGAAAATCGAGTGTCAGGCGAATATTCAGCGGCTCGTCCTCACCTTTACATACAACGATGTCGCAGCCCAGCCAGTTGCCTGCTACTCCCGGCTCACTTCCGAATTCGAGCGGGGTCCGCAGACACCATACGATCTCGGCTGCTTCCAGAGCAGCACGCAACAGCGCCATATCGGAAGAAGCTGCTCAAGAGCAGCACTGGAACGATGACGATGAGGCTGTCGGAGAGGACTGGGTAGGCGGCGTGGGTGCTGTGGGCGAAAAATCGGGACTCCACCGGCAGGCTTCTCTCCCGACAAGATACCACCGAGGTAGCTCATTGCACTTCCTATTTTTCTGTGAGCTCCCATCTATTTTCAGCCTTCCAACCTCAGGTTTCTGCGCTCTCGAGGTCCGGAAGTTTGACGGCCAAGAACAGTTTGAGTGCCATCGCCGGGCATGAAGGCGATGAAGACGATTGGGAGGGCGATATCCCCTATGCAGTGGAAGATGTGAGTCTGCAAGCCCCTTCAAGTCCCAGCATCATTTGAACTCGTGTGCGGCAGAGTCATGTCACAGGAGAAGAATTGGATCCCACCTCTCCTCTTTCCCCGCATGACGGCCCTTCCCCACCGGCTGCTGGTGCCGGTGTCCGCCGTCACCAGTCTCTTACATACGGCGCGGCTGCTCGCCAAGCACAGAAGATACCTGTGACAGGCCTCCGTCGGTCTGGAACGTTGCAGACCCCCCTGCCTCCCCATCCTCCACCTGCCAATGCGACAGAAGCTCTCGAACAAGAGCAGGAGGAATTTGTTTATCAAGATGATCCAGGCGACTTCGACGAGTCTGAATATTATCCCAAACAAGCTGGTCCCGCCAGTCCCGTCAACCGCCTCTCGCCCTGGTCAACGAATGCCGGTGACTGGCGCGCCCCGAGCAACGGTTTCGCACCAGCCAACGTCGATGATGTCCAACGGGCTCTGTCTGCATTGGAAATTGGGGCTGGGTACGCGGGCAACGGGAACGCATACGTTGGCGGCCAGAGCACCCATCCTCCTCGATTCAACCCAGCACACCCGCCTCCAGCTCAGGCGCCGGGCATGCGAAGTGCCGGGGGCGGGAATGGGAACGGAAATACCGGGAACGGCAATGGGGGCCGCAAGATGGGAGAATTTGACGGCCGTAAGACACCTGTCGGGCAGCAGCAGCAGCCAGGACCTCCGTATCAGCCATACAGTGGTGCCTGGGACCAGCAGAAGGACCCGTCGTTGCGTCTGCGCACGTCCAATCCGAATCTCCGATACAGCTACCAGCAACAGCAGTCCAGCAAAGACCAACCGGTGCCGCCCATCCCCGCACAGTATATGCAGCCACCTCGGCCGACGCAGCAAAACTTTGGCGGCTCCCCTGTCGACGTGCCTAGCCTCATCGCGGCGAAAGGCTACAACCCAGCGACGTTCGAGCTGAGGCCACAGTATGCCCGGTATTTCGTGATCAAATCTTACACGGAAGACGATGTGCACAAGTCTCTTAAGTACGAGATTTGGAGTTCGACGGAGCCTGGCAACAAGCGGTTGGACAAGGCATTCAAGGAGTGTAACGGACGAGGCCCAATCTACCTTTTCTTCAGCGTGAACGCGAGGTGTGTAATGTTAGGTGTAGTCACGGTCAGATGTTGACCTCGCACAGTGGCCATTTCTGCGGTATGGCAGAAATGCTCACGGCTGTAGACTACACGCGAAGCAGTACTGTCTGGGCATCTGACAAGTGGAAGGGCGTTTTCAAAGTCCGTTGGATATACGTTCGCGATATCCCCAACTTGAATCTCCGTCATATTAAGCTCATGTGAGTGCCTTTTACAGTACCCGGTTGTCCGCTTGAACTAAGATCATTCAGGAATACCGCTGAACGAAAACCCGTCACGAACTCGCGGGACACACAGGAGCTGCTTGCTGAAGCAGGGCAAGAAATGCTTCGGATCATCCACACGCACCCTGCCCGGACTTCTCTGCTGCAGGACTTTGCGTTCTATGAGGTATGCCGCATCCTTGCTCGAAGTTCTTTTCAAATGCTTACACTCTCTTCAGCTGCAAGCGATGCAAAAAGTGGCGCAAGGGAGCCCCTCGCCCAGTAGCCCGACAAGCAGTGCTGGGGCACCGACACATTCTCCGCAGATGTCGCCGCCGATGGCTCCCGCTCAATTCCCGCTGAACCCGAATGCGTTTATGGTCCCGCAGATGACGCCAATGGTCCAAATGCAGCTCATGGGGATGAACATGGGCATGGGTGCCGCATCCAGCCAGTTCCAGGCGATGCACCAGAGTGTCATGCGGCACCCGAGCCCTGGGCCCAGCGGAGAAGGCTTTGGCCACAACGGGTTCTGATTTCTCACGACCGAACTGCACGAACCGTCATGTTCTCTTCTTGCTTTCCCATCTATGCCAACGAACACAATAATGTATGCACTTTGTATCTGCACGGAAGGACTGGTTACCGAAGCTACTTACAAGTGTCTCGAAAGCTGTACCACCACCTGCTTGTAATATTTCATGCCTTACAGTACATGTGAGCTTATATGCCCTGGATTCCGACGCTCCTGCGCTGCTTAAAAACTAAATTTAGAAGACCGTCCTACGCGACTGAATTGATTTATGTGTTCACATCCAGGATCTCTGCACGTGATCGCGATCAAGCAAGCACGTTTTAGATCCTCGCCGGCCACTTCGCCTTCTAAAATTACACCTTGCCCGCTCTCCACTGCGAACGTGGCCTGGGATGATGCGCTGTGCACCCACACGAACCGTCTAAACCATCTCCAGGGCTTGGGCTCCTATATCTCCGCACGTGGCATTTGATGGCCGCCCATGCTTGTGCACAACGTTATAGCCTTCCTAAATTCCTCTGCCCAGTATGATCTGATTCTATTCCCGTCAGTGCACGTTCGTGGAAGCCCAATCGGGCCGTGGGGATCTGTTCCGTGCGACTGCATATATAGCGCACGCGATGGCGTGCACGGTCCCGCGTCCACCTTCGACCGCACTCTCAGGGACTCTCTCGGCACGCCATGAGCAGCGACGACGACGCGAAAAACGCGCAGATTGACGAAAAGGGACTCGAGTCGCCGCCGAGCCTGAGCCGCCATGATGATGGCGCTGCTGCCGCTACCTTGGAGTTGGTCTCTAGGAAGGAGAGACTGTCGAGCGCGTTCACCATTGCGTGTGCCGGTGCGTGGGACGCGATCGTGTTATCAACAGAGAACCCTCAGCCCGAACAGGCTTCGCGTTGATCAGCGATGGGCTCCAGAACGTACGCGCACACGAGCGAGTGTCCGGTCCCCCGCATCTCACGCAGCGTCGCAGAACATCATGTCCCTGACGAACGTGGTCTTCACCCAGCTGTATGGCTCCGCGGCATACAATTCGTTCTGGTCGACTCAGCTGTCCAACTCCCTCACTGTCGGTGTGTCCGGATCCCCGCGCATCATTTGCGATCTGTCTCCCGTCTGACTAGAACATGAGGCACGATTCTCGGTCAGGTTGCGATCGGCTATCTGTGCGACGTCAAGGGCCGGAAGTGGGGCATCGTGCTGTCGACTGTACGTGACATGTCGGTGGTTCCGCCTGAGCTGATCCCGTGCCGCGCAGGTGCTCATCGTGCTCGGGATCATTCTTTGCGCCGCTGCCAAGGGCGCACACGGGAGCTTCCACGGGTTCCTCTGGATGTTCACGGTCAGCAGCGCCACTCACGCTCCCCCCTCGTGTGATAGGCTGACGGGAGACAGATCGCTCGTGGGATCACGGGTCTCGGAGTGGGGGGTGAATACCCCAGTTCGTCGACCTCTGCTGCGGAAGCGGCCAAGTGCGTGTGAAAGCTCCGTGGACATGTAGACGATTGACTCTAGCTCGCAGTGCGCGCATGCTCAAGCAGCGAGGACCTGTGTTCATCCTGGTGGGTCTCCCAGCAATCACTATAGCAGCCGTTGATCTCTGAATCCGCTGCTTAGGTCACCAACTTGGTCCTTTCGTACGGAATCGAACATATCAAACGAATTCGGTGCTGACCAGTCGATAACAGGATGGGCGGACCTTGTGCGATCATCCTGTATCTTATCGTGTTCGAAGCAGCCGGGGGCCTCTCTGCCAACCTGTCAACCGTCTGGCGCACCGTTTTTGGTATCAGCGCCGTCCCACGTGCGTCGGCCTCACGCATTTGGGAGTCCGTCGACTGACTTGGGGTTGACAGCGCTGATCGTGTTCTATTTCCGTCTCAAGATGCTGAATTCTGAGCTTTATCGCAAGGGCGCCATCCAGCAGAACGTCCCACACTTGCTTACGATCCGGTACTACTGGAGATCGCTCATAGGTACGGCGGGGGCTTGGTTTTTGTATGATTTCATTGGTGAGCGCATCTGTTTCGGGGTTGTGGACCGATGCTTAGATCTGCGTAGTGTTCCCGAACGGTGTTTGTAAGTCCCGGGAATCGTATCTTGCTTGCGCATGCTCAGCTTCCTTGCAGTCTCCGGTGTCATCATCTCGTCGTTGGTCAAAGTGCACGGTAAAGGTGTGTCTCGTTTTTGGCAATCCTTGGCCTTTTCTGTGACATAGTCACTAGAACTCGTGCGCAAGACCGCGGAATGGCAACTGCTCTTGGGCATCATTTCCATTCCAGGCTGTTTTGTGGGTGCTGCGTTAGTCAAGTATGTGCCGTTCTGCTTGTCTTGGTATAATCCAGTCCTCATCTCTCGGACTAGCCGCATCGGACGCAGAAACACGATGATCTTGTATGTCAAGTTGTTTCCCCTCGCAGTCGATCTGGCGCTCAAGGGCCCGCAGCGGGTTCTCTGGCTACCTCATTTTCGGCCTCATCGTTGGCTGTGCATAGAACAAGGTCATCAAGAACGTGGCCGGATTCGTCGTGCTGTACGGGCTGATGAACAGTCTTGCTAATGCTGGACCTGGAGACATGTGTGTCCTCCGGCTTTGCATCACGCCCGGTGACTGACTGAGTTCCCTCGCAGGCTCGGTCTCGTCTCTGCGGAATCCTATGCCACGGCCGTCCGCGGGACGTGCTACGGCTTCAGCGCCGCCATTGGCAAGACGGGCGCTGTGATCGGCACTCAGGCGTTCACGCCGATCCGCAACAACCTAGGCGCGCGCTGGACCTTTGTAAGTTTGCACTTCCCCATTGCGCTTTGCGACTGAGTAAATGCGACAGATCATTGCGGCCATCTGTGGGCTCGCGGGCATGCTCGTGACGATCTTCTTCATCCGCAATGACCTGGGCGGCGATCTTGCCGAGGAGGATGCCAGATTCGCTGCGTTCTTGGAGGCCAACGGGTGGCAGGGAAAGATCGGCGCGACAGAGTCGATTGATAAGCTCATTGTCGCGGAGAAGGGCGAGAACGAGGAGAAAAAGTGACGGACTGTGCGTATGTTGCCAGTCGGATGAATTAACGATGTATGTAGCCCATACTGTATTATCCGAGCATGCTATCTCGGTCAGTGAGTTTGGATTCGTCACATCCGAGTTGCGGTGCGTAAGTTCTGCCGTTCGAGTGGTGAAATGCAGATGGGCTTAAACTGCATACTTCTAATTCTATTCTCCCTATGCATGCGTTTTGAGCGATAATTCGGCAACCCTGCTGTCACCTTGAATACATCCTCGAATCAGTTTTGTCGTCCAGCACACTAGCCGCGGGAACATTGAACTGGATGTCGGCAATGGTATCCGGTTTTCCCGTATCGCTGCTGCTCCTCCGGACGCCAGCGTCGGGCACAAACGAGGCCGTGGTCAACACCGTCGGCGCGCCGCTCTGTCGCATCAGCCGGCCCTCCGCGTCCGAGCCCTCCGTGCGGTCCATCTCGTCCCTGATCGCCTTGCGCGAGTTGAGCGTCCACATGGCGGAGAACGCGTAGAGGTTGGGCAGGAGCTCGTTCGCCACGATCGCGGTCGCCAGCTGGGGGCTGCCGCGGAACCAGCTCGGCGACGCCTGTGACGTCGCGAGGAGGATGACGGTGCAGGTCGAGGCGGGCAGCGCGGATTGGATCGTCAGGGCTGCCATGCGATTGAGGACGCCCGCGGTGCTGCCCAAGACATTCCGGGATTGTGCCTGGGAAGGGAGTTGAAGGATGTTTTGAAGGACCGGAGAGAGCGCTTACGAGAAGTGTATAGATGAAAGACGCTGACAGAGTCAGGTCCCCGACGAGAAGAAGACTGGTGTTGGCGGCGCCTATTGACATAAAGATGGTGGTCAATCCATATTCTCTCAGAGAACGGAGAGACACTTGCCCCAAGGGTGTCGTTTGCTGTCCCCAATGATCTCAGTCTGTTATAATGAGCCATCATCACCTCTTCAAGAGCACAGTCATCTTACCGCCTCGATGCCACAGACCAGAGCGACTATGAAGACGATCGTTAGGCCGATGGGGATCAGTGGATGCCTCGATAATTGCTTGAAGATACATCAGCAATCTCGCACAGAGGAATAACGCACTCAAGCTTACCCATAGTCGCCAACAGAGAAAGATTTGCACGTACAGCACAAGCAGCGAGACAAACAAAAAACGGAGGGCAGTGGGAAGCGATGCGTAGTCCGCGATCGCGCCCGCAAGGTCAAGAAACCGAGTCGTGTTCTGGATATAGTTCAAGACCCTGCACGATTCAGCTTGCATTCAGCAGAGAGATGGATTGGATCCATCAGCGCACGCACAGCGAGTATGTCGTCTTGAACAACGTCAGCACGAACAGACCCGCCACCCAGAGCCGGATTCCCAGCGGATCCGTGCGGTGATAGCCATGTGAAATGTACGTCGCGAATTGTGTGAAGAGGATGCCCTGGATGAACAGGTCGCCGTACACCGCGAGATTCTCACAGAAACGTTCAGCGTGCAGCAGTCTGGAGTGAAGGGCAGACCCACCAGGCCTCCAAGGATGTATTGCACGAATGGGAGCGTCGGCATTGCAGTCGTGAGTAGTCGCAGAGAGCCCAGCTGCCCCTAGCCAGAGTGAAACAGGTTTCTTCCGCGGTTTCACAGCGGGTGTATCCCCCAGTTGAGAGTGAGCGAGGTCTGCGGGGAGCCGTGCGTCATTGACATGTAATAAGAGCTATATTTGAAGGCGTATTCGTCTTCATTCACTGCTCTGTTAAGAAAGGAAACGAGCGAGAAACGCAAGCTGTCTCTGGAAGAACAGGACGAGGTGCAGTTCAAGTCACATCAGCTGACTGTGACGGACCGCGTCCATCTGCGATCTCCTCCTTGCCTCAACCATATTCATGTTGCGGTTCCTTGCCATTGGTCCATCCATTCATCCATCCAGTAAAATATATGAGACGAATTGGCACTGAAATCATCGAAGAGAGTACTACGGGAACAGTCACAACGACTTGACCATGCGCACACACAAACCATGCCATTCTCCATTCCAAACACTAACATACAGGTGCACTATTCATCATTTCCCTCTCATCGCGATGCCAGATCCACTCTGGACCTACTCTGTGCATGCATCGAGCTGGCCTTCGCACTCAACGCCTCATCCAAGCTTTTCTTGCCCATGCTCTCGTACTTCCTCCCGAGCTCTGCCTCCTCGTCCATAATCGGAGCCGCGTACGCAGCCGTTCCCGCCCCGGGCGCACCAAACTGGATATCCGCGACGCTGTCTGGGCGGCAGGAATCGTCCGAAGATGAGCTGCCTGTGCGGGCGGCCTGGGGCGCAAAGGAGGTCCTCGTCGTAGTCGTCGTCTCGGTAGTCGTCGTCGCCGCGCCGGCACTCCGTCTGTTCAGCTTCTCATGCACATCCGAAACGCCCGAGTTCCTGTTCTGGCTCGTCCCCGTCCTCATCTCCTCCTGCGAATTGAGCGTCCACATGGCCGAAAACGCGTACAAGTTGGGCAGGATCTCGATTGTCACGATCGCCGTGGCGCGCTCGGGGGTGCCGATGAACCAGCTGGGCGACGCTTGTGAGGTGGCGAGGAATACCACGGTGCAGAAGGTCGCGGGGAGTGCGGACTGGATCGCCAGGGCTGTCATTCGTTCGAGCATGTTGGAAGTCTCGGCCCTCGTGACTTTGCGGGACTGCGTTTTAGTGGAGATGTGGTGAGCGGCGGAACAAATGCAATCAGTACTGCCTGCTCACAAGTAGATCATAGATGGTGGCGGCCGATAGACCGAGTGCCCCAATAAAAAGCATGCTCGCATGGGCCGCGCCTGCAGAACATCAACTTGAGTCAAAGCACACAGGATACGGAACTGGACAATTACCCCACTGTTGGCTGTGTGCACTACCGCTGAAAATCTGTGTCTGCTCAAGTCAGCAATAGCAACTTGGCGGGCATGGTCTGAACTCACCGCCATGATCCAACAGATCAGAACGAGAAGGAACACGACCGCGAGACTGAGCGAAGGCCAGAAGTGTCCCGAGAGGTGCTTGTACGAGAATCAGCGGGTGTGCGATGCAGCGGTGGTACGACTTACCAAGAGTCGCCAGCAGAGAAACAGCTGAACGTACAGCACAAGCAACGCCGCCCACAGAAAGCCAAGTGCCGTTTGGACGGCCGCGTAGTCGGCGACCGCCCCAGCGAGATCGAGGAACCGAGCCGTGTTTTGGATGTAATTCAAGACACTGGATCGCTGTGAGGACGTGCGGCGAGCGAGGTTGGACAAACGGCACGTACAGCGAGTACACGGTCCTGAACAGGATGAACACGAAGAGAGCTGCCACCCAGAGGCGAACTGGTATCGAGTCCGTGCGATGGAAGCCGTGCGAGACATATGTGGCGAACTGGGTGAACAAGACGCCTTGTAGGATCAGGTCTCCGCAAACGGCGAGGTCCTACGAAGACGTCAGAATCTGGACAGGCGAGCACGCTCGACACTCACCAATCCTCCGAGGATGAATTTCACGAATGGGAGAGTAGGCATCGTAGTCGTGAACAAAGGACGGGTGAGGATGGGCCCCTAACCGAAACTGATTTCTTCCGCGGTCTTGGTCGACGGATCAAATGTCTCAGAGGTTCCACTCGCGGGGTCTTGCAGCTGGCTCCTCTCCATTCTGCACTCGGGATGCATTGCTATCATCATGGAGGTCTCCACAGTCCTCTGCCGACATATATAAATGTGCAACGGCCTCTCCTCTCCTCAGCGGCAACTCTGCACACCATACACACTATGTACTCTCGTCGAAACAGCCTGACCATAACCACCAAGACACCCTTCCCGACCTTCTCGTCGATAAAGAAGGTCATCGTGTCGCCCTCCTCTATTTATCACACCGCACCCGCACCCGCACCCAAGGCCTCCGAGCCTGCCGCACCGCACGCTCACCTCCACTTCCAAGCAGTGGAGGTCATGTACACGCTCCCCAAAGACCACCCGGAGGACGAACCGAAGGAGACCGTGATTCGCTTCTTCAAATACGTCCCTGAGCCTGAGCCTGCATCTGAGGAAGATCAGGACGCAGAAATGTACTGGGGATATTTCATGGTGAGGCTCACGCACGCACTCTGTTTCCTGGATCGGCGATTCTCATTGCGATTCAAGTGACCTGGCAGTAGCCTGTCCCACACAAGGGCTGAACATTTCTGATCCCGAGGATACACATCAGGCCGAGAGAGGAACATTGACTTCCCACCGCTGGTCCAGCGGTGCTTCGCAATCATCAAGTGACAAAACGTCCGTCCGGTAGACAACCGTGTCTCACAAACGCGGAGAGAATATCTCGGGGCCTTTCTCCAGCAGTTGCTACATGTCGTCTAGTAATACAACACACACTAAAATAACATCTTGCTCATGTACGGGCCATCCAATTCGTACCCCAGTTTTCGATAATAGTCCCGTGTCCCGACACCTGAGATCACGGCCAGCTTGAAACTGCCATGTTCCTCGCGGGCGATCCGCTCGGCTTCCTCCATGAGGAGCGTCCCGAAGCCTTGGTGCTGGAATTTAGCTGGATCTCTGCCATGCACCGGCACGGCCGTGCCATACACATGCAATTCGCGCACAATGCTGCAACCGCCCTCGGGCCGGGGAACCAGCTCAGGGCGGAACGTGCCTTCCTCGGAGCACTTGCGCAACCGCAGCAGGCCGACGAGGATGTCCCGCTCCGGGTCCTCGTACGACAAGAACGTCTCCCAGCCCCCGTTTGCGGCGTAGTCCCGCCGCAGGAGTTCCACGGACTCGGGTCGGACTTTGTGGTGGATCTCGTGGATGCCGACTTCGCGATATCGCACGTCCCGGCACTCGGCACCAAAGTCCCGCATCCGGTTCAGGGCCAGTTCTCGCAGGTTGCCCGAGTTATCGCAGCCGCTGGTGACCAGAGGAAGAGGGATGTCTCGCTGGACGCGGTATACCCGGGTCCATGGCGGAACAAGAGCCAGGATTCTGGCGACCACATCGACGAGAACGTTGGCAGTGTAGTTTTTGTAGCGGCCTGTTCTCCAGAGTTCGTACAGCCCCGTCCCACGGATAACCAGCGTCGGGTAGATCTTGAGACCATCTGCACGGAACGCCGGGTTCTCGAAGAATTCGTGGAACTGTGCTAAATCGCGCTCGATTCCAAGATTAGGGAGATCGGGCATCATGTGCGCGACGACTTTGAAGCCGGCGTCTTTTGAGAGCTGGAAGGACTCGGAGACCGCTCGCACGGTGTGACCTCGATTCGTATCCCGTGCGACGTCCTCGTAGACGGACTGGACACCGATCTCAAGTCGGGTGCATCCATATCGTAACATTTGACTTGGGAAACATGAGAAGGAATTTAGGATATTCTGATAACAGACGCACCTCAAATGCGGTCGTAGACAGTAATCCGGTCTTGTCTCGATCGTGATCCCGATGGCCTTCGACTTGCTACGCTCAGAATACCTCACAGCTTCGTCAACATCGGTTCCCGTAAAGCCGGAAAGAGCGTTGTGGAGTTGGGCGATAAACTTGTTGCGATATTCTTCAGGCATGCTCATGAACGTCCCGCCCATGACGATGAATTCCACCTACTTTGGTTAGCAACGTGCATGACGAGGAGTAAACAACAGGCACCTTATCCACACTATGCCCAAGACTTTTCAATTGCTCCACTCGTCCCCTCGTCTGCTCATATGGATCGTACCTCGCACGGATCGCACGCATGCTAGTCGGCTCGTAACCAGTATAGCTCTGAGTGCTATAGTCGAAATCTGAATCTGGCCCGCCAGGACAGTAGACGCAAATATTTCCGGTCATCGCGATATGCGGACACCGGTGGGGTTTACACATGACAGCCACTACCGCGATCTAAGACGAGCCATGAATACTTCAGAAGAAAAATGCACCGTGGGGATCGACGCACTCCACTGGCAGTCCGGATCGGGCGCGCTCTCAGGTTGGGCAGCAGGGCGCTTTTGTACTCTTCGGGAATGGCGCTGATGATGTCGACCAGGCGGGGCACGCCGCCGTACCCGTGCTTCTTGCTCATCTTCGTGCGCAGCTCGTTGAGAGACACGCTTTCGCCGGCATCGTGTGCTGCGATGAGAGCGGCCGCGATCCCGGATGTGACGCGGAGAAGCTGCTCGGCCTGTGAAGGGCCGCCGGTTTTGGTCTTCTGCACCATGATGAAAGTCGAGGAGAAATAATCTGCGGTCCGATAACTAGCCGAGATATGTGTTTATCTATATTTGGAGGTCAGAAGCGCTGTAAGTATACCTTGATATTTCTCGCTGATTGCTGCCACGTTCGCGCACGCTCGCTTCAAAGTTCTTTGGTTTCGCGAGAATGCCCCCTCCGAACGTGGTGGATCCTTGGTTTGCGGGACGCCATTTCGGCATCGTTATAGACGCGGGTTCGTCGGGATCACGGAGTCAGATCTACAGCTGGAAAGACGCGAGCGCCATATCTGTGGAACCTGGGAGCGAGCTCGCCAAGTCGCTGCCGAAGGTGGAGAAGGGTACACGGGATGGGGATAAGTGGGTGACTAAAGTCGAGCCAGGTGCGTGTGTTTTTGTGATGTTGTACGGTTGGGATGTAACATGTACTGCTAGGTATTTCCTCGTATGCCGACGACGTAGAAAACATTGCCAACCATCTGCGGCCGCTAATTTCTCATGCGCGGACTTTGATACCGCCGTCCCTGCAGCCCAGTACACCGCTGTTCTTGCTAGCCACTGCGGGCATGCGTTTGTTACCACCGGAGAAGCAGGCCGCCGTGCTACAGGCCACCTGCGAGTTCATCGTCCAGCATTCTGAATTCCACTTGGAAGGTCCCTCGGCTGCAGGTCCCTGTGGATCGAGTATACGGATCATCACAGGCGAGGAAGAGGGTCTGTTCGGGTGGATAGCTGTCAACTACCTCATGGACGGGTTCTTGGAGAGCCAGACGACATTCGGCTTTTTGGACATGGGGGGAGCATCAACGCAGATTGCCTTTGAGCCCGAAGCGGGGAACGTGGACGACGAAATGTCCCTCATCGACGTGCGACTGCGAACCCTGGGCGGGACCGAGATCCACCACAAGGTTTTCGTCACAACATGGCTCGGTTACGGGACGAATCAAGCACGGGAACGATATGTGGGCAAGGCGATCACGGAGCATGAGAGCCAGCGTCCGGAGGGAGGCGATGATGTGGTGCACGACCCATGTCTGCCTGTGGACCTCGAACTCGCGGAACACCCAGTCCACCTCGGGCCCTCGTCGGATCATGCCCAGAAAACGCACAAGCTGGTTGGCACCGGCTCATTCGAGAAATGCATGCAGAAGACGGCACCGCTGCTCAACAGGAATCAACCGTGCCCAGATACTCCATGCCTCATGAACGGTGTCCATGTGCCCACTATCGACTTCTCCGTGTCTCATTTCATCGGCGTGTCCGAGTATTGGTACTCCTCCGAGCATGTGTTTGGCTTGGGCGGTGCCTACGATTTCGTGCAATATGAGCGAGCGGCATCCAAATTCTGCTCGCGATCTTGGAGCGGAATCGTCAAGGAGCATGAAGCCACGAGATCAGGGCAGTCGCATTTCCATCCAGGTGACGGAGAGGTTGAGGAAAACGGCAAGGTCGTTGCAGTTGGGAATTGGAGCGACAAAGTTCAGATTTCGCGACTGGAGATGCAGTGCTTCAAAGCTGCTTGGATTGCCAATGTCCTCCACGAAGGAATCGGTATGCCCCGGATAATCGACGCTGGGGGAAACAACACAACAGATGGCGAGAAGGTCGCACAACAAGCGCAGAAGAAGGGTCTTGGTCGGCCGACCTTCCAGTCGGTCGATACAGTGGGGGAAATTGCCATCAGTTGGACGCTCGGGAAGATGGTTTTGGAAGCCAGTAAAGAAGTGACGCCGCTGGTCAAGAGCACACCACCTATTGTCGACCCTCTAGATGAGCCTATCAACAGCGACTCCCCGATCCGACCTATCCGACCACTATATTTCGACTTGGATGCCATTGAAAATCGGCTCGAGTCGCACTTACCCCAAACCTTGACACGAAGCTCGCTCGGGTTTTCTCCTGTCATGTTCCTATTCTACTGCACGCTGATCAGCGTCTTAATAATGGTGACGTACCCGCTCCGACGGCGATTACGATCCGTTTTCCTGCGGCTTTTGCGAGACAGAAAGTCGCTCTCGATGGAGGAAGGCAAAGTCTCCGCTGGCCCCAGTCGCTTGGCACGCTCTGTAGGGAAGATATTCTCCCTTCGCCGACCAAATCACCCGACCGGACTCAATCTAGCGGGTACGACACCTATCAACGGATTCGGGAGCGGTTATTACAGCCCAACGGTAGTAGCCTTCGGAGGAGCGGCTTCGCCTCGTTCTCCCGGTCGTATGCTGGCTGCCTCCACAAGCTCGCGGTCTGTCTCTCCGGCTCCTGGGATGATGGAGGAGGATGGCATTCTCGGCGCTCCAGGACTGCAGGGATTGAGCTCACGCTCGAGAAATTCATCTCAGAAAAATCTACCGAGCTTGTTACAACCGAGATCCCGCGTGCCTTCTGATAGCTACTAAGTTGTTGGTTCTAGCACCGTCACGGACTCATACAACGCCGTCATCCTGTATCACTTATATCATTATTAGAGTACACAGCGGTATCATGGACCTCCACGCATCATCTATGAAACACTCATGAACTCATCAGACTCGATGACGGGCTGAATGCTAGTATCGAAGATCATTGGCGACGGCGGCCTGCACGTGGATGAGAGTAATCTCAAAGGGTCTTGAGGCGGCGGGCCTTGAATGCGCACAAAAGAGTCAAGACAATGGCAATGCGCCGCATTGGCATCTCAATCGCGAGATCAATCAAAGTCACCTGATGTTATTCCCTCTTTTGAGAGGCCACCATCCACCATCCTGAACTCTCTCAGCGTCGGACACCGCCGAATATTCGCGCTATTGGTTCGTACCGCGCGTTCCTATGACACTGTATGTCTCATTTTGATGCACCGTTAGTATCCACCCCTCGGTGTCATTGGAACACAAGCGCCGTAAAGCAGTCTGTGAAGTACGGGCGGCCGTCGGTTTCCGCCGAGAACACACTCTCATTTTACACGCCAGATCCCTTCAACATTTAGACTAAGAGAAAGGATAGCCCGACATGAGCTCGCGACCCACTCTTGCTCTACAGCCATCCGTGAGTACGACCACGTAAGTCATCTCGCCATTATCGCGTCTGCTTCCTCATCTCTCCCAGGGTCGTGACGACGACTACGACCACGACCACTTATGCCCCCATACAACTCCCTCCTCTTCCCCCAGCGATAGAACCGACAGATCCGAAAGAGTACCCCCTCCTGCACGCGACGTTCCCCAGCAGCCTGCGCCAATTCCCCCTCGTATTTCCCGGCGGCACCCGCGCGACGTTCAGGGAAGGCGATGATGCGAACGAAGATGACCACGATACCCATGGCGAGGGATGGCGGATGCTGCGGCATGATGACGCGCCCGAGCCAGTGGTTGGTTTGGCTGAGGCGGTAGACCGGTATGGGAAGAAGCGGGCCTGGGAAGAGGAGGAGGGATCGCGAAAGAAGCCGCGACCGCCTCCCTCGCCGCCCGGCTCGCGGCAGGGCTCCCCATTCGAACCGGACTTGGCCCTGACCACGTTGTTGACACTGCCATCGCTGCTGAATCACTTTACCGCACTTCCGGTGCCCCTGCAGTCGCACTTCCTGCTGACACTGCTTCGACATTCACCGCTTCCAGTTCTCCGGACGTTACATTCCGTGCTGACGCCGACGCTCGCACGCGATTTTCTGACGCTCCTGCCACCGGAGCTTGCCTCGCACATTCTGTCATTCCTACCGTTTTCGACCCTTTCTCGGGCCTCTCGTGTCTCGAAATCATGGCGCTCGCTGATCGATGCCGACCCACTCGTGTGGACGTCCTTGCTCAAGTCGTCCGGCATGCACTGGAACTCGGAAGCGGCCTTCCTCCGGGCATATCGCCGGCTGCCGTATCCGCACAAGGCGCTGTTCCAGTCGCGCTACCTGACACAGGCCCGATGGGCAGCGACCACAGCCCCCAAGCACCGAAGTTTTCCGGCACATGGAAGCAGCGTTGTGACATGTCTAATTCTCTCCCGCGGTCGGATTATCTCGGCTTCTGACGACCATTCGATCCATGTCTACGATTCTATCGCCGGCGAGCTTCGATTGGCGCTTCAGGGCCACGAGGGTGGTGTCTGGGCGCTGGCTGCCACTCGTGATACACTGGTCTCCGGGTCGACCGATCGCACGGTGCGGATATGGGATCTGTCGACTGGCCGCTGTACGCATGTATTTGGAGGACATACGAGCACTGTGCGGTGTCTGGCTATCGTCCAGCCTGAATGGGTGGAGATGGAGGATGGCCGGAGGGAAAAGTGGCCGAAACGGGCTACGATCGTTACGGGATCGCGGGACCATACATTGCGGGTGTGGACGCTACCGAGGCCTGGTGATGCGCCGTATTCGTCATTCGACGAGGGTGATCCTGATGTGCGCCAGGTTTTTGGGGTTTTGGTGCTAGTGCTGATTTTCTACAGGACGTGGAAGACAATCCATATCATAGGCTTTTCCTCGAGGGACACGAACATGCCGTCCGTGCATTGGCCGCCAGAGGACGGACGTTGGTCTCTGGGTCGTATGACTGCACTGTCCGGGTTTGGGATCTCGTTACAGGGGCATGTAAATGGGTTTTAGTGGGGCATACACAGAAAGGTGTGTTGCCGTTACGCTTCGGCTGCCGGTTTTCTTGTTGCTGAGTCATCTCAGTTTACAGCGTGGTACTTGATCTACCGCGTCAGCAGGCTTGTTCGGGCTCGATGGATGGGACAGTGCGCATCTGGGATCTCAAGACGGGCCGCTGTGCACACACGCTGACTGGACACACATCTCTCGTGGGCCTGCTAGGCCTGTCGCCCCGGACGCTGGTGAGCGCCGCGGCGGACTCGACTCTGCGTGTGTGGGATCCCGAGACGGGCGCGCTGCTGCACACCCTGGCTGCGCACACTGGCGCGATCACGTGCTTCCAGCACGACGAATTCAAAGTCCTCAGTGGCAGCGACGGGACGCTCAAGATGTGGAATCTGCGGGATGGGACGGTGACGCGTGATCTGCTGACGGGGATCACTGGGGTGTGGCAGGTTGTGTTCGAAGGCCGGTGGTGTGTCGCTGCGAGCAATCAGACGCGTGCGGGTGTGCTTCAGACGGTGCTCGACGTGTGGGATTTCGCCGAAGAGGGCGAAGACTGGGTTGGCGAGCCCCCTGGCGGGGTGTATGACGTGAGCGACTGGAGCGACGATGACGACGACGAGGAAGAGGAGGAACCCGGCTATGCGTATCGCGTGACGAACGACATCGAGGACGTCGAGATGGCCACCGCGGACGACGAGGAGGAGCAGGTCAGCGCGATGGACCTGATGTTCGATGATACCTCCGAGACCCTGTCGTACGACGAGGACAAGGACCGGTTCAGCTCGCCGCCCCCGACGCACAAAAGCGGCCGCCGCAGACGGGTGGCTTCGCCGTCTGGGGGCTCGGCCGGCCAGAGCAGCTCGCGGGGGTCTTCTGGTTGGCGTCAAGCCTCAGGCTCCCGGTCGCAGCGAAGAAGCAGTCGTCGTTGACAGCTTGCCTCTAGGACACTGTAGGAATGTGTGTTGCATATCCATAGAAAATCATATCTGTGTTGTTATCTGTAATGTATAAAAAAAGTATGTCTTTCACCAGCCTCCAGTGAATCGACGAGCTGCACAAGGGCGAACTGACTGATGCCCTAACGTTTCGTAGATCGCCCTGGAATGCTGTGGCGCTTTCCGAGAGGAGTACAACAATAAGTAAATCCAAGCGTGACTCTCCAGCAAATGCCTTTGCCTGAATCGCGCAGTTTCTTGGCCCGTAGCGGACTCGGCAGATAGAAACGCCATGCATGATCTGCGATCCAGCTCCGTCTTTACATAGACAAGTACCTGCGCAAAATTTGGATGGTTCGGTAGTTCATCATCTCCGTTTTTGGCCCAGCCGCCCGTTTCAGTTCCTGAGAACGCGGTTCTTTCCCCATTTCACATCTAGCATCACAGTTTCATGCCCGACGTGTCGACTGGGTGTTGCGACGTCGACGTGCGCGGACCGACCGAGGTATGGTATGTTATGTATACATGAGATGCGATGATCTCTCGCCGCGCGTCAAGCCACGCCCGATTCCATCTCGGGCTGAAACAAGGGCCCTGGACACGTCATCGGCGCGCCGATCCGCAGCGGAAGGGGGGATCAGTATCTGCTGTTATGTACGTACGTGCAAGAATGTTCGCCGCAGGAGGAGGGCGTCACCCACCAGATCTTATCTGATTGACTCACTCTATCAGCCGACACACGTAAGCTACCATGAGCCGCCCATCCGAGTCCGCCGATCCGGAGGGCTGCGCTGTGCGATTCCGTCACGGTCTTGCCGTGTCAAGGTTCTGTGCGGTGCGGTGTTTTCGAGCTGTGATCCCGCGTCCTGATTATGACCCCCCCGCGGCCCGCTACGTCACTGCAGGCGCCGACGACTAAGTATACACACGCCTGTTTCCGGCCAAATTTAGCACCAGAGCACGACAAAAACAGAGTCTGGCGCAGACGAAGTGTGGACACTGCACACACTGTACCGGCTAGAGGAACATGCCAGCCCGGAGGAAATGGACCCTCGAGGGAGAGCCGCTCCTGCTGTCCCGCGCGAGTCGGCTGGTGGTGGTGGTGGTGCCCGGATCTAGGTCCATTGCATCTCGCGACGATCTGTCTGGATCTGAATCTGACATATCCGTGTCCCCGGAGCGGGTCTCGTCCCGGCGGAGAGAGCCTCCAAAGTCCAGCCTCTGTCTCTGTCTGTCAGTCAGTGCGAAGTTCGTGGAGGAGTGGAGCTGATGCGCACTCGACGGGGTGCCGGAGTGCAGATCAGTAGTCGATGGATGGATGTGAAAAGAATGAATGGATGAATGTATGAGTTCGGCCAACAACATTGTCATTGAATGATTCAGAACAGTCCTGGTCTCGTAATAAGTCTAAAATGAGAGCAGAGTCTTTAATTCTCGTTCACAGCAAAGCACTAAGACTACAGAGTACATAGTAGGATACCCCAAATGTAAAGCTATATACGTACAGTATGATATGTACACACACCAATGTAACCAAAAAGCATTGGACCGAGGATGATGCATGCGTGCATCAGTCCTTGTTTTCGCTGCGGAAGGCAGCATTGATGTTCATCTGCGTCAGGATCGTCTGCTGGGGATGATGCGCAGGGCTGTTCGCGCCACTCTGCGACGGCGAAGGACCCATGTGCGGCGTGATCAGCCCGCTCCCCCCAGCCCCGAAGATGAAACCTCCGCTTAGGCCATCCATGGTGTTGTAACCTGTGCGTGCAGCAGGTCAGCATCCGCAAAAGGAAAGTCCGCAAGAGATGGCATACCAGGCACAAGCATGCTGTCCCAGAAACCGTTGCTTAGGATGTTATCCATCGTAAGCACGCCCATGGAGTCCTCGCTTGGCGTGGGTGCCATCGTCGGAGGGAACGTCGACATGTCTGCGACAGGCCCCATCTCTCCGTCTACCTGGAAATCGTTCAGCGTGAACGTCCCCGGCCCCCGATCCAAGAACGGCGCCGGCGTGTTGCTGCTGAGCGTGGGCCCTTCCTGTGGCTGGGGGGTAGCACCCTGTGAACTGCGAGACGAAGATGGCTTCGAGGCTGAACTAGGCTCCAGCCGCGCAGCGATCAGCGCCTTGATGAACGTGCTATACAGCGAGGGAGTGTGCTGTCCGTTGACCGAGATGCTCTCAAGCACATCCGCGACGTCCTTGACCAGCGCGATCGTCTGCTGCTCGTGCTCCAAGAACGCTTGGAACTCAGGTCGGATGAGCTGCGGACTGATGAGCAACCCATACATAAATCCCCAGCTATCCTTGCGTACCTTGAGCAGACTGAGGACGGCATACGAGATTTGCACGAAATGCGAATCGGGAGAATACCGCAGGAACCCTTTCGGACCCAGCTGATCTCGCACCACCGTCGCACAGGACACCGCGGACGAGTGCACCCGCGAGAAAAAGTGTCCGATATTCAGAGGTGTTCGCTCCAGCGCATGCTGCAGCCCAAACGAATTGAGCACCAGCAGTGCGTAGTAGAAGTAGAACTGCGAGATGTGTTTCCGATACTCGAACCACCGAGTACCCGATACTGCCCAGTAATCAGTCACCCTAATCGATGAGGAGCGATGAGTGGAGTACGGACCCTGCTCAGAGACAGCTGCAGCATCGCTGTCCCAAATCTGGCGAGTCGCTTGGACCTGGGTCTCGAACGTCTTGATGACCAGCAGGTAGTCGCAGTTCTCGATCAGCCCGGACACTGAGTCCGTACTTGCATACAACACATCCAGACTGCGTGAAATGGTTCTCTGCAGATCCTGGAGTGGTGTCAAGGCTGAGGGCAGAGCGATGCAACGAGTAAGAACCCACCACATAACCGGCGAGACCTGCATCTGACCAGATGGCAGTCGGGACCCGTGCCCACGGAATCGCATTGCGGATGATGAAGCTGCAGAAGATTATCAATATCCGAAGAATGCCAGGCAAGAAGCCTTACTCTTCTCTGATCGAATAAGGCTTTCCCATTTGTGCACTGAAACTTCGGTCCAGACAGAAGCACAGAAGCCATGTTCTCTCGCGATTATGCACTTCGTAATCCCGAGCGCGGCCGTCTTCGGAATCGTCGCTGGTCACGGAACTTTTACGGTGCAGATTCAAGTCGGTCGCGACGCTGCGGACTTCATCAGATCACGAACCACCCCAGCATCAGGCACAAACAACCCACCGGATCGCCATCCCCAAAAGAATCCACGTGCGGTCCTGCTCGTAGCGCTCGACAGCACCACCGCAGCCATACAAAGAAAGCAGAAGATACGCCTGCACAATCTCTAAAGACTTATATCCGCGTGCGGGGACGCTGAACGCAAGCTTCTTGACCAGATCGGTCAGCTTGGGATATAAGTCGGGATTCTCGGTGTAGAATTTGCTCGATATGGCGCAAACTGAATGATAGCACATGGTCAGAGAGCTTAGATAGATGGAGCAAGAGGATACTCACTCGTGGTCAACAAAAAGGGTGATCGTGAGCACACCAACGACGGCGTGTGGAAGTTCCCATCCAGGAGTTGGCAGTGCATCTACTCAATATGAGTTTTGGTTTCCCACATGCCCCCCACCTGAAACATGCGCACATTGATATGGTCAAAATATCTGCATGGGCATGAGCACACGACTTGCGATCTGTCGCAGAGACACCTACATTTTGAACAAAGCAACGACCTCGTCCGTTGTCACAAATGTCAGCATTTCAGGCTGCACTTGGCGCTCAATGATGAGCCGTCGGAGCGGCAAGATGTTCATCGGACCTGGTCAAAGAATAAGTCTCGTCACCGTCGAGCACAAGGAAACATACCAGGCTTGAAGTAGTTATCGCTGGCGACGCCCACTTTCTGCTCGCTCACGAGCGTCGGGCGGGCCACGAGACCGCTTGGGTTCGTGGAATGCGTCCGTCGGTTAGCCAGACTGGCTTCGGCTAGCAGTCCGAGCGGATTGAGCGAGTTGTCGGGCAAGGAGTGCAATTTGGGTGAACTGGGCCGGTTGGCGGAGGTCCGCACAGCGGGAGGAGCCGGAGGCGGAGGCATCTTCTCCATCAGCTCTGCGACGATCTCGGCAGAAGGCGAGGGCGAGCGAGAGATCATTCCGGACGCGAGACTTGGGTTCCCGATCGAGCGCAGAACGGTATCCAGTGTGCGCTCCAGCTTACGTATAGACTTCGTCAGATGCTCGTGTTTTCTGGAAGGGAGATTCGTGAGCGAGTGATGAGACAGATGTGGGAGCGAGACGTGTACTTGGATGACCGTTTGCCTCGATTTGACTCTTCAAAGACGCATTCGTGGTTTCCAGCCGCACAGCGCTGACAGGGCGGGCCCTTCTCAGCTCCCACACACTTCATTTTGAGACGCCGGCAGACGGTGCATGCCCTGCGAACGCGGTCAGTGCCGCCATACATCACAGACGCCCCACACATTACCTGGACCCTCGTGTGGGTTTGGGTTTCCCCTCGTCCTTCTCCGCCGAGGGACTCAAAGGTTCATCGTCGTCATCATAATTCCTCGCCTTCTTAATGTTGGATTGCGACATTGAAGACGCCGGGCGTTTCCCATTCCCATTCGCTGACGAGGAGTACATCGGGGGTGTGCCGATGGTGTCCGAACCCTGTGACGATGGAGACGAGTAGTTCTGAGGCAGCGACAAGTGATGAGGCGGAATATGCGGATGGTGCGGGGGCTGTGGGGGCGGCTGGGATCCGTACGGGGGTAGGTAGTATGAAGGGTAGAGCGACAGAGTGGGGTCAATGGGGATGGGCGGGGAGGGTGCTTGAGGCATGTAATGGCTAACCAACTGGTCTTCGGGGGACAGTGATATCTCCTGGTGCATGTAGGGTGTCAGCTCGGAGTAGGGTTGAGCGAAGGCACGAGGAGGGGACACTGGAGTAGGAGGAGAGTAGTGAGGAGGTGGAGAATAGTAGGAATAAGGATACGGGGAGCGAGGCATCGCGAAGGATCAACTGGGTCGGAGCGCGAATGACATATCGAGCACTTATAATGTACACAGACTGACTGGTGCGGAGATCGAAGATTGCGTTCCGAAAAAGAGAGATTGAGTGAGAATAGCGTAAACTCACGTGTGCTAGTAACCAAGTCTTGGTTCAGAGATAGACGCGCGTGGGCTGTCCTCAATCTGCGGGAACAAGTTGTACGGCCTGGGAGAAAGAAGGGCGCCGGATCGAGGGAAAATACGCCACGGAATTGACGTAAGACGTAGAAATCTGATCCTCGTCAGTGGAAAAAGTGGGGCCGAACTTTTCGTGCTGTAGACGAAATGCCCGGCAGTTTTGGAATGGGCCAGGATGTGGAGGAAGAGAAACCGGTCGACCCCGCATTTGATGTGTGATGGAAACGACATTATGTCAGCCGATGCCACTCGCTTTCAGCTCAAATTTGTCTGCCACGGTCGGTGACCCAGAGAGAATTTGTGCGGACAGATGAGCACAGAAATGGAATAGATATGTGCGTTCGGATCCTCATGCGTCTCGAATGAATTTCATTAACCCTTGGGTACCGTGTGACAGACTGGATGTCACACGGACGAGTGCGTGTATTTTGTATAGATCCTGAGGAAAAAACCAGGAGCTGTCAATAAATCTGTCCCCATGCGGATATCCACAGGTAGGAAATTCGGAACAGGTGTATATACTCTGGTTTGGCAGTTTCTGCTCTCGGCCATACGATGTCCTCTGCATTCGCGAAAGTGACTTTCTCTCGGCCACGCGACATCGTCTGCTTTCGGCCGAAAATCGTTTGGATACGCCTACCAGGCGGGCAAGATTTGAGAGATCGTCGGAAGCCCTCTCGTGGCTGGCGGGTGCGTCGTCGAATCCATCCATCCTTGTCAGCTTGCATTTTCGAGATACGGATCATAATCGACTGGGTATAGATTCCGGTGACTGGTCCGAGAGCTCAATAACTCGGGCTAAAACGTCGTACTCGAATCATGATGTCCGTCATCGCCAGATGTCACCATTGCTCCAATCGCTAGCGTTCAAAGTTTTTTGCGGTGGTCGCTGACGAAGCGATCTGCGAGACTCGGTCTTGTGCTCCAGTGAGAGAAGCTCACGCGTCGAATCAATGATAGCCTGACCGAGGCTTATCTCGGATAAGTACTAGCTAGAAAGGCAATCAAACTTGTTCCTCTCCGTCATTCGTCGACTCGCCACGATTCCTTGAAGACTTGAATGCCGATAACATCCAAGCCATGTGCACTTCAGAGCTCGTCGCTGATCTCCGAGACGTCTCGTTCTTCCCCGTTCTCAGGCGCTCATTGGGTCTGACAGTTTCTCGCTTCAATTACTATCGTGCTATTGGCTCGCTGCCTCGAGTGTCCAGTCACAGGAAGATGAGAGTCGCTTAATCATACATCCCCCAATCCCAATTACTGTGCTTAAAATCTCACGACCACGGCTAGTGCTTCCAGTCTAGCCGTTCACTTCCCACACAGCTGCGATCAATCTCGCGATTTCGCAACGAGGGAAGATGTCACCCTAAACGGTTTTAAGCACAGGATACCAGAAGAAGCCTTATCCACGTGTGACTCGGGGCAGGTACGTCGGATCCCCACGAAGTGACAAATGCTGTATCAAATGCTTCGCTCGCCAGACCTGGTCGCTGGCGACATTGCAGGTTCGATTGAGCCATTGATGCAGACCGTCTTTGCGAAGAGTGAGTGGAATGTAGGGACCCCATGGTCGTTTGAGCACACACACCGCTGATGACAGAAATGGGACTGCACGACCACAACCACTGCGACCCCCACCCCAGCGTCGACGCGCCTGCGCTGACTCAGGTCGGTGCTTTTACAAGGTCAGACTCCTCTCCCACCTGTAAGGCTATTGCCTGCTTTGCCTGCCATGGGACTGCCCACCTTGTGGCGATAAGCCATGTTTCTCTCAGGCCTCGACAGCGAGCGTGGACAGTCTCCGCAACTCGAAGTAGTTTCCGTCCCGGCTTTGACAGTGCACAGCTCCACATACCAAACGGACGCATGCGGCATAGGCCGACGTCCACCTGATTTCTGTGTAGCCGCGGCCGCGGGGGCCACAATGCTCCCAATTCCTAAACGGTAGCTTTCAACTTCACGCCCAGGAAATCATCGATGCAATTATAGATTTCGATTGCTGCCGTCACGTTGTACGCTTCTCAGGCTTGACCTGCTTCGCATCAACCACCCCCATTCAAGTTACTTATCGTGTTCACCAACTCAAATTATCTGCGACTGTTCGCGGCCTATTCCTAGGATCTGGTCCTATATATTTCGAGTGGGTGCTTATTTAAAACTCTTTGGGTCTGAAAACTGACTGATTTTCCCTTGGCTCCCGCGCCCTCTTTGGCCCCGTCTCACACAACGATGCGATGCGCGCAATAATAATTCCAAGCGGCGTCCGATCCAAGATTTCCCATGGCGCTGCGGACTTTGACCGCTGAATGATGACCACCCGCCTGTCTGTCTGGGACAGCCAATGCAGTGCATTCAGTGTTACACATATGTTGAGTGGTCGAATGGCAACTAACACATCAGTGTAGAGGTGAAACCTCCAGCGTCAGCCCCGATCGCTACTCCCTCTTGCTGACGAGCGTCTCGGCGGGCATTTCGGGAGTCACCGACTGCCAATTGTGTGGGGCTGCTGCGAAACGGCAACCAGCGTGCCTGATTGAGGGCTGTCGCTACCAGTTGAAGCTTTGACTAGTCGACAAACCGACAGGTACTCCACTACCAGTAAAGGTCTCGGATACGAAGCAACGTCAACTTTATTACGGAAGATCACAATGTGAGCGGCCCGTCGTCCTTCGTTTCACGTATCGCGATGTACAGGCTCGAGAATAATCATCACCAAACGTTGGAAGATCCCGACATCCTCGGCCAGAGATCGAGCTCACTGAACCTGAACTTAAGTTTTGGCGCGTAGAACACCAACGAAAGCCCCTCCCCGACTCGACGGAACCACCAGCCCGTGATATCGAGCCAAAGAAGTCTGCCCGGCCCCGAACGGTCGCACAACTTCTAACGGCTACCCACCCGATTGTTATATATGTGAAGTCGATGGTAGCAAACCACGCGCATTACAGCATCCACGGCCAATCTGAGCCGAAAGCCAAGCCAGAACTCTGACCAGTCCTCGCTGCGGCCTCAAGCTCCGGGAAGCCCAGACGAATCGCAATCAGACTGTGCGTAGATATCGGAGAAGCAGGGGCCCAGCAGATCGTCGGAATTCGTCGGTGCAGTGGGACGAGAGCCGTGCCCATCATTGACCGGGCCTTAGAGCGAGGCAGTATCGCGAGTCCGAATCGGGGAAATCCAAGCTGTATCAGTTTCCGAAGCGCGTCGGGGCGAAGGACCCGAACGTTCGTTCATTGATAGCGAGTTAGATATCGACCGGGTTCACACGGTAGATGGGTGACAAGTCAGCGGCACCTCGGATGGCGCCATCAGCTGTTATCGAGGAAGGAGAGAACGAGGGGAGGGAAGCCCATCAATCCACGAAAGAGGGCTTTGCCTTCTTTTGGTAATCAGACACATGGATTCTGACAGCGCCAAGTTCGTTCTGGTCGATCGAGTGCAGACGCGAGCGAGTCTGCTCAACCGCAGCATCAGAACTCTCCGGGTGCAGTAAAACACAGAGCTCACGAAGGATCATGATTGGCCAGTTGTCTCCTCCTGCCCTGCTGTTCGACAATGTATCATGCCCCACAATGTGGAAAATAGTAGCCCGTTGCAATAGTCTCAACACATCCAGAAGGCTGGGTTCCAAGATGATATTTTCCTGCTTCCAATCATAGAGGTTCGTTCTTCTTCACGCGATACCCGGAGGAGCCAATGGCTGGGGAGACGAAAGTAGGGCGAGGACACTCGATGGGGCAGCTTCTTCAGGAGCCTATGCTCATCATCCCAGAATAAGCGCAGACAAAAGGGTGTGTCGGCTGCGCGTCCAGTCCGGTATTCTACGATACACGAGCCTTATGTATTTTTACGTCCTCAATCGGCCTGAGCGGTGAGAGTGGGTCGTAGCGGGATGGAGATAACCGGCAGAGCGCACCTGTCCTGTTCATTCGTGGCGACGGCTCCCAATCGCTGCACAACGCGCATCCCTGAGCTCACGCGACCAAAGATAGTATGTTTGTTATCGAGATATGGAGTCGGCGATAGAGTGATGAAGAACTGAGAACCTGCGAACGACCCATCGTCATCAGTCAAAACGAGATGTTGAGTTACCGACCGTTCGTGTTCGCGCCAGAATTCGCCATCGCCAGAATGCCCGCGCCTGTGAAACGCAGTTCGGAGCTGATTTCGTCCTCGCTGTAAATTTCCACGCGCGTCGGTCAGTGATCGAACGGTCAAAGCAACTGCGGATGGGTACAATTTCTGGCCATAAATGCTGGTACCGCCGCGTCCAGTCCCGGTGGGATCCCCTCCCTGAATCATAAAATCCTATAAATCGTGAAGATCCATTTGAAAATTAAAATGCAAAAAAGTAAAATATACCGCGATCACTCGATGGAATACTACACCATTGTAGTACCCGCGTTTTGCGAGTTCAAGAAAGTTTTTACATGTCTGAAGCCGTAATGAGCATCAAGGTTATTGTCCATGATAAAATATGTACCTTGGGAGCATGGTCCCAGTATAGTTCAAACTGGACATCGCCTAGACTTGTCTCCAGAATGACTGAATCGGTCATGATGGTCGTGTTGAAAGAGGTCAGACGCGTGCGTCACGAGATGTCACGAGACGTGACCGTGAGACGTGACTCGCCGTCTTCCTGGCGCAGAGGGTCGAGCTTGTTTTCCCCAACCGTGACATCGCCGGAAAGCGAGCATGCGAGCAGTAATCCAACGTGTGGCATCTGCCTCCGTAGCAGGTACACAATGTCTCCGCTCTCTCCGTCGCTCAACTGCTCCTCAGTGGACGGGCAGGTGATTTCTCACATATCCAAGGGCCTCATGGTTCTCGTCGGAATATCGCGAGGTGCATTCAACTGCCAAATTTGCGCGCCTCTCCATCCTTCTCACATTCCAGGAGCAGATGACACTGCTACCGATGTCGCGACACTGACAAACAAGATGTGAGTGGTCACTCGTCGGCTGCCGACGGTAAACGGTGTCTCGCAGTCGGATGCAGACTTCAACGCAATGCCCTAATATATGGCATCCATCTAGACTTTCTCTACGTGTGTTCCCCGACTCGCAAGATCCTTCCAAAGCCTGGAAAGCAAACGTTAAAGACATCGACGGAGAGGTTCTCTGTGTTTCCCAGTTTACTTTGATCGCAGATACCAAGAAGGGCAACAAACCTGATTTTCACAACGCCATGGTTCGTCATGATGATGGCTTCGCTCTCTCTCCCACCAGCAGCTTGACCTGCAGATCAGTCAAGTGATCAGTCACGTGCGCTGTATCAGACATTTTTAGACGCTCTCCGGAAATTATACAAAGCCGAGAAGATACAAGGTTCGGCGGGTGCGAGCATTCGAGCGCGCTGCGGTCGCTGACACTACGACGCCAGACGGCAGGTTCGGGGCGATGATGGATGTGGCGCTCACGAACGAGGTGTGTGTCTAGGCACTGAGCTGTATCAAAGATGATCCCGTCGCTCATGCTTCTGCATCTTAGGGTCCGGTGACATTCACGCTAGATTCGCGGAAGTTTGAGTACGTGCAGGACGGCGGCGGCCAGAATCGACTCGGCACCGCAGAGGGACCGTCAGAGAAAAGCATCCGTGCCAATGTGTCTGCAACGGCCACTTGAGATCCGCGTCTTCCTTCGAGTCCTGTCCGGCAAGTCGAGCGGCGCATGCGATTGGATGGACTGGGATGGGATGCTTCGGGCCCGCTCCCCACGGTAGATCGTAACTGAATGAATGCATTCCGCTTCTGCAGGCCGCGCACCCATCGGGATCAGGATTCGACTTCCGAGCGGTCTGAAGCTTGATAGATTGCTCTCCCCTGCTGCGGTTGAACGAAGAGCCGGCGGGCTTCACTCTCCGTGTGTCTCCTGTTCCCCCGGCGTTTTCTCACTCGCAAACAGCCTGAGAGGAAGCGTCTGCATACGATGAGCTTGGCAGGTCGCTGACCACTGATCGCGCGACATCACAGGAAAAATGACTCCAATCCTCCGCGACTTCTCGGCGGCGGTAGCCGAGCACAGAGAATTTGTAGCACTCGTGCCACGGACCATCCTGTCCAGTAAAGCATGCGCATCTAATCTTATCAATGATCAATGGTTTGCAGCAACACAACAATCGATTAGATCTTTGCTTGTAATACAGGGAAGAAGGAAGATACAGGTAGGCAGGTAGGTACACAGAGCAGTCAAGCTCTCGATTAAGATGCATGTATGTACAGTATGCAGGGAGCGCGTCACGTGGGCGTCAAAAAGTCCGGAGGGTACGTGCAAGGGGGCGTGGTAGGTGTGTGTGAGAGCCAGTAGCAGTCTAAATGGCATTATCAGTCCGTGAATCGACATGCGATCCTCCAGCTGGTCTTTTGAGTGAGCGAGTGAGTGAGTGAGCCGTCAAGGGACCCTCAGAATTTGCCGTGCACGCGGCCGTACTTCGGGAGGGGCGCCTGCGCGTGAAACGGCACAGGCATAGTGTGCGCGTCTTCCTCGCCGGGGCGGGGCGAGTCGGGGATCTGGATCGTGTCGCGGTACGACATCGGCGACGCGAAGCTCGATGACGTCTCGACCTCGCTGGCGTACGACGAGCGGGATGAGCGGGACGAGTGCGACGAGCTGCGCGACGAGCCGGCGCTGCGGGCCGAGCGGCTCTGCTGCGACGGGACGCGCGACGGGCGAGGGCTGGCCTTCTCCTCGTGGGCGTTGTTGTTGAAGCTCGGAGAAGGCGAGGCATATCGCGGCAGCGATTCCTCAGGGCGCTGGAGCATGAATCCGCGGATGGCCGCGGCCTTCTCGCCCTGGCGCCCGAAGCCCATGTTGGACTTGGCGGTGCTCTTGAATGAGCCAAGAGACGCCGTCTCCTGCACAGGTTTCTCCATCATCGTAGTCGGGTAGACAGGTACGAATTGCGGCGCGAACGACCCCATATCTCCCGTGATAATGCCCCTGTCCTGCTGACGTTTGGCGCGCAGTGAACGACGGGACTTGGCGCTCTCGCGGAAGATCAAGCCAAGGAAAATGTTCAGGCACCCGATGGAGAACAGGAAGAACGCGGAGACTAGCGTAAAGTCGTCGACATGGTGAGAAAGAATCTGGGCGCCGATGAGGCACTGGAAGATCCCTAAGGCGCCGAGGCCGAAGTCGTTTCCTAGCACCGGGAAGAACCGATCAAAAAATGACGAAGGCCAGCGGAACTCGGAGACTAGACAAACGAAGAAAGGTGAGCAATTGTTTTAAATCAGGGCGGAGGGAACGCACGGAGCAAAATGACAACTTGGAAGATGATGAGCAGGCTAGCAACGACAGACCAGAAGACGCCGGCGGCCTGGTTGGGAACGGTGCTTCCTCTTTGAGCAGGTCAGCTTCGAGCTCGCACGCCGTCGCAGAGATGAACGCACTCGATGTAATCACAATCCAGCATGGGGCTCGTGCCATTGGCGATCCGGTCCGCCTGGAACGCGTTCACAGCCTTGATGTTCGTGACCATGACCTCGATGGAGGACGCGAAAACGAGAAGCAGTCCGACGATGCTGAGGAGACGGACGGCGTTGAGCCCGACGAAGATGACTGATCGCGCTATGAGTCAGCATGGCAAACGCAACAGGAAGCACGGGACGCACTGCGAGAGAAGTTCATGGGCATGATGTGAGGGTGCAAAAAGATGGCGATGGGAAGTTCGTTGAAAAGGTTTTAGAGAGGCAGCAAGTGAAAGTGGTTTGTCAAAAAGAAAGAAAGAGTCAAGCTCTAGACGTGGTCGTGCGTGGGCGGGGGCGTGAGAAGTCGGTGCGGTAACGTCAAGTAATGAAAGAAAGAAAACAAGGGGTGTCCCGACACCAAGAAGGAGACAAGGGTGGAAGTAGAGAGTTGGCTGGGTAGCTTGTTTATGTGGAAGACCACTGGAGAAGTCAACCCGGCAGCGTTCCTTTTTATCGTTCGGCGGCTAGCTTGCCCATTATGCCGAACAGGACCAAACACACAAGGACGTCCATTCTTTGACTCACGTATCCCCGGCTAGAGAACAATGAACCTGGAGAACAAGGTGTACAAAGAACAATAGAGCACGTGTTCGGAAGTCCCGCCCTTCCTGTTTAGGCACAAAGGACTTTCGTCGGTCGCTACGCTGCTTCGTGGATCAATACCCGCCTTGGAGACGCGTTTCACAACTCGAGAATGCATGAGTTACGAGCGCGATGTGGCTTGCGCAGGACATACAAGTTTATTTGCGCATCTTTGTACAGCAATCCCCGCTTACATAACTTATTGTGTGCAGGGCGTCGCCATGGCAGCTGCGGCCACCGTCTGCCCGCGGTTGTTGTTGTATGCCGATGCGAACTCTATTTCTACAGCGCGAAAATGGGTGGATGACGGGAACCGTAAATATATATATACGACGACGGGAGCGTAATCATCAGCCCAATGCGCGCAGTGCACACGGGGCGAGTCGCATCCCGGTAAAGTAAAGTGACACGAGGCGAAGCCAGCCTGGAAAAATAAACGAACGAAACGGAGAGTAATGCTATGAGGTGGATGCACGGCCAGCACCTGGGTGCACCGCAGCTTCAGAGTCCGAGGTATTGAGCGCGGAGCGCGTGCGGGGTGGCGATGACGACGGCGACGGCGGGTCGTGCGTGCTCCCGTTTGCGAGCATAAGTCTCCTCGGGGGATCGTACTCTCGCACACTTGTCGGCGACCCAGCGCGATCGAAGTACGCTTGATCGGCACTAGGGCTGGGACTGTGGTGTCCCCAGTTATAGGGGATGGCCGGTACCGCGCCATCTCCGATGCTTCCCTTGCTCGTGTTGTGTCCGTGGCCGGAGAGATGCGCCCCTGGATCGAGTGGTCGCATCGAACCAGCGGAGGAAGGTCGAGACGAAGCCGTAGTGGCACTGAATCCGGGGCTAGAGACAGTGCGTGGGAGATTGAGTGGCATGAGCCCAGGCGTAGGGTGGCGATTTGCCGAGGACGCTGGCGGAGAATTCGGAGGTGAAAAGCCAGATGCGGACGGAGGCGTCCTCGCCTGGCCAACCAGCCCATATTGGTAAGGTTTGGGCTCCACTTCGGGATCCAAGGAGAAGCGCTTAGCGGGCGCAGGTGGCCTTTCTTCATTGAAGATGTCGTCCCATCGCTGTCTTCGTCGCCTGCATTGCGAGTTTAGGAGGCGGATCCGGCGGATAAAAGTGAATACGTACAGCACAAACCAGATTATCGACACGATGGCAAATAGCCCAAAGAAACCCCCTAGGACGCCACCGATGATAGGTCCAATCGTGGGTGGACTGCCACCATCTGTGTTCGTTTGCGTGTGGGGGTCGGCAGAGGCAGCGGCGGTAACGTATGTGATCGATCCGGATACGACGGATACAACGGTGAGCGGGACCACTGTGACTTGTCCATTTGCCAGAGTACTCGATTGCTGGCTAGTAACAACGACGGCGGACATTGAGCTCGAGGGTGTGACACTAGGAGACGGCGGGGGCGGTGGCGTCGATATGACACTTCGGCTTGACGATACAGGTAGAGACACAGACGCAGACGCAGAACATGATGTGCCGAAGAGTGTCGTAATATGCGTGCTCAGACTGGGCACAGTCGTGATCACCGGGACGTCCACCGTCGACGTGATACCTGGAAGTAACTCATCTCAGTAAGCTGATTTCGAGCCGGGGGCACCAGTCAAGCTCGGTTTGTGCAACAGGAGCGTTCTACGGGTCGGTAAATGAGAAAACATACCTGGGATAGTCGATGTGATTGTCGTAGCCGTAGACAGACAGGCAACATCGCTCAGATTTCCCAATGCACAACCCTGCGACGTTATTGTGGTGAATGTGGGCGGTAGCGTAGTTAAAGAAGATGTGAATGTGGTCGTCAGCAGCTCGAGGGTCAACACGCTCTGGATCCCGAGCTCAGTGCGGTAGATGGCAGGAAAACAAAACTGAGTACCGTCAAAGTCGCCGTTGCAGAGCTCGCGCACGAAGACATCACGGTCTCCCGAAGCCCCAGCCACAGGCAGAAAAGAAGAGGAAGCGATAGGTGATGAAAAGGAGGGTCGATGGCTCCAAGAGCCCGCAGGCAAAGAGAAGGCGGAAAGCGGCGTTGGAAGAAGGGCCAAATTGAGTCCAAATTGAAATTGACAGGTCGACACGTGCTCTTGGCAGCTTGCAGCCTCGACCGGACCGCCAGGCCCGGCGCGCGAGGCGTCCCTTTTCTCAACTCCGAGTCGATGCTCCGACTCACTTTGTTGTACTCTCCGTCGGAACCTTCATTTTTCTATTCCCGTTTTTGTGGGAATCCGCAGAATCGCGTCTACTTTGCTTGTTTCAGATATGATGACAATTTAATATCAAGGCAGTGCTCACCGATCTGTCATTCATTCATAATGATCTTGTGAGAGTCACCACAGCTGCAAGCCTCGCCGAATATTCTGATCCTAGATTTTCTACTTGCAGGTAAGTATTCTCGATTTGCTACGTGCACGAGCTAGATTGAGATGCAGAAGGCCTGATTGCTGTCCCATCAACCCTGTGGGCTTCATTTCGCACTTAGTTGTACTTGATGGTCTAGGGGAAATGCGACCTGTTAAAAAAAGAAGGATTCCAACAAGTTGATTGTCGACAACTTGAATCGATACTTAGATCAGAATAAGATGCACACGACGATTGTTATGCTGAACCCGGCACGCTTCAAGTCCATTCGATACAGAAAAACACGTAAGAATCTAACAGCCTGGGCGGCACAGATTTACCGTTCTCTCTCTCAGATTGTGTGTCAGGAAGGATTACCGCCAAAGACGGTCTGGGCCGATGGCAGTGAGAAGAGCGGCTGGGCGCAATTCATGAAGCAACAAGGTGTGAGAAGTTATACACATCGCGCTTGGCGAATCACGGGCTTTTTGGAACACCGAGGAAGATCTAGCCTGAACACCGAGGAAGATCTAGCCTCGCCACTGTCAGGCTTGCAATGGTGAAAGGCTGCGATCTAATAAGACGAGGCAGGCTTGACTAGCTCCAGGCCCTTTCAAACTTTATTAGGCGCGTTTGAGTTTCGTGAACCCATTTCGGGTTTCTACTCAATAGCCGACGACTCTCCGGTAGTGAGCTAGGTCCGATAAGTACCTATAGTACTATCTCTGCTTTGATCTGGTCGGCGCTGGGTCAGCGTTACGAAATATGTCACATCAGCTGACTGTGACGTATCGTGCTCCTTGCTTGGACAAGGCAGTCACCACCGGTGATGGCCGAACGTATCCGCCATCTCGAAACGCTGTTCTACTTCTATGCCGCCGAGTATTCCGGCCCTTGAGGGTCTCTGCTGGAAATCCATTCTCGCTGGTCAATTGGATCGCCTTGCAGCAACTGCACCTAACCACTAGCAGTTGTGTGCGAGGGGTTTTTTGACCAATGAGCCTCAGCACGGACAGCCCATAGTAATGTCGGCTCCCGACTTTCCAGCGTCCACTGTAAACTCTACTAAACCGCTTCACTAAAACGAACGTCGCCGTCCTCCAGCTCATGTTCTCCTTCAGCAAGGCCTCTCTACCGCCGACTTCACGGACAGTAGACTTGCACGTGCACGAGTGGCCTGTGCCAGACGTACCCCGCGCACGACGGTGCGTCTCGGGTGATGCATATGACAGGTGGAAGGACAGTCTTGGACTTTGCCGATCGCACGATACGGATGGGGTGTCCGTCCACCACGGATGCTGCTGCACGACTTATCTTCAACGGGACCTATAGGTTTGGGGTGCGTATGGCTGATCTGTCTGTTGATACGGACGGCCTTGAGGTGCGCTGACCCGTCATTGAATGGCTCGTCAACAGCCCTATCGGTCTGATCATCTACCCGAGGACGTGAGCAAGAGCCATTACCGCCCATCTCCTGCACGGACATGAACGCTTTCGCTGTACATGAAAAGCTTACAGCCACAGGATCTTACGACGGCACCTCGCAGGTCCCGCATATCGTGCCTAGAGCGCTTCGAAGCATATGGCCTGATAGAACATGGGCCCATGAAATGTGCTGTGTGCTGCGGTAACGAGCGCGCCTGCGTCTCTGGCGCACTGGGACGCACCTCGACAAAAGCCCATCCCGGCACCCTCGATCACACCCTCCGTGTCCGGGATATGAAAACGGGCCGATATATGCATGCATTGACAGAGCACACCTCGCTCACCGGCGTACTCAGATCATCTCCTCGGCACTTCCGCTGATTCCGATAATTGTGCGCATCTGGGATCCACGCACCACCGCGGTCGTCCATGTTCATATGGACACTGACCCCATGGCTGCGGCCACCGTGACGGGCACCAGCGGCAGCGCACTTCGTTGGCTTGTGCGCGACGGACGACTCGTGTGCGATCTGCTCGCGGTTGATCTTTCTGGAGTGCAGCAGGTCGTTCTTTGAGTTACACAGCCGATGCTCCGCTCTTGAGAGCCAGCGGATTCAATCTTGAGCGTTTCAAACCTGTCGCCAGACGCGAGGGAAACATGTTACCCCTCGAGGGGACTCCAGGCCGCCACTGCAGTCGCAACAGATATCCAGAAAACCCACAAACCAAAAATCCCTCAATTCTCTCATCCAAACGTAAATTACACTGGGGCAGGGGGGGCTACGTATCTGAACTGCGAACCAACCCAAAAAATCGTGGTGTGTAGTAATCTAAGATGATGGTAGTAAGTCGTGTAAGTGAGCAAGCAGCAGCAGTAGCGCGCGCGCAAGAACGGAGGAGGCGGGGGCCAGGAGGGGGGCCGGGAGGTGGACGGTAGTCGGGGGTCGTGGCAATATCGTGATAAGTTAAAGTGTCATCGTCAAGCGGTCTATGCATGGGTATGTTTGTCTGTCTGTCTGTCTGGATGAAATGAAGAATAAACACGAAGATGGAAATGGAAAAAAGTTCAGGGGAGCCCCGTAAAGACACAGCAACAACAAACGCCAATGCCATCATGCACTGCTGCTGGCGCTGCTTTCGTTGCCCTCTCCGTCTTCAGAGACCGTCAGCGATACCCGCGGGCTGCCTTCCGTCCTCCTTGGCGGCGGCGGCACAGGCGACACCGACCGCGACGGGTACGGCGACCCATACGGCGAGCTGCGGTACCGATGGATATCCTCCATCGATCCCCACGGCGAAGGATTTAGGCTCCCGTTGTTGACAGTCAACGAGTTCCGGAGGTCGGTCGTGCTGCTGCGGCCCAGTAGATCGGACATGCTGGCCCGCCCGAACAGTTTCTTCTTCTCAGACGGGAACTGCCCGATGATAGGGTCCCGGTCGTCGATCGGGGTGCCCGGGAAGGGCGTCGACTTGCCCGAGATCTTGGTCGTGACATCGGAAATGCTGCCGCCCGTCAACGTGACGATGGCCAGCGGCTCTTTGCCCGGCGGCTGGTTGTACATCCACGTCGCACACAGCACCGTCGACGCGCCGATAACGAACGAGGGCGTGATTCTGAAGTCGAACAGCACGACCGACGCGAGGAAGGAGAACACGATCGACAGCGACGTCGCGAATCCCTTCATGATGTTGTCCGAGTACTTGATCACCACCGCAGTGACCAGCCCGCCCGCGACCTGCACCGAGACCGTCGCCCAGGCCCAGCCCCCGAAGTTCCGGAACGCCCCGTGCATGAATCCGAAGCTCCAGGGCGTCTTGTACAGGAGCATGAAGAACGCGAACGGAAGCGACGCCAGTGACAACTGCACGTTCCGCACCCACAAAGTCGACCGCGAGTTCTTCAGCACCATCTCGAAGTACACCCCGGCCAACCCCGACGTCACACATGCGACCGTGACGGCAGCGAAGCCCTTCAGCGGACTCATGATATGGATGTGCAACGGCGCCGAATCGTGGGCGCTCCCGACGGGCCCGTTTTTCGGAGTGACATGGCCGGACGTCGCAGTCTGGATCTGCACGATTCCAACACCGAAAGCGAGGAAAAACAGCGAGAGCCACTTCGTCGGGCTCAGCGTGCGCCGGAGCAGCGCGACGGAGAACGCCGCAGTCGTGAGAATCTTCATCTGGTACGTAACTTGGAACGTCGCAACGGGGAGGTTACTGATAGCGACGAATTGGAGCAGGTTTTGCGCGACGTAGAGGATCGCAGGGATGAGCAATTTCCACGAGTCAGGGCTGAGAATCTCGCCCCATAGCTGCCAAAACGGTGCGGTCCACGGCCACGGGAGCTCGCGCACGACGGCGGAGAACGTCATGCGGCGCCAGGGACGTTCTGCGACTTGGGGCAGGACAGCCAGCCCGATGCAAAATGAGATCAGGCCCTTGATGAGTTCATTGAGGAACACGGCGGCTTCGGGTGAGTAGGACTGCGACGGCGGCGTCGAGACGCGGGAGTAGTGCATCGTTATTGATAATGCGGCGTTTTGGATGGCCAGGGCGAACAGGCTGGTTCAGGGTTGGCGCAAAAGGTTAGTATGGGCAAATGTGACGAAAAGCAGCACACGCACGACAGATACTTCAGGGGCATCCCACAGAAGGTCGGCGAGGACTCCTGCGACGTCGATGCCGATTCGTTAGCTGGTACGACGACTTTGGGGTAGTTCATCGCTGCTGACGGCAACAAAGGCGTCATGCGGGGACTGGGGGTGCGGCTCTGCTTCGGGATGTACGAAGAGAGCGAGCTTGAGGGGCGCACGGTAGGTGGTGGGCGGTGGTGCATTGTGGAGGACGAGTGGGAGGGCGATAAGTGTAGAATCGCTGCAACCCGGGTCCAGATGTGAGATTTCAGGGAAGAAAACGACACCAGTTGGGGCACCTTTGTCCTGTTAGAACCCGGCTGGAAAAGATCCCCGTGGTGGAGCTTGCAAGCGAGGCGAAGCTGCAAAAGACTCCTTTTTGGAAGCGCCTGAGAGGCGGGGAGGGATATTTGGCAGAGAGGTGGGGGGCGGAGGCAAGAATCTCGCAATTCTCAATTAGGTAAGACCCACGGGCGTCGGTTCGCTCGGTCTTCCCGCCTGCAAACATTTTATGCATATCTCTGGGAAGCAAATCGTTACGCGCGGAGAGGACACAGCATGTAGTTATGGCGATTTCATATTGGACTGCGTCCTCCTCCAAGTGCTTGCCAGTCTTTGCAAGCCAGAATTCTGGCCAGCTGTGGGCTCGTGGCAGTTCTTCTGTCATTGATCTTCGTTCCATCCCATCAGGTTCATTGATCGGATTTGCCGGCATGATATACCTTTCTCCCAGGGAAAAAAACCGAGCATCCGCACTCCACCGGTTGTCTGGAGACAAGCGGATGCTGGAGCGTCCAGCTCGTCCGCGAAGCGCATGGTTACTGGGGGGCGAACAGGGCGATGCATCCACAACCCGGGACCACGCCGGGTCATCAGACTTCCCGTTGCTTCTCAGGCACCGACCGACAGCAGCAGTCGTGCTCAGGTGGCCGCCCTTGGCCGCCCTAGGCCCACTGCGTGCTCCTCGCTGCAGCTCTCCTGTCTAGACCGCAGTGCCCATCCGCCTTATCGCATTGCTAGCCTCTCCCACGTGGCACATATCGACAACTTCAAATCGACTCCACCTGAGCTGATCCATGACATATAATATGTGCACGGTCGCCGACGCATCACCACTACAGCTCCAGAATCTCTGGAGGGATTACGTACGTGCTTTCCTCGTCATTTTTTGATGGTTGCATTACACAGCATCCGCCGTATCGTCACTTCAGCCTTCAGAGTTCTCTCCGCTGTCCTCGTCTCTCGCGAAAGGAGGAGGCAGGTCACAAACGGTAATCTTATCGTCACACTCAGCCACGGGTGACGTAACTGTGATTGCGTGGTTCATTTTGTCTGAGGCCCAGGCAACGGATGCGCGATCATTTCCGCGCGAGGGGCGCGCCCTGGTCGCCTGTGAGTGCACGAATTCAAGCTTTCGCCTCCTTTCTATTCGGAAGGATAGGCTATTCGCATCGATTGATTAACGACGGATTCCCAATGTGGCTTCCAGAGCTGTGATACTCTCTTGCATAGCCTGAACCCACGTTCGGAATCGCAACTCAGACGAAAGAGCGAATGAAATTGTGCCAAGCGATCCCACGCGGTCACGAGACCACTTCTCGTGAGACGCGCGTGATTAACAACTTTCTTCATTTGCCCTGTCAGTTATTTTTGGGTGCGGCCGAACGACCTACTTGCGGAGATGAGTCTACGAAGCAACACCTCGTCTCTCACCACCCGCCGCTCATCTTGCACCACACCATCTCGAACGAACCGTCCACGATGTCCGCCGCCAGCCCGAAAGTCGCCGTCGTCACTGGAGCCGCGCAAGGCATCGGCCGCGGCATCGCCTCCAAGCTCTCGTCCGACGGGCTCGCCGTCGTCGTCGTCGACCTCCCCACCAAACTCGATGCGCTCACGCAGCTCGTCGACGAGCTCGGCGGTGCGTCGAAGGCGCTCGCGCTCGCGTGCGACGTCTCCAGCGAGGAGCAGGTGCAGCAGGCGATCGACCAGACCGTCCAGACCTACGGCCGACTCGACGTGGTGCGTCGCCGCGCCCATCCGGTACCCCCCGCAAGTGCGCTGTGCTGATCCAGGACCCCCCGGGGCCCGCCGCAGATGGTGGCGAACGCGGGGATCGCGGGGCAGGGCGGCTCCGTCGCGGAAGGTCGGTGGCGCCGCCCCTCTACCGCCGGAGAAGCACTGACCGGTTCTTCTGAACGACTTCGATGGGCTCACAGCAAACGTCTCGGAGTGGGAAGACCTGTGGCACGTCAACATCCGCGGGACGCTCCTGTGCTACAAACTCGCGGCCCAGCAGATGATCAAGCAGGGATGGGGAGGGCGCATCATCGGTGGGTGTCCTTGTGTCCGTGAGAGATGATTCTGATCCCCCCACTCCCAGGCGCATCCTCCGTCGCAGGCCAGCGCGGTGAGTGCACCACCGACCTCGAGTCGGACGCGAGTTTTCCCAACCAAAGATAGGCATCGCGGGCCTGGGCGCGTACTCCGTCTCCAAGGCCGCAGTCAAATCGCTCACCCAGACGTCCGGTAAGTCATGCTGAGTTCCACCACGATCAACAGTGCAAAAATAACCGACGCGTTACCCATCACACCCACCAGCACTGGAGCTTCGCGAACACAAGATCACGGTCAACGCCTACGCGCCGGGTCTGATCGAAACTCCAATGAGTGACTGCCCGCCTTGTCTGCCATACGCCTCCCCGTTCACTGACCCCCCGCGTCGCAGCGGTCGGATTCATGGCGCGTCGTCAGGCAGCGGCGAACCTCACCGACACCCGAAAATACCTCGGCCTCGGCTCGGAACTGAGGGTAGGCACCCCAGCAGAAATCGCCGCCCTCGTTTCGTATCTGGTCTCCGATGCAGCGTGGTTCGTCACAGGTAAGCTCTCGTCGGCGGTAAAGAAACTCAGAGACGTGAAAAAAAAATTGCACAGGCCAGACCATCTCAATCGACGACGGCGCTCACCTCTGACCGGGCACCGGTTCTACGCTACCTAGAATTTATGCAGCCATTGCGGTCAATTTACAGAAAGTCGGTACTACGTGACTATACGAAAAGCACTAAGTAGATAGATAAAGCAGGGCTCAGCACGCATCCGAGACTACTCAGTGACCCAGACTGCAAAATCGTGGTGAGTTTCCGCGACAGCCCGCAGCAACAGCAAAAAAAAACGCACAGGACAAAGCAATGACACAGTAGAGAGTGATAAGCATCAAGCCTTCCATGTAGTTCGACTTCCCGTCCCTAAAGAAAAATCAACCATCGCGTTCAACATGAACACGTGACGACGTACTGGATGAGCGTGTTTACCAGGAACACGGAGACAAACAACGTCACGGTCTCGAAGTTAGCGAAAAAGAGCGTCAGCTCGTGGCCGGATCTAAATTATTCTTAAGTAACTGGCATCCTTGTGAGATGGCCCGAGTCGCTTACATCCATCCGACGATCACAAGCAGAGGGACGACAAATGTCGCGATTTGCTGTCGTTCAAAATTGAGAGCTTATCCACCGTCAGATTAATTCGACCACTCACGATCGAGCTGCCGACACAGATTCCGATGGTGAGTTCCATCTGACCTTTCATTGCCATCCACACGGAAGTCACGTGCTCGGCAGCGTTAGCCTAAGCGGTTGAGCACAAAGAACACACGCGGGACGACGAAAATTCGCTTACCACGATGGGGAGCAAGATCAGGCCGATGAACGGTTTCGGGATCGAGTAGCGGTCGGCAGTCTCCTCGATGGATCCGACCACTTGATAAAAAATGAGCGAGAGCTCGCTGATCATTGACTCGGGGGAACGTACGGTAGTCAGCACAGAAAGAGGTCACGACGGTTGTGGCCAGCAGACTGGATTTTTGGTTGAGAAAGAAAGTAAACATAACAATAGGGCAGGTGAACTCACGCGAAAGCCGCCGCGATGACGCTCATCTCCGCCGCCTCCCTTTCAATGGCAGGCCCATCGTCGGTGGATTCCGGCTCCTCAAAGAGGTAAGCATGCGTTTTGAGCTGGAGACGGGTCAGAAACTGCTCATCATGTGGAAAACAACACTAGAAAACCTGGAACACGAGATAGGCCACGTAAACTCCCAGGAGAAGCAGCGCCGTGCCGCGCGAGATGGTGAGCAGGCCGTCCAAAGCGGGCGTCGTAAGCTTTGACCCAAGCAAGGAGGAAGCCATGTTTTTCTTCTCCTCGATCGACGCAGTCATCGTGCTGTGGTAAGCAGCAGGGATCACAAGGGCTGCCGAATTCAGTCAGTATTTCGAGAGTGCAATAGTGCTGCGCGGGATAATTACTGATGCAAGCCAGCGTCATGAGCTAGCGCACAGAGTCAGAATGCATTAATTACGCATGGAATCGCGTACCGAGCTCGATCTAGGGAATGAATCAGTCTCAGATCTCAGACATACAGAAACTTCCACTTACGCTTGAGCGGCTGTAACCTGGAAGTTGCTTTCATCGAACTTGAATCCCGCTGAATGAACATAAAACTTCAACGCAAAAGGCCTGCAAAATTGAACGATGACGCACCGGCCAAGAAGGAGCAGCCCAAAACCAACAACAAGTTGGAGAGAATCGAGCCGAGCAGCTACAGTGCATACGTAAGGCTACGACCCGAATGTGAAAAAGACATGCACTAACGGAAGTCTGGACGATACGGAGTTGGCCTAAATTACGTCCAAAAAGTTAGTCTCCGCAGCTCCCTGAAAGTATGCGTGCACGTGGCCACACACCCTGCAGCAAGGCGGCGATGCCCACAATGATCTCCACCGCATTGCCGAAGGAGGCGTTGAGCAGCCCGGCGAGCGTCGGGCCCAGCTTGTTGGACATCTGCTCCGTCGCATCACCCAGAAGCTATCAAAAAACGATCGCGCGTGAGCGATCTGACCCGGGCGATCAGCGACGGTTGGAACATGCCTTAGCCAGCGGAATGATGGCAAGGAAACTGAATGAGAAGCGCAGGGCTGCGTCCCACTGCAGCTCCCCCGCGAGGATGCACAGTGGCACAAAGAGGAGGAAGATGTTCAGCCACGAGCCGAACAAGAAGAACTTGTAGGATGCAATCCAGGACGGCTCGCCCTCCGCCTTGATAAGGGCCTTGACCCGGTGCGTGAACGAGTGCCCACCGGCCGCTGTGCCGTTGGTGTGAGGTAAGAGGGGTGTGCTTTCAGATGTTGACATGGATGCGAGACGAGAGGGAGAATGAGCGAATACGGTCGGAACGGGAAAGTGGGTGAGACCAAAGGTTTATGATGTAAACGCAGGCAGTGCACGACGTGTAAATTTGGATGCCAAGCACTTATGTCAATACACCTTTCGATCCCATGCCATATATACAGCTTTGAACCTGTATAAGGCAGGAATTGTCCAGACGATCCCCCCGGAACAATGCGTAGTACGGACCCTGACGCCACTCCAAGAGCCCGCGAGATACCGACTATCGGGTGCATGGCAATCCAAGCTTCCAATTCGTCAGTCGGAGGGGCATGAGTCGGGCGTTAGCAGACACAGGCCGATAGCTGTAGAGAAGTACTTGGATGCCCTGCTACAGCACCCTACTCTTCCGCTCGGAGCGGTGCTCATCTACATTCCCTTCCACCGCCTTCCCAGCTTCCAAATGCTGAACATCTCCATACTGCACCACAGTCACACCGCCCCCCTTTTCGACTTCCAAAATAGACACCGACGTGTTCAGACACGTCCAAATCACGACCCCCGGCGCGCACTGCGCCTTCCCGCTCCCAATCAACGCCTTCACCAGCGTCCCGATGAAACCCCCGTGGCTCACCACCAGCACGTTGTACGGCGTCTCCCGCGCGGCCAGCCCCAGCGTCCGCTGCATGATCGCCCCCTTCCACCATCCCACCGCGCGCGCCGTGAAATCCGACGCGCTCTCGACGTCGTCCTCGGCTTGCGCAATCGGCGCTCTTACTCCGTGGCCGGCTCTATGACCCTGCAAACGTCCGAGGAACTATCCACGCAAGCTCTTCAAGATCCTACTCGAAGCTTCCAAGCGGATCCAGACGTACGCGCTCCCTCAAGGCCTCTTCCCTCCTGATCTCGATGTCGTCTCGATGGGACAAGATAGTTTCCGCAGTCTCATCCACTTACTCAGCCTGGCATATCTCACCTCGGAAGAGCTCGCACCTTGAGAGCTCGCTGCAAGTCGCTGCTGTACGCGATATCGAAATGTACACCCGCAGATCGCAGTGCTTCTGCCACGGTCCTGGCTTGCACCAGCCCCAGTTCATTCAACTCGGTGTCTAGATGGCCCTGGATGATGCCTTCCCGATTTTCCTGGGTCTCACCGTGGCGCACGATGTATACTCTAGCAGAAGCCATGTGGAAGATGCGGTCCGATGGCAACTCGTTACGTAACGTGTTTTTATGGATGCGTTTGCTGATACACATTGATTTTGCGGTGCACAGTTACAATCACAGCTGTCTAAGGAAACGTGTATGGCAGCCCTAAAGTCCCCCAGTATTTACAGTATGCAATCAATCTACAATAAACTGGAGATCTCGGCAGCCATGTTCCGGATTCGCTCTTCCGAAAATCGACTGGCTACTTCGGACACCACTTGCTTGATTTCAGCAGTCTGAGCAGCGTCCAGAGGTGAATTTTGCTGCTTGGACGCGTAGTAAAGATTGCCCAGGCCAACGAGAGCGCGGTAAGCGCTTTCTGTGTCGCTGGATTCGGTCTTCAGAGCCTAGCACATAAGTTAGCGGCGTCCGGGTCTCCTCGAAGACTAATCACCTCCAGAATCATGCCCAGGAACACAGAGCGGGCTGATGAGGGCAGGGGGTTAAACAAGGTGATGCACGAAATACTGCAAAAGCAATCAGTCATTGGATATCACCAGCATGAGCGACTCACTTGAGCAACATGGTCGCTCGCCCTTTCCGCTGGTTGGTCGTCAGCTCTGCATAGTGTGCGCCCGACGTCAGTTGAAGCACCTGTGGAATCATCCAGTCAGACATTTGGAAGATTGATTGGGCCAACATGGGACGTACTTGAGTTAACCAAGACCCCTCAGTAGTGTGAGCTCCCTCTTGCATGACATTCGCCAGCGCCCGGAACACAAGCATCAAGTTCACCTCCACCGGTTTCGCTGTCGGCTTGACCCACGGCGATCCAAACTCTGCCGACTTGAATAGCGCGGAGAAGAACCGTTCCTTGACGCCAGGCGCTTGGACGGATTCCGGGCAATACGCCACTACTAATCGTGCGAGGTCAAGCACTGGGCAATTTGAGCGGTTATCAAGCACGCAGACACTCAGATACGCACCTGGCAATCTGAAAGAAGCATGCCACCGGTCCAGAGCCCCGACGATGGCATCAATATGCGCATTGCCCAGTGGCTTTGTAGGCCGGCTGCCTGCCGAGGCCTTCTGCACATAACTGAACGCCTCGTCGATGGCCCGTTCCTCTTCAGGATAAAGGGCCAGAGCTGAGGTGGACTGCGCTGTCGTCAGTAGTTGCCAGGAGACTAGACTGGATAACGAACGATTTCGTGCCGCATATGATCGTCGTACTGCTGCAGCTTGGCCCGCATGGCAGTCAGGTTGCCTTCCTTGAGCAGCACCGGCTGCAGCTGGAAACACAGGGTGGGTCAGCCCACCACCAATGTAAAACATCGCGGTACATACGTAGGGCAGAATGCTGTTGACGACGGGCTTGGCCGGCGCAGGCTGGCCACTGTAGCGTGAAGCACCGGTATACGGATCCATGTAAGCAGAAGAGGGTGCAGATGCTGATGAACTTGTAGACGACACGTATCGGGAAGCGCCGGTGTACGGATCTACATATGAAGCCGCAGGTCCCGATCCCCCAGAAGCGGCGTTGCTCTGATAACGTGTTGCTCCTGAAATAAAGAAAAGTTGGCGCTGTCAGATAGACTGTAACCACGCTCACCCGTAAAGGGATCAGAATATTGCTCGCCCCCGCCACCTAGCGTTTGGCCGCCTGTGTTCTGATAGATGTACTCGACGATCGTATTCAGATGGTTCGGAGAGAGATTGTTCCTCTCAAGGAACCGGTTGGCGGCGACCGTAGGGTTTTCTGCGGTATCTGAGCACACTATTCATGCCTTGATCAGACGGTCACGCACCAGAAACATTGTACGGGAGCTTCAGGGACGGCTCCCCATCCTCGAGGGCGACGTTCCAAACGTAATCCCATTCTTTCCCTTCGAAATACGTCTTGGTTGCTGCGTTTCCCGATGGCGCTTCGGCACGTTCTCCAATTCGTTGCCAGACGGAACCGTCCCACTGCACATAGGCTTCGATGAGAAACTATGAAGCCTAAACTGGGTGCCTCACCTGGTATACTTCGGTCACGTCCCCGTTTGAAACAAGCAGTGTCTGGCCGGCCTTTTTCCCTGAACACACACTGATCAACTCTGAAAGACACGACGTGAAAAAACGCACCAGACACCTTCAACGCATCCAGGGGCTCGACCTTCACCTGCTCGACATCGTGCGACGCCAATGATTGTTGGGCAATCACGTCATCATAGGCCTTGATCTCGTGCGCAGGAGCCCATCGCTCTTCCACAGCACTGAACACCCGGACATTCTTGTCGCTAGCACCGCTGACGATATCGCCATTGGGCATTGTCGAAACCGTCCACACTGAGATCGCCGGATGCACAAGCACTTGCGCGCATTCGCCATCTGAAAAGAAGACCTCGGTTGGCGAACAGAAATAACCCAGGGGAACGGCAGACCTTTCCAGATTCGCACGCTTCGATCCTCACTTGACGACACGAGATCGCCGTTGGGTAAGACCGCGAGCTGGTATATGAAAGAGGTGTGGCCATTTAGTGTATGTACAAGGTCGCCACCCAGAGTCCAGACTCGTATCTCGCTGCGCCAACTTCGGTCAGCGACCCGATAGCGACAAGATCAGAATACACACTTGTCGGAGCAGGAAGCGAACCCGATATCGGGAATAAGTGCCAAGGACCGCACAACTCCGGTCGCTGGTAGCGTCTGCACAACCTTGTGTTGTTTCCATAACTTGATGGATTTGTCTGCTGACGCTGCGACGCGCGTCAACACATGTGAAAAAGAGAAAGACGGCGAGCGCGACGCACCGGTGATGAATTCATCCTCACTGACTGCGATCGCGTCCCAGACACTGTCCTCGTGGCCCTTGAGCTCAAATGCCGCGTTGAAGTCTCGCCAGACTCGGGCCGTGCTGGAGGTATTGGTCGGCAAGAGCGTGTGAGAAGCAGAGCAACACTACACACTGGTCCCAAGAGGAGGAAACGATGGCGCCTCCAGGTGTGGTGTGCAAGGCACAGACGTTACCGGTGTGGCCCAAAAGCATGAAGTCCGGCTCATCCTTCGTCGGCTCCAATGCATACACGCTGATGACCCCGTCCTGGTCGCCCGCCACGGCATATCCTACGAGATCGCCGTCAACCGCTGTCCTACAGCTCAGGAGTGCGTCCTGCCAAACCTTTCGGGGCTTCGGGTGTGGGCGGTAAGTACGTCACGGCGTTGACGAAGCGCGTGCTCGGGTGGTACACGGTGGCCGGGGTGAAGGCCGAAGCGGGAGAGGACGAGCTTGGGTCGCGTCTCCACACGATCGCGGTCGAATCACGCGAAGCCGACAAGATGAGATCGTCGGCTGGAGTGCTCAGTCCGCGCACCTGGATCTGGCGGTCAGAAAGCTCGATCGGCAGAACGATTAGGCTGGGCGACGTGCGTCTGAGGTGTGGCCCGCAAGCGTAGCGGATAGCTTGAACGGCATCGTCGTGGATGAGGAGTGGGACAAGGGGATGCCCGATGTCTCTTGTTTACCAAGAACCTCAAGACGCGCAAGACCCTGAATCGACGTTCTTTTGCGTGGTATTAATATTCGACCAGACCACTTCTTTTGGAATACCGTGACAGGTGTAGTCATATAACCTCCGATACAATATACATTGGGGTGTGGTACATAGGGTACAAAATGCAGAAAGTAAGAGTAGAAGATGTGCACCACTCTAACGAGCCCAAGCAGTCGTATGAGCCAACAGTCGGGAGATACGGAGGTGTAGTCTATGCCTTGCACCAATTTCACTCTCCTGCGAGGACCCCACAGGTTGTTCGTTTACCGGACAAGTCGAAGAAAACGAGGGTCAAGACCATGGGGGGATGAAGAAAAGAAGCGTCGGTTAAAAAGCTGGGATTTATAGTATTTCCATATTGGGAAAAACCCCATATGGGCGTTCATGATTGCACCCCGAAATTATGATCTGGTGCAATCTGAACTTGCATCTGTAGACACGAGACAGTCAGAGGACTGGGGCACAGAAGATACTTCAACAAGATAGCATTTTCCCCTTGGTATAAATGCGGAAAGCTTTTCCCGAGGTTCTGGTGCGGCAGCTCTCGCTTTCGAGTTTCCTCTGCTGCGTTGCTGATGAGCAGCGGCGGGGGCTTCGCAACGTCCGCCCGAATTCTCAGCAGGCCACGACGCTAGAACTAAATTGACTTGGGCACGGGGCATGCTCAGACCGGGGGACAATTTTCCGACGGCCCGCCAAGTTGTGTCCCCAGAAGCGTCTGGAAGCTAGTAACAAGGAAACGGCCAGAGATTCCGAGATTCGCATCGTTGCTTGATCACACTTCTATTGGCGCAGAAAATCCATTTGTACCGTCAATCAAGGTCGGCCTATTCGGAAACAGGACGGTCGTGGAAAATCATGTCGTTTCAGGAGGTGACCTTCACACCTTCGGCATCCCAAACAGCCATCCTACCCGGATCCCAAGCTTGGTATAGATTATGTTACACTGTAGATAAGTGGAATGGATATTATACAACACTCACAGTGGACAATGTCCAGCTTTGACCAGTCCCTCTTTCTCTAATGGACAGGTCTCGTCCTTGAGCCAGATGCGATCAGAAACCCATCCGAAAAGTCGGTAGCCGATCCAGTCTTCCCAGACAACCCGCCAAGGTCGAGTGATGCTCAGGTGCTTGAGGGTCCCGTAATACAACCAATTCTCCGGGGTATAAGCTGGTAAAACCTCAGACCGCGAATGAAAAGAAGCTTCAAGCAAAGACCTACCGACATTCACTTGCGGGTTGACATAAACCCTCGGTCGACTCGGAGACGTCTTGACATGCATGTCGTATCCAATCAGAAAACATTCCGATTCAGCACACCGTGGGTCATCCCGAAACCTGAGCGGGTTATCTGACATGCTAAGCCTCGGATGCAGATTGAAGAATAGCAAAAACAACTCACTTGATAGGAACCAACGAGAATCGAAAGCAGCAACACCGTTCCAGCAAGTGGCGACTTCGACGGGCTGGTCATTCCGAAGGCGATCCACGGCGACGGGATCGTTCGAGAAATAAGGCCACATCTCCTTGGTTCGGTGACCACAGCCGTCTCGGATGACCCATCTGCATTCCTCAGTCAAGAGCCGTCCTGCAATCACTTGGACTTACGTGTCGTAGAGCCCAATCCCGTCGAAATCAAGGGCGCAGGCCAGATCATATTCTCCATTATGTGTGTTGAGCAACCGTACGATGCTCTCTATTCAGGTTAGCGGAAGCGGAGAACGAAGCCATGACACACTCACTCCACTCGAAATACACATCATTGAAGAAGATGACCTTGGTCGCATTGCGTAACGGCTCTAGTGCCTTGTTCCGCATATCAGCCATGTACTGCACCCGCTCATGCCCATCGCTCGTCCACCCTGCCGTCCGTCGGTCGTCCGTCTCCATCAGAATTCGGTGCCGCACCCCGCCACGCTCGAGATGCGCCTCGAAGTCGCGCAGCATAGCCTTGGTCTTGTCGTGCGAGTTAGACTCATAGATGGACAGAAATACATTCTGTGGGCCAAGATGCTGGATGAGCGCGTCCATCTGCTTGGTCCAGGACGGTAGATGGCGCGCGTAATCGTACAAATTCGCGGCGATGAAGTACGTCTCGTTCTTCGGCAATCGTGGTATTGGGGCACTCATATACGAGTCCCGGCCATACGTCGGGTACGTCGGCGCCAGGAGCAGAAATGCACTCCAGGCGAGGCACAGCCCGAACCGGATCTTTCTCCGTTTGGCCCACGCTCGTGCATTGCGTGCGTCAATGACATCAAGAATCATGAGGGCTGGTACGCATATCGTAACGAGGGGGAGGTATATGAAGAGGGTGGAGAAGAATCCAAGATGGATGGCCACGAAGGTCGCCGTCGTTGCCGAGAACAAAGCAAAGCCAAAGAGGATGCGGTGCGAGCGGAGGAAGGCAAGTAAATGTGAGCGCAGTAGTGAAGCCTTTCGGCTTGGTTCGTCAGCCATTGGATCACAGAGTGCGTACAAGGGACATTATTCGGGCGTGCACGCAGACTGGCAGTAATGGGATGACCGTGAGATGAAATTGTGGCCGTGCTTGATTTGAATGATGCGCCATTGGCGCCATCTAATCATGTCAAATTCGAACCCATTCCCAAGTTCCTTAATTCCGGTTCGGACGTGACTCGATGCGCCCAGAAAGGCTTGAAAAATAATATCTGCACTGAATCAATTCGACGGATATTTGTCTGTTTGCATAATATAAGTAGATCTACTTCGTATGTTGGCTCATGGACCCGCGGAACCCTGGCATGTCAATTAGCAAAGGGATTGAGATCCAGTCAACAAGACTAGAGGATCGAGATAATTCTGTGGGACTGAGTACCCTGCTAGTTCGAAGAAGTTACAACATCGATGTACATCATCCAGACACCATACTTCGCTTACCAATTTACACGCTTCGACACCTCGTCAGGATGATCAAGCTTGCCATTCCGTACTGATCCTGCTCTGAGCAGCCCGTACCATGCACTACCCCAAGCAAAGATTCCGATGAGCCACAGCTCAAGGGAGGACTCAAGGCCATTAATAAAACACTGCCTTGGACAGCTATAGATGTTGTACTGCTCGAAGCATAGTCGGCGCCAGCGTCCAGCTTTTGCAGTGCAAAATTGAGCCATTCAGAAATGGCCCTGATTACATGACACTCACTCATGTGAATTCGCCCTTTTGAACCTTCGGTGTCTTTGAGCGCATGCGATGGGAAAGCGGTACCACAGGCTGCTTTGAGGTAGAAGGTGCTTAGAAAATTCATAGCCATGCAAACGCGAAGGGGCTTAAAGAAGGCGCCAATCTCCCGCTTAGACTCAGACGTCGTCGGTACATGGAACGTTTGAGCACTCTCAGGGCCAATTGGATGACACATGATTTGAGAACTTGTACTTGACTTATCCAGTTGCTGAGTTACATGGTTCGCGCATTATACAAGGTCACTATTGATGCTGCGCGTCGTGAACGAGGAATGAATGGAATCTCAAGTAACGAAGTCCAAGAGGCCATCAACACAGACCAGATCTCAATTCAATCATGATGGATTGTTCTCGCCGCTGATTGACGTGACGCTCGGTGACGACTTGCAGACTGCCAAGTATCAAGCTTTTAGGTCCAGCACAACAGAACATTCTTGACGAGAATACAGCAAATACATCCGAGAGACACAGAGCATTACAGGAAGCACAAGAGAAGCACAACAGCACAGACGAAGAAGTTCCTTTCATTCAGCAAGATCAACAGCAGGCGCAAGCGATATCTTGACTTTCTTCTTCGGGCGGGGCTCGTCGTCAGAGTGCAGTCGCTTGCTGGGTCGTATTTGCGTTTCAGCTTGCGTCTCAGCTTGCGTCTCAGCTTGCGTCTGCGATTCGTCGAACGTCTCCATTCGTGGCAACGAGGTCGGCAGCGGCCGGTGCGATTTCACATACGCTTTCTGCGAGCCTGTCATCAGCCAAGGACTCGAAGCACAGCATCACCCCATCCTCACCGTCTTCGGTACATCCAACAGCCGGCTTTCTACGCGAGGATCCGGATTGAAGTAGTCGTTGTATGCGGGACTTGAGAGACAGGCGCGATTGAAGTTATATTTCGTCTTTTGCACGTTCTTGCGTGGTTTGGCTTTCGCCTTGGACTTGTTCTTGCCTGGTTTCGCTTCCGCAAACCCGATGTCGTTGACCTCCATCAACAATTCCTGGATGAAACCCTCATTCTCGAGGCGCTTGAACAGCTGGCGTGCAAGAACGTTGTTGCAACCTGTGGGGTATCAGAATGCCTGGCGCCCGATGTCAGCAATCCTGACCTATACGCTTCGCGAAATCAAGCACGACTTCTGGATTGTACGTCTCTACAACCTTGATAGCCCGTCTGTTCTGCTCATTAGTCGCACCGTTCTGGACTTCAGCCTGCACAACACACCTGAACAGTGCAAGATCCTTGAACTTGGACAACATTTGAGGATACAGATCAAGCTGAATCAACTCCCACGAATTATCGGCCCGAGCACGACAATCGAAGCAAGTGAAGTCTTCCGGGATACGGCTGTCTGCGGGGGAATGGAATCTGGGAGGAGCATCGTCTCAATTGTGTTCCACATTCTATAGGAAATGGCTCTCACCCCATGCACCACACGTGGTATCGTCTACCACAGTCGCCGCACAAGCAGGTGTCCCCATCCATCTGGATGCAGATTACTCGCGAAACATCGCTCAAGAGACTGCTCACATCGACATCACATTCACATCGCAGCCCGCGATCCACGACGTCCCTCTTCTTCTTGGCAGGCCTGGGCGTAGGCAGGTCTTCCTCGATCTGGTCCTCCTCGATCTGGTCGACCATCGAGCTGTCGATGGACTGCAGCGACTGAATCGGATCCATGTCCTCCACGACTTGCGTCTCCATGTCTGTTTCACGATAGGAATCTTTCGTCAATGGAAGAGCGTCGCACGCACCAAGCATTTCACTGTCCTCCGCAAATGCCTGGTTGTTGAGAACGAGATCTTGCAACACCTGCGTGTCGATCTCTGTTTCCGTCGTCATAATACTAGAAGCCGGCAACGATGGCTGGAGCTCGCTGCCGAGTTGATTGATATCCAGGGTCTGCGTCTGGTCCATGTCCACATCGGCAAGCTTGTTCTGTGCATTCTGCATAGGAGCATTTCAGGGCGTAGACCATCGGAATGGATCAGCCCGCGCACCAGTTCTTCCAGCCGCGTCGGGACAGTCTGAGTGGCGCCCCCAAAATGGGCTTCTTCCGCCTCCATAGCCGGCACTGGTGCGATAGCACCGTCATCCTTTCTAATGCCGACGGGCACATATTCACCGTCCCCTTTGACGACATCCTCCGACAGTACCGGCGTGTTGTTACCGATTCCCTCGACCGATGCGTCAGCCGACCAGACGATGTTGCGGGTTTCAGCATCGGTTGTTTGCTTCTCAGCCTGATCGGCCCGGAACGCAGCCTCCTCAGCAGGAGTCATTGCAGGTCCCGAGAGGCCTCGAGTCGTCGTGCCGGTGAAAGTCGCGTTGTCATTCTCTGTACAGGACGGGAGGTATGTTGCGATGGAGGCGACGCTCAGGTTGATGCTGTCCAAGGGGTGAGTGGAATCGCAGCCTGTGATCAGAGTACGGGCTCACCTATGATGTCCAGTGTCAAGCTGCCCCACATTCCATCGATCGGGGACCTCGTCGAGATCATGTGTCATGAAATACCACTTGTCCTTGTCGGCATCTCCGCTCTTGAAATGAGGAGGCTCGTAATCGGATGGTGTTTCATCCGTGTAGAACAGCTTGAAGGCGGCGAAACGACGCTCTGAACATCATTCAACGATCCGACTGAGGACCAATGCGGCAGATACACCCACTCGGGAGGACGTCCATCTGGGTCGTTGAGTGGATGAGCGTTTTCAGCACGGTCTTGACACTCTTCTTCACGTCCTTTAGGGTTGGCGCCTTGCCCTGCTGTGCCGCTTGGACGACCGGATCTTTGAGCGACATCTTGTCCAGCGTTTCGCCGAGGCTCATGATCGGCACCATGGTATTAGTTCCGGGAAGTTTGTGGTACTGCGTTTCACTAAATAAGTTGCTGAGTTTAGCAAGATGGCACGCACCTGGAAGTTGAAGGTATAGGCTTCCACGATGCTGCTTGCGGTGATTAGCAAGGGCAAATGAATGCGAATGGAACGCACTTGTTTGGATCCTTCTCATCCTGAAGGAGATGAGGAATCGGAACAGGATGTATGCGCGTCGCTTACCAGGTATATAGCGAAAATGAAACTTCGAAGGTACTGTTTCTGAAGCGCATCGAATATACCGTATTCCTGAGATGGATGAGTTAATGCTAGCGGGCGTTCGGGAGGCACTGACCAGGTAGTTGAGAATCCTGTCCGCCTCGTCCGTGTAACCGCGCGTCATAGTCTGGGGAGTCATGGCAGGCGCAAGATAGGTAGTGGAGTTTGCACACCATGATCCTGAATCCGTTAACGTTCTTGCTGTTACTACGCGTGCTGTCGAAGGACCGATTCGAATCCGAGGGTTGAGAGAGGAAGGAATCGTCCGAGGTGAAGTGGCCTGAGTAGGGTCAATGATACGCGTCACAAAACACAACAAAGACGCGCTGTCAGTGAAGTTGTCGCTAGGTAAAAGATCCCTGTAGGACAAATGAGAGGAAGCAACCACGACAACGCCGCTGAGGATAGGTACCGGAGGAACGTGATACAGCCCAGACTCGCTTTCAATAGAGTCTGAACGGCAACGACGCTTTGAGCAGCGGTCGTAGCGGCTTCTGTGCGTGTGCTCTGTGCTTGCATGGTATCGACAAAAGGAAATGAAGGCAATGAATGGCCTTGGGCAAGTCCGAGAGATCACGTGCGTCGCGTCTCTGGCTCCCCCATTCAGCATGATGATCTAATCTGATATTCACGATTGATAAGATGATCTTTGGAAAAGGTCAGCCTCACCAAGAATTTCGGACTTCCTAGATGCGATCCGAATGGGACACGATCATGGATTTCAGCATGCAATTCCAACAGATTTGCACACGGACTGATGGTCATCGGACTCGTCTGTACTCTGGAGCCTGTATTCCAAGAGGAGTTCGTTCTCATGGGGGCTTGGGAGATGAAATAGAAATCACATTTCGTAGCCGAAGTTGGCGCAGTCATGTGTGCGTGGCGGAAATGAGATCAACTGACCATGGAAATGACCGACGATCCACTCGCGGTGGATCGGATGGGCACATGGTACGATATTCGCTGCTCTTCTGAGCATGGAAGATATGAAGCCTGGAACGGGCAAGTCAACCATCATTTCATCTCTCACAATAAACTCGGCTTCTTCATTCATTCTATTTGATTTGGGTTGCGATCTGGGTAAACGGAGGGTACAGCGACGACGCGTTCGCGATGGACAGAAGGAAAATGGGCAGCAGGCAGGCAGGAGTCTTACGGACATAGAAGGAGCGGACTAGGAGAGTCTAAGCAAAGGAAGGTGATCGCGGACACAAAGGTCCGCGGTGATCCAAACGGAAAAGCGTTTATGAAGTGACAAAGGTAGCATGTACAGCCGTGGGTCCAGGGTCGAGCGAGACGTGAGCAAAGAGAATAGTAATTCCAGAAAACCGCCGATCAAGCTGGGCGCTCGGCAGGCGGAACACTCTGGCTGCGAGTGCCAGTCGAATGCCGCCTCTGCAGCCGCTTACCTCGTACCGAGCCGCTCTGGGAGCTTGAGGAGCCTGCCCCATCACCTGACGACGTCGAGAAGAGCCGCTGCCCAGCTCCTAACAAGCGTTGGAAGAGCGGCTTCTTCGGAGAATTCGGTGAATGTGGGGAAGTGGGTGATTTGGAAGAGTGGGAGTCTGCGCGACGATGCGAGCGGTGGCCTGAAGAAGCGCTAGTATCCGGCGTGTGCTGCTGTTGGGTAAGCGGCGTGCGCTCGGAGGCTAACGCATTCGACTCACGATAACGTGCACCTTCTGTCGCCCAGTCGGAAGGACATAGTACGTGCTGCCCGAGCCGTCACTCAAAGAAGAACTCGACGAGGGAGGGCTCACCGGCCGCATCTCCTCTTTGTGACGGTGGCGTGACCGGCTCGCTTCTGGGTGGGGCGTGCGCGAGCGTGAGTGTCGCTCGGCAGTGTGACGTTCGTCAGATCCGACAGACGGATACGGGGTCGGGTGGTACGACTGCCCGTAGTTGGCTGGCACAGGCGCAGAGTGGCTGTAGATGACCCCGTCTGGCCCGACCTTGGGTGGGTGGGAAAAGATCACAGGCGGAGCATAGTGTGGGTGCGATCTGTGATGCGAGGGCGCATATACGATAGACGGCGGGGCGTTCCGGTGCCCCTGGGAGTGAGGGTGCCATTGCGGGCCAGGCTGCTGAGAGAAGGTGACCATCGGCGCCCTGCCGGACAGCGGAACTGGTCCAGGCAGGCCGGGAATAGGCATGTCAGGAACAGGCTCTGCATGCGCATTCCTGGGAAGGGACTTTGACCGCGCGTGAGACCGTGGCTGCGGGGGAATCGATGCGTCGGGGGCAGGGAGAATCCGGATTTCTTCAGGGACGTGAGGTGCAGCGTGTGAGCCTGTGCGCGGGCGGTCGTGGTGGGGTATCGTGTGCGACCGACTGGTCCCCGTCGGCCGCAACTTGGACCCGCCCCGTTTCAAGGTCGGCGCAGGAATCGGCACGTCGGGCCTACCGTCGGTGTATCTCAGCACCATCTTTGGGGGAAGGGAGTGCGTGCTGCCGGCATCTGAGGGTGTCGAAGGAACGAAATCGGGGTCGTCGAGTATCGAGGGCACAATCGAAGGAGAGTAACATAGTTCTGGCGGGTCTGTACGGTGCTGGACCCACTGGCGAGTGCGTTCTTTGCTGGACAGATAATCTCGGATCGCCTGAGACGAAGTAGTGTATTCTGTCATGGAATGACCCGGCGAACGACAAAGCAGGCAAAGTGGATCGATAGTTGGAGGAGTTCGACGGATGAAGACAAGGTACCAAAGATCAGGGTACTTCTTCCGAGCCCTCTCTCCTCTTTATAGTTAAGGTGTCTTTGTTGACCGGTCCTATTAATCCGGCGCGAAGCCGATTCCTGTCCACGCCCGATTATCAGACAACTTTGGAACGCCATCAGGAAACGTGTTTGCAGCGAGGCGAGGATTTGACAAGCACCGCTATCGAGCTTTGTAAAAACGCATGGGGACCGAGTCGGACAAGTATTCGGGAGTCGTATGAACAAGATGCAGTTAGAAAGGACATGAAGGAAGAGGCCAAAGTCATCAGAGCAGCTATCGGGGTGGGAAGCCGAAATTTCGGACCAGCTGTTGCACCGCGTGCCCGTGGAATGTTTCTGTGATCTTTCAAAACAAACGTGAGTCGCCTTTGAGCACCGGACCTGCCAAAGGGAATCCACTGACTATGCACTTGACTAAGTTAGACGTGGCTTCCGCAAGTCTCTCGGAATGCCGTGCTCTGCTGCGTCCGGGCCCGGCCTTGTCGGTAGAGAAGGGCAATCGATGCGTAGATATTAATGAAGACACGGTCGAAAAGACTGAGCAGATCTGTGCAGGCGCTAGAATTCTCAGTCCGTACTTCGGGCGGGGATTAAGCCTCAAGTCGGCTACTTTACATGATTTAGGCTCCATGACGTCTTCGAGGGAGAGCTGCCAGTGCAGGCCACCCACGCGACGCAGCACTACAGCGGACTGTTTCCGGCAGTCTCTAGCCAGCAGACAACCCAGAGAAACCCATAACCCTAGTGCTCTCGTAACACCAGGTTTTGCGCCTCGCTAAGAGTCGGAAATGAGATCGTCCTGAATGGGCTGTTACGGACGATGCTGTATTTCGGGGTGGGTACGAGAAACTCGGAACGAGACAGTCCTGAGTCTTCGATCTGCTTATGCGGCATTCGAGTCCATGTCACTGGTGCCTAGGATCGGGATCGTGTCAGTCAAATAGCATTTACGCACATGTGAAGAGACGGGTACGGATTTAAACAAGCTGAAAGGGGTGACCAGAAATCAATCACCAGTGCCGAGGATCGAGGGCTGGAACATGCAAAGAGATAAAGGATAGCAAACCTGGAAAACTCTGACTCACCAGTATCAAGTATTCTGGGCTATACACTGTCATATATTTCAAGTCAATTCGAGCGTAACTAGATGTCAATGATGTCTGCAGATCAAGCCGAGCCGAAAGAGGGCCACGATACTCAAGTCCGCACACAAAGGAGCGAGAGTGAAGATGAATTTTGACAAAGAATAGGTTCAGGAGTCGGGTAGCAGTCCGAGAGCTGTGTCTCAAGCTCGTCAAGGCAATCTTTGCCAGTGGTACTATTCAAGACTTCTCTCTGAGCAAGTGTGCGGAAACGATTGCAAGGCTCAGGCTTGAGTGCTACGTGGATCAAAAGCCTATGAAACGACTCAAGATCGGGTCGGCGCTCATGAGAGACAATGCCGGCGACGTTAAAAGCAAGATCAGGAAGCGCTCTATATCATGTGCGATTGATATGATCAAGATCGAGTCGGAGTAACTTCACACTTACAGTGGTGTTCCGCGGGGCCTCGTCTCAGCATTCACGTACCGGAGTTCGAGCAGCTCTGGTGTCCTCCATCTGATGTGAACGCCTCTCCACCGCGAGTTCAGTGTTGGATTCGCGATCTTAGCTGTGTCCGTATTTCGTTTCCGCAGACGGTGTGCATGGCGGCCCCAGGCAGTGAGGGCACAACATCTTAGATATAGTGTTCGGAGGGTAGACAAGATGAGTGAGTACAGAGAGAGCGACGTGCGTCGTGTTCATTGGAAAGAAGCAAAGTTATGCCGTACTCTCAATCATCAATGACAAAGGCCATCAAGTCAGGAGTCTCCCACGTGCCTTCCTCGTGACTGGTGACTGAACGCGCCTAAGAGTCGTCACACGCTGCACTCTTGAAATTTCCTTTTCAAGCACCGCTTCGATGCCCTCGCTTCTCACTTCAGTCTCAAGGCGCTGTTGGATTGCTTAGCCGATGACAAAAGAACATGCGCTCTCAGCTGTTCCCGAATGTTCGAGTGCCTTCACTTACCGATATGTACCACCAGACGGATGTTCGACAAGTGAACTCGAGCACACTGCAGTCAGTTTCGTGAGGTTCGGTGAGCTGAGCGGATATTTGGAAATACAACCCTTGGTACAAGCAATGTATACCAAGAACTTGAGCTTCATGTTTACAGGGTGGGTGTCAACCGCCAGATGCCACACGAGAATTCAGGAACTGGACATCCTCACTCTGCTGTAAGTATTTGCTGTCATTGCCTGTCAACGTCACGGCCCTTGGAGTTTCGAGCGACCAGGACGAAAATCAGACATTGGCGTTGGCCACGCTTCAGAGGAGAGCAACGCCGGAATGGCAATCGGCAACTGAACGGATGTTACCATGACGGATAAGCTTCTTCACACTGAAGATCGAGATGCGAGGCGCATATCCCACCAGGATGAGACCGGGGTGCAAATTTCAAGGATCCAGACGTAAGTGCGAATCAATAGCAAGCTCAATCGCAAGTGGCTCGGCAGGTTAGCAGCTAAGGTTCCTGCCACACCGGCAGGGCAACTACAAGCGTTTAGTAGGTCACGGGCCATGACCAATCCAGATTGACATTGACAATTGACAAAGCGGACGCGGCGACACAGCCACATCCTCTCTACCCCCGGGCTCTTCCTCGCTCATGCCCGCTCATTAAATTCGGACTTCCACATCCCATGACTTCGAGGTCCTCCTTTAATCCCACCGAGACGATTGCCCTGCAATCGCCCACCTACTCTGTGGACTATTCCCCCAAGCTCGGGCCTTCGAGAGACCCCGAGGCTCCCACGAAACGCTGGTATCACTATGTCCCGTTATGCTGTGAGAAAGCTTCCGAGCCCAAAATTCTATATTTACCGCGCCCAGGTGCAATACTGCTCATCACCGCTCCGCTGCCATCGTGGTTGTATGTACTCGTGAACTATCACCTCCAGACCCTGCACCGACCCGACCTGGTCGTCATCCATGTCCTCGCCACGTCCACGCTCCTGTTCATGATCTTCTCCGCGCTCATCGTGTGCGTCGCCCGGGATCCGGGCCCCGTCACCTTCGAGCTACAAGAGGACGAGAGCATGGAGTCGCTCATCAATTCACGCGACGAGTTTTCCGGCCCGGGGAAGTGGTGTCGCAAGTGCTGGGTATGTCAACGCGAGCCCTCGTCCGTCTCGTGATGCTAAGGAGGACTCAAGGGCCCGAAACCAGAGCGTACCCACCACTGTAGCATTTGCGGCCGATGTGTGCTGAAAATGGGTAGGCGCAGTCCTTGCTTGCTTCTACTACGTTGTCTGATTCCGGGATAGATCATCATTGTCCATGGCTCGGTGGAAAGTGCATCGTGCGTCCCGATTCCGACACCGCTCCTCATGACTGAGTACACCCACAGGGCCACCGGACCTACCCCGCATTCTTGCATTTCCTTCTCTGTATCACGCTTATTGGTTCGTACATGAGTGTCGTCTGCGCTTTCACCGCGTGGCACTCTATCAGCAATCCATATGCTGTGGTATGTCTGTCAGGTGGCCAACGACATTGTATCATATGCTCATTTGCTCACAGGACGATGTAATGCCCCTTCACGCCTTATTTGTCGCGCTCTATGCGCTCGTGTTCGCCCTTGTGATTGGCTCGTTCTACTTTTATCATCTGTACCTCATAATGTGCGTGAAAGGAAGTGACTGCCGGACGAGGCCTCTCTCACCGCACCCAGTATCAACCAAACAACCATCGAGAACCTCTCGCCGTTCTTGATACTCCGAGATCTCCCGCCTCTGCCGGGCACCGGCCACGACCTGTCGGATCCACCATTGGAGCCGGAGCTGTCGCGGGCGCAGCGGTTCATCGTGCGCAACGCGCACGGATACATCCACCTCTACGATATCGGGTGGAGGAACAATCTGTGGCAGGTTTTCGGCTGGAACCGGCCGTATGGCTGGGTCATCCGGCTGTGGTGTGGGGGCTCTGCGTACGTGACCCGCGCGACATACTGTAGACCTTTGCTGGCTTCTGACACGCGCATGCATGCAGCCCCGGCGACGGAAGGAGTTTCCCGCGGAATCCGAAATCGGAAGAGCTTCTCGGACGTCTGGCAACGGAGTTGGTCAAGGCGGGCGACCATCGGTGAGCCCGGGATCTACGGACTTATATAAGCTACTTCCCCTACTTATTCGTATGTTTATAATTGCCCCCCCTGGTGTTGTTGTAAGCAGCTAACTAACATCGAGATCGATGCCTACATGCCGGGGTCACGATGTTTTGCGTCCACGTGCCCTCAGGTCCAGCGACTTGCGAGCTGACATTTCACCGAACGGGACCTACTCAGGCGGTACTCAGCCCTAAGGCTCCGAGGCGTACAATAGCTCCGACCCCTGCTGTCCTACGGCACATCCTGCTCTGCCTTGATCAGCGGCGTAACCATCTCCAACGAAGCTCGCCAGTGGACCCAAGACGGGAATTGCTGATGCGTATGACGCGCCCACAGCTTTGATAGTGATGGACGGTTGCGCATATAACAGTCGCACAACCAGTGTTGTTCCCCTGCTTCGTTCTCTTCATCTTCTCGCCCCCCTCTTGATTATCTCTTCTCAGTCGACTAGTTATGTTTCTTGCAACGTCTTCCAAGGTTTTGGCATTGACTGCCATCTCCCAACGTTCGTTGTTGCCGTCTTTTCGATGAGAGGTCTTTGCTGAGGGTACCGGGTGTCCAGTCGCTTTTGTCGCAGCTGCTCCTGCACTTGTCACTGTCGTGGCCAACCCATTCGCCATCGCGTCTGATCTTACGGGGCCGGTGTCTGCTTCCATCGGCGGCGTCGACTCGGCGGGACACACGACTTATCTATACGCTGAACCGGTCCTCGAAGGCCTCTCGGGATCGGCGTCGAGCACTATCGGCAGTGTAACCCGTATGTACCGGTCCAGTCTACCCGATCGAGCCCAAGTATTAACAATTTGGGTGCCATGCTTGAATCAGAAACACTCGTCGAGGGAACAGACTACCTCTCGTACGGTCTCTCCGCCAGCGTCCCGGGCCTTGACATCGCCATCTCGTTCGACGGCGCGCTGAGCGGCGACAACTTCATCGTCTCGGGCACCGACTCGGCGGGCGCGGCGACCACGACGACTGTCTCGAATGTGGGATTCATGACGCTCGACGTGCCGGCGCTTCCCGCGGCGACGGCCAGTGCGCCCGCGCCCACGCAGTCGCATAAAAGCGCGGCTGCGCGTGTCCACCCGGCTCTTGGTGTGGGCATGGCTGTGATGGGCGTCTTCGCTGGGGCCTGCGCGTTGGTCTGAGGTTCGGATTTGAGGTAGCGGTGTTGTAAATATGTATCGCTGCTCAGTTGTAGTCCGGGCGGGCTTGTTCCTGTGCTCTCAATGTATGACAATGGCAGAGTCGATATAGATCGCGCGTGCGCGTGATCACCAAGTCGACAGTGCGTGCGTTTGGCATCATAGATTTGGATCCTGTTTGGCTTCATCAAAGTCACTTCTCCCTTTCTCGCACAACGCAACCCCCCCCCCCCCCCCAATCAATCCCGAAAGGGGCCTGAAGCACAACGGAGCGCCCAAAAGAGCGCTCAGAAACAAATTTGCCTCGTCAAGCGACCGCTTACGGGGCACTTCTGACTCGCGCCCGCAGTGATGCGTGAAGTTGCGGGTTATCCGGGCTCTTACGCGTAGGACGCACCGATGGCTTAGCACCGCACGCAGCGTGGCGATGACGCGCTGCGCAAGCCTTACGTACTATGGCCCATGGACCTTGGCTGTGCGCCCCTGCTTTCTCGCTAAGGTCGGGTTCCGAACCCATGACAACGATTTTCGAAACGCGCGGGCCCGATAATTACGATCATGCCATCAATCGTCCACCGTGTGCTCGGTGATGCGGGGCACATATATAAGAGCCTGTTCGGATGGCACGAAGGCAAATGTACTTTGCCTTTAGATTTCCTTTTATAGTAGTCCCATCAAATTTGAAGTTGTCCCGAGCGTGACTGCCTTATATGGACTAATCAATCTCATCTCCTTCTACGACGCGTATCCACATCCTCCTCTTTGTGTGGTCATGACCCAGCTCACGCAACAGCAATGTCTGCTGTTGATTGCAGTGCAGTACTGGTACATAGTCAGCACTGCGGCTGTGCTCAAATGTTGGCATCAGTCTACTGGCCATCGGCGGCTTGCCGGCAGGTGCACTATTGTCATTTCCGCCGGAGTGGGCAGACACTCGGGGCATGTGCGGTGTTATCAGCAGCGGAAGAGCGACAGTAGACGCATTTGTCACAAAAAGGTCACTATCAGTCACGATGTTACGGCGCGCGTTCACTTTGATGGGACTACTATAAAAGGAAATCTAAAGGCAAAGTACATTTGCCTTCGTGCCATCCGAACAGGCTCTAAGAGGTGCATGCGCTCGTGGAAAGCTCAGGAGAACCCCGCGTCTGTTCGCTTCGCCTTTTTCTTCTTTGAACGCCTTCTACTATACTCTCCACGCCTTTGCTATGTTCACCAAGTTCACCACCACTTTCATCGCTTTGGCTGCTTTGAGCCTCGGAGGTTCGTCTCATTATATGCAGTGACTGGGAGTCGTTCACCGCTCATGCCTCTGTTTGTGTGCAGTTGCTGCGATCCCGGCTCCCGCTCTTGTTACGATTGTCGCCAATCCATTTGGAGCGTCCGATGGCATCCAGACTGCATCTGTCGCTGGTGTTGACTCTGCCGGACATACCACATACATCATGGAAGTACCAGAACTGCAAGGTGTCTCGGGCTCAGCCTCGCAGACCATCGCTACGGTCACAGGTCAGCGCCGTCTACTTGTCCCTTTCAGAATGACCGCTCAAACGTCGCACAGAGACTCTGATTCAGGGCAACGACTACATGTCCTTTGCGCTCTCGGCGAACGTTCCTGGCCTCGATGTATTCGTCACGTTCGACGGCTCATTGAGCGGAGACAACCTCGTCCTCACCGCCACTGACTCTGCGGGCTCTGCGATCGCGACGACGATGTCCAACCTCGGCTCCGTGACAGTCGACATCGTGAACGCGACTCCCACGGCCAGTGCCGGTTCTAGCCCCAGTGCTGGCTCGAGCCCCAGTGCCGGTCCCAAGCCCAGTGGAAGCACCAGCGTTTCTGGAAGTGCACCTGCCGCTTCGCACACTGGCGCTGCAAATGCCAACACAGTTTCGATGGGCGTTGCTGCCGCGGGTGCTCTCGTGGCTGCCTTTGTTCTGGCATGAGGTCAATAGACGTGGATAACTAGCTTACAGCTTCGTAATGAGCGATATGAGACTGCAACAACGTTCTTGGATTGTTCATGAACGTACTAATCGTGTGTCTCGGACTGGTAACCTGATCTCTGTCGGATTCCACTGTATTTCGTCTGAGGCAGAGCTCAAGAGTTGAGAACCACTAAAATAGCCACTGAAACCAGATTTCGTGCTCCGCACAAGGCCATCCATGGAGACTCCGGAAGATGCCTCTGCTTGTCTTCACGAATATCTAACAAAATTACCAATTCGAGTGACCAGGCGTTGCTTGGTCATGTTGTGACCACTTCCTTTCTTGGCATGTCCATCGACCTCGACTGGGGCAAGCTTGACAACTCTCTAGCCACCTCGCTGATTGAGCTTCTCAATCGACAACTCAAAAGCACACCACGTCCGTCATTTATCGGACCAGTCGAAGTCGCCGCTTTCGAGTTCGGCTCGAGGGCACCGGATGTCGAGCTCGTCGACCTGCGTGATATATACCGCGACTTCCTGGAAGACGATGAGTCGGAGTCGGGCGGAGAGCCGGTGAAAGCGACAGAGGAAGCGGCCGTGGAAGACGATGACGGATTTGAATGGGTCTCGCGGCGCGCAGCAACGCGGGAAGACGCGCTTGGCTACCAACACCTCCCTCCGCATGTGCGCTACGGGCCTCGAACGGCGGGCGCGACGACGGATATGTTTTCCTCTGTGCCCTCACTGCGATCGAGCCCGGACTTGTGGAACGGGGGTATGAGCAGTCTGCCAAGCTTGGGGCCTAGTATGGGCCCGGTGTACTCTGGTTACTCGCCCATCTACCGCAGTCCGCTTTCTGCCCCGCCATTCCATGCATTCCAACGGCTGTCTACTAATCGAGAACCGTCTCCGTCCATCTCTTCGGTGTCCACAAAAGACCCTTCTCCGCCAAATCCGTCACCCGCTTCCCCGGCTTTGCCAGAGCCAGCCACCAACGCCCAGCCGAATCTGCAGCTTCATCTGCACATCCACTGGCCTTCAGACCTCCGGCTCACACTCACGACGTCCCTGCTGATCAACTACCCTACCCCGTTATTCATGTCGCTCCCCATCAAGCTGTGTGTCACGGGGCTGGTGTTCACCGGGGAGGTCGCCGTCGCATACGAAGGCGCGCGGAAACGCATGCACCTGTGCATCCTGGACGATCTGGATCCCTACGGGCCCGCCGCCGGAGCCCCGCGTCCGCGGCGCGACTCCGCCGACATCACGCCCCCGGACGCCTACCCAGAGTCGGCCGTCGACGCGCCGCTGGGGGCCTCGTACCCGCGGACGGCGAAGCCTCTACCCGTGGGCCAGCGGCTGCTGCCCTCGATCCTGATTGAGACCGAGATTGGGCAGACGGACAAACACGTGCTGAAGAACGTCACGCGGGTCGAGTGGTTCATCCAGGATGTGATCAGGAAGACGGTGGAGGAGGAACTGGTGTTTCCGAACTTCCACACGCTGCTTATGGGGGATCCTGAGCCGGATCCGGATCCATAGGACTCGCCGTTGTGAATGATGTATCGATTAATCTGTACCTCACTTTTCAGCGATGAATGAGCTCTCGGCGCTCATCTCGCTGTTGGGTCGATTTGGGGCATCCTGTGCATGTCCAGTAGGGGCTTGGGCGGCCCATCCTGACCTATCATGGAGTAATGACCGTGTTTACGTCGTACCAATCTATCAGTAAAGTATTCAAAGTTTGCGACTAATGGTTAGCTATCCGACCAGTTTCGCATCGCCTGACTGCAAAAGAATTGAACAAGATCCGCTAGTCACTTTCGGACTGGGAGATCTCGACATTGCCCACTAGAATTCTGAATTTTGAGAGTAGAGTCAGTAGACTGTCTAAATGATGAGGAAATGAGCGAGATACTGTCACATCAAGTGCAAACTCTCCGAATGAAGTCTAAGGGTAGCAAGCGGATGAAAAAGAAAAATATTGAGATCCGTAGATCTACCACTCCGGAAAAGCGTGTCATCCTTGTGCAGGGGCCATGCTAATCTTCTCTGTATCGTTCCAATTTTTCGTATGACACCCCGAAGGGGTCAAAGAACAGGGCAGAAGTTTCAGTCTTGATAGTGGGATGATGTGCCTCGTTCGAGGCGGACAGCAACTTGCAAGTCGTTAAAAGTGAACTCGGGTCGGTCTCTAGTATTTCCAGCCTTCTTCCGCATGGGTCTTGCACCACTGCTTTCTTAACATCTGTACATGGCGGCGTGTATGTCTCGAGAGTGGAAGAAGCGAACGGGCCTATGTGCGTGAGGCCGTGACGAGTCATGGTGACACTGTTCGACGTCCATCCTTCGCTCAGCTGAACCTCTGCCCAGTGCCACCGACAGAACCTTTTTGCCGGCGCCCAGCTCTGAGACGTCATAGCCTACCGTCCCCTCGTCGGTGTAAGCCAGATCACAACTTTGACTCCGGTCCCCTATGGAAGTGCTCTCGACCCTGATTGGATGAGTAGATCAGTCACGCCGAAAGCACGTGAGACATCTGGCCTTGCTTCTTCTGAACGACCGCCGTAAAGCGCGTCGCTCTCCCTGCATTATTGGCCCAATCTGGCTGCGTAGATCCATATAAAACCGCGACCGATCTGTTTGTCTTCGCTCGCTCTTTTTTCTCATGAACCCTGATCTCGTTGAACAGCCTGAGGGTGAATGCCCTCCTGTCCGCCCAGCTACCCCGCAAAACCCTTTTGGTGCTGCTTGTATGTCCGTTATCGTCGCTCCTCATAATAAAATTCATAAGGACTTTTCTACAGCAGCCCAAGATCAACGGCGTACCCGCGGGGGTCGAAGCCTGGCTCGGGCCATCGCTCCATTCAAAATACGCACGAATCTCGTCGCGTAGACGATGGGAACAGCCTTCAAGTTGGGGACAACGCGATGGACAAGTATTTTCATGTTATGATCAGTGTCGAGGAGATGTTGAGCACCATGCCCAAAACTGAGGTGGAGACACCAAGATTCGTCAGGAAGATGGTGGTTTCTGCACAATACAAACTGGATGGAGCTAGGAAGCACTGCTCGACCGGTCAGCGCACTCTATTTGGCTTCACGCTGCCCCCGGAGCCGGTGACGGTCGCCCCCGTTCAGACGTCCACGAAAATGAGCCCCTTGAAGGTCCTCGTAGAGTTCACCGGCTGCCTCGCGAGCTGGAACGATATGGTCCAACCCACCGACGACGGCAGCGTCCCGTATTCTGCACCACAGAGCATCGCCGACTCCCATGCCGGTTTCGATGGAGCTCGTGCTACGAGCGGTGTCTCGGGCGGCAGTCGTATCAGACTCGGCAGTCGCAGTGGCACCGGTGGTCGCTCTACTGTGCGCGTCCCTGAGCGATCTGGTAGCGGCGCAGGCTCCGGTATGTCACTTGCTAGCACCGATACCGGCGTGTCCAGTGGTGGTGGTGCCTACGCTGCTGGGACTGCGAACGAACGTAAACGACGAGCGGCCAGACTCCCGCCGCCGGGCCGAAGCGACTTTACAGAACGATGCCAAGGTCACGAAGAAACGCAGGACACCAGATTCGAGTCGGATCGCTGCTCAAGCGGCGGAACAGAAATGCGCAGTTGTATGTGATGTGGAATATGTGCGTTGTAATCTAATGGACGTTGGAATGGATGCCAAGCATACTACAAACATCCACGCCTGGTCTCAGTCGCAAGATCCACAAGAGAGTCGAGTGACCGCGTCAGCCTTCCAACCTAAACTTGAAAGCAGTCCCGGAAATCAGACATTTTCATAGCTGCAACACTGCGTTCGGATTGATCTCCCTCCACTTCTCACAATATGACACCAGCCGCTCGTCCCGAGAATCCTCCGCTGCCTCGTGAATCCGTGCATACGTATCTCGCGAAAGCAGCTTGTTGGCCCGGACGATACGCATCACCTCCGCCTTCAACTGTGGCATGTCCCACAGATCGGCAACGGAGAGAAGCGCGAGCACGTTTTCTACCAGCAACATTGCTTCTCCGTCACAGGAGGCTACGACATGTGAGATCTGGCCAGTGTAGATGAATTCTGTATGAACAACAAACGGGTATCATCAGTATGAGAGCTGGAAATCGGCAAGAAGAAGGAGGAGGGCACGCACCGATAAGCGCAAGCGCACCGAATCGCGTCCCAGGAAACTCATACACTCTGCTCACTCCCTCGCTCCAACCCAGCAGCCCGATCTTGACATGCGGGATCGCAGCAGCCAGGAACGCCGAATGCACACGAAGCTCATCGTCGGGCTCGTCCGTGGCGCTTGCGTCATCCGTCGGCACCAGCCACATATCACACAGCTCCCCGCTCTGCCGCATGCCGTCGAACGCACGCCGCAGCGCATCGCCGCCATCTGCGCCCGGATCGCCGTCCAGGAGGGAGGGATCCTCCTCCACGTCGCGCTCGACACTGCCTCCCGCAGCGACGACCAGCACCCGCCACTCCAGCAGAAACTCGAGCACGCGGAACGTACTCGGGAAGTCCCGCGGGATGTCGAACACCAGCTGTGCGGCGCTGCGCCAGTGCCAGGACTCGGATCTGTCCTCTGGATCTGCGACGTTCAGGAATAGGGCGTCCTGCTCGTGCTGCACCAGGTAATCCCGCGCAGAAGTGCAGTGAGAGTTCAGCCACTTGTATGTGCTCCGGATCTGCCCGAGAAGAGAACGGTTGTATTCATGGTGGGGTGCGATTTCTAGCGCTAGCACCCGGAGATGCTTGACCTGCCAGATGCGATGTGAGACAGGCGCTACGATTGAGATGATTATTCACCCACCACTTGCTCAACAGACGGCACCCCGAGTGAGGCATTCAGCCTTGTCAACTGCCAGCTCGGTTCTTTCCTGAACAACACCCGCTGCGTCCAAGCGATCGGCTCGTACTCCGCCTTCAGCAGCTCATTTGGGGACACAGTCCTGTGGGGATCTTTGTCATCTAGATATTGGTCCAGCACTGGGAACGTGGACGACGTGGAGCGCGTCTCGGCCCGCACCACGAAACGCAGCCGATCAGACGACTCCCATGACCCGGGCGACACACCCAGCCTCGATTCGTGGGCCGAATAGAACGCCCACACGAGATTAGCGCGCTCCAGAACCTCGTCTTCAGCCAGACCACGCTCTGTCAGGTCTTCGTGCACGGTCCTCGCACACAGCAGAAACGCATCCCGGTCAACTGGTTCGCGGCGCAGCGCCAGTCGGTCTTGAAACTGGCGAAACGAGGGATGCACGAACAGGCTCTGACTCTGGCTTTGCAGGGCCCCGGCGAATAGCTCCACCTCATTGTCGTACAGACTGTCCACAGGCCGCAGCTGGAGGTCACCAGCGGGGATGGGTATCATCGCCATCGCCGACGACTTGGATGGGACATCGAGGAACGCCTTCAGTAGCTCGCGGTACGCTTCGACATCATCGGGGCTGTGCAGGGCAGTCGGAAGCTGCAGTGCTCTCAGAAGAGATTCCCGATCCACCACACCGCTGGGGCTCTTGCGACACCACTGCAGCACAGTATGCAACGCCGGGCTATACCCGGCCAGAGCGACTCCACTGCGAACATAACGGTTGAACGAATCCGGGTGCACTCCTCTGGGGAGCATCAGCAGACACGTATCCGCCGCCGATTTGACCACCGTCCAGCGATCACGTGCAATCCAGATGGGCAGGCCGGCGAGCACAGTGCGAACCGAGCCCGTGCATTGGCTCAGATGCAGCGTGAGCCACTGCGCGACCTTCTGCACCTCCTCGAAATCCAGTGCCGAAAGTGGTTCGCGTGTAGTCCTGACCGCTTCCAAGAATGTGTTGATGTCGAATGGTTTGACAATGGACGCCTCAATACAAAACAACATCCCCAGTTTCCCCATCACAGCCAACAAAGCCGAGTCCTCCTTCACAGGATGAGAAAACACGCGATCATTGGACTGGCAGAACGACTCGGACAGAAACTGGTCTGCCTCGTTGGTCGAGATCAGCGGCAGGTCAGCAAACGATGTTTGCGCCGGAGGACCCGGAAGTGTCGGATAGACATCCCAGAAGCGAGCGATCCAATCCTGTGTCTCCGCGCTGTGTCGAGCGCGGTTCGCCGGTGGGATTTTCTCTCTCAGGAGCTCCAGAACGCCCGCAGCATCAAAAAGCTTCACGTTGGCATCGCTCACACCACTCAGCAGCAGATCCCGCACCTCGCTCGACACAGGATCGAGAAACGTCTCGGGTGAGAAAAGTCCCGTGTAGGCCCCCGGAGCGTCACAGATGTAACGGACGACCGCGGGATCAGGACGGACTAAGCGGCGGCCTGGGGAAGCCAGGACCAGCAAGGGGAGTCCTTGAATCGACACAGATCCAAGATCCAAGACCATCGCGTGGACAGCCGCCGTGGTAATCCCGTGCTCCCCTTTCTCATACAACTCGACCAGCTTTTCCCCGTGAGTCTCGAGTGCAGCCTTGACAAAGGACGAATCGACCAGATTCTTGGACTGGGCGCTGTCCTTTTTGGCAAGCAGGAACAGGCGGTGCACTTCAGTGGGCGGCACAGCGAATCGGGATCCCGGCTTCCCTCTCATGAGCTTCTCGAGGACGTCTCCGACAGTCCAGTTGCCAGCTGGCATGACGAGGATCTCTTTGGGAGGTGCCAGTTCGCCGCTGACGATCCTGCATATCGGCAACTCGCAGTCCAAGGCATGTCTGTAGAATCCCTCCACGACCAGGCGCGAGATCGAATCGTGCGAGACACCACCATCGGAGCTGGGACGGACCGGCCACCACTGGAACGGCGAGAAGCTTGATCCCAAGTCCGCGACGACTTTCCGGGTGGCTGCATCCGTTGCGCAATGAACGAGCGCAAGATGGACTCGCGGCACCAGCTCGCTCAGGATCCACACATTATATGCTGCATCAGGGACTCTCCGCCCCGATCCATCGGCAGGCTCGAACCGAATGTTCCTGCGATCTGGGGACAGTGCGAACGGAGCTGAGATGTGGGCGGAAAGAGACGTCTCGATGGGTAGCGAGAGGGATGAGAACAGTGCTCGCTTGTGCTGGCGTCCATCGCTCAACGCGCGATTGGGGAGCTTCATAGCCATCTGCACTACTAGATCCGCCTTGCGTGTGACGGACGGCATGTGCTCAGGAGGAACGTCGGATAGGGACGTCACAGACTTCGAGACAACCCAGTGTTGTATGGCATGCTTGCCCGCTTGCACTGTGAGAATCTGGTACTCGTGATTGGTGTCTTCAGCCACCAGTGGGTTTCTACTGGCAGAGACTTCCCACAGTGCTGAAACTTTGCCCTACAAACCCATGTCAGGAGCAGTAGACTGAAATGCACGAGCACATACCGGCGCTTTCTTCGAGGCCTGTATTCGCATCAGAGGCGTGAAATACATAGCATCTCTGGCGAGCTGAAAGTAGTTTGCGGTGATCAAGTTCAAGCACTGAGAACTGGAGACCGGTTTTACGGCCAGCGCACTGCTCGATGTGCGCAGTGCTATTCTGAACAACGTCTGGGGGAACACATATGTCAACGGCAACTCGGCGGGAGAGCCGGCCACGCACCCCACGATATTCCGAGTTCTTATTCTTGAACCCATTCACTCCTTCAAATGGGGCCAACTGATCCGGCCACCTTCTCGCTACATCACTCAGCGATCGAAGCAGCGCCGTGCGGGGTTTTCCGCTCTTTTTCAGCGGAGGCAAGTACCGCCCCGTCGGGTCAAGCACAAGCAGACTCTTCCCAGACACGATCTGCACTACGTCCCCGAAATGGAACAGGCTGAGCGCACCGAGCCCGAACCGACCGATGCTGTGCGGATTGTCCGTCTTGCCTCCCTGTCCGACCTTCCTGATCCCAGCGAAGTCAGATGCATCGAAGACGGCGTCGTTCCACAGAATCAGCGCCGGTCGTGTCTGCAGATCCGCCAAGCCGGGAGCAATCACGCGCGCATCCTCGTACGAGCCTCCATCCAACAGCAGCGAGAACTGGGTGGCATGCGCGTCGATAGCATTGGCGAGGAACTCGTTCAAGGCGTAGTTGATCGCATAGTCCTTGAGGATGTTGGAGACCCGCGTGGTCAGGTCTTCTCCCATTTGATCTTCGTCCTCGTCCTCGCCCTCGTCTCCGTCCAGATGCAGTGCACTCAGAAACGGAATTCTCAACGAGACCGCATCGGATTTGGATATGCTCGCATGGGTTGGGAATCGCTCAAGGAGCATGAGAGGATCGGAGGCAGCATCGGGATAGTACAGCTCTGCGATCGGACGCAGAGATCCTTGATCGTCTGGGACAACGACCCTCCCGAATTCAGCCGCTGAGCAGTCAACAAGTAACGGGGCGATCGCCTGCAAGAGAGAAATCGCGGAGACACCCAAATGTAGCTCGGACAGAAGCGTTTCAAGACTCGGCCTTTCAATGAAAGAATGAGAGCAGGAAACGAAAGCCGAGAACAAACACGCACGTGGCATCGCACCCCATCCTCTTCAAGAACGCCACCACATTGTCATCGTCCGAAAAAGTTCTCGGCAAAACGCGAAACCCGCCGATTCGATCTAGCCGAGACGCCCGCTCCAACAACGCATGCCTCGTCTCGATCAGCTCATCTCGCACCGGGATCCAAGGCCACCCCGCGACGATAGACTGCAAGATGGCTGGGGGACATTCGTCGGCGTGGACATCCGCAAACGCCAAAATGAGAGCCCGCATGCGCGTCCCGGTCCTCCTCGCGTCCCTCAGATCGAGAGTCTTCTCCAACTGTTGTCTCAAAACATCGACGGGAACCGCGCCGCCCCAACCCAATGCCTGGCGCAATGCTGGACTCTTGATGGGTTCTGCATCACTCGTGTGCAGTACCAAGTCGAAGAGGTGTCGATCATCCCCGTGGCCTCGACACTTTGAAGGCGCCTCCAGTGTCACTGGCCCATCCACTCCGAACTGGGAAGGGATCCAACACACGTCGCGGGATCGGACGATCAAATCGTCTGCACTGAGAGATGACCATTCCTGATCCATCAGGGCGAGGAGATGCCTCGCTTTGACGGGATCCCCCTTCTCTGCCACGAAGGCGATCCGTTCCTCAACCATGTCCCGGGTCAGACTAGACTGGAACGGCACGTGGCTTGTGATTTGAGCGAGGTAGATGCCTGAAGCCCATTTCCCGGACGGCAGCCTCCCCGGCTCGCCTGAATACAGCTGGGCCAAGGGCGACACTGGACAGATCAGGTCTTTGGGTGCCATGCGCCGGGACACACCATCAACGGTGACGAATGGGGTGTTCTTGAGTCGTTTTTTGGCTGCATCGGACAGATCAGACAGACGGTGCAGGATACGATCTAGAAGGGAATCCAAGATGGATGGGGGCTGGTTTACAAGTCGGTCTTGGAGTATGCACATCTCCAGGACGCCGCATTCAGACAACGGCGCACTGAAGGTGGGAGCGTCGAGAAGAGCGACAAGACTCCTGCTACGATGTGTGGCGTCGACGAAAGTAGAGTCTGCCTCTGGGAAAGGGATCGCATGCGAGTCCTCGATAGCCACACAGATCACGTTCGAGGCCACGGCCCCATAGACAACTTGTGATCTTGGGTATGCGCCTTCGTGTGGAACTCGGGTCGGAAAGATCGGCAGTTGGCGATAAACTTCGCGCGTCCTTGTCTCGAGAGAGATTTTGCGACCAGTCCGGAGGCAAACGGTGAGATGCTCCCGGATGAGTCCGAGTTGATCGGTCGACAAAGCCGACGGATCGACCGTGATGCACTCCAGCATGAACTTGACGTCTTCCGTGTCAGCAAGGGCAGCCTCGACGACACAGTCTGCAAAGCTAGGATCCAAGAACGGTACACCGAGGTTTTCCCAGGCACACTGGGTTCCCGAATCTTTCATGGGTGAGAGAACAAGAGAGTCGAGTCGTCGAAGAGTGCTGCGGGTGGTGGGGAGCAGGTGAAAGCGCGAGAGGATCTGCCAGGAAGATCGATATATGGGGGATGAGGCCAACCATTGCCAGAACTTGAGCAGCCAAATCCTTTGCGCGTCAGTGCAAATTGCTTCGTCAGAAGCAGAAAGACAATACTCCGATCCTTGCAGATAAGCCTGGACTTGAGCAAGACCAAATCGCGAGAAGTTGAGCCCAGGGAACAAAGTGAATTGGTCGACACCAACGGGCAGCCGTTCTAGTGCGATCAATGAACCGTTGACACTGGAATCGCCGAACAGCTGGCCTGCTTGAGCATCGACCAGCACGTAGGGTTGCTTTGGCATCAACGACACCCGCGAGCCTTCGAATGACGGAAGAAGAGGGAGCCCAAAGATGCAGGCGGGTGACCCTGGTGATTCGACGAGATATCGCAAGAGGAGGTCTTTCTTTGCTTCGGAAGCTTGAGCAAGACTTTGTAGATTATTCTATGCATTAGCATTAGCAAAGGAAGACCCAAAGCGCTGGAATGTACTTGCCAGCAACGCAGCCCGCACAGTGGTGGGAGTCATCCTAGTGGCGCCCGGTTCGATAGCAAATATCTGCTGCGTGATGTACTGCGGTGGCTGGACGATACAGACACCGAGTTCCCTGAGGACCATCAAAACACCCGGATCCGCATCGTTCAAAGCGAGCAGAGCCGCCGAGATAGGTACGTTGACTGCATCTAGCTGAGGAAAGATTGGCATATCCTGGGCCAGCACCACTCGGACCAGATTGGGCAAGATCTGAGCCCAGTATTCCGAAAGTGTTGCCGCTGGCGGCCAGGCCCACCACCCAGCGGATGTTTCCTGCAGCAGAAACGAAGCCCATGCATCCGGTAAGAGCTGGTCAAATATCATTCGGTTCCAGGTAACGAGTAATCTGCCGGTCTTCGTCAGTCAATTCGAAACCGGCGGGACAAAGAACTTGCTTCTCTCTCGCGGCCCCGACTTCGTTGATGTTCCGCAGGCTCTGACGGTCCTGAGTCAATGCGAAGATGGCATGGACATGCATCGGGAACTCGGTGTATATGGGCAACGGGAGAAGGGTGAACAGGCGGCCACGGAATCCGTCAGAGGGAGAGACCGGGAACGCGAGTGCGACATGCGCGAACAGTTTGTCGGCCCGCAGCTTTTCTTTGACGTCGTACCCGAGCTTGGCGCCAATCAACGAAGCGGTCGATGCTCTATCTCGGGCTGAATGCAAGACATGCCAAGTCTGGGAATTGGACGAGGATTGGGGGACATCCACCCGAATCGCGCAGTGAAACGACGCGGTACGTTCATCCTCTCCGACCAAAAACTCACGCTTGACGACATCTTCCGCATTCAGAACAACCTCTGCCCGGCCAACAAGCTCCTCGCTGCCATCAGGGAGTACAACTTTCAAGGTGATTGAAAGAATGTGCTTGAGGAAGAGCATCACCGTGCTCAGCTCTTGCTTGACGAAACTATCGAACAGCGATCGGATTTCGTCTACAGTGACCCGCTCGGTTTTGATCTTGCTCCTCGCTCCATCGTCTCGCAGCGGCAACCGCACAATGGTACCGTCAAAGGCTCCTTCCGAGTCGCAGTCGTCAAAAGGCCTGAATTGGTCAGGATATGTCGTTCGTTCGGTCACAGCGTCAAGCCTGACACCCCCACTGTTCTCTCCAGAAAATCGATGGTGCGGGTCGAAGATGACAAGTGTGCGCCCGGAAAGAAAGTGGGGGTTATCGGTGACCTGTAGAAGCGCCGGTCGTAAACAGCCATTGAGCACTGGTATGGACTCGGAAGACTGACATGGTAGCAAGCTCTGACTCCAATCCCGAACCTGCCAGTCTTCCTGCGTCATCGTCAGCATAGACATAAAGAACAGAGGAAAGTCGTGCGTTTCATCGGCTACTTTGCTCGAGCTTCGCAGATTGCTCAGAGCTTCCCAATCAGCCTCGGAGAACAGTGTGTCGTTGATGGCGACGAGCGCCGGGCCTTGCGAGGCAATTAACTCCTTGTCAACGAGGGTCGCCCATGGGTGATTTCGAGTGTCAAGAATGAAGACCTGGCTCATGTCATCAGCTCAAGATATAAACTTTGACCTGAGCGCACCTGCGAACGTGCCCCTGCGTCGTCTGAGTTCTGCAATAGCTCGCGCAGAATCCCATTGCCATACGGGTACGCCTCCAGGATCCCCTTGATATTTTTGGTCACGTCGACCTTTTCGCGGAAGTTGCGAGGCATCGTTACTCAGTCTGGATCGCCAAGGAAGGTGAGATAGACTCGTGCCGATGCAAGAGCTATTTGTATGCCTGGCATGCCCGCCAGTGTCATAGTGGAACGAGGCGATATCGATAGACAGAGACTCCTGCGGCGCTTAGAATCTTAATCTGGCGCCGTTAGAGAAGTCTCGTGGAAGCTCAAGACGGACGTACCCCCAGCTCTCCGTGATCTATAGCAGAACGGTACACCGACTCTCCTCATCACGCTTTTTGAAAGTCCTCGCACCAACACAATTCCATTCACAGCGCATCTCTCTCTCCCAGGTGTAGCCGCTGCGTTGCGTGCGTGTCGTTTTCGAGATGTCATTTTGGGTGTTGCTTGAGAGTCGCCGTGTCCGTGGACAAAGATGATCGATTGCATTAGAGACATAATCGTTTATGTAACTTGTATCGCTCAAATACCGAGGATGTCACAGACAAGCGCCCATACGAGACGGCGAACTGAGTCTTGGTAAAAGGCTAAAAGCAGCCAGCTAATACTCTGATCCGATCACAATTTTCATTGTCCGCTCGGTGGTGGGAGCCATGGCATGCTTCATTGCATACTATGCACGCCTCAGCGTAACCTCCGCTATAAGCTATATTGGGGTCAAACATGTCTGCACCGAGTTCTACCACAACCAGAAATGGTGCAAGTTCGCCTGTCCGTCCAATGCGAGCCAGCACACTGAAATTCCTGCCTGTGCGACACGGTTGCGAGTCAACGATGAGATGAAACATCGATTGGGAGCGGAAGCAGGTTTGACGTTGATGATGCAGTACCTGATGGATCCGAGGGGACCTTGGGACGCCGAACGGGAAGGATTCTCGACATCGTGAGGCATTGCATCTATCAAGTGTCCACCATGTCGTTTCCGTTCCATCCTCTTTCGTTACACCCTCTTCATCTTCCGCGGGCTCTCCTTCAGTGAGGGAGGCTCCTCCTTTTCTTTTATCCGTCGCGGACGCTTCCTTCCGAATCCGCTTGCACATTCTCTTGCATGTCATGGCTCCCACTGCGCCGTTTCTTCAAGCTCAAATCGACGCGATTGTCGATGACGAGAGTCTGACGGTCAACTACTATATTGTTGGTTTGTTTCTGCAGACCTTGTTCTTCGGTGTGTTATCATATCTTGCTTGACTGCACGAAGTTGATGAGTTGTAGGGTTCTACACCATCATTGCATTCATGTCGACGAAAATGCTTCTGTGCGTCGCACTCATACGCATCAATCGTCCTCATCGTCTTAACCCGTGCACAGCGAGCGTAGATTGAACACGAGATTGAACCAAGTCATGTTCGGCATCACGGCTTTCATGTACTTTCTGTCTGCCGCCTATTGGTTCTACAATATCGCCGATGGGATGGACCGACTTAACGGATTCGCGAAACTGGCCAAGCATCCGCTCCTCCCTCGGCCTCAACTCACAACTGTCACGTTCTCGTCGCCGCTGTGGAACGCACTCACCCTGATCAATGTACTCTTGCCAGCCTCCAAGTCTGGACTAGAACACCACTGACTTGACGAAACAGTACGTTCTGAGTGACGCTGTAGTCGTATGGAGAGCGTGGATCATTTGCCTGCGAAACCAAAGGAAATACTTGTGGATCACAATCGGATTTCTGGTGCTCACTGCCTGTGCGTCCTTCGAAGCTTGTTGGCACGACCTCACTGAGCGCACGCAGTGACCGTCCTGCTCACCATCGTTTTCCGAATCGTAGGGCTAGTGATATCGCCCGTCAAAGACCCGGCTACGAACGACATGCTCGGTCGCGCGATCAACATCCTACAAGTGCTCACTCTGTTCACGTCTTTGTTGTCGAACCTGACTGCTACGGGCGTTGTGGGCTTGACTGCATGGTATGTCGGTTTCCATAATGCTGCGCTGCGCACCTGGTCGTTGACGATCCTAGGCGGCATTACCTCAATCTCACGATGGCCTTTTCGGAAAAGAAAGCTGGGTCGGCGAGGACAAGTCATATCTTGATGCTCGTTGTTGAGACTGGCGTAAGTGCTCATCATGTTTCCCTTCCAGTAACAACTGACGGAGACTCTAGTCTCTGTACTGTGTCTCTGCAGTAAGCATCCGTCTCGCATCTATTTTTGTCACTGATTTGGCAGTTCATCGTGCTCATGTCTGCTCTGATCAAACTTCCGCACGGTACTCTTGGAGACATATACACTCCAATCAACGTCCAGATCGCGGCAAGTGCTCCATCACATTGCCTCAATCAGTCCTGAACGACCAATAGGGTGCGTACCCATGCATCGTACTCCTCCTCGTCAACAGGTCCAAGTCGCTTGACGACTCGACGTTCTGCGACCAAACCTTTGTCGGCAGCGGGACCCCGACACAGCCGATCTACTTCAAGAACAGCTCAGCGAGAGACGCCGCCTCACCTCGACACAATGCCAGCATGCACTTTGCGCGCAATCCCGGTCTGACCTCGACTTTCGCGACGACAGAGTTTGAGGATGAGTCACCGTCAGAATTCGGCATGACTTTTGCTCGCAATGCTGAGCTGACAGCGCCTGTCAATGCTGCAACCGCCGAGTTTGACGATGAGCCGCCTCTCGATTCTCCGCCACTTCCGGCAGGCGTCTCCAGCTCGGAAGCATTGCAGGATCAGTTGCCGGAATCGACCACAGTCAGCATCTCGTATTCCCGCCGGCTCGAGATTCGGCCATTACCTCCACTACCGGTCACATCCGAGGAAAGCTGGGTCTGAAATACCGATGAGTTTGTGTCGCTCGCGAATCCGGCTGGTTGCCGTTGTAACTCTTTATTCGTATTTCTATTTCATGTTCTTGTACTCTCCTCTTGTGTGCCTGTGTGCTGCCGCGCCATCTAGTACGCGCTGGAATAGAATTTCATCAAGCGTCCGGCAAACGCCGTTGATGGTCAACGTGAAAGTTACCCACCTCTATCCTTAGATGTCCACACTACAACCAGTACTGTGATGCCTCCGCTACCTTCGTTCCGAGAACTCTTGTCTCTTCCCTTGGGGCCGTTCGATGACTTTGCTGTTCTCAGCCCCACGTACCACCCCACGGGCGGCACCCTTCCCAAATTAGAGCGTCTGCGCATGAGAGACATCCACCGAAACATAACGGGGTAAGTATCCGCTACAGTGGAGCTGATCTCCGCCGCTTGCGCCCATGTTCATCACTACACCCTGAGCAAGCCTGGACAAGACAGATCGAAACCTCAAGCCGCCCATCGAGCCCTCGCCGACGGTCCACTTCTGGGGCATACTCGTCGTGCAGAACCTCTCGTGGCTCTCGGCGCGTGGACGGGAGATGATCGATGCGCAACTAGGGATGAGGGACAGCGAGCTACAGCGGCATGCCGGGCCCCCAACTCGCGCTATCAAGCTGGAAAATGTGCTCCGCGCGGCGCGCAACATGAAAGACCCTATCCGACTGCGACTGTGGCTCAGATGCGAGAAGCAGATGGAGGCGTCTTTCAAGACCGGTACGTCATTCGATGTCGGTGCCGTCGTGGCTGACTGACGATGACAGACAAGCGGTACACCCAGAGTCTCCTGCTGCACTCGAAGGACCAGCAGCGCACGTACGAGATCATCAGCATGGACGCGCCCACGTACCAGCTCAGCCGCAACTTCCTCGCCCGGTACCGCCTCGTCGCACTCATCTCCGAAATCGTCTCCGATCCCGCGTACAACCTGACGCTATACAGTCTGGACATGGACGTCCTGGAGAACGCATATCTCATCAAGCACGAGCGGGAGAGGTTGTCCTACCGGGCCATCGCGGCTCAGTCGGACCAGGTTGCAATCGAGGGCCGGCTGCGCCACCTCTCGCGTGCTGAAATACGCAGTGAATTCGCCGCGCACGCTGCCTGGCTTTTGGGGTTCTACATCCGTTCCAGAAACTGCTACCTGAACGTCCGCGTCTGGTGTGAGTTCATCGCAAAGACACAGGCCGCACGGAGGAGCCTCAATAATGGGCAATGGGGACGCACCTATGAAGACAACGAGATCTGGGACTCGAGGACTGCAGGTGACGCGCATTCGATCGCGTTGACGCTGGCGAAGTTCGGTGGGACGGCGGATGAGTGGGAGAAGTTGCTGGATAGGAAGATACTCGAAGACCCGCATGTGCGTGCTTCCCGCAATCGTTCTTCATACCCAACTAACCTGCGCAGCTGGTCGCACCCTCGGTCGACGATGAGGAAGCCTTGGACCCTTTCCTCCGCGGCGGCAGGGATAAACAGGATTTCGACTACGACTCCAGCATGTCTGTCGAAAGCACGCCAGATTGCAGCGAATCCGAATCCGAGGAGGTCATTCTGGATTGCAAGTACCCCAACAATAGATCTCTGCCGTCGATTCCAGCATGGATCAGTGCACCGTTGTTCGTGTATGAAGGCAGCACGGTGTGGGAATGCCCTGGACCCGACTGTCCTTTTGTCCTGGATCCATACGCGCTGCCCAATCGGGCCAATATTGTCGATCCAACAGAAGCCGCGGACGAGGAGTTCGTACAACGAGGGCAATTCAAGGACATGAGTGACAAGCGGGTGCATCGTGTCTTGGCCCGCCGAGTGTCAGAGCATTATGCCGAGCATCTGAAGATTGCGGATCTCGAGCTGTACAACACCCAGGTAAGCCGGTTTTGGTGCTTGCCCGTCCTGCTCTCACTCTTTGGTGTAGAAGGTAGTCGATCGGCTGCATCGCCACTTCCAGTTCAAGCCTGCAAGGCAGAGGGGACCTCACAGGACAGGGAATAGTACCAATAACGTCGCTGAACTTTTTTGACGCCGGTGATTATGCGATCCGTAGTCTATCCATATTGCGACACTTGGCTGAAGTACATTCCACGTAGAATGCGAATGGAAAGCGCAAACCCATAGGGAAGGTCCCCAAACCGCTAATAGACAGTCTGGTGAAATGAATTTTCGAAGGATGCAGGCCTCTAAGCAGTTGCTGGAAGTGAGAGCCGAGAAGGGTGCGATAAGGAATCACAACATAAGCTTATCAAATTACTTTCTAAGAAAAGTGACTTGCACCGAGTCTGATATCGTTACTGATACTGCGAATCAAGTCCATTCCCAGTCGTATAAATAACATATGAATATAGAGATAATTAGGAAAATAAACGAATGTGGGTGGAGGCAGATAACGCCGAGTCCGAAGAAAGAAGCGGATCGTCATTTAAGCCTCGGTGAAGGAATTAAGTTTAAGGGCTTCGTGGCTCGGCTCGCCGCGCAGAGAATAACGGTGTCCTTGATGGTGGAGGAACCGTGCCGGCCAGAGCGTGATGAACATCGAAGTGGTCATGGCGAGAGGCAGGGCGTCAAAGAGGTAGAAATACAACTCTTTGTTGGCTACCGTGCCGTTGTATCTGTAATCACGAGTCAGACCCTCGACAATCTTGCTGCCAGGTGAAAAACACGCACCCTCCGATGTATTCGACCACGCGGTACACGGTGCTCACCAGCAGTCCGCCGCAGACGATGAAGATCATGTAGACAAGCAGGCGCCAGTTCTCGATCGGACCAGCAGACATCATCTTCCACTTGGCCACGTGGTCGGGTTTCCAGAGATGGGGGTAGTCAGTGGACCTGGAGTCGTGAATCAGAGAGTGAGATGGGGCACATGCAGAGATCGGCCGTACATTCGGGTAGTGAAAGAAATCAAAAGGAAAATGAAGAGGAGGAGCGTCGCGGCCTGGAGGATGAATCCGATCAAGACGATCTGCGAAAGCCAGGTCACATCTGTAATCTACATGCGGATGGACGACCCCAAGTACCTTGGAACCCGTTTGCGCCACAGAGCCGTTTTGCGAATGAGTCATGGCTCCACCACCGCCCTCGAGCAGGAAACTGACGAGGTTGCTCCCGACGAAGAACGTCATGATGCGCGAGGGGCTGACGGCAAGGGACCGCGAGACGACATCAGGGTCGAACGTATTACCCAAGTGAGCAAGCAGAAAGTAGCATGTGGCGATAAAGAAACTGGGCTGTAGGGTTATCAGTGCTGGTTCCGAAGTGAGTGCGAGAATAGGTACCGAGAGAAGAGTGAGCTGCAAGCAATGTTAGCGAGGCACGCTCTGCGCATCGAGAGTGGATATAACACACCAGGTCCCAGGTGATGTACTTCCACAGTTGGAAAGGCGCAACCGTGTCCATGGCCCGGAGAAGGAAACCAGCAGTGAGCGCTTGAAAATCGTCAGTAAGTCAGCTACACCTGAACATGGTTTCGTATCGCACCAAACATTCCGACAGTGTAAGTAAGCAGAGAGACTTTCATCGGTCGGACCCAGAAGAAGTGGATCAAGGACACAATCGCCGACTGCGCAAACGCGATAATTGCCATAGAGGCAAGTTGTCGCTGGATACAGCGTTCATTTTCCCGAAGAGCGCTGTAGAACGGGTGGAAGGCTCACCGAAGGTGTGTATCCGCCTCTGCAAACACATTCCCATATCAGACGCGTCCTATTCATGAGGAGATGGATCGACTCACGCATGAACAGAAGTATCGGTTGTGTCCCTCTCAGCAAGTTCGGCCGCAAAGACCGATGCGAGGGAGGTGGTGAACGTCAAGAAAAGAGCTAGTCGAGACATGAGAAGAAAAACAAGAAGATTGAAGTGGTTGAGTATGTTGGTACGCCTCTGCCCATTCGCCTTTATACGTACCGTTACATCCAGCGAGGAGACAGTTTTGAACGCTGGAGACAAGGTTCCGAAGACGCGCCGCAGTACCAGCAGGTGGTTGTTGCCTAACGCATCACCGCGAGCTCGCTGCATTCCCATTTTAGGCAGTAATTAGAGTTCCCATCACTCGACGGCCCGCCCGCAGTGTATTTTACGCAAGCTCTTACACGGAATGTTTACAGCCGTCTAGGTAAAAGCTCGGTTTTTGACACCGTGTTCTTTCAAGACAATCATGAACCATGACATTGAAGTCGGCGTTTGAGAACTGATTATTGTCTTCGAAGACTGCGCATTGCTACTAATTGACCACTGGATACATGCGTGTAGCTACAGATAGGGAGCACATGTGAGTGGATGGGGAAGCCGTGGTATTAGGCGAAGAGAGAAGATTTCAGAGCGGGACCCATCCGTCTCCCTGAGGTTGCACTTGGCATCTTGTTGCTACTAGAGGCTGAGCATGCAAGAAATGAGGACGGTCACGAGATTTTGACAGGATGCTACATGACCAGCACGTGAGTGTCCTAGCCGACGGCATCATTTCCAGCCTGAGCCGAAACAAGATAGGCGTCACGCAAATGCGGCACATTTACGGAGCCACTGCAATTAAAACTGCCAAATATCGGAAGGTCCGTTTTTCTTCTTGATATTTCTATGTTCCTCTGACTGGAAAGAGAGGAAGACTTTTTCTGTGTGGCTGCCAAGGTCACGTGTGGCACGTGGCAAGTGGCTGTGCACGGCCAAATCTCGACCTTCCCCAAACCCAAATTGGTGCCAAACACGCCAGAGCATTGAGAAAACACTTTTGGGACAAGAAAAGAGAACAAAATCACTGGCTTACAGTATAAACATAGACAGAGAAAAAATTGCCTAAATCCCGCACTTCAAACTCAATAAATACATTATATAAAAAGATTGTTGGAGTCAGAATGCTGACAAGCGCAGATGGGAACCATTTAAGGTCGTTCAACGAGGATGGATTGTTCACTCTCACACTGCAGCGACACTCTGAGGGCATTCCATTCCCAGTCTCATCGATAGCGGACAATAATATAAATAACCAGAAGGAAAGAAAGTGCGGTGTAAGTAGATTACAAAAGTCCAATGAAAGATGTAAAAGCACGCCGATTAGAGCTCGCTGAACGATGAGTGAGGTTTCAGGGCTTCGTCGCTGGGTCCACCGCGCAGCGAGAATTGACGTCCTTTGGGGTGGAGGAAGCGCGTCGGCCAGAGCGTGATGAACATCGACGTGGTCATGGCGAGCGGCAGCGCGTCGAAGAGGTAGAAGTACAGCTCTTTGTTGGCAATGGTGCCGTTGTAGCTGGAGTAGGCAGTTAGGCTCACAAATCTTCCGGCCAGCTGCGGAACACATACCCTCCGAGGTATTCAACCACGCGGTATCCCGTGCTCACCGCAAGTCCACCGCTGACGATGAAGATCATGTAGACAAGCAGGCGCCAGTTCTCGATCGGACCAGCAGACATCATCTTCCACTTGGCCACGTGGTCGGGTTTCCAAAGATGGGGGTAGTCAGTGGAGCTAGATTTGGGAATCAGAGAGTGAGTCAGAGACTGCAGTGCAGAAGGGGCCATACATTCGGATAGTGAAAGAAATCAAGAGGAAAATGAAAAGCAGGAGCGTCGCGGCCTGGAGGATGAATCCGATCAAGACGATCTGCGAAAGCCAGGTCACATCTGCAATCTATATGTGGATGGATGACTGCAAGTACCTTGGAGCCGACTGGAGCCAAAGAGTCGTTTTGCGAATGCGTCAAGGCTCCACCACCGCCCTCGAGCAGGAAACTGACGAGGTTGCTCCCGACGAAGAATGTCATAATACGCGAGGGGCTGACAGCCATGCAACGCGAGACGACATCGGGATCGAACGTGTTTCCCAAGTGAGCGAGCAGGAAGTAGCACGTGGCGATAAAGAAGCTGGGCTGCAGGACTATCAGTGCTGGTCCCGAAGTGAGTGAGAGAATAGGTACCGAGAGAAGAGTCAGCTACAAAAGATGTCAGCAAGCGTTGCTCTGCGCATCGAGATTGGAGATAACACACCAGGTCCCAGGTGATGTACTTCCACAGCTGGAAAGGCGCACCCGTGTCCATGGCACGGAGAAGGAAGCCGCCAGTGAGCGCTTTCTGGTTGTCAGCGAATTCGGCTACCCTCGAGCGTGGTTTCTTATCGCACCAAACATTCCGACGGTGTAAGTAAGCATAGAGACTTTCATCGGTCGGACCCAGAAGAAGTGGATCAAGGACACAATCGCCGATTGCGCGAACGCGATGATTGCCATCGAGGCAAGTTGTCGCTGTAGACATGGTTCATTGTCTAGAAGAATGCCGTGGAATGGGGGGGATGCTCACGGAAGGCACATATCCACCGCTGCACACACATCCACAGATCAGACACATCCTATCAACAAGCAGATGGATTGACTCACGCATGAACAGAAGTATCGGTGGTGTCCCGCTCAGCAACTTCTGCTGCAAAGACCGATGCGAGGAAGGCGGTGAAAGTCAAGAAAAAAGCAAGGCGAGACATTGGAAGAAAAAGTAGTAAGAAGATTGAAAGAGAAAAAAAGCGGATGAATATGTTGGTACGCTTCCGCCCACTCACCTTTATACGTACCACCGTTCCATCCAGCGAGGAGATAGTCTGGAATGGTAGAGACGAAGTTTCGAAGTCGCGCCGCAGTACCAGCAGGTGGTTGTTGCCAAACGCATCAGCGGGAGCTCGCTGCATTTCCACTTTAGGAAATGATTAGAGCCCCCGTCACTCCACGGCCCGCCCGCAGTGTATTTTACGAAAGCTCTGACACGACATGCTTACAGTCGTCTGGTGAAAAGTTCCGTTTGAGACCGTGTTCGTGTAGAACAATAGTTGACTAGATTTCTAAAGTCAACGTCTGAGATTTATTTTCCCATTCAAAAACTAGGTATTAAAAGTTATTGAATTGACTACCGATTGCTTGCTCAACGTTTTCAGCTACAGAAAGAGTGTGCGTGTAAGTGGGTACAGAAAGATGCGGCATTAGACGCGGAGACAAGAGGTTAGAACGGAGCAATCACTGACAGGTTGCGTAAACTTCGCGAACATCTAGTACCAGTCCAAAGATGAGTCGGGCAGGGCTGCTGCTGATGCTGGCATTTCCAGGCCATCTATTTCATGGTTTCCTATGCCGTTGTCGATGTCCGCTCACGAATTCAATCGAGGAAAGTCAGTTGGACATTGGCGCCAGCCCTCGTTGTTGTTCTCGTCACTCTGGACTGCCGAGCATTTGTTGTCGATGGCTTCCTTCAGTTTCGCGATCGCGGTAGTGGGTTCTATCAAATCTACCAAAGCAGCTTCCGGCATTTCCGCCTCGCTTGATTTCCGTTGGCCGGGTCTGGGCCTCCATCTGTACGTTCCCAAACTCATCACGCGTCGAGCGCATGGATGGCTGAGGAGCAAGCTGACCGACCGCGACTCGTAACCGCGCAGAAAGGTTCCCTATTCGAGCCAGAAAATCGAGCCCCATGAACAGAAAGCAATGTCCTCTTGACAATTCTGTCGCCGATTCACCCCCCAATCTGACAGATTCATGGCATGCTCGACAACGGCAATCATCTCCGGGAAGTTTGCCACAAGAAACGGAGACATGCAAGTGGACTTCTATTCCTTCCGATCAGAGTCGGACCGGACTGCGCGATGGTACGAGGTGAGCCTCATGCCAGTTGAGACCAAGTCTCTATCTTGTCCTTCTGCCACTACCTATCTGCCGCCTCTTGCTCACGCAGGGAACACTGCTTTCCTGCCAGAGAACTTGCAGTCAATGATCCCTTGTATCGACGCTCCCGCCAGTCAACGAGGGAGGGCTGAGTTGTGTCGAATTGACAGGTGCGTTGGCTCAAGGAAGCGAAATTGGGTTCGGGACGGTAAAGGAATGTGGGGTGGGTGACATCACGGAGCTCGCTCAAGTGCCTTACGACGTGGCTACCACGGTCTTAGCTCTCTAGCAGCCGGCGAGCAGCACCTTTTACACAAGCAGGCATCGTTGTCGTCGTCCCCGCCGTATGCGCCGCCGGGGCATTGACGACGTTCACAGTTGACAAGACTATCAAACCATCGCAAAGGTAGGGTGGAGGAAATTCAACCTTATCAATCACAACTGGAGCGTTACAGCTCACTCGCTCGGCGGTTCCCTGGCAGCGCTCTTGGGCCTACGAATGCGCATAACCACAAGCACATCAGCAATCACACACGAACAACAACAGAACACCGTGGTCGCCGACTCCGGACTCACCCCCGAATGCAACGGTTTTCATTTCAATGCGGCGGAGGGCACTGGGGCGTGAATGCTACCTCGCTGGTGAGCGCATCTGTTTGATTCAAGCTGAAACGAACACTGCAGGGACTACAGAGTGCCGGATTTCAATGGCCGGACCCAAGATTGGGGCTCTAGGAAGCCGGGTCGGTCACAACTCCGTGAAGTATGGAAACCCGGAGCGGTCTGCTCATGTCAAATGGTTATGCGACGATGATCTTTGATAAGCGATGTCAAGACCCCAGAACCATTACACTAAGCAACATTACGAGCACACAAAACCGATAGATTCAATGTATTGAGTACTAATACTGAACGCTGAATCGGTGGAAATATCACGGCCCGCAAACATAAATTAAACAGGGACTTGAGCAAGGGGTTTGAGACCGAAGAACCGGCAATAATCGGAGCACACGTGTTGGTTACAAAACACGTTGAAGAGCTCACTGACGTTGCCACCGCCAAACATTGGAGTTCCACGCTGTTTGGCAATCTCGCTGTAAGTGATGAGTGAAAGTGTGATGTGGTACAAAATGAATGCCGCACGGAGTGGTCATGATCTGAGGGTCCGTGAGAAGGGATTCAGAGCCTGGTTGATCAAATTAATCAGTGGGAGTCGCACAACAAGTGAATGCTCACCTTGATAGTCCGACAAGAACATGCTCCGTCCAGTGTACACGTACTGAACGTGCTGCGTGAAACAGAGATAGAGCGCAATGTGATACGACGGGTGATCAGGATCTAAATGAGGAACAGCAGCGCGATTATGGACAAATTTGACAAAGCGAGAGGGAATCAGTTCTTCAATGATGAAAGAACGGCGCAGGGATGATGCCCGGACAACATTGGTACCAGTGACAGTGTCGTGGACTTGTGCAACGCCGCCCTCGACAAATCGAATGTCCGGGATGACAAGATTGGAGGGCGGCTCCCCGAGCTTACTGAGCTGATGACGGACGAAAGTATCTGTGAGGTCGAACAGTGAGGTTGCCCAAAGCAGCAGATTCCCTTCGCAAATGCTCTGCTCAAGTTCGACTGCCGGACTGAACCGTCTGATTCCGACTGTATCACGTCGACTGGCCTTTGTATCGATCATCCGTTTGGCCGCAACGCGTTGATTCACAGTTGATCCGAGCCCAGTGGGAGACGTTGATGGTCGAACAAGGGTGAGGAAACCTTCGTATGCGTCCTTGAAACTACCAGACCCTAAAGCAGCAGACAGGACAACACTGAGTGTGCCTGGCTCAGCCACAGCCGGATCGCACACAAACTGCATCGCCGCCTCGTCCTGAGTGAACAGTGCGTCCATGGCTTTGGGATAAATGCGGAAAAATAGAATCTGCTCGCAAGTTGGGACATCTAGGCAGACAAATTCAGCCAAGGTGAGTTGATTGGAACATGAGATTCTGTACCGCGAGTGCCTGATCGAGATACCTGACCTCCAACACTAGCCACCTTTCGAAGCCGGGCAAAGTCCGCCTCATCCGGTGAGCGCCAGCCAGGATGTGAACGCTTTGATCGAAGCTGTGGCGACGAGGGAGGTGTCGAAGGAGCACCAAGGCTCAGTGTACGTTCATGGCGTTTATCGGGGGACCATGTTGCCGCTCCGAGAACTACGGCACTCGATGATGAGGAACCAGAGCGTTGCGAAAGCGCCCTAGTTGCCTCACGATCAGTGGATCGAGCCAGACTCCTGATGGTGCTGGCCTCTGTTTGATCAGATGCATTCGAGACGGATGCTGTCTGTGAAAGTTATCCACTACGGACACAACACGACTCATATGGATCACGTACAAACCGAGTGACCCGAGTCTGGACGGCGCTCGCTGTGGCACTGACAGAATTTTCATTTGAGTCGGCCTTCACGTTGTTAGCATTATTAATGTAGATAGAACAAGAGTGGAAATACGCACATCAGGTTCAGACGCTGCTAACATTTCCGTGCGTTGTTGCCACTCCCTGCCCGAAATCACTAGAGCAATCTGAACAGATGCCCTGGGAGCCTTCCATTCTGGTTTTGTCGCCTTGCCCGAGATCTTGTAGTACTTGTCCCAGTAGAACACGTGGTCAGACTGGAGAGCCTTGAAATCTTGCCAAGTTGTCACGTCCCACCGTACGAGAGCAGTACGCCCCACCAGCTCACGACATCTTCCACCTTGTGCCGCCGGATTTTGCTGAGTACATCAGCAGGTTCTATGCCGACCTTGGGAGCCCCCCAGTGACTCGACAAACATGCTGGGACGTCTATAGGCAACTCCTGCGATGCTTCGAGGAGCTAGATCAGCTCCCGGGCACCGCGGGTCCCAGTGTGGACCAGATCTGGGGTTTTGCTCTTACGCAAGCTGTGGATCAATATTGTGACGAGATTCAACCCATTGCCGGCCTGCGTCCACTTCGAGGAGGTGAAGACGTGATCGGACAGGATGGTGCATACTACATGGGTGGTGTAAATGCTGGTGCTGGATTAGGTGAGTCGTTGCACCCGAATCTTCACCTCATGTTCACTTTGGCAGGTTTGGATCACTGTGCCGCGCTCGAACAGCTCATTGACAATGTTGAGCCGCGGATCAATGACAACGAGACAGACACCGACGACGACGAGGAGATTTTTGCTTGGTTCTCTGATGAGGAACGTCCCGATGCTGAGCCAGATGAGTGGTAGATTACTAGTACCTAGAGTCTTCACATTGGTATTTAGTTGCGTTGACGAGCAGTGATGCACCCTGGCCCCGCAATCAGTTGATCAGAGGCCACATCAGTATGACGTAGCAAGCTGCTTGAGCTGACAAAGCAGCCACAATTGATCTGGCACGTGATGAATCAATCTATCACGTGCACTGAAAGATCTCAATGGATTTGTCAGCGAGCTCGTCAAGGTTGTTGCACGTGATCATTCTGATCATCACTGGATGCCTCAAACCCCTTGCTCAAGTCCCTGTTTAATTTATGTTTGCGGGCCGTGATATTTCCACCGATTCAGCGTTCAGTATTAGTACTCAATACATTGAATCTATCGGTTTTGTGTGCTCGTAATGTTGCTTAGTGTAATGGTTCTGGGGTCTTGACATCGCTTATCAAAGATCATCGTCGCATAACCATTTGACATGAGCAGACCGCTCCGGGTTTCCATAGTGAAGGTTGTCTGCCGCTTCCGATCAGGCTGGCTGCCACAAAGTGACATCCTGTTGCTGTGCTCGACTGGCAGATATGACTACGGATGACCGGGGGAGCAGAAGAACCTTTCATTACCTCATGACAGTGCGGGGACTGGCGCCGCTGCCGGCTAACTTTGCTAGGATATCCCCGCTCTGAATGTTTCGGAGAGGAACTCAAACTTGAGAGCTGCACGGCCCGCGCACTAAATGACAAGTCCTGGCTCTGCTAGCTGAGCTGTGCGCCTGATTTTAGGATCGTCTGTTCTCTCGTTGCCATCCCCCGCATTGATCGTGCCGGTACTCGGTGATTCGATCCGAGGAAGGGTTTGGTACGGCCCCACAACGTTGGCAGGGACGAACATTGGCTCGTCGTCACGTAAGTCACACGCTATTGCTGTGATTTTGCCTACAAGGCTCAAGTTTGGGGTCTGGCCGGACAAACTGACCGACCCTAATTTGCCCAGATTTCAGATAGATAGATCTTAAGTATGCAATGTGATGTTACTCCGTGTAAGATATATGACGGAACTCCAGATGTCCTGGATAGGCGGCAAATTTTTCCTCGCATCTGATTCCTGAGTTTAAGATTTACTATTGAAAGAAGAAGTGGGTATTGGCTAGCATTTGCAAGAGCCGGCGGATGGAGCGTCTGCATTCAGAATGTTCAACCGTGGGAATCTTGCAATGATAGCTGCAGTTCCACCACTGTTGCATCAGTGGGTTCCAAATGCTATTCTTTATCGAAGATACTAACGAATGTGGCGTTCTATTCAAAGGTGAAAAAGTGGATTATCGGCATACTGCAACTGTCGAACTAAGCCCTCTTGGTCAAAGTTACCTGGAGGGGCATTGCGATACTAGTGACGAACTGGTCGTGGAGATGGTTGCTCCATTCTTCGGCCCCGGCGAAATCCTTGGCAAAGCGGATGTCGAAGGTGTGGATAAGCGCCGCGCTGACCATAATCATCTCCCGCCACGCGAGATTCTTGCCGACGCAGTTCGCCGAGCCGAATGAGAACGGGATGAACGCGAGCGGGTTGTGCTTCTCGGCCGACTCGGGGCTCAGCCAGCGCTGGGGCTTGAAGGTGTCCGGGTCATCAAAGTTCTCGGCGGAGCGGTGGAGGGTGTACTGCGGCACAAAGATCTGCGTGTTTGGTGCGATGTAGCTGCAAGCGAGTGTCAGCCGATTCTCATTCATGACGAGACGGGGCGAGGAATGCGTACTGTCCAGCGATGACCTTTCCACCGCCTACGGGGACCTTGCGGGGCCCCCCGGACGGGACGGGCGGGAGCAGCCGGAGTGTCTCGTTGCTGTGAGCGGGTGCGTGAGTGGGGGGTAGTCACTGGTCCACTAGCAGGACTGACATGCATGCGGTGAGGAAGGAGAGCTGGGAATGCTTGGACGCATCGAGGGGCGAGTCACCGCGCGGGTAGACGCTGTCGACTTCCTCCCGGACTTGCTTGTAGACCGCTGGGTTCGAGAGCAAGAGCCAGATGAGACTGTCCGATCAGCGAGTCAGACACCCTGTCATGAAACATGACATTGCACAATACGTACTTGCTCAGTGCCGTAGACGTCGTATCGGAGCCCGCAATGATACTCAACACGCCGTCTGCGACCACCTCGGGGATCGAGGGGCGCTGTTTCTCCACCTCGGCTTCGTCCGTCTGGAAGAGATCAATTTCAGTGCTTGCAGATCACAACACACGCAGAGACACACTAGATGATACCACAGATCCTTGACGAGCGAGCCTGCCTGGATGCGATTGGCAGCGGAGTCAACGCCAAACTGACTCAGCGTGTTCATGTTCTTGGCGAGACCCGGGAGCATCCGTACCGTCGGCACGATCCAGGGGATCGGAGCCAGCAACGCCGAGACACTGGCCGGGAGAGATTCACATCAGCAAATATGTGTTGAGCACGATGAGTGCAAGTACGAACCGAGTGCCGTCTTCGATGATCTTCCAAAGCCCGTTTGTATCTCCGCGATCACGCATCATCTCAAATCCACCACCGAATCTGGATCACAGGTGAGCAGGTAGAGCCAAGGCAGGCAGCTCTCGCACGCACGCCATGTCGCCCATGAAGTCGAACCTGGGATACTCGAGTCAGCACGAGATAAAGGCCTTGGGGGACACCGCGCTCACGTGAAATAGCCCAGCCACTTGGAGATGCTGACCGACGACCCGGATAGTGACTGTTCCTCCAGCCTCTCCAGCAGCTGTGCGACGCGCTTCACCAAGGTCACCTCGTAAGCAGCGATTGAGGCTGAGTTGAGGCCACGGTTCCAGATCCGGCGGCGGTTCGTATGCGCCTCTCCCTTGAGCACCAGCAGCGATTTGGCTGGAACGGCGGGATCGTCGCGGGGCTCGTAATCTGGAAGCGCTCAGCAGGACTCCCACGCGGCGGGGGTGGCTCGGTACTCACGCTGGCCTTTGGGGTAGGTCCCCAGCACGACCTTGACCGCGTCGGTGTGTACGATCGAAACCTCATTCGGGCCTAGCGAGCAAGATAATAAATGAGCACCGCCTCACCCGCGGACAAAAACGACAGGGGACAAGCAACGCACCAGTTCGGACAACTGGGCCGTACTTATCATGCATCCGCCGGACGACCCGATGCGGGTCCCCCCGCACGGCGTCGCGGATGCTCCAGACCTTTGAGATCTTGTACAGCGTTGGGCCCGGGACCGATGCGAGGGGGTGCCACGGGGAGAGTCGATAAAGCACGATAGAGAGCGAAAGGCTGCCGATGAATGTCGCGTAGACGCCGAGCACATTGAGCGCGGTAGGCACGGTGGGTGTGCCATGAGAGAGGAACGAAAGGAGCAGCGCAGGCTGGATGAGGATCGCTAAAAGAGGGTAGTGCGCATTGCCTGGCTCAAAGTAGCGGAAGAAGATGTGGTTAAGCTAGGGGGATGTGAGCACGGGTGTGGAACTATGATGCCGGACACTGACCACACCAAGTAAAGCGGGTGAGAGCCAGATTTGTTGCATGGGGGTCAAGTATGCAGCTTAGCGACTCCATGCGATGCTTTTATCCTACGAGCAGTGGCATGATGCAGGAAATACGGCCCCAGTGGATAATAGGCAGAATGTCAAGTACACACTTCCTAGTCATCGAGCGTCATTATTTTTTGGTCACATCGGTCGATGTAGAGCCGCTATCTGACAAGACAAGGCTTCCGAGCGCAGAAGATCATTCAACAGAGTCTGTTTTCGTCAGCGACCCCGATCAGGCGCAGACTGTCATTCGATAATTTGGAGTCGTGGCGCAGCAGGCTTCCATTGCTGATCGGGCCAGCCTTAACACCGAGAACGAACTCCGACATCTCACTTTGCACACAGAGGGCAAAACTATCGATGTCTCGGAAGCTGCGATTGAACGGGCGGCGAAATAGTACGTAGGAGTCCGCGCTTGCATATACTGGAACTGTGAGACTGTCGTTCAATGGTAATGATGAACCGTGGGAACACGTAATCATCAATAGCCCAACCGTGGGAATCAGCAGCGGAAACGCGGGAAACAGCAGCGGAAACGCGGGTCCACAGGCCCGTGAGCTCACACTCTCTTGGTCAGCGAGACCATGAACGGAATGACATGCCAATGCGATTCACGAAGATATAACGCAGATGCTCAGTTCACTCCTCCGCCGCGAACCCATCCGCGAATCGCACATCGAACACCTCCGTCAGCGGGGACGCGGACCGTGGCCCTTTCCCGTATCGCGCCACGCTTTCCAACACAGCTAGCGAGGCCGGAGGAAAACGGGATGAACGCGAGCGGATTGTGAGGGGACTTTGTGCTCGGTCGTGGAGGTTGTCGGTGGACTGGTGGACTGTGTGCGCGGGGAAGCATTCCTGCGTGCAGAGAGGGATGCATCTGTCAAGGGGATGGTCCAGTCATCGCGTGGCAATACAACAATAGCAAGACGCAGTGTCCGGCGATGACTCTCCCGCCGCCGTCAACCGGCACTTTGCGGGGCCGCCGGAGGGCACCTGCGGGAGCATCCGCAGGGCCTCATCCCTGAAATTTCATTCTAGCGCGCGGGTCCACATGACTGACTGTGCGGTATGGAGGCCTAGAGCTATATGCTGATACGCGCGCAGCTAATATCACTGGCATCAAACGGCATGTGGTAGAAGATCAAATGTCACTTTCTGGAGACCCCAAATCCCATCTAAGTAGTGTACCAAGTGTATTAACAGAGAAATTGAAATTTGTTTGTAATAAATTATGTTCCCGGCTTTGCGCGATATTGCCCAAACCGTTGCACCGCAATCATAGTGACATCACATGATCATACACTAGTCCCAACAACAGAGTGCATTCAGCAATTTACTACTTGAATGGAAGCATGAAATGTATTCAAATTACTACCAGTCACCATACACGGACTCCTGCTTATCAGAAAACCGAGCAAAAACCTCGCTGGACTTGCCGTCCGAGCCATTGGGAATTGGGGCATCTGAATCTGGCTCTAAAGTGTCAATTAAGGTGTTGAGTTGAGCATAGTGCACCGTATCTGGAAGCTAAGTCAGGTGAATAAAACAATTGACAAAACATGGAGATGCGCCTAATCCTTGGCTTTGATTGACACCACCCATATAGTAGTACTGGCTGCCATCATTCTGGTGGACTTCACTCCCAACAACACTGTCACCTCCTCGAAGCTCCTGTAGGTTCGGGAGAGGCAGTATTTTGTCCTTGTACTTGTCCAGAGCTTGAGTAAGAGCATAGCCCAACTCAGAGCTTGATGAGCTGAAGATCACACAGTCACTATATTCCATGGTCTGATAGTCCCCGTGGAGGGACTACATGTGTAGGCACTGCAGAGACTATTGGTGTCTACTGTGGGACAATCAGGGGCTAGAGTGATAGGTCACTGATCGGCCATCACTTGTTCATGGCTAGTCCCTGACTTGTTCCCACATAGTTACTCAGTTGCCACTTTCTGATAAATCAGTGTGTGTTGAAGATTAGGAGTAGTTTACCATCTTCATTGAGTCATCTGGTGTCTATATATCAATGTTTAAGTCTTGTATACCCCATGGGAGCGCTGATAGGCTGGCTACCAGATGCGCTCTGCACCGGCATATTTTTGCGCTTTTACAGGGTTTACTCTTGAACCACTCAGTGTATCATGTCACGGTTGATAGTGTTGCACTTAGTAGGACTTAAGGGTCTACTGCCCAGTCAACAACTGTGGATAGTGTCGACGATAACAAGGCAGTCAGACCACTACTGTGGAATTGGTCTTATGAGTCTACACCAGGCTTAGGGCTATTAGTGACAGACACTTGGACCGCAACAATTCCCTAAAAGGGATCTTTTGTTGCGGCAACTCCTCGAAAGGATCATTCTCTGTAGATGGGAACTTGGGCTGAAGGGCTTAGCAATGCGCGACGTTCTCAACATTACAACGACTACTAGGCAGGACTTGGCGTTACGAGATTGAACCAATCTTGGTGCGGCAACTCCCGGTTTTGGGTTAGACATTTCCTCAGATCCTGCCATGGCAACGACTTGTCACATGTCAGGATCCACTTGATTACGGGACATTGTGGACGCGTTGCGGTGACACTTCCAAGTGTCACAGCAAGTTGCGCCCATACCCAAACACATCAAAAGCAACACGGGCTAGATCCGTGAACCGAACCATGTGAGGAACGTCTGGCGTGCCTAGGCCATACGGCTTCTTGGGGTGCCCACGTTGGACTCACATGCCAAGACATACCCGTTGGCCAATCCAGCACGCTGTATTCCAAAAGTATGACGCGGTGGGTTGGCCCACATCAAAAGTATCATATGGACAATGGGGCGGGGTCCTGATCACTCAGGACCTGTCCGATTGTTCAACTTTTCATTACTCTAAAAGGCAACCCATCTTAGATAGCGCAGCTACTATGCAGTTGTACAGGACTTTACTAAGCATCGTTGTAGACAGTATAAGTAGCACGTCGTTTCTTTGTATTAGAAAGCTTTCCCCCGGACTGTGAATCACTCTCATATCAGATTGTTTTGTGCAATTTGCGTGTCATGTGATTCCACCCTAGGAAGTTCTGCTACCCCTGCCCGGTCGCGACAAGTTGCTCCCTGAGCACTTGTAGCTACTGTGATTTGAGTTTGAGTTTTGAGATATCAGAAAGTCGGATTTGCCGTTTCTGGTTCGGTCACGGCACATTTAGTGTTGTCGCCTTTGGGCTTTGTTGAGATCGTTTCCACACCTCTAGCTTGGCAGTGCGTCGACTAGTTGTGCTTGGGTTGTTTTGGTCAGTTGGCAGTGCGTCGACTTGAGAACTTTGGTTCCACACTTCTTGCTTGGCAGTGCGTCGACAAGTTGTGCTCGGGTTTTGGACATTGGATATTGGCTGTTAGTTGGCAGTGCGTCGACGCGGCATTTTGGTTTACTAGTTGGCAGTGCGTCGACTCAGTATATTGGTTGTATTGGTTGGCAGTGCGTCGACTTGATATTTGGGCTTTGCGTCGCCACCTGGACGCTGTCGCTACAAGGGATCTCAATACTTCGTATTAAGCTCTGACTTGTGATATTGTTGGTTTTGTTCATATAGAAGATATTGGTTGAGACACCACTGTTTGCTATATATAAATTCTTGTCGTTGACTTCGTCTTCCGCGACTATTGATCCACGTCTATTGAGAGTTGTGATACTGGTGTTCTGTCCACCCCAAAGCCCTCGCATCTTTCACACACTGAGAAGCTGATTACAAGGAGTGTGAACGTGTTTATATTTGGGTTTACTTTCACAGTAGATTCACCTGTGAACGCACCCTCAGCATTTCACCGTGACACGATACACTGAATGGTTCAAGAGTAAACTCTGTAAAAGCGCAAAAATACGCCCTTATAGAGCTGGTGCAGAGCGCTTCTGGTAGCCAGCCTATCAGCGTTGAAATGCTGAGGGCGTGCTCACAAGTGAATCTACTATGAAAGTAAACCCAAATATAAACACGTTCACACTCCTCGTAATCAGCTTCTCAGTGTGTGAAAGATGCGAGGGCTTCGGGGTGGACAGAACACCAGTATCACAGCTCTCAATAGACGCAGATCCAATAGTTGCGGAAGACGAAGTCGACGACAAGGATATATATATATAGCAAACAGTGGTGTCTCAACCAATATCTTCTATACAAACACAACCAACACTAATCCAATCCACAACCAACAATATAACAAGTCAGAACTTAATACGAAGTATTAAGATCCCTTGTAGCGACAGCGTCCAGATGGTGACGCAAAGCCCAAATATCAAGTCGACGCACTGCCAACTGATACAACCAATATACTGAGTCGACGCACTGCCAACTAGTAGAACCAGAATGTCAAGTCGACGCACTGCCAACTGACACAACCAAAAGTACTGAGTCGACGCACTGCCAACTAGTAAACCAAAATGCCGCGTCGACGCACTGCCAACTAACAGCCAATATCCAATGTCCAAAACCCGAGCACAACTTGTCGACGCACTGCCAAGCTAGAGGTGTGGAACGATCTCAACAAAGCCCTAAGGCGACGACACTAAATGCCGCGACAATACCAGATGCGGCGAACCCGACTTTCTGATATCTCAACTCAAACTCAAATCACAGTAGCTACAAGTGCTCAGGGAGCAACTCGTCGCGACCGGGCAGGGATGGCAGAACTTCTTAGGGTGGAATCACGCGGCACGCAAATTGTACAAAACAATCTGAAATGATAGTGATTCACAGTCCGGGGGAAAGCTCCTTAATACAAAGAGACGACGTGCTACTTATACTGTCTACGACGCTGCTTAGTAAAGTCCTGTACAACTGCATAGTAGCTACGCTATCTAAGATCGGTTGCCTTTTAGGGTAATTGAAAAGTTGAACGATCGGACAGGTCCTGAGTGATCAGGACCCCGCCCCATAGTCCATATGATACTTTTGATGTGGGTCAACCCACCGCGTCATACTTTTGGAATACGACGTGCTGGATTGGCCAACGGGTATGTCTT